GTCAGAGTATCAGGATGCTCTGGCCCTAGAACCCGACCACAGACCTCTATTACCTGTACTTCCAGCTCCTCCGCCTCCTTCCATCGTCCCTGATTCCGGTATGTGGATGCTAAGTCGGCCATGCTAGCCAGGGTTAAGGCATTATCATGATCTCTTTCTCTCCTTTGTATCCCCAAAATGTCCTCGAACAATACAGCTGCTCTAGAGTATCTCCCGTCTGCTTGCAGGCACCTCCCTACGTTCTGAACCAGTCTTGTGTAGTTCTCGCGCTCCCTTTGGAAATGACTTTCGTCAATCAATGAGAGTGCATGTGGTAGATATTCCCTCCATAACTTTCGGTTATTATGATTATTGTCTGGAAACATCTGGTTCAGGTGGTTGGCTGCTTTTTGGATTTGCAGGCTAAATTGCTGTTCCCTCCTTAGCCAGTTCCGAGTCGAGAGGTGCACTAATCGGTGAAGACTTAGAGCATGGTCTGCCACTTGCTCACTCACGAAGGAGAATGCCTTAAGCAGCCCAACTGCATCAAACTTCTTCTTTTTGGAGGGAGCATCGGGAAGTAAGGATTGTGGAATATCACGTGGGTTGATACACGCCATGAATGACAGATAGTCAGCTGCTAACGGATTTAGTCGCTGAACTTGCTGGAATGAGATTAACCAGGTAGTAGCAACCGGATTCTGAATGTCTTGATACCGCCCATCGTCTCCGAAATCTTCGCTTAGTAACTCAATAACATCTGACTCCTGCTCTTTTAAGAGTGCAATGTAGTCAGAGAGCTTGATGTCATTTGAGTTGACATACGCCGCTGCCTGGGAGATTGCTAGGGGCAAAAAAGTTAACCGCTTAAGAAGAGTGATTGTTTCGTCTCTATTCCCAAGCAGCTCTTTCTTTTGTAGTGCCTCCTCCAGAATCTTCACACCAGTCTCTGCATCCGGTTCAGAGACAACGACCACAAAACGTGATGCCAGTCTCACCGCTAGCTTTTGATTGCGAGTGGTAAAGAGGATATGGCCCTGCTTACTTGGAGCTAAGAAATTTGCGAGTTCTGTTGCACCAGCACCATCTCCAACCCACATGTCCGTATCGTCTGCATTGTAAAAAATCAGAAGCCATTTCTGGCCGTTTATCTGACTCAAGTAGGCCTTGACACGCTCTTTTACATTAGATGCCTTTACTTCCTGGAGTCCTATAGTTTGTGCGATGCCCATGAACGCTTGTTCAACGCTCGCGTTGCTAGTACACGGGATCCAGAAGATCGAGCATGTGGGGTCTCTCTCGCGTACGCGATAGGCCAATTCAAGGGCAATTTGAGTTTTTCCTACTCCACCTAACCCACAGAGAGCGACCTTGAACGGTCCATCCGTCTTTCCAAATAGTTCTTCGATCATCGCGATTTCTCCTTCTCGGCCCACAAACCCAGGGTTTTTCCGAAAAGGTACCATCCAGTGGCGCTTTTCAGGCATTGATTTCCTGAGGTTACTAGCCCGCTCCTGAAAGGGGACCTGCATGAGAATAGCTTTCGCGTAGGCAGCGGCAACAAAAGCAGCATATGGTTGCCACTCTTTATGTTTATGAGAGTCGCAATAATCACAGATGCCTCGTATCACAAGTGATGGGATCTCATCCATAAGTCCAGCAGCCTCCATTTCGAAACAGAGGATATCGAGCTCTTGAGCGATCCGATCACGTGCTTTGGCGTCTCTCATCACCTGATTTCCAGAAGCGATCAAGCCATAGTGGATATAAGGCTTTGGTATCCGCTCGGGACGGTCCGCCAGCTGGCTTGGATCACAAGTTGCACAGTCAGGTCTGTTAAGTGCGTGATCATATGTTGGTTGAAATAGCTGGTCTTTTGATGGCCGGGGAAATTGTTTGCGTACTTCCTCCTGTTGAAGACTGCTGGCTATTATATGGCTGAGCGAGGCTTTTCCAAGCATGTTGTCGCTCTCCATCTGAGCAATGACTTTGAGTAATAACGAAGGAGGCTTGTTGAGCGATCCGGTCCTATGAAATCGTCCACTTTGGAGCGTCTTGCCATAGTCATACTGAATGACCCCGCTTGAGGTGTCAGTGGGCTTGCTAACCACAATATCGCCAAGGCGGATATCAGGATTTCCCCCGGGAACCCCTCCTCCAACGCCGACCATCAGCCCAAATCGAACATTTTGGTAGGTCGACATCAGGTGTGAGACGGCAGCAGTGGCAGATGTGGTCCCATAGACACCAGTAGGAAGGCAGACCACCACCACATTATGGCCAGCAACACTCCCAAGTGTGTAGACGTTATGGTCAGATTCTGGTTGAGTTAGTCGAGGATGAACTTGGTCCAGGAATACTTTTGCAGCTGCCAACTCTAACGGCAAGGCGCAGATCCAGGCGACTGTGTACGAAGCGTGCGTGAACGTCATTTGAGTGGTCAAGCGTTGGAATAGCAGCAAGTACCCAGAGTAGCACTTGATCCGCTCCTTTGGATGAAAGACTTGTAGTTTGTCAGTAAAAATGAAGGATGCGAGGGACCATCGAACTTCAAGAAAAGGAGGGGCAACGAGGACTTGGGAGGTGAGGACAACGCACAGCCACGAGGCTATCAAACAGTAAGACCAATCATGGCCTCAAGAAAATATCTCGAAGACAGCAGAAAAATAACGCGAAACAAGCAGCTTACAAACAGATAATTTAGCAGCAATGCGAGAAATCCAGACTGATCGGGAAGAAATCTAGATTAGGCTTTAGTTTAGCTCTCTGGGAGATCGAGGTTTGCTGCCCTGATGGCTTGGCAATGAAGTCTGCTGAGGAATTCCCCCGTCATCAAAAAGAAACCTGAGGCATCTAGAGGCCGAATGGGATTGGCACTTACGCTGTTTGACATGTTTGCTCCGTTGCTCGTGCCGCTGAGGGGCTGGCCAAGCCCATTCTCAAATGCAGCCTAAGGCATAAACTTGACTAAAATGGCTTACCCAAATTTGTTTGATGTGTTTGCATGTCTACGTCAACTGTTACGGCGCTAGCCTCTGTTCGTTAAAGAGCAACGACAGCCAATCATTCATGGACCAATCGGGCGTGAGACAATACGATACCTCAGGAAGCTACGGCAGAAACCAACCGCCCGTAAGCCCGTCAGGTCACGTGACAGTAGCCAGCCAAGAGAAGCAGGTAGCCTGGCTATGGGAACAGTAGCTCGTCTACTGAAGCAGTAGCTTAGCTACCGGACAGTAGCTACAGCTACCGTGGCTACCAGTGACCGCCAGGAGGATATAAGGACGCTCGTTCTCGCACATGTACTTAGTTACTTCTTAGTTCTTCGCGTTCAATATCAGTTGTCATTGCAGAGTATACCTTTGCTAGACTCCACTCGTCCGAACTACTCTACAGCTACTACATGCGTGTAGTAGGTGGCCGTACTTTAACTACAAGCCTATTGGTAAACCACTGCTTGTCACGATACCGTTGCAGAAGAATTCAAACAAGACTTAGTCATCTGTGCACTCGTCACGTCTTCCACCTGCCAAGCCTTGCGCTTACCACGTACATACTGAGTACTAGGGAAGTAATCCAGTTACCGCAATCCGAATTACGTTTCTAGCTCCGGGGCTCGTACGAGATCCTACGGCTAGTGACTATCTTACGGGAACAGCAGATAGCCACGTGACATCAACTTGACCCGCGACATCACTTCGACAAGCGTCCCATGGATATATCCATCTCGAAATGGCACGGCATCTGGAGCCCTGGCAGCGTACAAAGATTGTTCATATGATTCGTAGCGGAAGATTCACTTCATCCTAGATAGCAGAAAGCGCGGAATATGATAGGCGAACTGTCTCGACAATCCGCAAAAACCTGCGATTGTTCGGTACTCCTGGGACTCCTTCTGTCCATATCGGCTGCCAACCAACCGTAACCCCTTATATAATTGATGTCCTTCTCGATCATCTGAATAAACACCCCGGGCTGTATCTTAAAGAGATGGTTAGTTATTTGTATTATTAATTTGGAGCTTGGGTCTCTAAATATAGCATTTAACATGCTCCCACACGCTGGGGATGGACAAAGAAGCAGATACAACGTAAAGCACAGGAATAGAACCCTCGTCTACGAGCTTTTTACTAACACAAATTATCTAAATTCCACTCTTATCAGCTGGTCTCTGTTGATGAGTCTGGATGTGATAAATGAGTGGGATATAGGCGGACTAGCTGGGCCCTGCTTGGAGCTACCCCGGTCCAAGTATCAAAATTTTAGAGGGGCCAGCGCTATCATATACTGCCAGCATATGCCCAAGACGGCATTATTCTGTCTCGTATCTATAGTGGCTCAACCAATGCTGCCCTTTTCGAAGATTTCTTGGAACAACTTCTTCGGCATTATGGGAGGTTCCCAGCACCAAAATCTGTGCTTGTTATGGATAATGCTTCCTTTCATCACTCTCAGAGGGTTGAGCAGTTGTGCTCCAATGTAGGAGTTAAACTTCTGTACCTGTCACCCTACTCACCGGATTTCAACCCTATTGAGGATACTTTGCCGAGCTGAAAGGTTATATCAAAAAGTTTTGGCCATCATTCGAGCGGAACCCCAAACAAAACTTTCGTGCCTTCCTCCGGGAATGTGTTTACGATGTTGGCGCAAAACGAGAGAGTGCCGAAGGCCATTTCAGCCATGCGGGCATAGAGATCCAGGAGTATAATTAGATAGTGATTTAGGTCATTTGTTTGTTCGGTGATAGCTTAGTAATAAGGTTGCTTCAATGTATATAAACAGTTAAGAGTGTGAAACCCAGCAGATAATATACTTCATTCGACGCCACTATCAGCCAGCGATCCTGAGACTTCACTTCCTCTCAGAACTCCCTGAAGGACGGACCACTCAGGGATATCACGAATGAAACGGAGAGCTGTTCCCTCTTTTATACCCTTCTTGGTAAAGAAACCAGGATCCTGAGGGCCCATTATCAGCTCGAGGTCCATGAGATTTTCCAGCGTTACTTGGCAGGCCTTCCGGATGTCGGCTCTGTAGGCCTCCCGTAGCCCGTGACTCCAACCATCTGCAGTAATCCCTCACAGCTCCAGGCCCAGGGAGTACCAAATGGTTGAGAGTCGTGGGCTGCTGGGGTGGGGTTGCCACTCCCGTAGATTCACGTGCCCCCGGCTGTGATGGCAATACGTTTATATTAATCGGGTGGTACGGCATATCCATGCCCTGGGCCTTTTTAGAGGCTGTTCTTCCTTGGCTTTGTACGATTAGATCTTTCTGGATATCTTCTGGGACGTCATCATGGCCGTCCAATTTGCCACCATCCTCAACGTATTCACTTAATCTAGTTAGAAATCGGCCGGTAAGTTTGTAATGTCTCTGGTCACGGGGGTTCACCTAACACCAGTCCGAACCCAGGGGGCATGAGCTGACTCTACAACGCATCTGCGCATAAACATGGTCCCAGCATGAAGGCCTTCCTGTTCGCTCTTCTTATCAGCAATATATGCGTCGCATTCAGCAAGCTGCGTTCTAATCGTTGAAACACGGCCCCTTTTGTCACCCTTCCTAGATGCAGGAGTAGAAACGGCATCATCATCCGTTCTGTAGGTAAAGACAATATCAATTGTAAGTTTCTTGTCGATGCGAAGTAGATTGCTCTATTTACACAGCTGTTTCTCCATGGGTTTCCATTTGATGTTCTTCGTAGGCTCAAATTGTTCGAGATCACTCTAGTTTTTCTGATTAACAGATACCATGATCTCCCGTCTGAGTCCGAATCTTCTTTAACCATTGATTCATCTTCCACCATGGTTAATTTCAACCCTTTCGAGCTTCCCGAAGAGCTCGTGGCTCAAGTCACCCACCATCTCAGCGCGAACGAATTGGCGTCTTTTGTCAGGACTTGCAAAACCTCTCACCGAATCGGCTATGACTCGCTTTATTCGATGACCATTGCGGAGTTGCGAAGAGTGATAGACTGGGCGATGCTCAAGAACCAAGCACAGACGATGATCCATCTATTCCGATACAACTGGCGTATTGCTGCGAAGCACCCCAATCTCGCACACGGCCCTCTGCATTACGCCTGCAAAAAGGGCGAGGCCGCTCTCGTGCGCATTTTACTCGACTCAGGGCTGCTGCCGAGCATGTCAAACTCCAGACAGTCATTTCCGCCCTTGGAGACTGCCGCCATGTATGGCCATACTGAAGTTGTACGTATTCTCGTTGAGGCGCGTGCCACAGCTGGGACACACAACTTCAGCGAAAATTTCTCCATCATCTGTCGAGGTCAGCCGGATCGCCTTGAGATAGCGCGACTTCTCGTCTCCCATGGAATTAACGTCAACGAACTGGATGAGGGCGGAAACAACTTTATGCACCACGCTTGTAAGAGGACACCGAGCTCTGCTGGCACCACTTGCAACGTCAAACTACTTCTGGATCTCGGGTTGGACATTGATGGTCTGAATGGCAATCGGGAGACGCCACTCGCTCTAGCGTCTCGGTGCAGGTCCTCGGATGTTGTTCGGTTGTTAGTCACTCGTGGCGCTGATGTGAACGCTGTTGGCCCAGATGGGCAATCACCGCTACAAGCGCTTTTAAGTGAATCGGAAGATCCGTACGAAATTGCAAAGATCATTCTGAACGGTGGAGCCGTCATCACTGTTGATTCCGGTCTGCACTTGATACGACATGCTTTTCTCAACGATTGGCCGCGCACTATCGCTCACTTAGTTACTGCGTGGAGGGATCAAGTGTCGGATCTGCACTGTCCAGACCCAAATCTCGTGTTCTGTGCAACTGCAGGCGCCGGAGACGTCGTATTCCTGATGCAGTTGTTAGAGCGTGGGGATATGGATCCCAACTGCGAGGTTGAAGGGAAGACGGCTCTCGTTGCCGCTGCCGAATCAGTGCCGAATGGGGCTCTCTCATTCCTCATCCCACACGTGTCGAACTATGATAAATGAAGCAAGAACGGTCGCACTGCGCTCCACATTGCTATCATTCGCGGTGAAGAGCCTGCTGCTCGTCTGCTATTGCAACATACTAGATTCCTCAGCATTGCCGACGATTTTGGGCGAACTCCGCTCCTGGATGCCGTGGAACATCAGTCTTCTAGATTCGTCCGCGTACTCTTGGATCAACTCATGGCCCCCAGAGGGACTGTGATGGACATACTTGAAGTCGAGCCCGATATTCTCGAATCTAGAAAATGGCTTCTCAGTCCCTCCCATATGTTGCCCCCGGCAATGGAACTAGCCGTGGAGCTGGGCAGGATCGACCTACTCTGCTTTTGCTCGAATGCAAGAATTACCTCAAAGCAGAACGACGCAGCTCACGTCTTCTGGTCACTGCAATCGAATCACGCCACGAAGACGCTGCAATCGAGCTGATCAAATGGGGTCTGCCACTCTCGGGCACGGACCAAGGAGACTACACGCCTCTGATGCGCGCCGCCGAAGCCGGCCAAGCCCGTGTCGTGCGAGTTCTTATCGAACGAGGCGTAAATATAGAAACCAAGGCCTCGACCAAGGAAACAGCCATGAGCCTCGCGGTCACTCGCAACCGTCCCGAAGTCGTTCGATGTCTTGTGGCTGCCAAGGCAGATTCCCGTAATCGAGATCACCCGGATGGGTTTGAGCAGCGCGACATAATGCACAATCTGTTTACCCACGCCATCTTGAGCAATCACGGAGATGTCGTCCGTGCCCTCGCGCCGCTGTTTGACGTCAACGAGGCTAACCTGGGTGGCATGCGCACGCTATTGCATGTCGCGGCGAAGAAAGGTTATGTGAAAGTTGTCCGCAACTGCTGAGTATCGATAACGTGGACGTTTCGGTGAAGGACGAGTATGGACAGACAGCGGGGGACTATGCGATGCAGTCTTCTGTGAAATTCCCCAAGGAGCTACTCGATCGGTTGGGTGGTGCCCACGCCCCGAAAATCGTTCCGCGACTCGGGCGGCCATTTCAGAATAGAACATACTAGCATAGAGCAGCTTACCCTGAATACATGGTGATGTGTATGGATGTCTGTTTTGTTTTATGAAATAGATAAGCATTAGTATTCTCTAGATATAAAAAACGTACGTAGTCCCACACCAACGGGCCCAGGGCCGAAGCGGGAGCCGGAGCCCTGGAGGCGGGAAATTTTGCCTGCGCCATCTATCCAAGACGTCTGCGGCATTTCTGCATCACTTCTCGGCGTCCTCCTCGTAAACACAAAGCACCTCGGCCGGAAGGGCACAGGCACACTTGCCTCTCTATGCACAGGCGTCTTTCTATTCATCTTCACACGCGCAACAATAAACGCATCTGTCCTCGGCTTTACACCTGCAACAGGGGACTCCTATACACCGGAGCTATTTCCTGTTCCCGTACGCGGCACGGCAAATGGGTTAGTCGCTCTGGGTAATCGGCTATCCGGTCTCATGGCGCCGATTATTGCGGCGTATGTCGGGGTTGAGACAGATGTGCTGGTTTGGATTTCCGCGAGCTTGTTTGTTGTTGCGGGCCTGGGGTTTTTGGTTTTGCCGTATGAGACGAGAGGGAGGTCTGCTTCGTAGATTACTACTGGTGACCGGGCATGGCAGAAAAGGGGAAGTTTAATCACCTGCGCCCCTTCAACCTGAATTGTATTTTCGGCGATCTCATAGTCGGGCATTGTAGCCCGATCTGATGGCAGATTCGTGAAAGCTTAGTGACTATGGCAACAAATTATTAATACAAGGGCTATGCTATTGGATAAGTAGAAGGTGAAATCTTGAGATAATATCTCGTCTTTTTCTGCAACCAAATCCGCATGAGCTGCCGCAGATTGGGCCATTTATATACGGGCAGAGAGCCACGTGAAGAGAATCGGGCTCATTATGGTCGTGGGGACTACTGCCATTGACCTTGGGAGTGGCGAAGTAGCGGTATGTCCGTCCAACACTCCGCTGGGCTTTCATGGGTGATCTGCTGATTGCTGCTATTCGGAATTTCAAATGTGATAGAGCAGTGGACTACGCCTGCTCTCCCGTACCATACGCGTTTGCGACACGGCTCCTGATAGGTAGTTATATATCTATCTTGACCGGATATGTGCATCTACAGCGAGCATAAACATGAGTAAGCTACCCTTATAATGTACGCCCATGTCGACCAGCTGAAGACTGAGCGTGCCTCTGAAACGAATCTTGTTTCCCGGACACATGTTGAACTCAGAGAGAAAGAGGGAATATGGCGAAAAAGGAGGCAGCTGTGGCGCCGATCAGTAATCTTGAAATCCCATCTCCATACTCTGTACATCGACTTTGTTGGCGGACAATAGTCGATTAGTGAACCGACTCCTCTTGGTAGGGCTGTTTGATTAGCGAGACGCAGTACTTAGACTCGAAGAAATCATCGGTACGACTTCTGTGTATTTCTTTCTCTTTAGTCCCTACATATCCGACCGTTCTCCTTCAAAGACCCGCAAACAGAAAGGTGATCAGTCCGCTACCTCGACCATGGACTCCTACACACGCACATCTCTATCACCAACAATCTCGCTCTACACACTCAGGGCACCACCCACCAACCCCACAGAAACCACATCGTCATCCAAAACAGGCCCAGCAAAGGACCGCCCAACTCCGCCAACGCTAATCCTCCTCCTCGCGTGGATGGGCGCTACCCGCCGCCAAACAGAGTCTTATATACGGGGCTACATCGAGCTCTACCCGTCTACACAACCTACATTCCTCGTTATCTCCAGTGAAATTACCGACTTCGTCACGCTATCCCCTTCATCAACCACAGGTAACGCCCGCAAATTACGCCCCGCACTCGATATCCTCGCTGCACACGCGCCTGAGGATACACTCGTACACATCTTCTCGAACGGCGGCGTGCGGGTTTTCTCGAACCTTGCGAGCGCCTACATATCAGCACCTCCTACTAGCGCAAGTTTCCCATCAGGAGAAACTCCGAGGGCACTCTTTCCCCGCCTCGCAATTGACTCCGCCCCGGGCCGCCTCACATACACCGAAACATCCCGCGCCGTCTCATCCGCGCTTCCACCCTCGCCGTTAGTCAAGTACCCCGCATACGCCTTCCTCTCACTTATTCTCGCCGTGTACCTCGGCCTCAAGACTGTACTCGGCTGGGACGATCCGCTGGAAGTCGGTGCGCGGAGTCTGAATGATCCGGAGATTGTGGGTGTGCATGGGCGGCGTTGTTATTTTTATTCGAATGTGGATGGGGTTGTCAAAGCGGAGTTTGTTGAGGGGCATGCGGGTGAGGCACGGAGGAGGGGACTGGGGACGGTTGAGATGGAGGTTTTTGATGGGTCTGGTCGAAAGGGCGAAGAGAGGGGTGGCCATGTGAGGCATGTTAGGGTTGATGCGGGGAGGTATTGGGGCGCTGTTGCGAGGTTGTAGGATGATTTGATGAAGTCAGTTAATTCTGACGAATACTCCAGTATACAATCCGGTGGTTGGACTGTAATGAGAAGATACTGGAATACAGGGTACAGAGGTTTATATCGCGTCAAGACGTTTGCGTCCAGCTGCAGGTCTGAGTCATGATAAACGTTCACCATTCCCTCACAATCACCGTCTTGAGGGAAACAGGGAGAAGCAACGTGAGGTGTAAAGACTGTATTGCAGGTTTATGCGTCAAATAAGCATAGCAAAGCACGGAGCGAAATAGGCCAAGGCGAATCGGCCCACAACTTCTGCAAAGCAAAGAACATTCCCTGCTTCGGGTATCTGAAGCGGATAACCAGAGAGTATAACTCCATGTAGCCCTTTCTAGTGAGCATGATAAATTGGCATATTCTCGGGGCTATTACTCGTTTCGTGGGGGAGTAGTACAGGAAACTAAACGGTATATGGCTTACAGAGGGTCTTCGTGCGCGTGGAACCAAAGCGGAAGCTTCGCGGGGTGACGATCGATATGGTGGATAGATGGGTAACCCCGCGTGTAGGATGAGCCGGCTTTGAGTTCCAGCCTGTGCAGGAGAGGAAAATAAGCTTCTTCTGCGGACAACCTGCGGGTGGTGGCCCGTTGTTTCCGTCGATACGGCGCTGCCAGCATGATGACGACCAGCTTCAGCCACGAGAGCTCGAAGTCTGTGTAGATGGGTCTGCACCTAGTCGACTGGGCCGACGCCGTCGTTGGCGAGAGTTGAGGGCCTAGTACTCCGATGAATACAAGGGAAAAAGCGTCTGCAAGGATACCGATACATTCCTGTACACGACTAGAGCTGCTGCCCGTGTACTGTCGTGAGGCTCGTATATATACAGTCGGATTGCCACGTATCCATAAGCCTTACATCGTGGCGATGAACTAGTAAAGAAACACAGAAGCATAGTCCCACCCCTGAGGGCACTCTTGGCTTCAAGCCCAGATCATGAGGAGTATGATGCCATGCCCCGTCTGACTATTTTTCGGCAAATGCCGTCAAGATGCACATACAGTATGTCAGGGGGCGAGAGTGATACAAAAAAAAAAAGAAAGAACGGCGCGAGCCACGGATCGAACGCGGGACCTCTCGCATATATGCTAAGGATGAACCTGGAGTTGTGGTTAGAGACAGGCCTTTCTAATCTACCTGAAAGGGCACCTTTCTAGCATGTACCTAGGTAGGTTAAGAGAGAGACAACAGGTGTTAGTGATAAATAGAATTAGAGCACTGATTCTTTCATGATGTTGCTGCGGTGGACCAAGACACTCAACGACTTGCTACCATTCAACACGCGCATGTAGGTTAAGGACAGGCCAAGGGTGCACTTCCTTTATTCAGTGTACTTGGCCTGCACTTTGCGAAGGAAGACCCGACGTCAAGACTATTCATTGGGTAGAGCTTGTGAGCCGCGATAGGCAGGTTATTTTCGGGGGAAAGTGGGGAGGCCCATGCTTCGACGGCCAATCTTCATCGTATAACTGGTTTGTTCAAGCTTCAAGCACTTGGAGTGTCTGTTGTCTTTAGGGTCAAGCTCACCCGACTCGTCTCGCACAGCAGCAGACGCATTGGTTGTATGATGAGCGAAGTATTGCTTCCTTCTGGAAGTTTCCCGTTGGCCAAACCCTGTGCTTATTCGCATAGATAATGGAACATTCCTGAACGTTACTAATCGCAATATTCGCCTGACTGTGCAGGAGATGAGGTAGCAGTAGTAGTTTCAGGCTCTGCACTGGTGGCAGGGTTACAGCCAGAACCGAACAGACGTCTGGTCACTCTACTGGAAATTCCACGACGCAATCTAATTTTAAGCATGGCCAATAATAATGGGCAGCCAAAGTGCTCCTTTAGTGCCCTTGTGGCGGCGAGATTCCGGCATCAGGGCAGTTGGAGATATGCGAGTCGCGAGTGGGGCTGCTGGGGTCTAGCCCCGCCTGCGAGATTTAAGCTAGACAAGCCCAGTGCCACTAGAACCTTTGCGGAAATGCTGCTTCCTGATGAGGTTTAGTCGCACCATCGGCTCCCTGCAGCGAGAAGCACGGAATCATGAGTCCGAGGCAGCTCTATGGTCCTTCGGTTGTCTTCCATCCGATGTTTTCAACGAGTTGAGATATGGTGGAAGTCCACGAGCTCCGCGCTATAGCGACAAGAAGACCCGGCCGCTCCGACGATACGTGATATTAGTATGTCCTTTGTTGGGCCCAGTGAGAGATTAACCGAGCAGGTTGAGACGTCGCGCTATCATGTCGGAATCAACGTTTGGGTTTATGTCTCAGGTATTTTTCGTGGATGGACTCTCTGGCCAGAAACCGAAGAGGCCGCGTGTTCTATTCCAGACAACGCCCCGCTCACACGCAGCGCGTGTGGCGCATGAAAAGCGCAAGGCAGTCAAGGCACCTAAACACGTGCAACTTGAACCCAAAACGGAGGAGCCAAAGCGTGGAGAGTTTCAGGGAGCGGTTATACGTTACAATGCTAAGCTGGCGGATATCCCGACATCGATAAAAATATGTACGTGCAATCAATGATAGCTCTGAGTCTATGCTGATCAACACCGGCAGACTGGAATGTGGTTGTTCCCGGCGTGAAGCCACTGTTTACTCTCTTCAATACGCGCTGCGTCACAAACGAAGAGTGGCTGCCGTACATGGCACAGGATGTATTCTTCCACGCCGGCGCAGCAGCCATGCATGCGGCGCACGATCAACTCATCAACCCCGAGTTCCGCACTCGACCATCTCAAATCATCTACGAGCATCGCGGCAAAGCAATGGCTGCATTACGCACTCATCTGGCGCGCGGAGGGGAGATGAACGATGCTGTGCTGATCACAGTGTGCTTCCTTGCCCTGCTGGAGCGCCGCTTCGACGAAATCGAGGCGCATAATACGCACAAGCGGATTCTCGGGGTACTCGTGGCTGCCCGCGGCGGGCTCGATGCGCTCTCTCCGTATATAAAGAGCGTCCTGATGCAGTATGAGTTTCCCTGGGCGATGGAGACGGGGGCCTCGGTGCTTCCCAGGACGCAGCGGCGGCAACCACTGTATCCATCTGTTCATTCGACTGAACTTTTGATCAAGCACATACGCAGATTACCCGATGGATTCGCGATCCTTGCTCTGCAAGGAAAGCTTTCGACGCATTTTCTGAGTATCCTAGAGCGCTTCATCCAATTCGAATCTGGAGAACTTGGGCTAGACGGTAGCCCATCACAATCCGGCTATATGTTCGACGACTTCTGGGACACGTTTCCGCCGCTTTCGCTGCGTGATACAGAGGAGCCATCGTTGGACAATCTGCTGTTTCTCTGTTTGCTAGTGTATGCGGGAGTCCGGTACAGTGCTATTCCTCCGGTGAATAATATATCTGTATGTATGCGGGCATCTCTTAAGGCGAAGCTCCTTCAATGCCACCAGATAAGGGAGCCAGAAGTAGAAGAGTGTTTGTATTGGATATGGACGGTTGCAGTTACGGCTTGGCGGCAGATGGACGGAACACTGGATAAGCCGGGTATGGAGCTTCTGCTGCGGCAGCGTATTCGATTTCGGTATCTTGGTAGTCAGAACGAGCATGAAACGGTTCTGAAAAGGTTCTTTTGGGATGATCGTTGTCAGAAGACTTGTCGGGAACTGTTTGAGATAGCTGCCAAGGGCCAAGCCTCATCAGACGTATAATGTATAGCTCATTCCTTCCATGTCCTTCCTTAGCCCCAATACCACGAGGATAGAATCAGCATTTGTGTATACTTCATGCTTGACTGGGTGCACCTCACAGTTCCTCATCGTTTAAGCAAGTCACTTTGGTGCTAGAGTGGTACATGACTCGCTGTCCGACTGATATACATCTATCTGCAGACAATATATACGATTACTCACCACAAAGTATATAATAGCATGGCGTCGTATAGAGCTTTAAGTAACCACTCCCTGCAGATCTTGGAACATTGGCGCACGTCATCTCTCCATCTCTGCTCTCATGTATCACGACGCCACGTTCCAACGGTAGATCGGCTGTTCTCCCCGATCTGGAAGAGTGTGTCAAGAAAATAAGGATACCTCTCTGAGTATTGACGAGGAACAAAGTCTGCTAATCCTCACAGGAAGCAATCAAATCTTCCCGAGTCTTCGTCTATCCCAATTCGTTGAGCCGTGCCCCTCAATTGTAGAAGACCTTGCGGCCGAGCTGCCTCCTCGTTCACAAGAGAGAGCTCAATAGCTCTTGTAGAAAGCTTAGGCTCGTACACACTTTGCTTGTCAGATCTACCCAATCCCCCGGATCCGAGGCTGCGTCCGCGTGGTATACTTTGGCTCGGACATGTAGATCCGGCCGACTCGGCGGCGGTGGACTGGCAGGTGACAGCTCTCATGGAACGATCTAGGGCATCATCTCGCAACCATGCCTTACCTCGCTCCCGCCGTTCAATCAGAAGCTGCCATTCACGTTCCGGAAAAGGAAATCGGCAGCATTCTTCCTATTCATCGAGCTCGCAACCCCCTATCGGCCCATCCCGCCATTCGTCGGCCGATCGAAATCCAGCCTTGCCGTGGGACCGCGTGGACACCCATCTCGGAGTCAAGCATCGCCGCGAGGACTTAGCCATGGATGAGCCCTGGAGGCCCTGACACCTGCAGCATGGCAAGCAAATTGTGGATCCTCAAACACGCCAACGCCATCCCCAATCGAGGCGAATAACTTCCAGAAAGGGGATAGCGCACCCAAGTGTCAGGACGCCAAGCAATTAGACTTCTGAGTAATGCTGACTGGCAGTCGCGATTCTCAGCCCAGACTCCTCTTGCAGGCTTTAGCCTTTTTTTCCCAGAGATTCAGCCCCTGGTTTCCCTTGAGCGTGCCTCGTCGCACTAGTTGCTCGATCATTACCCAACGCAGCAGTTGCGTCGCTGGTTCGGGCAAGGCTCGTCCTCCGCTGCTGACTCCACACCCGTTAGGGCTTTGAGTGGCGGTCGGTCGATTCCTGGTACGCCTTACGCTAGGCCACGTTGAGAAGTCGTCGGGACTCTTTGGGTTTAGCGGATTGAGCAGTTGTGATGCGGTTCCTGTGGAGATGCAGCCGTTGTTCGTGCGATCTTGAAGATTGACTGCGACTGCTCCAGGTTGAGGTTATTTCGTTGGCGGGTAGAGCTCGTATGGGGTGTTTGGAGGTCGTGGGTGCCACTCGTTGGGGTCCGAATAGGGACTGCTTTTGCCACTATATATCCATCCATTCCCCTCGACTCTTTGGATGGATCATTGAAAACCAACACCACAGTTCCACATCGTCACTTGAGACTTTCTCCGCAACATACACTCAGAGAACCATCAACATGGTATCATCAACTCGCTCAAGCCAGGCATTATCGTCACCACTAGACCCCAGCCTATTCACAGACTACATGTCCCTCGTGAACGGATCTTTCGAAACACTCGACGTCACAAGCCCCCAGTCCACAGACGCAGACGAGGATAACCTCACACCCAGCCAAACACCATCCCCCAACTCCACAAAACAGGGCTCAAAGCGCGAGCCCCGGAAGCGCGGGCGACCGAAGATGCTCGATGAGGATGGCGGCGAGGTGGCGAGCAAGGAGGTGAGTCGGCGATCAAGAGCTGTTTGAGATAACGAACAATGATACTAACCCAACCCAGCGCCGAAAAGTCCAAGTCCGCCAAGCACAACGCGCATACCGCTCACGCAAAGAAGAACAAATGGCCATCCTCTCGCGCAAAGTGTCCGAGCTCGAGCAGAAACTCCTCATCGTCCGTGGGCTGTATCTCAGCACACATGCCGCGGTGATGAGCACAGGGTTACTAGTCGACTACAGCGCGAACCCCAGCCTCAAGCTTCTGCAGGATAATCTACAACTCCTCCTCGCAAACACAGACGTCCAGGTCCCGCCGCCGACGACGACGCCCATGTCCATGCCCTTTGGTAATCCGCATACCGACTCGTTGCAATTTACGCCGGGGGTTGAGCCGTATCCGATGCTTATGGGGGATATGTTGCTCGGCCAGGAGATGGCGCCGGTTATCATGCCTGATAAGGGGTATGATATAATGTTCTGAACGCGGCTTGCGAGATGAGGGGCGTCCAAACCACAGTCGGCGGGAGTTGGGGCAGCGAGCGCTTGAGTAGATATTAGCAATTGCATAATCTCGGCGTCTATTTGTCGTTTTGTTTTTGCGCTGGGTAGGAAAGAAGGGGCTTCATGTGACTAAGTATAGCACATTGATAGACTTAATGTAAATAATGAATATATACCTATTGACTTCTAAAGCCTGTTCAACTGAGACAAGAAAAAGGAGTGTGATATGGCGCAAGACCCACCACAGCTGCACTAGTCCATAGCGAGATATCAACTCTGAAGTCTCGGAGATGATCAGATTGCGAAGCTGAAACAGGACGCCTAACGTCCGCGGAAATAACACCACGCCGAACAAGCCCGAGATCCTTTCAGATTCCAGAGACTGAAACCTGAGCTGGGAAACCCGTGACGACGCGGTCGAATCTTCTTTGGGGAAAAGTCGGGATGGGCCGACCCGCCTTGGCCTTGCTCCTTGGATATAACGGCCCAAAGTTTGATGCACGTTGTGACATTGTCACGTTGTGATGGAATAATTGGGGCGCGGGCTCATAGTACCCCTTTGATAGCTGGGATCTAAATTTAGCTCCCAGTCGACGTCCATTCTCTTCTTGCCTTGATTCGTGGGCTCTTTCCGTTAATCTTAACGGTTGTTTTTCTGGCTAGACTCTCTCAATCACTTTGTCCACAGCACTCTGCACTTAGAGGCTACACGGATGTGCTTAAGACCTTGAAAATGTGCATTTTATGACTACGTGCAGTCCACGTTGATATGACGGCGAAGTCCAACCTCTACACTTACCCTCCCCTGTCTTCCGACGAGGTGTATGTGGCAGGGTCGCTACTCGGTTATGAAGTGCATACATAGCAAGAAGCACTATCGTCGGACCGCGAGCCGGACACAATTTGGTATGTATCAGTGATAATAACCTGCGATATCCACGTTGACAGCCCAAAGCCCATGAAGTAAGCCCTAACTGGGGCCATCCTACTCCTGGTTTGCCTGGACGTTGTGGGGGGCACGGGAGGATGAGGTCTGTGGAGAGGCGTCGTATGCAACGGGTTAGAGGACTGCAGTGGGACGTAAAAACCACAATAAAAAGGATCTCGCTGTTGAAGTCGTGGCTACTAACATTAAACAGACCGTATATGTGTAAGTGTTATGTTACCAGCTCCCAATCGCATTCTCTTTTATACCGAAATGATGCTCGGCCTGGAAACGGTAGCATGTTGCAGAACCCTTCTCGATAGTCAAACCTGTCTGGGTAGATACTTCTCATTATGCGTACTCGAGTATCCACAACCATAGGACGATTAGGCAACGAACTGCAATCCGATGTATGCATAATCCTCCCTCACCAGCAATCTACAACTTTGACCGCCCCTTCCTCGTAAAATGATACACGACATGCTCAAAATCCCCGGTCGGGAAAACATACAACCACTTCAACTCCTCTTGCTCACAATTCTCAACGGAATGCTCCATGTCCCCCGGAATGAACACCGCACTCCCCTTTTCGACATCGTATCGTACCCCGTTAATAGTAACGACCCCCCGCCCTCCAAGGATGTAGTAGATTTCGGTCTGGGCATGATGATGACTGCAGAGGTAGCCGGAGTATCCTGGACATACGGCGATTCCGGCGGATAGATCGGTCGTTGGGGTCTTTGGTTGGCTGAAGAGTGTGCGCCATGCTACTTTGCCTCGGGCGGGGTCTGAGAATGATTCGATTGGGAGGGTGTGGACTTTGTTCGCGGAGAGGACGACTGGCTTGGGGATCATAGGTCTGGGAGTGGGGTTGGACATTGTCTGGAATGTGTAGGCGGTTGTCGAATGCCGGCCAAGGGGCTTCGAACGGGGCACTTCCTTATGGTCTATCAGGTTCCTTGTGCGTATATTGAGCAAGCTGGTCTGCGCGAGTTCCCTACTCTGATCGAACAGGGGCCGAATCTGGATAAAGTTTTATAGATATCGGGAGATGGATGTATGTATGTACTCCGTATATCAAGTTGACGTCATGAAGCAGCCGAATTAATTATTAGTGATCGGATCTCCAAATCTTGGCGTTTTACGAGTGGTAGAAACGACGCTGGATTCTGGAGTCTGCTTCCACCATGAAGTTCACTAAATCTGGAATCGCCAATTGTGCCTCAATTTGGCAGTTATACTAATAGATCCAGACTCAACTTTGAGGCCGACGGCCTATCCGGATGCATGGTTTTGGACACCAGCATGCATCATATGCCCCAATGCGGGTTATATTTGCGAAGCCGTACATCTCCGCGGAATATTTTACTAGAGAAGGACAACTGCATATCGCATACCTTGGGGATAACAGTAGGACGTTTGGGCTCTAGGCTAGGGTCACTCCAGATTGCGACCAAATGGAGTTTATTTACCCTGGACGATGCGCCGGCCTGCAATTAACCTCATAGATGATTCAATACTATTCCCGTAGTCATGCATGCTCTGCGGCTAAGACGTGCTCTCAAGGCGGGTAAACCCTATTATCTTGTTCATCGCGCTGTAGCTCCGTGAGTGTCTGCGAGAGCTCATCTCCAAGTCCCGAGTAGACAATGAAAACTCTGTAGTTTCCCATATCAAGGACGAAGACTCCGCCCCACCTCGCCCACCATCATGACAGAGCGCAACGAAATCCTGCAAGCACACAAAGCGGAGATAGAAAATAAGCTAGGGTCTTGTGAGGATGCTCCTCCGCAGCCATACAAAGGGCCCCGATGGCCTGCGCCACCTCGTCCTCGATATCTCGGTGGCACGCTGATCATCGCCCAACTGCCCGGAGTCAACGCCACACCCTAGTACCTTCCCACCGTCGTCAGCCAGTCCATCAGGCTAGGCAAGAAGACCGCCCGTCTTCCGAGGGCCGTCAACTTAATCCGCTACGTCTCCTTATCGTACCTTGGGATGAGGCTCATCGACAATGGGGGCCGACGCGCAATGCTGATCGGGACGTCAGGCAGCTGCGTCTGCTAATTTTCTGCTTATGCTTCTGATCCAATTCAACCAGTATACGGATGACGACGCCTGATTGTACAGCTATACATGGCCTCTGTCGCGATAATATCCCTCTTCAACATGCTCTTTGGCGTGGCTGTACAACACCGACATCAACTCCCTACACATGCAAGTGACAGGAGCTTCCGCAAGCGTCGTCCCACAATGGGCGATCAACCTCCTGGTCGTGCATGTCACACTGATTGAGCTCCAGACCGGACAGTGGCGTTTCCATCTCATCTGGGTGTTTCAAGGTATTCTCAATCCCGATCATCTACTTCCTATATTCCAAGACGGCGAATAGGAAGGTAGAGGATACGAAATTCGTCTTTAATGAGGGACTATGGTCTTTGGCTCTCTGGGGCAAGGAGGCGACACAGGTGAAGAGTCCGGCTAGATTCGTTGCAGTGAATGTCCAGGGGGTTGGGGACGCGAGGATTGCGGTAAATCCGAATTTGGGGTCTCAGGGTGAGCAAATCGAGTAGTTGATTCTACAAAAAGTTGCCATTGGAAACAGAGTGTGTAAATAAGACTAGTTAATTCTGTATGAGTTTTCTTCTGAGCAGGTGGGTTTAAGTAGTTAGATAGGGCAACGTGGATTCGATGTATACTTAATGGGCTCGATTATATCTCCTCCCACAAGGTCATCGAGCCAGACAGAATACAAGAAAGCTACACTTGCGGTAACACTTTCTTAAAAAATAGTTGAATAGAAACACAGTCGATTTTTGACTCTTGGAATTGCCGCGCAAGTACCAAAGTTGCAAGCAGCCGGCGAGATCTCCAAACTCACTAATCCAATACTACTCGAGTCAGCATTCTCGAGTATTCGAGTCTCTCCAGCTGGACATGCTACTTTAGTAATCCAGACTTTCTATCCGACTAATCACTATTTCTCGGCGGGTTCTTCTACAATATGAATGCAAGCAATCCATAATTACACCACCAACACCCCTGTCCAACCCTCGAACCAGAAGTGCCACAACATATCTTGCAGGAGTATTTACTGGAAATGGCAGCCCCAATGCAACAACTCGCCGCAGCATGCCTGCCCGCCTACGTTTGCCCCCCGGGAACGAAAATGCACCTACTGAATCTCGGCACCATGAACGTCGATGAAGGGTGGTATGTCTACGTCACGGTCTACAGGCTTTCTCGAATATTAGGAGGGATAGTGCTAATCAAGCAATATTTAGGCTCCTCGTCGGCGCAAATGGCGGCACAGCGAGTAACCCCAACCCGACGAACAAGCGCCGCGACCTTATGCTCATTGCGGGATTGATCGAGCATCCTGAGATGGGACTTATTCTTTTCGAGACGGGGAGTGCCGAGGATGTTGATCGGGTGCGGTTACAACCCATTCAATCCCCTTCAAATCACCCCTCCTTCCGCAGCAAATACTAACACATGATACAGCAATGGGGCCCAGTCTCAACAGACCTCTTCCCCCGAACCCGGTACGAAGAATTCCACCACCTCCCTGCAGCGATCAAGCGCGCGGGATACGACATCAAGGACGTCAAAGCGGTTATCATGGGCCATTTGCATCTGGATCATGCGGGTGGCCTCGAACATTTCCGCGATTCGGGCGTGCCGATATATGTGCATGAGGAGGAGTTTAAGCATGCGTGTTGGGCGGCGGCGACGGGGGCCGATGGGGCGGTATATTTGTGGGTCGACTCCTCCAAGTCAAACACTCTCTGGACGCAATGAGTAGATGCTGATGAAAGTTGCACAGAGCCGACTACCTCTCCCTCGACCACCTAAACTGGATCACATTCTCCGAATCGCAATACGACCTCTGCACAGGAATAACCCTGTACCACTGTCCAGGCCACACACCCGGCCTCTGCATCATGCAAGTGAACCTAAAAGATGACGGGACATTCATCTGGACGACGGACCAGTTCCATGTGAAAGAGAACTACGAGCAGAACCAGGCGCAGGGGTGGCTGCTGCGCGACCACAAGGCGTGGCATGAGAGTGGGAAGTTTATCAAGCGGTTGCAGAGGCTTTTTAGTGCGAAGCTGATTTTTGGGCATGATTATGAGACGGCGGATTCGTTTATGCAGGCGAAGACGGTTTACCAGTGATAGCTTCGGTGGTTTTCGCAGGCGGGAGTCATTGGAGGGATTGTAGGTGGTTGGGTTAGTTTTATGTATTATGAGTTGTGAAGTCACTCTGAATATTACTCCATCCTATCACGTATATTAAGTTGCTCGGATTCAAGTCGCGATGTTATCTTAGGAGTTGTAGGCTTTCACCGCGAGGCTATCCATTCCCTTCCCGACTATCGCAATCGAGCCCTAACGACCTCCCCGCACGCGCAATCCATATTTTCTCCATATGACATCAGTAAGCTCTGATTACTCACTTACTCGAAGCTAAATATACCCCGTAATAAACTTTTCGAGCGGCTCGGCATTCAAAATTAGTCGAGCGACCCAATCGGAGTCCGGGCTGGTTGCCCTGATTAGTGATCTCCTGCTTAGCAATGCATCAACTACCACGAAAGCCGATCTATATAGAGTTTGTGATTGTTCTTGATTAATCACTGGCACGGTAGCTTTCCGGAAGGTTCGGTATCTTGGAGGGGGGGGGAAGGTATATAAACCACGTCGTGCGGTCGTCTGTTGGGGTCTGTATCGCAGCTCATCTTCCATTACTCTTCACATCATCAGAATCGCAAGTTTCCCGCGCGTCACTCAATAGACTCAAAATGTCTTCAGGATACAAGAACATCATCCTCATCGGAGTCCGTCACCCTCATCTCACACAGTCATGGAGAAATATAAACTAACCCTTCACAGGGCGGCGGTTCCCTCGGCAGCGTCCTGCTGAAAGCCCTCCTCTCCGAACCCTCCTTCAACGTCACCGTCCTCGCCCGCGAATCCTCCAAAGCCCTCAACAGCATCCCATCAACCGCAAATGTGATCAAAATCGCCGACAGCTACCCCCTCGACGACCTCGTCTCGGCCTTCAAGGGGCAAGACGCCATCGTCAACGCCATCACTAGCTTCTCCGTCGCTGAGCAGCTCAAGTTCATCGATGCGGCTATTACAGCCGGCGTCAAGAGGTATCTCCCATCGGAGTATGGGCTTGATAACAATACCCCTGCTGCGAGGGATCTCTCCGTTGTCTTCCGCGACAAGGGGCTTGTGCAGGATTATCTCCGTGAGAAGGAGGGGACTGGGTTGACTTGGACGACTATTGCCTGTGGGATGTGGATTGGATGGTACGGCCACTTTCTCTTGACCTCATGTGACGACGGATACTGACAATCCGGCCAGGTCCCTCCGCAACAACTTCCTCGGCCTCGACTACAAGAACCGCACCATCACCCTAACCAACGACGGCAAGGGCCCCTTCTCCACAACAACCCTCGCCAACACCGCACTGGCCCTAAACCGCATCCTCCTGTCCCCCGCAGGCAGCGCAAACCAGATCGTCTTCCTGAGCGACTTTGCGACAACGCAGGAAGAACTCGTGCAGACGATCGAGCGGCTCACCGGCGAAAAGTGGACGCGCAAATCGATAAATACCGCGGAGGCCATCCCTGCGCTAAAGGAGGCGTTTAACAATGGCGAGACGTTTGCGGGGTATGGGTTGATTAATATTGGGTTTACGGAGGGGTCTTTCAGTGGGCATTTTGAGCCGGCGAAGAAGTTGAGGAATGCGGAGTTGGGGTTGCCCAAGAAGGAGCTTGAGGAGGTTGTTAGGGAGGCGTTGGGTGAGGTCGGGCATCCGGGTTTCTAGTTGCGATCATATGAGAGAATAGACGGGTGGTTCTATAGAGTTATCTGATGGTTTGGATTTTCTCAAAAGCGTCGAGATCTTCCATTGCCAGAGCTGGATTGTTTGGATCACGGCAAACATCAGAGCAAATATCGTCCTGCGCCCCTGATTCGGAACCTTTATATCTTTTCTTATTTCGCAAAAAAGCTTCCCTCCTATGCATATTTTTAGCCGAAGTAAGGGGTTCAATGGAATCTCAAACGCAGAGTGGATATCCACGTGGAAAGGACCCCTTGTGACAGCAAGTGCGTTTATTGAATATGACCATGGTTTGGACGTGGACTTTAGTAATAACTCATTGTCTATACCTCTATACCTCTATATTGTGTTCTTCATAAGCCTGAGATGCAAACATGTTTTCGCACCATACCACAACCTAAGATATATATCTTGGAGGGTACTGTACAGAAGGTCTTGAAGGAATGGAAGAAGAAATCACTTTAAATGGACGGGCTTCGTATCAAGATACATGCAGTAACAGGTAGCCCAACGAGGGATCATATAAGAATATACATCAGCTTCCGACTGTACCTGAAATCGCAGTCGGACATTGTTGCCGGTCGCAAACGATCCGAGGCAGCACGTTCCGAGCTCGGCTCCACCTTGGGGCGTTCTCTTTGCGCGACTGTCGGAGACCGACACTCTTCCACCTCTGAACAGGTCGTCGATGATGCTTTCTGTCATCTGTCTCGTGCGAGACGATCGCGGTGTGCTGGATTGCAGAATGTGAGGTCATCACGCGTCACACGAGGACAGTCCATCAAGGATGATGCCAGACAGCATTTGTAGCGAGCATGTTTGCGTATTTTCTTTCCAACGCGACCGAAAGCCGTTCATTCAGGCAGAGCAATATCGGACTTAATTACTCGGTTTTGTATTGTGGGGTCGATCTCCGAGAACCTTAACGAATTCTTTCATGTCCATGCATCATCATTGGCCACCGCGGAATTGGGCGCGATCAGATGCCAACGACGACAACGAAACATAAGCACGCAGAAGCAAAACTGATCGGGAGCAGGATTCCGCGGCACTCGATTGATAAGCCCGATCTGGTCTGGCTGGCTTGGCTTATACATAAGGATCAGATGGAGACGTCATTATCTTATCACGCAAGGTGGATCCCTCTGGCAAAATATTTTCTCCCCAATTCTCCAGCGAATTTTTGTCCAGTTCACTCAGGGGTCATTGACGCAGTCGCTGCCATCGTCGCAGTCGGTTTGCAGTCGCCATGGAGGACGAACAGCAGAAGAATGAGCTGCAGCAGGTCAAGACGAACCAGTCCATCGCCGACACCTTTTCGCTTCCCCGCGAAGTCGCGTTCGTCATCATAGTATGCATGTCGCAGTTCATCACGCAGGCCAATGTCGGTATCTGCCTCTCGCCCCTTGACATTATCGGCGACCACTTTGGCCTCAGCAATCCCGGCCAACTCGCCTGGTTCCTCGCCGGTTACTCGCTCACGGTCGGCACGTTCATCCTCGTCTTTGGCCGCTGCGGCGATTTGTTCGGGTACCACCGCATGTTCATCATCGGCTTCCTCTGGCTCGCGCTGTGGTCGCTTGTCGCGGGACTGAGCGTCTACTCGAATTACATCCTCTTCATCTTCGCGCGCGTTCTGCAGGGCCTCGGACCGGCCATGCTCCTCCCCAACGGCCTCGCGATCCTCGGCGCAACCTACGCCCCGGGCAAAAAGAAGGACATGATCTTCGCCCTCTTCGGCGCAACAGCCCCCAACGGCGCAATCATCGGTGGCGTCTTCGCCGCCCTCTTCTCCCAGCTCGCCTGGTGGCCCTGGACATACTGGTCCATGGCGATTGTCTCGGTCGTCTGCGCCGCAATCGCCCACCTCGTCATCGTCCCCATCCGCCACCAGAAACCCGCCGATAACCTCTACACCTCGCTCGACATCCCCGGCGCATTCACCGGAATAACAGGCCTCGTCCTCGTCAATATCGCCTGGAACCAGGCGCCGACGGTATCCTGGGCCGAGCCCTACGTGATCGTCCTCCTCATCCTCGGAACCCTCTTCCTCGCCGCCTTCTTCATCGTCGAGTTCCGCTTCGCAAAACACCCGCTCATCCCCTTCCACGCCTTCTCCGCAGACGTCTCCTTTGTCCTCGCCTGCGTCGCGACCGGATGGGGCTGTTTCGGAACATGGATCTTCTACTCCTGGCGCTTCCTCCTCGACATCCGCGGCGCGACGCCCCTCCTTGCTTCGGCCATGTTCATCCCCCCTGGAATCTCCGGCCTCATCGCTGCATTCGCAACGGGCTACCTCATGTCGCGTATCCGGCCCGCGTGGATAATGTGCATGTCCCTGAGCGCATTCACCCTCGGCACAGTCCTCATCAGCATCGCCCCTGTGCACCAAACATACTGGGCCCTCACCTTCGTCTCGCTAGTCATAATCCCATGGGGCATGGATATGTCGTTCCCCGCGGCGACGTTGATGCTCTCGAACGCCGTGAAGAGGGAACACCAGGGGTTGGCAGCGAGTCTGGTCACGACGGTCGTGAATTACAGTATTTCTTTGAGTTTGGGGTTTGCGGGGACGATTGAGAGTCAGATTACGCATGGAGAGAATAAGCAGGAGAGGCTGAGGGGGTATAGGAGTTGTTTATATTTTGCGATTGGGCTTGGTGGACTGGGTTTGGGGATTAGTGCGCTCTATACGCTGAGGAGTTATACGTGGGGGAGGGAGAAGAATGCAGAAGAGGAGGAGGAGGAGGAGGGGTAGAGATAAAATAGATTATAATGTCTATAGATATAATACTCGATTGCAAGACAATCTAGATAATGCTTATGTTATTTCATTGGCCTTTCCTCTCTTTTGGGTTCTAGTTCTGGCTTCATTAGCGCACGTTGAGGCTACACCGATACTGTTGGTATCTCCGATCGAGGATCGCTGGATTAGATCGCGCGAGTGCTTTCCATTCAGTTATCGCTACAAGAGCGCGGCAACCTCGTTAATTGAAAATTGATCAGCGGTTTGGCAGACTCGTCCCGATCTCTGCGTGGTAGAACGGATCCCTGTCTATACCCAGTGACAAAGAGCTCAAGACAGCCGACGAAGAAATGGGTGCATTGATTGCAATATTTGACTACTTGGTAGCTATCGTACACACTCAACTTCATTCAAGATCCCGCAACAAGAACCCTCCAAACTGCTGCTCAATTCGATCCGCCGCCCTTCAGGGCGTGATAGAGGTCTGCGTAGCTGTAGGATATAGGAAGAAGAGAAACCTCGAACGCTCTCCTCCCATCACTCGGAACGGCATGCACATTTGGCACCGCACCGAGACCACTTTGTCCATGTTAGTACATATATTATCATCGCCACCGACCACCCCCGGATCCCGTCCCCCGATAGCGCCCAGCCCCTGCTCCTCAAGCCAGTCATAGACAACACCCCATCGATTTCCCGCACCGACACGCGGGATCTTCCTATCATTCTCCCGAGTAACTATGTAAGGGAAGGTACAATTAGTAGAACGGAACATCTGCAGCGCACCACGAGATGTGAATAGGCAAAAACAATCGCGTTGCCCAGACTCTGATGGAGGCTCTGCGGCCGCCTGATTGGGGGAGGTGCGACTGGGCCAGGCCATATCGCAGTTCCAGGCCGATCTCTCGTTGATCGAACAGGTGAGTTTTGACGCTCTCCAGCCGCCGTAGGCTAGCCTCAGCTGACATCAACGGGCGCTTTCTCAACAGGCACGATTCCAGTCGCATCAGCAGAATGCATCCAAGTCGCCGCCGGGAATTCGCGTTGTCATGCAAGTTACGGCTGAACTTAGTCAATTTGCTGGACCCCAAGGACAATGTTTTAGTCCACGGTTACGAGCATCCTGCAGGCTGTCCAGCAGTTCGCGGCGCTCCGCAATATTGTTATCGGCGGCTCCCAGAACTTGTTGGCCTGCAGCGTATGGTCTCTTGTGCGCCTGGCATTGCTGGTATGTTGGGATTCCGCTAATCTATCTTATTGACACTAGTCCCGCGCCTTCGCCACTGGAACCTGGCAGCCGGCCGTTTCATGCGGCACTGACGCAGTACTCCATGCTTTTCGTACTTAGTGGAGCTTATAAATTGACCAGGGGTACACGCGTAGAGCTAACCATATGCCTTTAGGCAGTTGTGAAACACCCCGCCTATTTCGAGCGACGATCTGCTATGTTGATGGCTGCTGGCCGTTTAGCCTGCAATATTTGGCGACCCACGCACCCAATCTCGGTTCGTGCTTTCAGGCTTTCAAGCGCATCGTGTTGGCAAAAGAAATACGCAATCGTTGCTGTTGCATTTGCGTCCAAAACGAGGTCATCCACGACATTGGCCAAGAGGACGGATTTCCCTGGGCCTAGCTTCCCGACGCACAGTAACGTGCTCGAATCTGTCTGGCTTTTCCAGGTCGAGTACTCATCTGACTGCTTAAATGCTGCTGTTGCCAAGCTTTCGCGTTCTTTTCCAGTTAGCCTCGTGGCCGTGGTCGGAGCAGGTATCCAAGGTATGTTTCCTCGCCCTCAGCTGCTTTTCTAATCCATCTGATTCATGACGCCAACTAATGACCGATCGGAATCGAGAATGTTGAGTGGCCTCGTTTGCTATCTGTTGCGCCATGAGAATGTTTACCTCGTCCATGATGGATGCTGCCCATAGATCAAGATCGGATTGGAACACGGCAAGCTTCGAGTCAATTGTAGTGGCCAACCACTGGCGGATGCTCGGCTTCCGGCTCAGCTTCGATACGTGATGGCACAGCTGAACAGCCACGATGAAGTCTTCTGCCATACATGATCTAAGGCGGGGGGACTGCGAATAGTTATGTTGCGCCCATGAGCTGATATCGGGGGCCTATCCGAGACCTCACTCCGATATTTGATTTCCTTTTAGAGCACCCAGCCCGCGACTTGTCGCATCTGTGCAGCTTGCTTAAGGCTGTGCTCGGTCGGGAGTATCGAGCATATATAGTTCTGGATGGCCTGGAAAGTTGTGATAACGGTGAACGAACTGCTATCCTCGGCTCTCTCCGACAACTTCAAGATCTGGCGAGTGTGTCACTGTGCATTTCAATTAGACAGGAAGCTTCGAGCCCCTTGATATCATCGTTTGAGTGCTTTCCCAGGCTCAGTTCGTTCTATATTCCGGATGTTAATCCTGATATCGACGATTTCATCACCTTAGAGCTTACAGCGTGTCTTGAATCAGGCAGCCTGGCCCTTCATGACCCGCGGTTAATACTCGACATCCAGGAAAGTCTGTCCAAGGGGGCTCAAGGCATGTTTTTGTGGGTGGCCCTTCAGATCAAGGCATTGTGCCTCAAAAGAACAGACGCGGGAATTCGCCAGGCCATAACGAACCTCCCCACTGACCTTTCTGATACGTACGACACTATTCTTCAAAAGGGTGGCATCAGTGACTTGTCATATCAAAGCAAGATCCTCCAGCTGATAGCTGTCGCCTGCCGCCCACTAACCACAGAGGAAATGAGGGAGGCCCTGAGTATTATACCCGGCGACACGAACTGGAATCCACACGATCGTGTGAATGACATATACTCTACATTGGCATGTTGTGGAGGGCTGCTAATTACGGATGAAGAGATCTCGGCATCCGCATGGTACGCCATAGTGTGATCGCTTTTCTCGAGACCGAGTGGCGTGGCGCAGAGCGGTTTGACCTCGGCGAAGCGAAGGAGGAAATGGCCAATATCATTGCCACATATCTCAACTATGAGATATTCTTTAAGACGCTGTCCACGGTCAAGAGTCCAAGAGTCCAGGGAGCAGCCATAGCCTCGGCGGTGACGAAAGCTGCTGCCCGCTCACTCGGGCAATCACAACGGTTGGCGCTGAAGCTCCTCAGGGCAAATGGTCGAGCCGACAGAAATATAGGGCCGACCCTCCTGGAGGCTCTGGGGAATTGTAAGGCTGAGCCACCGTCATTCTTCTATCAGTATGCAGATCACGGGTGGCCGGAGCATATCTGGAACTTGGATTACACCAATCCGGCCCTTCGGCGTGCTCTTCTCAAGCTACTGACCATGGTAGACCCGAATAGAGTCGATTCCAATGGTGACACACCCCTGTCACATGCAGCAGCGCATGGATTCTCTGAGGCTGTCTCGCATCGTTTGGCGAATGGGGCCCAGGACATATACGGTTCATCTGGACTGACACCATTTATGCGTGCTGTTAAGGCAGACATACTTCTGTGGCACGGGTCTTCCTAGATTCGGACGTCTCGCAGCCAAATGCTAAGGATTAGTTGGGGCGAACCTGCCTGGCTTTAGCACTGATAGCGATAGACCGTCCAATGGCAATGACGATTCTAGCGTGCAATAGGGTAGATCGAAATGCCCAGGACAATGGTGGCCGTACACCCCTTGTGTGGGCTGTCGATGGTGGCCTCCTGCAAGAAGTACAGCCACTTCTGGAGACACCAGATATTGACCTGAAGCCTGATAATTATGGCAATACTATATTCCATATTGCCGCTCAGAATGGCCATCTGGAGATCTTGAACATGATTGCCCACCAAACCGACCTGAACAGTAACTCGAAGAACAGCCGGGGGCAAACGCCCATTTGGCTCAACGCTGCCAATGATCAGGAGAGTGTCGTCACTTGCCTAGTGGATAAGGCTGGCGTTGACTCCGACTGTCGGAGTAATAGTGGCCTTTCACCCCTGATGCTTGCTGTGCAAAAAGGTCACACGAGAACCGTCCGGGCTCTCGTTCTCGACCCCTTGTATGACCACAGAGTGGACAGCGAAGGAAATAGCGCACTCTCCCTTGCTTCCAGTGATGGTGACCTTCAGGTAGTCAAGTTCATAGTCTCCCATCGACCTATGATTCTCGATTCAAAAAACATGCGGGGTGAGCTGCACCCCCATTTTGCCTTTAGCTGAACAATGCAATGAAATGCAATGTAATACAATGCAATAAAATATAAAAGGTTAAATACCAATAATTTCCATAGTGCATTCCAACTTTTTCCAAATTCACAACACTCTTGAAACTGCCTTGTTCTACTCCCAAAGCAATACAGCATAGCATGGTCAACCGACGGTATTCTTGCCTTTATCACTTTGATTACTACCATCCCTAACTGCATCATGGCAATATACACTCTCTCCAAGCGTTTTCGGGGATATCGCCCGTACTATCCTCCGCGACACTGTAAGATTTTTTGTTACTCTGTTCATAGTCTCTGCTTCCGTTGGTTCTTCTAGGCTTTATTCCTCATGATATCTTGCCACAATCCTGTTACGTAGCATCGCTAATATACCTTTCTACCTACAGCTTCCCCCGGCCAAACTGAGGCTCCAGCAGGCGCCGTTGGCACAGATTTAACCCAGATCCAAAGCGACCGTGACGGCCCGAACCCGCCAAGATGGCATAGTTCCACTTTCCCGCACCACTTCGATGACCCCCATTCGCTCGCAGAAGAAGGGTTATCGCCTTATCGCTACTGTGTACTGCGTGCATCTGTGAATGTACTCGTGGGGAGTCTGCACTTGCGTTGAGCAATCAGACTTTGGGAGTCTTGAGCTTCGCGGACCGACGATACAGCCTTAGCGTTCATGAAGGTGGCCAATATACTTTATGTGTTTGGGGTATTGATTAGGGCATGCTTAATTCGAAGCGACATTCTGAAATATAATGGCGTTGAGAATGCGCTTGGACAATTGAGACTCGCTTACTCCCAACCCTAGACATTGGAGCTTTCGAGGTGCGACAACGAGTACCTGGGCCAGCGTTGGCGGTCATAGGTAATATTACATATATTTCATGTGCTGTGGTTATTGTATGCGGTTACTTTGTTTGAGAACCATGTCTGGCGTATTGGGTTTGTTGGATTGAGGAAAATCCGGGATGGCTAGGTGTAGACAGGTTGCTTATAGTTGCATTTGCATGTTTTTAACCATGGGATTGGCACGGTGCTCTACAACCCTCTATAATGTTTGTATTACAATCGAAGCCAGTCCACGTCAGCTGAGATTATCGCGCTGCAGTGATAGCCAGCTACTATAACCCCGCGGAGCAGCAGTGCTACGAGCGTTCCAATCAGCGAATCACTACCTTTTTTCACGCTACTCCACTTGTTGGCCTGGATGGATAGCTCATCAGGTTCCTATATGTACTGACTGCATCGCTTTCGATCCATCTTATCACAACTCATGCATGGACCACTCTCTTTTGGAAGATGATGAGGTATGCACCCCGATTCACCTTGATGGATGCATTCCTTATATACGCCTTGTCACTTAGCATGGAGTCGCCTCTGCGATTAGAAGGTCCATCTATCCCTGTCAAATTGGTTATAACCATCTTGACTTTCATCAAGTTCCTGCGCTCTAAATACATGAAGCTTCGTGGAGATCCTTATCATGCGATCTTGTATAAGCCCCAAGTTGTCCACATTCACTGTACCCGTTACATTATATATAAAGGTAAGCGGTGTCAGGGTAATTACGTACTGCCTAGAAGGGTGGACTCCAATCTGACTGTCCTAAGCTTGCTTTGATCCCCAACATCTAGCTAAAGCGATTCACGAGCCTACTACGCCTTGCGCAATGAATGAGCCTATCCCGTGGAAGCAGGCCGTACGTCTCCAAGCTCCCTTCGTCGCAGGCAGTGCCATTGTGCTTATTATCTTTCCATTGCGCGAGCCACAGCTTGAGTCGCGATCCCTTCTCGCGCGCCTCGCTTACCCAATCAACTCGGCAGAAACCGTCCTAGTAATGAAGAACCTTTCCAATCTCGAGCCATTCTGACTTCTCCAGAACCGTGACCTTTGTGTAGATATTGGCTTTGACTCGACCAAAGAGAACTTAGGTCTCCGGAAGGTCGATCCAGCTTCCAAGGCGAAGGCGCTCAAGTCGCGCCTCAACAGGCTCAGCTTTGCGCCGGCGGTATACACATATTAAATTAATAATAAGCCAACGCAGGTTCTAGACTTCGCCACCCTCGTGGCCCTGCGGCGATCATACCCCAAGACAGCTTAAGTAGACGAGAGTGGGTCAATTACGATTCACCGGTTTTCACCGGGTTCGTATTTGAACTCCGTCTCATGCTCAAAAGGGCTCCCCACTCCGGACGAGATTCATACTACCAGCACCGCGGACAAGATCCGAGTCTGGCCATTATTCTCCGGGGCGCGAGCGAACTTTAACCTGAAACATTTTTACGTATAACTTGCTTCCCGGCCAATTCCCGCCAACGCGCCCGAGTTCGGCCCGCTTGATTTTGCCATCTTCGTCTCCTACTACCGAGAGCAAGAAAAGGATGGGGATGGTGGCGTTGAGGAGCTTGAGCGCAATGCACGAGGCTGTTGTGAGCCTCTTTGAATCTCGATTTCTCACACAGTGCTCTTCCTCGGAGTGTATACATGTAAAGTGTGGAAGCTGTCGATTCTCAATGGCCGATCGATGATCTCCAACTCCGCCTCAGCGATCGAGTGATCGCACTGATTCGCACAATGGTGGTTCGAGCTTCGGGGCCACTCCATATTCCGCGTTCAAGGGGCGAGGCCGGCAGCGCCGAGGCTCAATTCTCTCCAAGGACAACCTGCCGAGCTCCATGCCGAACGCCGAGTTACTACATCCCACGGTCTAGATGCTCTCACCAGAAGTGGTGCCCTCACGCTCTTCCACAAGCGGACGTGCATTGCGGAGCAAGGTACGGAGTATTATCCTTTGCAAGCAAAACGAGTGGTTCCACGACTGGTATGTGGGTCTCTTGTCACCATATTCCGAGTAGTGAATGAATCGCTTAGATATACGTTGTAGTACGGAGTATACTCGAATCTTATACGACTTGGTACGTTGATGGGGAGAAGGATCTGTGAATAGGTAAGGGCATGTGCCGACAATATCTATTATTCTATTATCTATTATATGTATAACCGCAAGACAAATCTAGCTAATATACAAAGGATTCAGGATCAGTTGTAGACATTCTCCTGGAGGTACGCGATGGCCTCGCTCCGATAATCATCCGCCGCAACGTAGCCCAGATCCTCGTGATTCGTATCGAAGAAAAGGTTGTTAGGCTCTCCATCCGTAGTATCATATAGTGGCCACGCAAGCGAAGCCTGTCTAAAGTTGGGATCGGTATCATGCATGAAGTGAACCCACATCTTGCTCATCAGATCCGCAAGCTCGATGTACGAGTACGGCTTGCCAGCGAACGGGTTGGCCGCGTAGCCGATGCCTTCAATGTTATTGAAGACAAACGCGACCTCCTGAAAATGGGTGGCGCCGTAGAGGGGCGAGGGGAGGCCGTTGACGAGGACGTCCCAGAGGTAGGAGTACACAGGCAGTCCGGCATCGGCGTACGTCTCGACAAGGAGTCTTCGGCCTGCGTGCTGCTGGTAGTCGCCAGCAAACGCCGCGACTCGCTTATACTGCAGGCCATAAGGGAGCTCGGGGGGGATACCGACGTAGGAGGCGGGGATGCCCAGGAGAGGGTCATTGGGGTATAGTTCGAAGACAGATTCAATCTGATCGCTGGAAAAGCCCAGGGTGGTAAGCCACGCCTCGAACTGCGCATCGGTGCTGATGCCCTGCTGCGCGTATGCGGTACCCTCATCGGCATTGTTACCAGTCAAGAGCGGCACCTTGGCGAACTTGCCTTCCTTGAGGAGAGTCGGTGCGTGGGAGGTCATGAAGTCGCCGTCGATAACAGCACTGAATGTGGGCGCGGTGACATTCAAGGGGTTCGTGCCGCTGAAGATGTCGCTGAGATCCTTCCAGGGGACCTGGCGGAGACAGTCCAGTCGGTCAGCGGCATCGCCGCATCCCGTCCTTGCGGCGAGGGCGTCAAAGTATGGCTGCCAACGAGCAGCATCGGCATATTTGGCGACAGGGCTTCCACTCTCGAGGATCGCACTGCGGAACAGGCCGTCGTGCTGTCCATCATAGGCGATGAGCTGCATTCCTAGCGATCGAGCACCGGCGGACTCGCCCCAGATTGTAACCTTGTCGGGGTCACCACCGAAGGCGGCGATGTTGTCGTGGAGCCATTGCAGCGCCAGACGCTGGTCCCTGAATGCAATGTTTCCGGCACCTTCGTCTTGCATTTCTTGGCTGAATAGGAAGCCCCAGTAGGAGAGGCGGTAGTTGATCGACACTGCGACGATCGGCTTTCCCTCGGCCACGGACTGCTCAACAACATAGCTCAGGTTGTAGCGCGGGTCCCGGGAACCCCCCATGATGTAGCTCTGTTGGAACAGTCAGCAGCGGTAGAGAATGATAATCTCCGGGGAACTCACTCCACCATGCACCCAGACACCAACGGGGAGATCATCTCCAGGCTTCACACCTGCAGGACGGACGACGTTGAGAGTCAAGCAGTCCTCATTAACGGGATTGCCCAGGTTCGCAGTATCCGAGCCGTATCCGATACACATCCAGCCATACTCGGTGGCGCTTCGACGCCCGTGGAACGACTCCGTCAACGGCTGAGGTGCCGCGAAGCGCAGGGAACCAACCGGAGGCTGTGCGTAAGGAATACCGAGAAAGAAGTCCTGGTCGTACTCCTGATTGTGCAGGCCTACATACGTTCCCCTGTCAAGTTTGGCGGTGGGGGAGCGAACAGTGTGAGGCCGACAACTGGAGGATGGGACCAGCGTCGATCCCGCCACGAGGGCCAGGAACAAGGTTCGACGGAGAGAAAGCATTGGAGGATTTCGAGGCAGGGATGTTCATGTGGCTTCGAGAAACAGTCTGGAAGGAAGGAGGAACAAGCATTTTACATACAACGTGGTAAGGGGCATTTGCACCGGCAAAACTCCGGTAAAATCGGTACAGGAAGTCACTCCTATGGCGAGATTCAATATAAAAAGACCACCGAGTGGATACTAGTCTCGTCCCCTAACAATAGACCACACAAGACCTTTCGTTATCCTTAAGAAGAAAAGTTGCTTTTTAATGGCTCTATAATCCTCACTATAATGGAGGAGGTCTTGGTTTGAAGGCAGCTTAGATTACTGGGACCTTCTTGATAGGGAGAGAGAACCGAGACACAGCGAGGGATCTCAGCAGAATATAATCTAAGGTCAGTGGCCGGCTGGAATGTCCCGGCCGGACCGGCGCCCATCGCAATTCCGGGCCCCAATCCTAGCGTCAACTTAAAAGAAAATTGCGACCCAGAGGGCATGGCTCGCTGAGTTGCTTAGGGTTAACGCCAGCCCCGGCTCGACTGCACTAAGTCCTAGCCCTGAAGATAAAGTTTGCAGTGGAGATGCACGCCCACTTGGGCCGATAATAAGGATCAACTTCGGAGATTTTGTGCCCGATGGCAACAGATGTTCGAAACGATGAATTCACGATAAGAGTGGGACTCGCCGTCGTGACTCGCAAAAAGTGGTCCTGGGTCTCCATCTACCCTGTGAGTTTTCTGGGTCACCGCTGCACGCGCGCCTTTCAGAGCCCAGAGACCTCAATTGGTCTTCAATGCAACAAGCTCACAATGGCTGATGGCAGAGGCACGCGGCTGATCGCCTCATGTTGGTCACTGACGGCTGCGGCAGGCATCTTGCTGATTCTGCGCGTATACTGCAAGTTGTGGCGAGGACGCGGCCTGTGGTGGGACGACCACCTGCTGATCATCTCGTGGGTACATGAGCCCTGAATCCCTGCATCCGCCTCTGCCACATGATACCCCTCACAGCTTCACATATATGAACTGACGCATGGTTGCGTCTTCTAGGTATCCCTCTCAATCGCAGTTTCGATAAATACCTATATCGTATCCCTTGGATTCGGCGACCACGCGGACACCATTAGCGATGAAAACCTCAAGACCATCAACCTGCATACGATCCTAGTGGCGTTATTCGGCATCGTCGCGACGACCACGAGCAAGACCTCGTTCGCCCTCACGCTGCACAGAATCACTACGAATGTGTGGATGAAGCACTTTCTCATCTTCGTCATCGTCACGATCAACGTCTCGATGAACCTGGTCTGGATTTTCGGCTTCGCCAAATGCACGCCGCTGAAGAGAGTGTGGGATAAAGATGTGCCTGGGACATGCTGGGACGGGAAAAAACTACTGAAATTTCAACTGTTTGCTGCTTGTAAGATACGATGTAGACCGTCGAGTATTGTTGATGGACTAACAGCTTCTTCTCGCAGATTACTCGGCAATTCTAGATTTTGTGCTCGCACTGCTGCCATGGCAGATTATCTACGGAATGTCGATGCTGCGACGCGAGAGGATTGGAGTGGCAGTTGCGATGAGCTTGGGTGCAATGTAAGCAAGCGTCTTTTATTCTGTTCTACATTGTAGTACATACTAACTGACGCTCACCTTCCTAGTGCTGGAGTGACTGGTATTGTCAAGGCAGTGCTTGTCGTCCACATGAGCAGCAATGATATTACCTATGACCGTGTCGATCTGACAATCTGGACTCTTGCGGAGCCTGCAACCTCGATCATGGCAATTTCGATTCCGATTCTGTGAGTCTTGCTCTTCGCCTTGCTAGCCCACCTGCAACGCAATGTAATGCAATGCAATCATATCACTAATGCAGAGTAGGAGGACGCTATACCGCGAGATCCGATCCAGCCACAAGAGCTACTCCCGAAACCAAACAGGCACACACACGCATGACCCTCGAACAGGAACCCACACGCAAGCGACCGGCGCAGACAAGAAGTCGAAGCGCCACAGCAACAGTATCAGCCGCGGTTGGAAGAACTCGGTGCAAGTCATGTCAAATAGGGGATGGCAGGAGTCGCAAGAAGCTTTGAACGAGGAAGAAGAGAGCATGAAAAGCACTGCAACACGGTCGTCTCCGAAGCAGGGCGGGATTTTGAAAACGGAGGAATTCACTGTCCAGCATAAACGGGGGAGCTTTAGTGACAAAAGCTCGATAGAGCTCAAGCCCATGGGACTGGGCGCAGGCGGAGATAATGGGAGGGAGAAGTACACACGGGGAGCTGAAGCTTGACACTATTGCCTAATAACCTACTTTTCTTCTGTGCGGAAGAAATCATACATCAAAGAAATAACAGAGCGAAAAGTCTCCCTTATAAGCACACAAAAAAATGGCGCTCTCGAAGAGTTGTCTAAAGGAGGGCTCTCTCCACTCTTAAGACGTACCGGCAAGGCCCCGGCCACAGTCTTAAACCCGTCGAGTCATTGATGGGATTCCATATTTTTGGTTCTTTCACTGCCTAGCCTGAAACCTGCGCTACTACCTTAGCTGTGGGTCTCTGACCGAGTTCGCTAGCTCAGTGTGATCCCTACCTTGCAACCTGAATATCACCATTTTTTATTGGACTGCGACTTTATCGAGATGCCTTATTCTTTCTGTCTCTTGCAACGATCCAAATCCGATGGGATTACTCGCCATGCCTTGGTCGACTGGAGGCATACTCGCCTTCATCACGCTAATCTACTCTACCGACATGCACTATCGCAGTGTACACCATCTCCACGCGCCGGAGACGAGTTGGACGAATATGATGCACTTATCGATCGTTAGATATTCCATCTTCTACTGTTTCGTTTCCCTCATCAAATCTAACAAGAGCTCTACTTGCTACCATCGCGCTTTACTGATTCTGCGGTTCCCGAAGGACAATCACACAATCTGGTTGAGCCTCCGCCGCTCCGAGTTAGGGCTGGGTTGGTGAGGCCCAGCCTCAGCCCGCCAACATGGCCGAACCTCATTCGCACGCGCCACTCTGATGATCCCCAGTCTCCGGCAGAAGTTTGCTGTACTATAAGAGTGTCAGAATTCGCAACATCTAAAACCGGCTGATTGCAACCCCAGCCTTGGCATTTATGATGGCATATGTTCTGAGATATTGTGTACTTTCGTTGTTTGGGTGGTGGAATAGTGCTTAGATATTCCAAAGCCTGTATTATGCGTTGTGTGTGGTTTTGGTACAGTGTGTGTATCACCAGGACTTGCCATTGTTTTCTAGGATTGCGGCCTCCGTTAAAGAGGCATAGTTAATGGAAGGTTTTAGAAGTAGATACCTCTTTTCTCTATTACTTGTCCGGTAGGGAGATCGTATGCTTTAATTCGGGTATATAAGCAGGAATATTTCAAGAACAGCGTGCAGTACTATCCAGAAACCTTAACTGTGACGGATCCTTGCCGACAAATTTTAGGGCTGGTCAGTCTCTGTAAGGGCACAGATGTCCCTGTTATTACGACGGCTAACGTCGAGCTGCCGTGCCAATAAGCCTCGACCCTCAAAACACGAATGGCGCTATTATTGTGACGACTCGCTTGCTCAGCCTCTTTGCATTGCATTCGGACAGGGGTCCATCATCGTTTTAGTGGGTTGTGCCCAACACCATCTTAGGTAACAGGCTGAGGTTTGTTCATATCCGAGACGCTCCTAAGTTTGGTCTTGTAAAGACACGGATCAGGCTGCCATCGCAACGCCCTGCTCCTTCGCGCAGCCTGTCAGTGTCTGGGGCTTAGCAACAGAGCTCCTCCGGTCAAGACTGGCTCTCCCACTATTTGGCATTTACTGTTCATTGATAGTTGTGTCTTTCTTGCACGTAATAAATACTCAAGATGCCACTAGTCGAAGTCCGCCCGTAGGTCGGGGGGTCCCGATAAGCTACATTTATGTCTATGACCACTCGAGGTCTTATCCTGTGCCTCTTCTCATCAGCTCGCTCAAATTCGCTTGCGTTCTCCGCGATCTTGTCTAGTCAGAAGTCCACAAAGCTACGTTCCTTAGCATGCCGTGGCCCATTGAGAGCGTCTTCTCCCTCCTTACCTTGTCATAACCATCCCAACCTCGATTATCGGCATCTAAGTAATAATAAAGCGATGGAAGAGTCGCCGCTATAATACTACAGGTAGTATAATTCCTCCATGCTGACAGATAAGTTCTGTGCAGCTTGTGAAACTGAAATATATGGAATTTCCTACCCCAGGACGACTGAATCGCGACCGGCAACCGGGACCAGGCTGGAACTTGGTTCCGGTTCCTGTATATGATGGATGGTGATGTTATGCGTATGTGCTCTCCCCGTTTCGGTGATTAGCGACTATTCGAGTTGTCGTATCATGTATCGGTGCTGTTCCCTCAATGCCGTTTAGTACGCTTAAAGTTCGCCAGTCGGAGTTTAGCCGCTCATGATATAGATGGTCCCTTTAGTAGGTATTTCTTCCAAGCCCGTCACCTGCTTCTGGCTCATGATCATTCAACGGCGTTGATAACGTTCTCCCATTACTCTCACCCACCGCGATGGAATACGGCTTTGATAGAGTTCATGATACTGTCTGTCTTTGTCCTTTCCCGCTTATACCCTGGTTTACTGATAACTCAAGGGAAGATTTGTTTCCTGGAACTCCCCCGGATCCACATCCCGCCCCGGCGGCGTGGGCCGATACCACGCCTTCCATCTCGGTCGTCGCATGGTATGAAGAAAGCTTGCTTCCGCGGAACAGTTTCCGGGTGGCCGGATATTGACGAACGAAGATTGAGAGTGCATCAACCCAGTGCGCGAAAGATCTCGCTTGCAGCGCCAGCAAAGTAGCATGCGCTGGTGAAGTTGACGTCGATGATGATGACGCGGTATCGGCTTTCCGGCTCTTTATCGAAGGCACCCGCTCTAGAAAACGATTCTGGCGCAGGCAATCATGACGTGGAGCGGTCGGTGAGATCAATTGTCGAGTCCCGGTTGTACCTATACGATGAAAAGCCATCGGTCCGGTAAGTCGTTCTTCGATGGTTCCCAGCGAGTTCGGCGTGGACGGGCACACAGCACACCCGCACAATATAGGGCGGATGCCAAGGTGCTGGCGCTGTGGAGGCACTGTACCAGAGCGCGATCTCTACCGGGTCTCAGCGAGGGCGTGTTTAACTTGATAGCCAATTCTGCTAAGGCCTCCAGTGATCATGACAGCGTCGCCGTGTGTGTTTGACACTCTGAAGATGTACTCTAGACGGGTCGTGTTGGGCCAACTGACTAGCCGTTGAATGATAATCTTTGGAGTCGTGGCCCGTGTGATGAGGCCCAAGGTGGGCACGTGAATGGCCGGAGTGCTGGATTCCGATGACATGTGTGCATGCCTGCAAGCTGCTCATCCCAAAGGACCGCGTTGCACTTGACCACAAGGTGTTTAAGCCGTTTGGCTGTCCAGAATATTCTCTGCCAAAGCCCAAGCACACATGCATAGCGGGCAAACGGGCAAAAGGTTAAGGTGTCGGAGAGGAGGTTCACAGAGCACAGGAACCCAGACATGAAGAGGAAGCTCGTATGAATTGTAGCAAGCGGCTCATTCTAGGCTCGAAAGCCCGGGCAACGCCCGAGGATATCTGGCCCTCATCGGCTATAGCTGGGTTCGCCAACTCCATACTCTTCCGCTCCATTCAATTGCCCCCCGCAAGTTCATCTCAACCAAGTCAAGGCTTCCCTAGCTACTAGGTAGTCACATGCTCATTCAAGACATGCCATGTATGCTGAACTGGGATGCCTCGGCTGCTTGCTTGAAAGCAGAGCCGCCAGTAAACTGACGCCCCAGACCAATCTTAACACCGGGCATATTTTCCGATAATCTCCACGAGGACGAGCTTGGAGCCTCTCGCATACGGAATCGAGCCCCTTATGCTCAAATTTTAAATGTACGCCGTACTAGGGAAGGACGTGTGCTAGTCACACATTAGCATGATATTCAATGGCCAAATCCCAGGAACAATGAAGGCACCCTCACATCGTTCCAATTTCGGCTCGAGAATACATGGGCTGCCTCCCGAAGAAAACGCCAGGCTGCATACGGCTCTGAGACCCTATAGCCTCAGGAGTTACGTCCGTCGGCTGGTCCATGGCAGAGACTCTCCTTAGTCCACCCGCTCATCCTATTCCACCTCCCCCATAGGGCCTCTGATTAATGTTGGTGGCGCGAAACTAACCCAAAACCCAGGCAAGGTCGTGATTTGCGACCACATATGGTTAATAAGACCTGGCCAAGGAATTGATGGGTACGCAGCCAAAGGCAACGACCGCTTGATTATGGCGAGCATTTCTGAGTTAGGTGACTTGCACGGCGGCGGCGACAGCCCAATCAAGGACGCCTTATCTGAGTCTCATGGTATGGTGGAGCTGGTAGTTGTAGTCGAAGTGGGTTGTGCGATACTTTGCAGGTGTGCTATCGTACGATCTTGCAGCGGTAAAGATTTCTCGAGGTAGAGGTCGTACGAGCCAATCTGGCAATGATCTCACCTGCAATCGTTCAAAAAGTTCAGTTAGCTTTAATCGTTCCACCAAAGAATATCGTTATGGATCTACCGCCAACCCGGAACCCTGGCTCAATCACAACCTTCATTCCAACATTAAGCTTTGTGTCACCACTACCAACCCCCGCCGGTGCTGCGTCACCGGTATGAAAAATGGTCAGATCGACTGCTCCAAGCTAAGTATTGCATTGCTTGTAAATCCGATGACACGCACCACAGGACGATGTGCGCTGAGGGAGAGGGCTGCGAGGCAGCCAGGTGTCTGAATGCCTATGTCATGCTAGATTAACGGTAATGACGCGGAACAGCAAGCGGGTTGCGCTCTTGTTGAAGCCACTGTTTATTTGGCGCAACGCTTTCAGGGTGACTCACGCACGTATCTCGGTTGATGTTTTCCTAGATCGCTTCGATTACGATCTAACTTGCGTGTTACTCAAAGATCCCACTTTGTCCACTAACTCCTGCGGAAGCCTTGTAATCACGTCTCGGGTCGGACGGGCCAAAAACTGTCGCCACTGGCTTCTGGGCAGGTTGCAAAGGGCCAGGGCCCAAGTGTTGTTGGAGGCTTGTACCGTCGGACAATGAGGGGAGATGGAATGAGATGGGTGACAGATCCGCGTCATCAGAGGTGGCAGTCACCATGGCAGAAAGTTTCCGCAATGGCACGATGCCAATTTGACTCTGTGCTGATCAAGAATGAGCAGAATAGGTTTCAGGGCTCAAGTGAAGGCGAAAGAACACAATCGAATCTCTGCTCTTCACTTACTTATTGGCCTCGTTTCCTCTCTTACTCTCTTTCTCCTTCCTCGTCTTCTTCTCATTCCTTCCTCCACTCATCTCCTCTTCCCCACCACCAGTACACTTACTTTGCCTCACTCCATTTCCTCTTGTTTTTCTACCCATCAGTCTTCTGTTCTCTCATTCTGCGTTTAGTATTTTCGTTTCTAGTTTTTGTCTGACGCTAACCGCGCACAAGGTGTACAATCTGTGCTCTGCATTACAGATTTCCCTCTCTTCTGATGTTCCCTGTATCTGTGTGTCTGTTGACCATCTTCTGGTCGGCCACATGGTGACAGAGACCAGAGGGAGATTTTGTCTACGGCAACAGGCACAGCTCTCCCAGTGTCGCATCAGAAATATCACCCCTGCGGTCTCGTTGCTTTGTGATCTTCTTGTCACGACAGTCGCACCCGTCAAGTTTCTTTTGTCAGGCTTCTTTTTAGGACTCGTCCCGATTACTCTTGGTTTCCGATCTTCGTCTTCTGTTTTTGTTTCGGTCATCGCCTACCAAGGGACCGTCGTAGACGTCTCCTGCTTTTGAGCACTGGCTCCTCGTGAGTACTGCTGGGTCTCAAATTTGATTTTACAGTATTTATTGAAGGCTTCAGCTAGGAGGCGAAGTCTGGTTTAAAGGATTACCTTGATAACATCCTACTTGTTTGTTGACAAAGATATGTGAGTGGTCAATCATGGCCCCGCCTCCCGGGACCAGAATCCAGGTACTGACTCTAGCCGTGCGAACTGCAGAAGCCGATTGATTGTGCTCCTTGTGATGGTTGAGGGTAGTCAACTTGGCCCTCCGTACGCTCGCTTTCGTCAAACAATAGGGCCCCCTCAGCACTCTTCCCGAACTTGCACAATTAATCAGTTACAGCTTACATTCGATCCATTGGATTCTAATTACATATTTCCCAGCCATTTTCAGGTTGTTGGACAGATTTGCGGCTTGTCAGAAGACAATCGGCGCTTTGCTTCCATCTACTTGCACGCAAGAGTTTACCTTGAGGTGCTTTTTTTTTTCTTTTCTCTCATGGAATTGGTACGTACTCTCAAGGCAAGGAGGATGTCTAAGACCTAACCGCCTGATAATGGTGTTTGAGTTGAGACTGAATAGAGAGGGCAAACCGGGTTCTCCCTTTTGCTCCCTGTTTGGTTCATTCCCCGTCTCGTGCACGGCTTATGGACCGGAATACTTGGCCAATGCTACATTGGACTATTTGCAGTTGCTGTTTTCCTTCCTGTCTCAAAGATTTGGCTTCTCTGTTCTGTGGAATTACTAGATGGACAGCACGGCGTATCACCCTCGGCAGCGGTCTGCCAGGGACCAACTCTCTATCGGTAGGTGCTTATAGACAGGGTGTGTTCTTTGGTTTCACTTGTGATACAGGAGCTAACAGATCTTTGCAGGACTCGGTCGTCAGAGTTGCGTTTTTTTTTTTTTTTTACCCACCATAACAATGAGGTCTGTTCTTCGGCGTTGTTGGTGGTTCATCAGAAGGTGTGTGTGCTCGGCCCACTACTTGCCCTTGAAGCTCTAGCTGACCATTTGCAGTGATCTTTTTCCGTCGGTTAGCGAGGCCTTTGTCCGTTTTGTGGCAGACTGACTGGACGCTCCGACATGGTTGATACAGTGTTTACATCCTCGACAGTATTCCGCCAGGATGTCTTGATTACCGATACTAGGTAAGTCTGATTTTTATTATATACAGTTCTCTTAGTATTGTGGCCGCTCAGATTCCTCGCGTGGTTTCCTCTTCACCCGTTACCCTTTCTCGATTTATCTTATTGTCTGTTGCTTGCGATTATGCTCCCACCATGCCTCCCCCCTATTCGATTCCTGCCTTCCCCTGATCACGTCGGTGTCACTGCACCTAAATGGCGGCGTCTCATAGCCCCATCACAAAGTGGGCTTGGATCCCCGACCTTGAGTTGTGCCCTCGAGACATGGTAAGTCTTCACCCCGCTTCCTCATTGACTCAACTGCATCACCAGACGCGCCGGAGTCGTTCACTCGGTCGAAATCAACATCACCATCGCCGTGGCGATGTAGGGCAACAGCCTTGACGTGTTTTGCAGCGACAAACCCGGAACACGGGGACCCATTGTCCATACGCGGTGAGACTCCGTTGTGGTCGTCTGCGATGCAGACTTAGGTATGCCTTAGATGCTATTGCGTTACTCTCCATGCTTCTCACGCTCCCTACTGACTGTTGAACTGTGCTAGGGGCAAATTGGTTCGAATCGATCCCCTAAACGGTATCCACAACGGGCCAACAATTATATAATTGGACAGATAGGGGGAACGAGTCGTGTTGGAGCTATCTAGGTGTGGTTTATGTTTAGCCGATGATTTTGCGACATTCAGGAGAGGCACGGCCATCTCCTCTTGAGGGCGACCATCACTGCGCTCAATGTTTCGCTGACCCTGCTGCTATCTACCTAATGTATTCCACTTGCTGTCATCCATCCTCACATTACCTCCGCTCTGCTAGATGGTAGAGGGCTCGATGCCCTTTGAACCGATTTTTCAAATGCAAGCATCTAATCCCCGCACCTCCGGTCAGACACACGCAGACGGCAGCCTGGGCATCAGCCGCAGCGGAAGCTGAGCGGATCTATTAGGGATTCCAGGCACGCAGAGAATAGTTACATAGTTACCACGGTCTTGTTTGTCAGCATCCAATAGGCTATTAAAGTCTCACCTATCTCTCCAAGGGTATTCGTCAATTCGGTGCAGGATTAACAAAGCAATTATAGCCTTGGCGGATGGTGTCATCTCGCGCCATCTCACCCCCGCACGTTCGAATAAAGAGACCCGAGCCCTTTCCAACTCCAATTCCTGACTCTGAGAACTGTTCCCCTTTTCACTTTTTCCTTCACTCGATCGCCTTTGCGCACTACGCTCCTTCCATTTGTTTGTGTATACGCACGAAGAAAGCAAGTCACAATGCCAATCCAAAACCCAACACTAACCGCCCTCCCCTCTCTCCTCCTCCCCAGCGACATCTCCATCTCACCTTCCGGAACACAAACGCTGTACACGCTCTCGACATTCAGCAAAACTACGCGCCACGCAACCTCCTCCCTCTGGATCGCCGACATCGGCAAAGACCACTCCGCGCGCCAAATAACATCCGGCCTCTCTCGCGACGAGAAGCCGAAGTGGAGTCCTGATGGACGGTATATTGCGTTCGTATCGGATCGCGCGGGGAAGGGAGGGAGGAGAGGGATTTATCTTTTGCCCATTGGAGGGTTTGGGGAGGCGTTTGAGGTTAGTAACGGTGAGGGGGTGAAGGAGGGCCGGGGGCTTGAGTGGAGTTCTGATGGGAGGTTTATTGCGTTTGTGTCTGAGAGCGTGACTTCGACCGCGGCGGAGGAGTCTGGGGATACCAGCGATGACCCGATTGTGTTTGGTGGAGAGGATTCAGAGGGCACATCGAATGACCGACTGAAGGTGATTGATGTCGAGCGCAAGACCGTCTCGACCCTATCGCAAGGAAACGAGAACGTCGAGCTCTTCTCATTCAGCCCACGAACAAACGAGATCGCGTACACGGTCTCCGAGACCGACTCCAACTCTAGCTCTGCGTTCAACAGCACGCGAATCAATATCGTCGACGCAGAGCGAGGCAGCGCCTCGGGCCGAAACTTCATCACGATCAAGAGTCCCATCACCTCGCTCGTCTGGAGCCAGGGCGATAAGCTGCATTTTATTGCGCACTCAGCGCCACCATACACCTCCCTCTCCGTGTACGAGGCGCGCATTCGCACAAAGCAATACGGAAGCTACTTCGGCTGGGACGGTGAAGCAGTGTCCCTCCATAGAACCAGGGACTCTGTCGTCGCACGCGTGCAGAATCCACACAGCGAGTCCGCGCACGCACTCGGTATCGAGAGCGTCTCGTGGCCGTTCCCGAGCTTCTTCACGTCAGAGTACGAAATCACCTCATTCGACGCCTTCCGACACACAAACTCGGACGATTTCACCCTTGTGGTCGCGCGGAGCAGTCCTTCCGTCGCGAACGAGGTATACTCCGTAACCTGCAAGCAAGGTGGCGGATACGGATACGTGAAGCTCTCATCGCATAACGCGCGGTTTGACGGGTTCCGCTCGAAGCGTATTTCCGCGACGGGTGCTGATGGGTGGGAGTGTGATGGGTGGCTGTTTACGCCGAAACCTGTAACCATTACCCGCAGGCTTGCGCCGACCGTTGTGCTTGTGCAAAGTCATCCGACGCTGCCTTCGTTCTCGATGGGTCCGCATCTTGATGTCGCGCATTTGACGGCCGCTGGGTATGCGGTTCTCTGTCCGACGCTCCGGCCTACACCGGGCTCTGGCAGTGGGACGGGAATCGGTGATCGGTATGCGGATGTTATTGCAATTCTCAAGAAGGCTGTCGCGCAGGGTCTGGTTGATGAGTCGCGAGTGACGATTAGCGGGTGGTCCGATGGCGGTTTCTTGTCTTCTCTCGCGGTCATTCGGAACGAGTTCTCCTTCCGTGCTGTCGTTTGTGGTGGTGGTGTTGTGGATTGGGACTTTGTCTCTGCGAACAGTGATCCCTTCTGGCCAGGGCCGGATGTCCCTGACTTTTCGCCAAGGAAAGGAGGAGATGTAGGGCGCGGACGAGAGTCGGTGAGAGATGTAGCAGGATCATCAGCAAAGAGCGAAAAGAGAAAGACGCCGTTGCTCATCCTGCACGGGCGAGATGACGATGTTGTCCCGGTCTCTGGACCGCTGGCGTTCTGGCGCGAGAAACAGAGGTGGAATGGACCCGTGCAGATGGTGTTGTATCCAAGCGAGAAGCATGTGATAAGGGATAGTAAAAACTTGGTGGATCTGTGGACGCGGGTGTTGCAATTCTATGACAAGCATTTGGGTTGATGGAAGGTGTAGATATAGTCTGTTAATATGTTAGTTGACCTACCTAGATAAGAAATGACTGATATGGTTGGAAAAGACGCGAGCGTCAGCCTCCTCAAGAAGTGCTGCGCCGTGGGCCAGGCAAGAATTGAGACATGGCGAAGATGGTTGTGTATTCATAGGAGCAACACAAGTGTAGGTATCTAAGGAGAAGGCACGTGGTCGGTCGCCTCAGGCACCACGTCAACAGGAACCTTCAACTCTCATGAACCTCTTCAACAGCACCAACCTTCTCCACATAGCGTCTGTATCTCCGGGCGGGCAGGCTTCTTGGCTGTTATTGCTTTTTGTATACTCCGAGGATATCCCTACAGCATTCTACACTACTTTTCCTTCGTCTTCCATGCGACGTTCAAGTACAGCCCGGCAGGTCAACAGGAAGGAACAATTCCTGCGAGGCGATAGACATTTTGAATTCTCTATTGGACCCTCCAACCATTACTGCCCAGTAAGGTCATTACTCTAGTGCTTCTCTGCGATTCAGATACCGAACATCATTCCTAAAGACAGATAGTCCAGAAAGTTCTCTCCAAACGTCGCCTGCGCCGCAAAGCCACTCACCACGATTCCGTGAACGGCCTGAGATGGGGCATAAAAATGGGTTTCTCGATAAAGGAGGTCTTCCAACTGTTCGAGAAGTGCAAGGCTTAACCGTATTTCTTCGGCGCTAAGCCGCGCAATCTTTGCTACGAAGGTAGTGAATTCGGGTTCGGCTAGTGGTGGTGCATCTCCGCAGGCGATTGGGGAAAACTGTTGTTCCAGGTCTCGCAGGATGACCTGACTGTGCCTGACTTGTCCGATGATGCTGTTCTTTACCTCCACATCTGCGTGTCCATCTGATAGCGCACAGTTCAGGGACAGCAACACTGGACATGCAGCAATTTCCTCAAATGCACGCTCCAGAATCCGATCCAGAGGACCTGCCCTCCCCTATTTCTCATCTCGCAGGAGTACCCGCCAATTAGCGACCTTCCACTCCGGTGTATCAAGCACACACTGCTCCCGGTCAATAAAAGCATCGATGACAAGAAACGGCCGAAAGACATAGAACAACGTCCGGCCAATTCCTTCCAAATGGGCCTCTGGGCCAGAAAGCGCGATCAGTTTTCGAATGGCTCGCTAATGAATAGTCCAGTTTTCAACACGTCCTCCATCGTCATCAAGCATCTACTACAGCGCAAGGCTTACCGCAGCGAAGAGCGTGATGTCAGACGCAACCCATCGCGGGTCGCCAATCATTGTCACGAGATAGCGAAGTATCCCACCATGCGAGGGTAGGGGCAGAAGGCTTGTCAATTGGACTGAGCTGGATCAGGACGCGCCGCTTACAATGGGCTTGGTCAGGATTTGCTTTCGCATTCTATGCCCATGCTGAGCGCTGGTTGACGGTGAGTCTTCCCGTGAGTGGCGAGGTGCGGTGTTGACCCTGTATCCTTTGAGCTCATCATCCCTAGACTTCCGCACAAGAAGGCTATGACCTGGAAAGCACGAGTACAATTCAGGTTGCGATTATCGAAGAGTTAACCATGGTGACGATTAAGGATCTCTCCGTTCGCAAACTCGACAGTCGAGCAAGCTTGAGCCGCGATGAGCGCGCCAAGGGACGACTCGTCAGCAGGACGCGAGACCGGCCGCATGGATGGCCAAGCGTTGGATACGAGCTAAGCAGAAGAAAGTCGCTACCATTCGACGAGTTCAAATACGCTAGGGTTTATTTGGAATAACTGTCTCTAAGTGACGCCACGATACTCTCAGGGAGGCAAGACTCAAGATGTTACGCTTCTTTCGAGGCGGCCATACTTCTGAGAACGAGAGCAATCTATCTCGGTCCGCTTCCACCACAACGAGGCCTGTTTCCACTTAGTGTACCAACCACATATACAAACAGGATCCGCCTTCTCAGGATGCACAACAACATAAAACTCCTGGGCTACCTTCTCAGCATCCCTCGACCGCCCAATGATGCCCAACCGCAACAACCAGCGCAGTCTCCTAGATCGGTAACCCCAGCTTCACATCGGCAACAAACACCGAAGCAACATATACCCCGTCAATAGTCGGTACTGCCGACAGCAACCCGGCCTTCGCGCGAGCCGACTGAGTAGATGACATATTCGACGACCTAGCCATTGCCCTTTGACTGAGCACGCTCTCCATGCTGGGGGCGGGCGGCGAGCCATATCGGGCATTCGTCGACGAGTGTGTTCCGCGCGGCGATCGTGGGTGGCGCGGTGAGTTGCTGGATGTAAATTGCGAGTCGAAGAAGGACGATGGCATGTGATGGGCAGATGGGTAGTCCGGTCGCTGCTGCGTTTGGCGCAGGGAGGTATCACCCGAAACTCCAGTCCGGGGGGCCCAATCCCCAAGCCGGGTATCCCGCCTCCACGAATCTCGCAACCAAAAACACCTCCGGCACGGCGTGCTCGCCTGCGACACACATTGCGTCCTAGCCGGCCGCGGAAGTTGCTACGGCGCGCCCATGGAAGCGCTCGTTGCAGCGCATATATACCCTGTATCACGGCTGGATGATTGGATTTCGGGTGGGTGTGAGAGGTGGGCTGCAACTGGGACGGAGGAGGGAGATGGAGTTGAGGTTGATCCAGCGGATGTTGCGCCGAGGGGGATGCTCTCTGTGAAGAATGAGGTGCTGCTTTCGGTTGACCGTGCATGGTGCGTTTTGTAATTTTAGTTATCACCAGGCGATCCTTACCTTCATGCCCGGGCCCGGTCAGCAGGCTTGGGACTAATTTGCCCACGACGACTTGGAGAGCCTGATGGAGCATGAGGACGCGGAAGAGGTGCTTGAGGCGGAGTTTGGGAGGCGGGAAGTCGTTCTTATGGCAGTTGACGGGAGCGTCTCGCTCCTTGCCTCACAGTATGCCTTTCCTACCTACACAATTATTTGACTGAGCGAGTATCGTTCCATACTGCTACTACTAACTCTTGCTATACACAGGCGTCTTGCAATTGAAGTAAGCTGGAGTTTGCGCAGTCAAAGCAAGTAGGAGTGGAGACTCCATACATCCAAGCTGGAAGTGTCACGCTCGCTCGGCGAACTTCCTTGAATCGCTGCGAGCAGCGCCTTGCTTCCCCAGACCCTCAATCTCAAACGCGGCTCTATGGGTACGTTACACACAGATGACCTGACTCAGGAACCTCGACGTCGTTCCCAAGAATAGGCCGACCTCCGCTGGTTGAGCGTTGTGCGGATGAAGGCCTGCCAAGCGCTCATGGCATCCTCCGTTCAGGAACTCAACGTATAGGAGAGAAAGGATCTGGCTGTTCTTGTTTCATCATGAGTCAAGCACGTGGTAGACAGAGGACGACTCCTTCGGGGTCTGTTCACGTCTCCATACCGTAATCGGCTGAATCCAGCAGGGCACTTTATCCGTAACCCTGACAGCGTTCGTGCAGTCTCAGTGCTTTCGTCGGCCTGTTGCGTCCCTGACGATCGCGGGGTTGGCACCGCTCACTGGTCGCTATTTGTGGACTTTCTCTAGGCGAGAAGGCTGGGCGTTTCAGGTATATACTGCGCTTGTCGTGACGGCTTGGCAACGCCTCAGGAGGACCCTTACCCAGCCAGTTCGGCGAGGCGAGGGTGGTTTATAAATAATATGCGTCCGTCTGAAGTAAGTATTTGTTGCAGCGGTGCTGACGAACCACTAAGTCAAGATGAAGAACTTCTCCACGCTCACAGCGCTGGCGCTGTCCACCCTTCTTCCCCTACAGGTCACTGCGCAGATCCGCGTGCGCTTCAACCCCTCAAACATCCGCGAGCTCGTCGACTCGGACTTTCCGGCGCTGGTCGTCGAGAGCGAGGCGCAGAGCTCGTCTGGGGGCTTTGGCGGTGCAAACTTCACTGTGTCTGCCCCAGAAGGATCGTACCTCGAGGGTAACTACTACAAGTACCAGTACACCCGAACAGTCTCGCATCTTGGTGAGCGTGTTGTGAATACGGGTATTACGACGTCGGAGGATAATCCGGGTCCGGTTACCCTTGCGATTACTGGGCTCGAAGAGGGCGAGCATAGTTTGTTGACGTGGCATAACCTTTGGGACAACAGTGATGGGCCTGCGGACGTTGACGTCGCTGTTGGAGGGGAGACTGTTGCGAGTGTATGTTTCTTACATCGCAAGCGTCCTACAGTTGCTGACTTAGCAGGGCGTTACGCAATCCGTCCGCATCGATAACATCTGGGAGGCTGCTACCTCGTACATCACCTTCTCCGTTGGCTCACCCGACGAAACCGTTGAAGTAGTCTACACGCCAAGCGGAGGCGACGGTCGAGTTTACCTCAACGGCTTCGAGATTGATACCCCTGCTATTGAGAACCAGGTCTCCTTCCCAACGCCAGCGCATCGTGATGAGAGACTTCAGCCAGCTAATGGCACCAGTATTGTTGCCTCATGGGGGGCGCCTACGGGCATTGAGTCGCCGACGTATACCGTATACTTGTCCAGTAACAATGGTAACTTTACCCAGATAGCCCAGGATTTGGATAAGACAGAGATGGAGCTCACAGGTCGGTACCACCCTACCATTGGTATGCTTGGAAGCTGATCAAAGCAAGGTCTTAACAAGCTTGATACCTTTTACTGGCGTGTCGATGTCGTCAACGGCGAGACAGTCTATCCCGGACGTCCGTTCATGTTTCGCCTCGCACACCTCGCCTTCCCAGGTGCAGAGGGATACGGGTTTGCCAACCTTTCTCCAATCACTCTGTACCGAACTAACTGTAATAGACGCTTTGCTCGCGGCGGTCGCGGTGGCAAGGTCGTAAAGGTGACTAGTCTGGAGGACAACGAATTGCCCGGCACACTCCGCCATGCATTAACCATCGAAACGGGCCCACGCATTGTCATCTTCGATGTCGGCGGCGTAATCACCACGACCTCTCGACTCTCTGTCAATACCAACTACATAACCCTCGCGGGGCAAACTGCCCCCGGAAAAGGCATTGCAATCCAGGGCTATCCCCTTGGCCTCTCCGGCGCATCGGACGTAGTCTTCCGCCACATCCGCGTCCGCCCAGGGACCTCCTCCGGCGCAACCGTCGACGGAATGGGGATGTCCGGATCAAACTACTGCATCTTCGACCGGTGCTCCATGGGCTGGGCGATTGATGAGTGCTTCTCGTCACGCACGGCCAAAAACATCACCTTTCAGCGGAATATGATTTCCGAGCCGCTTAATGTTGCGGGGCATCAGAATTATCCGGAGGGAACCGCGCATGGGTATGCGGCGACGGTTGGTGGAGATGTCGCGAGCTTGCATCATAATCTTATTGCGCATGCCGAGGGGCGCAGTTGGAGTATGGGGGGTGGGGTTGATGATAATGCGGCGTTTGCGGGGAGGTTGGATATTCGGAATAATATTGTTTACAACTTTGGTACAATCCAGCCTGTCCTTGGTTGTTGGCGAGGGCAGTGTGCTAACCAAGTATAGGAGGCCGAGTCACAGACGGCGGCGCAATGGAAGTCAACTTTGTTGGAAATCTGTACAAACAGGGTCCAGCGAGTGAGCTCACATATGCGCTCTCAGCTACTGTACGTGCCCCCGTCAGGTATTGATCTACTAGAGCTAACAGGTAATAGTACGAAGATGACATGCCCGGGAGCCAGCAGTACCACTGCGCAGGAAACTCCATGCCGGGCATCTTCAACCAGGATTCGGTGCAGTTCGTCGACGACGGCGAGGGCCAGACATCCGAAATTGCATGCTATGCTGATGTATCCATTGATCCGGCGCCCTCATACCAGAAATTCTTCGACGAGCCGTTCTTCCCGTCGTACATTGAGGAGCATACCTCAACGGAGGCGTACAAGCGCGTTCTCTCAGATAGTGGTGTCTCACAGCCTGTGCGTGATGACCACGACGCACGAATAATCCAGGAGACCCTCGAGGGCAGTTACACGTACTCGGGCTCTGTCTCCGGTAAGCCTGGCCTGATCGACAATGAAGCTGACGCAGGTGGTCTAGAGGATTTCCCTACTGTGACCCGCAGCGCAAGCTGGGATACCGATGACGATGGAATTCCGGACTGGTGGGATGGCTCGAGCGGTGGCGAGGGGTACACTCCTATCGAGGGATACCTTAACTTTATGGCGGACCCGCACGTCTTTGTTGTACCTGGTGGTGAAGTGGAGATTGACCTGGCCCGCCTTGCCCTTGGCTTTGTAGATCCGACGTTCACAGCCGAGAGTGGAATATTGGGCAGTGTTGAGGTTTCTGGTGGAATCGCTATCTATACCTCAAATGGAGATGCAGGGGTTGATCACTTTACTGTCCTTATTGAGGATAGCGAGGGGAGTACGTGGGAGCGGACGATCGGCGTTGCGGTATTCGAGGGGGCAGATGAGGTTGTGTAAATTGGGCTTGCATGAAGTAGTGACGTTATATATAGTAGTTGTGTCTATGTGTATATGTCCTTGATTCATGCATGACTTATCTATAAAGGTCAAACGGACAGGACGCACATACTACGTCTCTCAATTCCCATAAGGATGCCCCATGCCCGATGCCGATCAGGAACCACATTAGTCACTCACTAGCCATGGGCTTCGCACTTACTATGAAACATTGGACAGAGCCAGGGTCAAAGCAGGACACCATCACACCATAACCCGCTGCGAATAGTTATTGTTTGCGGTTCGCAGTCACAGCTCATGTACTACATAGAGACACGCCACGGGCTGACCTCGATATATCTTTCACTCCAGAACAGGTGCTCATGGAGTGAGTTCTGCAATTGCCAGACTTATTATATTTGCAGTAGCTTAGCGAGGGCATGTCTTGTGGTTGATAACAACGGAGCAATCAGAATACTTGGGGCATAGCCGAGGAAAAAGCATTTCAAAGCTCTACTGTAATGTCCGGCTGGATACGAGGTAACCCAGCCACTGTGTCCAGTGCATCGGCTCAAATAATTCGCCCAACGCTAGACTACCAGTCTACTCTTATCGAAACAGCAAAGTTTCGGTTGGTGTCCAAATAAGAATCTAATCCACGCGGCTCGGATGGACTAACGCTCCGACGGGACTCGGGACTCGGGGCAACCACACCCCATCCATTTTGCTTTGGGACACCCTTGCCCTACGATGACCTCGGAGCCTTCACTGCCGGCCCCTCGTATAGGGATATCTGTGAGTACCCACGTGAATAAACTCCCAGCTGTGCAACGCCACATTGGCCGGGTTATCGCCAAACTCCGGCTCCTGATTTTTTTTTATTCGGTCAAGGTTCTTTTGAAGCCATGGCGATGTCGGGAACTTTCCATCCCTAACCAAGGCTACGTATAGATAGAGCGAGCTGGTTCCACTGTCCATGGCCCGAGCCTCCCGACCCGGATGGATTGACCATCCGCGCCGCAGAAGTGGAATTCCCCCACCCCCAGTGTGATGCGGCAGACGCAAGCCACTTGTGCCTAGTGAGAATCCACGGTGGTACCGGCGACTGGGAAATGTACACTGAGGTGTATCTGAGGGTATGAGCTTCCGGGGCGGGGGTTCGAAGAGAGCCACATGGAAAAATGAGGACATGAAATGTCTGTGTATTTTGTTCAACTGCAATGATGATGATTGAGATTACTGTAGGACTGAATCGGAGGGGGGCAACATATTAACAATTTCGCGTTATCAATATGGTTGAAGATCGTTGCGTTTGGTGGAGATTTTAATCCTTCGAGCCATGTAGTCCAGCCGGGCAGCGGGATGTTGGATATGCCGAGACAGTATCCCAGCTGGAAACAGATATACATACCCCCAATTTTCCCGATGTTGCTCCCTTCTTATGTCCAATCTACCCCATCGCATCGTCTGTATCCTCTACAGGCCCTACTCCATCCGGCAATATGGAATCAACCATCGCCAAACCACTGACGCTCAACTGCGGTCTGCAGTTGAAGAATCGCCTAGTCAAGGCTGCGCTGGTCGAGTGCATGGCTGATGAAAGTAACCTGCCTACGGACCTGCATACCAATCTTTACAGGCAGTGGGCAGAAGGAGGCTGGGGTATGGTTCTCACTGGTGCGTTTTAAAGACTTCATCCGTCAATAAACTATTTCTTGTTAGCACGGTATGTCTATCACGAGCTGAGCCTAACTGCTTGGTATCACATAGGCAGCGTCTCAATCGACAGGATGTACCTCACCGACGCCCGGGACAACAGCTACTACCCTTCAAACACAACCGCCTTCATCGCACGATGGCGCGCCCTAACAGACGCGTGTACAACATCCAGCCCCGGCAATACCACAGCGCTAATAATGCAAATCAACCACCCTGGCCGGCAATCCCCGCTCTGCGCCGGCTCCCGCTCCTTCACCACAAAGAACATCGCGCCCAGCCCCGTCCCCTTAAACCTGGGCTCCGGCCTCGTCGCCCGGTTCGCGAGCTCGCTTGCCTTTGGCACGCCGCGCGAGATGACCAAGACTGATATCGAGGATGTTATCCAGCGCCATGTGCACGCAGCGCGGCTAGCGCGCGAGGCTGGGTTCCACGGTGTGCAGCTGCATGCTGCGCATGGGTATCTCTTTACCCAGTTTTTGGGTAGCGGGACGAATCGGCGGACGGCGGACGCGTATGGTGGGTCGGTTGAAAATCGGGCGAGGATTGTGGTCGAGACGGTCCGTGGTATTCGTGATGCGCTGGGGGATGAGTTCTGTGTTGGGATCAAGTTGAATTCCGTGGATCATCAGTCGGGCGAGGCGCTGGCCGAGTGTTTGGTGCAGCTTAAGATGATCATTGCTGCGGGGGTGGATTTTGTGGAGATTAGTGGGGGGACGTATGAAGATCCAGCGGTAAGTCCTCTCTCTCAAATACGCCTGCATAGGGACCTCCTAGACACAAGCAACTAAAACATGGTATAGATGATGCAATCAGCCTCACAACCACCAACAGAGAACTCAAAATCCGCGCGAACTCTCGCACGAGAAGCCTTCTTTCTCGAATTCGCCCGCGCAATCCGGCACGAGATCCCCGACACGCCGCTGATGGTGACTGGCGGATTCCGCTCTAGAGCAGGCGTCGTGGCTGCAATTGCCGAGAGCGGGTGCGACCTCGTTGGTATTGGACGCCCCTCGGTCCTGAGGCCTTCTCTGCCGAATGATATCATTCTCAATAGAGAGGTGGGTGATGAGCAGGCTGTCTTCCCGACGAAGCCTGTTGAGGCGCCGTGGGTGGTTAGGATAGCTCAGATGCCTGCCGTGGGGTCGGGGATTGAGTCGGTGAGTTCCTGCACTTCTGGTCTCAAGATTCCACTATCCTATATTGTCAATGGCTAACCAAATTGTTCTCCAGAGATGGTATAGTGGTCAAATGCAGCAACGGGCCCGTCGAGCTGTGGATGCGGCAGCGTAAGGAGATGGGAGGCAGGTGATAAGGTACTTGAGCTAGATAGCGTATTGCGTTTCAATTTCAATTATGTGCAATCACACTTAATACTTATCTACTTATAACGCGGTATACCCGCCATCAACTGGCAGCCCAACTCCACTTATCCATGTACTTTCCTCCGAGACGAGAAACAGAGCGGCATTGGCTACGTCTTCTGGTTTTCCTAGACCGCGAAACGGGTGCTTTTGCTGCACGACGGCGCGTTGTTCGGGGGTTAATGATGATATAAATGCGGTATCTGTATCTGTATCTCGGGAATACAGAATCAGCATTTGCATGAGCGCCGAAAGCGATGGGGAATACTTACACCCCGGACAAAGCGCATTAACATGAATCCTCTGCGACGCACAGTCCATCGCCGCCGCCCTCGTAACACCCATAACCGCGTGCTTGGACGCCACATAGCCCGCAACGTACATCGATCCCTGAAGTCCAAAGATACTCGCGATATTGAGGATCCAGCCTCGATCTCCACAGGGTAGAGGCTGCTGCTTGATCATTTGTGCCGAGGCGTATTTGCAGCCGAGAAAGACGCCCGTGGAGTTTACAGCGATGTCCTTGTCCCAGACTTCCTGCGAGAAGTCCCAGATAGGTTTTGGGTTGCTGGATTCGAGGGCGACGCCGGCATTGTTTATCATTCTATGATTAACCCGCAGTTAGATACTGCATGACCACTGATGGGGGCAAAAAAGCAACGTCGATGAAAGGTCCATGACGCCTCAAGGACTAAACAAATAGGGAAAGTTCAGCCTACATATCCAACCTTCCAAACTTCTCGACGGCGTGCCTAACCACATTCTCCACTTGCGCCGCATCCGTAACATCCACCTTGACAAACTCAGCAGTCCCTCCTTGCGAGACGACCGCCTCATGTGTCGACAATGTATCCTCTTTGGCTGTCTCATGAATGTCCGCGCAGATAACAACGCACCCTGCACTGGAGAGCTTCAGCGAAATCGCGCGACCGATTCCGCCTGAGGAGCCGGTCACAATGGCAATCTTTCCTTCGAGACTTTGAGCCATGTTTGTGGTTTCGCAACGGATAAGCTTCGGTCTGTGGGAAGATACGAGGAGCTTTGGAAGAGTCAAAGTTAAGGTGGTATATATAGGTCTCCTCAAGATATTGGCATAAGGCGGGGGATCATCAAGAATGTGGAGAACAATGCCGTTGTACCCCGCATAATTGTCCGAGGTAAGTTCAATCTGGCCCGGCGCGGGGTCCAGCTGATGGAGGTATTAACTGTGTGTGGTGCGGGGTACTAGATGCTTGGCTATGTGTTTATTCGAGATACTGCAGGATCTATGCAAGAATATGGTCTGAAGCAGCGACACCAAGCGGGTACAGTTGTTCCTGTATAGAATGGGCACTGTATTATCCGGTTGAAGGTTTTTTTTCCGTCGGGATGCCCTACTCCCTGGTATTCGTACTACAGTCTACGAAATCGGGCAGGAACCAAACCCGGCCGTGGTCTCATACTGGACAACCATAGTGCAAAAGGCAAATTCAGGATATCATTTCATCATAAAATACATGTCCACGTGAAACTCCCAACCTAGCCTCCATCCTCATCTACATCGGCTTAGCATCATCCCCTGTCAATCACTTCCATATCAAGCTCATCGCATGGAAAGTTTAGTGCTTAGCGGCCTCTGTAGCAAGAAGAAAATCAGCAACCATTCATCCGTCCCAAGCCCATCATCGGGACTCATGGAAGGGAAATTACATACCCTTGTAGACATCGGCCTGAGTATCATGGACCTTCTCGTCCTTCTTGTCGAAGAGAGCGTCCTTGGCAGCGGTGGCACGGGTGGAGAGGTCGGCGTTGTTGTCCTTGGCGACTTCCTTGTTGACCTCCTTGGAGGCGGTGGCTCCGGCGCCCTGAATGGACTCGGTGACGTAGTTGACGGTGTTCTATAGACATTGTGGTTAGTATTGACAAGTCATAGGGAGTAAAGGAGATGGAGCTGGAGTTGTGAGTGGTAGTTGCGTACCTTGACGGTCTCCATTGTGGTTGTTGGTAGAAAAGTGGTGTGGTTTGGTTTGTGGTTTGTTGTTGTGTTGGTTGTTTGATCTTGTGTAAAGTTGAGCTCTTGAGTTGATGGATTGAAAGTTTTCCAGACGGGGAAAGAAGGACCCTTATATCCTCCATGATCCTGAATCCCCTGCGTCATCGCATCGCCTCCGTTCGCTGCCGAACCTTGGTCCGCATCCGATCAGGGGTCCCGACGTGATTCGTGACGTCATTTGGGATTCGAAGACATTCGCGTCAAATCATCGCTGCACTTTGCAACAATTCCGATCGAGATTCACCTGCCCCAGATGGACCAGTGACAGGAGTTCCAGGCACACCATTCAAGATTGCATGTTGCGCAAAAGGTCCCTCTAGGCCCTGATTATCCCGGGTTGTTGTTCAGCCGCTGACGCCATTTCGCCGTACGTCATCGGGTTGCAGAATTCTGGGTGGGTCCATTGGTGCCTCAGGCATCAAGCTTTCCTCCCGAGGCACCAACAACCGGATTTGGATTTCACGTGGTAAACCTTGAAGGTTAGAGTCGCTATGACGCTCTGGGTTGTTCGTGGAGGCGCCGTGCATACTTATCACGAGGTTGAGAAGGCATGATCATGGCTGCGATGGTGACGGCATCGAGACCAGGCATTGAGCCTCGGATGCCGACGCCGGTTGCCCACTATGCGAACCGACTATTCCCCGTCGAAATGAGATATGAAGGCAAGCAAGTGATAGGAAAGGACGCTAAGCGGCTGTGTATAGGCGCATATTGTTTTTAACAAGTTTCTTAATGTTCAACCAACGGTCCCGGTGTTGAGATTATCTCATCTACGAAAATATATACCTTTAGAATGGTCAGTCGTGAAATATATTTACACAAGGTGCACAGTAACCAAGACTATTACCTAGTCTAGGCCTCCTATCCGTTCAAAACAAAGCTAGACAGCCTCCCTCGGCTCTCCTGCAGGCTCACTCCCCAACCCTTTCTCCTCACTCCCACTCTCCTCCTCGGGATCCCACATACTCTCCCTCATAAACGGACTACTCCTCCGAATCGCCGGCCCCTTGAGCACAAGCACAATCGGCACAACACTCAACGCAACCGCAATAAACCCAAGTAGTGTCCCCGCCCACCCGAACCCCAAATTAGAAAACAACTGCGGACTCGCAAGGGGGAGGAACGCGCCAAACGAGTTCCGGCCGAGACTCGCTGCGCTGAGTGCGCTTGCCGCGTACCGCTCGTATGCGTCCGTCAGGTAGTTGACGACGGCCATGTAGATGGAATATATGCCAATTCCGGCGGCGGTTATGCCGATTGTGGGCACGATCCAGTGCACATCTGGTTGCGAGGCCCAACCGTACCAGAAGAGGCCGGCGGCGAAGAGTAAACTGCCCGGGATGGAGGTATATAGTCTCGCTTCAGGGATGGGACGGCCTTGTTTCTCGGGATTTCGCTTCGCGGAACGGAGATAGATCCAGTCTTGGAATGGATTAAACGCCGTACCGATAACGGCACCAACAGAAATCGCAAGCTGGACGATGCCCGTGGCCAATACGCCCCACCCGTAATTCTGCCCATACGTTTGCGGAACGCTACTGAAGAACAGATAGAGAATGCCCCAGGCGAAACTAATCCACAGCGTGAAGAAGATGACGACGGGTTCGGTCGTGAGCATGCGTGTTGGTCGCTGGAAGGAGATGCGGAGGAGGCGGAGGGTGCTGGGGGCGGATATTTCGGCTTGGGCGTAGATGGGGCGGCCGGTTTCTTTGCGGAGTTTTGCTGCGCGGCGCTTGAGGATCACGTCGGGGCGGGTCTCGCGGAGGATGAGCCAGAAGATGGGGAGGAGGGCGGCGTTGTAGATGATTTGGATGTAGAAGATCCTAACAAGTCTTCGTAAGTTGCTGCTTGATAAGATGCAGTAGTTTACGGAGAGGAAGAAAGGTACCATCTCCACGGATCATTCTTATGAATCTGGACAATTGCACTCCCGATAAACGGCCCTAGCGCAATGCCAACCACACTGGTAAACCCGAACAGACTCATAGGCAGACTTCTCGCCTTCTCACCATACCACACGTCACTGATACTCCCGCCGACGATATTAATACTGACCGAAGAGGCACCACCACCGAAAAATCTCGTCACGACGAGTGTAGCAAAGTTATTCGCAAATGCAGAGCCGAAAAGCGTCGCGATTAGAATAATGTATGCAACGAAATAACCAGGCATTCGACCGGATGACTCGGTTAGAGGGACGAAGATCAGCGGCCAGAAGGCGGCACCCATGTTCCAGGAGGTCGTTGCCCAGTATAGATTTGGGAAAGGCGAGTTTTGTACGTGAAATTGCGGTTCCATCCAGTTATTCCCTGAGCCGTACGTTCCAGCAGGCAGGCCCGTGAGGATTGAGCTGGAGATGAATGTTAGTTTGTGGTGTCTAGTGGGTAGGCAGGCGAGGAGCGTACATGAAACAGACAGTGACTGTCAGCAGCCATTTGTATTTTGTGCTCCAATTGAATCTGTTCATGTCAGCGACCTGTCTGGATCATATCGTGCAATAGGAAGTAGAGACAAGCGTACGGGTTATCGGGATCATCCTTGCCGTTCCACGTATGAATTTCGACATCGGTGCTCGATAGCTCGTTCGAGATGTCCTGATTCAACATGCCATAGATCCTGCAACTATCAGTAGCTCCTCCTTCGATGCAATCGAGATAGCGACAAACCTGGCCATAAACCGCGTCCCCCAGTTCCGCTTATCGGCAGGTTGTTCCTGGCCCATGGTCACGTATGCTGAGTAGAGTAAATGAGCACAAGATTCAGCTACCACTTCTCTTCAAACAAAAGGCAGCAGCTAGAAAAGAAGTGAAGGGATTGAAATAAGAAAAAAAAGGAGTTAAAAAATATTTCGTTAAACGCCGCTCGGTATACCGAAGCGTCGATCCAAAGCTCGGAACTCTCGGGTCGCGACGTCACTATGCCGTGATGTCACTATCTCTCGAGGGCAGATGTTTGGCTAAGGGACTCATGGTGGATATCTCAACCGGGCCCAGTGGATTAATGAGAATTCTTTGTTCTGTTTTCTTGATTACCAATTCTCCGACGATTTTCCAGCCAGTTATCCGAGCGGTCTCCAGGTCTTGTCAATGAGTGCCGACGAACATCCGAGCGCAAAGCCAACGGCCTGCGAGGCGAGAATGGAAAATTTCTCTGATATCCTGGAACTCGAGCAGGATCTGTATGAAACCTATGTGGCCCCTAATTAGAGTGCAAAACGTGGCTTGCGATCGCCAGAAAATGTGGTTTAGCGCGGCTTACGGCGGCCCACATAGCGTGCAGTGTGCCCTAAGTCTCTCTTCACCGGCTGGCCCAGCCTGGTTGTCATCAAAGGCAGTAAGGGATTTGTGGATCTTGTAAAAGTTTGCGATAACTACCTATTTTGTGCGCTCAGGGGTTTGCTGTGGTTGTAAGCAGTGATATCCACTAGTGGAATAGACAACGATATGCTATTCCGGAAAGAGATGTCCTTACTTAGGGGCACTCGAACTGTTCCTTACACCTCGTCAATCATGCCGCTGCTTGTAAACAGCAACCGTCGTCCCATCCTTCAGAACAACATGCTCAGGCACAAGCCTATACCCTCCGAGCTTTGGTAGAACAACTTGCCAGATTCCCCAATATACAACGCCAGCCACCAGCACGACAATTCCGACAACTGGATACAACCAATACGGCAAGCTCGTATCGCCCTTCCCACCAGGCGGCCGGATAAACGGCGCAACAACCTGGAACGCCTGGCCCGCCATGAAGAAGACGGCCACGGGCCACCAGACCCTGAATGGCCGGTGTAGATGTGGCTCGCTCCAACGGAGATAGAAAAGCCCTGCCACGACGAGGAAGTTTATTATACTTCCTGGGTAGCCCTCGAGGTCGAGGATAAAATTATAGGCGTCGCCGAAGGGGATCGCGACGATCACGATAAGGGATGGGATGAAGTGCAGAAGCAGCCCGGCGGATGGCGATCCGAAGGGCCAGGACGAAGCCCAGAATGTCGGAAAGGGGATTACGCCTTCTTTCGCCAGTTCTTGGTTGACGCGCGCTTGTGCGAATGTTACTGTCATGACGTTTCCAAAGGCAGATAATGCGACGAGAACGCTAGACTACTATCAATGCTCTGTAGGGTTCCAGAGTGTTGAAGGAAACTATACCTGAGTGCCCGCGAGGCAGCGGTGCCAAAAACCTTCTCCATGAAGTATGAGGCGACTGTGACGCCGCTGCTGGCAATCTCCTCCGGTGTCGCAGCCGCATAGTAGGCAACATTCGCGAGCATGTACAGCACGCCGCAGATGGCGAGACCTGTTGGCGCGGCGATCTTGAGAGTTCGGACGGGGTCGCGGATCTCATTGAGGACGTATGCTGCGTTGGACCAGCTACCTCCCGTTTAGCATTCGGAGGTCCAGGCAGGAGGTGTAACATACCCTGCAAATGAGTTCAATACCTTGAACAACGCCGTCGCGTATAAGTTACTCGAAGTCGCCGAGCCAGCGAAGGCGTTATGGAAACTGGCGTATGGATCCTGTACGCTGTGTACGCTACCGCTGAGAACCACCCATCCTGTAACCACAATGAAGAGGAGGAGCACCACTTTCATTACACCGATCGCATTCATTCCCCGGACACCCCAGTTGGGCAATAGGATGTGGATCAGCGTAATGAAGCTGATAACCGCGATGGCAATCCCACGCTTCTCCCACTCCGAGGCAGTCTTTCCTGATGCGAGAACCATATTCGAGGCGAAGACGATACATCCCGAGGCTACGGGAGTCAGTTCCACAATTCATCAAGAGGCGGACGGCTAAGAAGTGTACCAGTGAATCCCAGAGCGACAGCTTGAACAGCAAAGACAACAGTAATAAGGAGTCTCGGCCGACGATACGCAGCTTCGAGGTAGACCTTCTCCCCTCCGCTGCGTGGTATCATACATCCGAGTTCTAGCCAGACTGCTAGACCGGAGCCGGCGAGGAGGAGGCCCAGCACCCATAGGAGCAATGCAGCGCCGACGCTTCCTGTGCTACTTGTGATAGACGAAGGCGTGGAGAAAATGCCGGTTCCGATAATGCGACCAACACTTGGACAAGGTTAGTTCACAGAAATGACCCGGAGAATGTTCAATGGAGCCCAACGGACATCAGGAAGATTGTCGAGAAAACACCCAAGTGCCGGCCGAGACCACCCTGCGTGTACTCGTCGAAATTTAATTCACCGACTCGGGGAGCAGGGACATCGGGCTCTGCAGCATGTTTCTCAGCCGCAGCCGCATATTCAGGCTCGTGGCCAGATATTCTGAAGTCTGCGTCCTTCTGCGTGTAAGCCATCTTGCCAAGCGAGAGGTCGAAGGCTTGTCGAAGCTTATGCGCCGATCAATCTTGGTATGGGTCGCATCTTTATACGTCTTGCACTTTGTGAATGGCCATTGGCCCTATAATGGCGTGATTGTGTTCGCCATACTTGCATAAGGTGGGACACGTCTGCCTAAATGTGATGAGCCAGCTGTAATGTAACCTTATGAAGCGCAGGTAGCAGCCTCCAGCGCCCAGCGGGAGAGACCGCACATCCCGCAATAGGCACAGGAGCCTAGGCGTGATTTTATTTCGCAATTCAATCGCTGTTATCTTTGACTCTTGCGGACATATCCGCGTGGCACAGATCTCCTTACCCACTTCGCCCGAGGCTTGATGGTTTAGTTCGCCGGGGAGCGCCATGCACTTACGTTGCCGCCCCCACTTGAGTCTATGGCGTGCTTAACCGCTGCGATGTAGTTTTTTATCGGCAGGGCATGGTCTCATATGGGCGAATGATCGGAATCTCAGCTCATTTTTGGGAGGACAAACGGTACCCTTTTGTTTCCTATTGTTTTACAGGCACGTCCGAGTACGCCAAATCGCTCTCGTCGGTTGTCCTGGTTGATAGAGGACCAGATTCCGGTCATCCTGAAGAACCAGAAAGCAACCAGCATGGCCTTCGCTGGACGGTCAGTCCTCCATAGCGCCCTGTTATCTCTGTCACAGTGGACGACATTGCGATCATCCTAGCCGACAATTCGGTACGGAGGATGGCCCATCCCATCTGTCGATGAGCTCCAAAACACACTGTTCTTAGGCCCATAGAGCACGACATGCCCATCGCCTTGGCAGATGAACCAGTAGAGTCTATTATCCGATTAGAGGTAGTCGCCCTCATACATTGTCTGATTTGGCATTTATAGCCGCGAACCGAGATTCTTCCCGGGCGCGGTAGGACGGTCCAGGGATAGATCGCGGAGCTCATGGAGGACTTATCAAGTAGGCTGTCGGCCTTTGATTCTGCAACTTTCTCAATCGTCATGTTGTCGTGGAATGTTGTTTATATGTCCCTTCCACGATCCGATACTGGTCCCAGCTTGCGCGGCGTATTTGATGACGAAGGCATTGACGCCACCGGTTGTTTTATACTGCACGACATGCTCAAGCTCGTGTAACATCCACTGGACATCACTCCTGTCAGGGTTCATCCGGTCGAGATTCAGCTTTCTCGGGAAATGAACACAGTACCCGAAAGTGAGTGCGTTTCCAGCCTGGAGAGTATCGAGGCCTCCCACATAGCTGACTCTTGAGAGATCAGTATCGTAAGATGCCGTCTCCTGAAGAATCAATTTGAGCCACCGTGGAAGGTGTCTGTATTTGCCCCTTGCCTGACTCTCTACATATTCGATATATAGCCTAGCAATGGGGTTGCCAATGGCTTCGTTCCAGAATGGCTGGAGGACGTATTCATCGATGTTTGGCAGCTGCTCGCGCACTTCTGAATTCTTGCCGACCGGATCCAGATCTTCCCACTGTAGCTTCTGGATCTTCTTCAACCAGCCTATCGGACGTCGAGATAGGATTGCGACAAGAGAGAGATTTTGGTTCATCGGGTTTCACCTGAGAAGTAACAAAACTGGAACAATTTGGGGCGAACTGTTTCTGGAAGTCGAAGGAGATCACCAAGCTTATATTGGTGCACATGGTAATAGCAGTCTGGGCCCGGCGCAGGATGTGTGGTACGCTGTAAAGCAGAAGATCGACGACGAAGATACTCGGAAACGTATCGACCCTACTGGATTAAATGATACGCTGACTGTCGTGTCCGAAGTGCATGATATAAATTACCATCCACGGTGTACCAAACCCCATTGTTCTCGGCATCGCCGCCATGCTCCACCCAATATCCGCATAGGACTTTCCACGGCCGGTCCACGGTGTGCAAATAGTCCTGCAAACTTTTTGATACCTTCATAGCGTACTATTGAGATTGAGAATACGGAAATTCGACGTTTCATAGGATGATTTGAACGCCACGCCGCTCGAGGGGCAAGATCCTTGAACGGAGCGTCTGCGAAGGTAATTTTGCGGTTGTCACCATGGCTAGAAGAAGGCCTTCGTTTTTCAGGGCTCTTGCGCTCCACGCAATCAGAGGGAGACCATCGTGACTGAAACCGAATTGATTGTCTGGCGCTGGGCTTTCTGATCGTCGTCGAGTACCAGCACACAGCTTGTCGGGGCGTACCGACTATCTTGCTGAACTGTGTGCTGGCAGCTGCAGTAAGCGAAGTCGAAATGACCTCCATGTTGGGGCGTAGTGATGGCGACAACGGTAACACAGACTTGCGCTGTCGCCCATTCGATTCAGCCTCGTGGGGCAGAACTGCCGCGGCGTTCAACCACAGCCTCACCCTTGGGTCTGGAAAGCACGAGATGGCATCCAATTGAATTTGGTATGTAGATACGCCGCAACAAAAAGGACCTCAAGTCGTGGAGAAGCAAGGAGGGTAACTCGCCCAGCGTCGATCTGTTTGGAAAGAAGGATGGTTACCCGGCCGCATGGACCGCCGTGGGCTTCGAAGCCTGCCTGGCCCGACAGTCAACCGCTCCCAACCAAGCTTCCTACCAACTTTTCCGTCCCCCGATTGGCCCTCAGATTGCCTATACGGCTGTGAAGTTCATTCGCCAGCTCTGAATATGCGGCGCTTATCGAAACCACCAACTGGCAGCTGTGGGTCGAGCCTCTCGTGAGCTACGCCTTGCCGCAGTCATAACATCGCGAACTGCCGCCCGACTCTCGAGTTTAATACACTCCCTCTGCTTCGTTCTTTCTGGCGCCCCATCAAATAACTCTCTCACTTGCAGTGACATTCCATCTAAAGCTACTTTCTCCGGGATTTCGCATACTTGTCGGTTCTTCAACCAAAGCCAACCGCCCTTCGTTCATCGTCTCATTTCCCTTCCTCCAGAACGCATCCTCAGCCATACTGTCCATCAAATACGAATAATGAGTCCAAAGCGTCAGTTACGCCATGAAAGCTATTCCGTAGCGTTGATCTGCCCGCTGGAGGTAGAATTAAGCGCCGCACGGTATATGCTTGACGAAGAGCACGAGCCCCTAACACAGAATCCTCACGACCATAACGTCTATATTTTAGGAACTATGAGCGGGCACAACGTGGTCATTGGATCCTTTCCTCGCGGAGATATGGGCCTGACGCGAACGGCGGTAATTATAGCACACCTTACTAGGACGTTCGTCCAGGTCGAACTATGTTTGCTCGTTGGGATTGGCGGAGGTATCCCTAGCACTGCAGCTGATATTCGTCTCGGCGACGTTGTTGTGAGTGATCCAGAAGGGAGGTTGGGCGGGATAGTGCGGTACGATTGTGACTACAACATGACAGAGGCTCCCCAGGGCAAGAAATACACGCCCACACCAGCACCGGAACGAGGTCCTGTCCTGGCGAAGATGCGGTCTGACCATCGGGCGCGAGCGCATCGCATTGATGAGTTCATCTGGGACATGTTTGGGCGATACCCTCTGCTCAGAGAGCACTATAGCAGACCACCAACATCCAGTGATTTGCTGTTCCCAACTGACTACTGGCACCCGAACAACGTGACCACATGCGCGTCCTGCGACAAGGGAAGGGCTCTTGTACGTAGTCCTCGCTCATCGCCCAAAACATCGCGAATATTCTACGGGATTATCGCTTCGGGAAATTCAGTCATAAAGAATGGGGTTACGAGAGACATCATCGCTGAGGACTTTCAGGGAGCCCTATGCTTCGATATGGAAGCTGCTGGTACTTTTGGCGACCTGGCATGTATCGTCATTCGGGGTATTGCGGACTATTGCGACTCGCACAAGAACGATGAGTGGCATGGATACGCTGCTGCTGCCGCGGCAGCGATGGCCAAGGAGATTTTAACCTATGCAGCGCCGATGGGTATATGCTCCTGTCTTCATTATTGTCATTGCGCTGACTGTTGATTAGGACCGGACCTTTCCCCAGACCACGCACTGTCTGTACGCAAAAAGAATATTTTGAACAAACTACAGTTGCGGGCATATCAGGACGAGAAAAACTCACACGCACGTCCGATTGACGCAACATGTCAATGGCTGACAGTTCACTCGTCCTTTGAGCAATGGGTGGGCGGGAAGACGCCAGGGCTCCTTTGGGTCTCTTCAGACCCCTGGACCGGAAAATCCGTACTGGCCAGGCACCTTGTCGACGAAGTACTCTCGAGCTCACCAAGCAGAACAGTCTGCTATTACTTCTTCACTGAAGATTACGAGGGCTCACGTCTCTCGCGCGCCATGTGCTGCATTCTGCATCAGCTGTTCGAGCAACAGCCAGAGCTTATTTCCGAATCGGTGCTCACTACATTGGAGTCAAAAGACGTGCCCCACTTTATGCTATTCAGTGATTTGTTTGAAATGCTCATTGATGTTGTTGGGCATCAAGACGGAGAAGTCATACTTGTGCTCGATGCGATCGACAAGATCGCCAGCTATGAGAGGGAAGAACTGGTCAACGAGCTGGTCCGCCGGTTCGACGCAGCCGCCATTCCCAACTTGAAAATTTTGTTCACAAGCCGACCATGTTCCACCACTCAAAGAAGCATCCAGGCCTTAAAGAACAAGAATCCTTCCATCCACATATGCGGGGATGACCGCATACCAGCTTATCAGATTTCGAAGGACATTGGCACTTACATTCGACACAGAGCGTCTCAGCTCGCTACGCGGCGTTGTCTTCTTCCACACGAGCACATTTTCCTCCTCGGCCAATTGACCTCAATCCCGAACAAGACATACCTTTGGGCGAAGTACGTTATCGACGAGGTCGAAGCAGCGGTGGCAATCACCACGGGCAGCATACGCGCGATGGTGGGGAATCTGCCTGATCGTGTGGGACGGGAGTACAGTGAGCTATTGGAATGGTCTGCCGACTATGGCCCGGCCAGAACCATTCTACACATGGTCATGGCGGCTAAGAGGCCATTATCTTTAAAAGAGCTTGCGGGTGCGTTGGAGGCGCTTGGAACAGAGCATGTCCAGGTTGAGCCTATGCATCGATTCAGGTACAGTATCCGAGGTATATGCGGGTTCATCATTACTACAACCGACAACGTTATACGATTGGTGCACCCATCTGTCAGAAAATTCCTTCTCAAACAAAAACACGACGGATATCCCTCATATACAGCATGGGAAAAGTCCTTGTGGCCAGGCGAGTCACATCGAATCCTTGCCGAAGCCTGCGTCAAATACCTGCACTTCACCTACACCGGTTCTTATGATGGAAAGTGGGATGAGCTTGTCTCTATGGTTCCGAAACACCCTTTCCTGCAATATGCCGTCCAAAACTGGCACCACCACGTCCGTCTAGCCGACCTAAATGACGACAGTCCAGTTAATGAGCTCGTCCTCGACCTTCTGCGCCGCGACGATGAAGTTCCATACTTCTGGTTCATGAATGACATGTTTGATATATACAGAGGCAGGTGGACTCCGTTGATGAAAGCCTCGTTTCTTGGACTTTCCCAGGCGGCGACAATGCTGTTACAGTCCGACGACCTCAAGTTAAATTCTGTGCAGAATAACCGTTCACCCCTATCACTCGCCGCAGAGAATGGTCATGAAAGTATCGTCCAGCTACTGCTCGACGCGTCTCACCGCCAGGGTATTTTCTCGCGGATGTTCAATAGCCTTCGCATCGATGCCCCAGATACTCTTGGAAGGACGCCACTATGGTACGCCGCAAATGGAGGACACGACGCCGTCGTCAGGCAATTACTGAATACAGGCAAGGTCAACCCCGACCGCCGGGACATGGACACCATGACACCCCTGGGGTGCGGAGCGGCAAACGGCCATATCCAGGTCGTACGGCTCCTAGCTGAGCGCGGACTCCATCTCAACACTCCTGATGGTCATAGGAGGACCCCACTATGGTACGCGGCAGACGGAGGGCATGCGGAGGTTGTCAGGTTTTTACTTGGTACAGGCAGGGCCGATCCAGATCACAGCACGGGATCTATCACACCCTTAATGGCTGCAGTGGCGAATGGCCATATTGAGGTCGTGCGGCTACTCGTTGAGACGGGGAAGGTCAATCTTGCGGTTCGAGATAGGAATGAGACGCCGTTGATGCGTGCGACACGCATGGGTAACGAGGAGATTGCGTGTATTCTGCGCACGGCAGAGGCCAAATCTCATTCAAAGACCAGCACGATGGATCCGGATGCTCAGAAAGAGAAGGGCGTGCTTACCACTACCAAGGAAATGAGCCTGTACTCTGACGAAGATGATACAACGGTATTTGGCGACGATGCCACTCTACCCTGGACACCACCTACCCAGCTTGATATGACCAGTCCTTTGGCTGAGGAGGAGTATAAACCCACACCATTTGATATTGCTGTTTCAAAGCTCCGAGTCCGGAGATGATCTTGACATGCCTGTGCCTTCAGGACTAACGAGATACGGCTTACGATCTATGATTTTGTTTTTTACCCCCATCTTTTGCTCTATTTTCCTGCTTCTCCGCTTACTTGCCGCGCATACCGCTAATAAATTGTTCTTGCAGTTCTTTCAAAGCATTACTCCATTCTATAGCGTCTTTTGAATCAACAGTGGTCCCTCCGAAGACCCGTATTCCTCTCCACGCCGTCCTCGCTACTCCTTATCCTTTAGCAAATGACACTTGGCCTTATACGTACTGGCCTCTGGTATATTGGGAGGGCATCAAAGTCCTCACGTCCAGCAATTATATTGCTCAGCGGGTTATCTCTTCGCATTGTGTTTACCGTTGATACAACTCACGCAGATAATCATAGACGCCTTTCATGGATGTACCTCACCTACCAGCCTAGCTCAAAGACGTCCTCCGTAGGTCGGCTGACGGGATAGATGACAAACAACACCTCTCAGTTCTTGCTCTGCAGTGGAAATCGGTGATGGAATCCAGGTTTCTATTTCTAGCCAAGGAAGTTTGCGATAAAGACTGGGACTCCTCGCACAGCGACGGCTCTTCACTCCAGAGCTACTAGAGCCTAGTCCACCTGATATGAAGAAGAAAACAATAGAGGAAGAGAAGAAAATAATTGCAACATAGCAGGATATCACATACAAATCACATCACATAGCCATACATCATACACTTCTACCCCTCCTAAAAATCGTGTACAACCCCATCCTTAATCGCCCCCCGGCGATCAATCAGTGCTCTAGCGCGAACATACGGATCCAACTTCCAGTAACTCTGTCGGAACCTCTCAATAACCTCAGCGCGCCTCTCAGCAAGATGTTTCGCGGCCTCCTTCTCGCCCTCCTCACCGGACTTCTTCGCCGAGTGTGAGGCGGAGATCCACGCCGCAGTCGACGCGACGAACTCCAGGCCCGTCATCATCCGGCTGACCATCGCTGCGTCGCCTGCGGCTTTATCAGCCATGAGGGCGTTCTCATCGGCGAGGGGCTCGATGTATTTGTATGTGAATTCTTGGTCGCCGCCGAGCTCCTTGGGGATTTTCTCGCGGGGGATGAATTTATCGAGGTCGTTGATGTTCTTTGTGAATTGGACTTTGGAGGCGACGACGGGGTCCATCCAGCCGTGGATGATCTTCCAGATTCCTGCATACGTGGAGTCTAGTCAGTCTGGGGCGAATTATTGTACGTGAAGTTATGCGAAATTTTGGGAGATGTGGAGCGTACCTGAGAAAATCCAGGGGGCATTGTGGATCAGTAGCAGGCCGAGGGATTCAGGGTAGTTGGCTTCGAAGCATTGGATGATGAACTTCACGGGGTGGTATTCCATGTTGCCGAGGGTGAAGCCCGTCATGTCGAAGAGGATTGTCTAGCAAACAAAGTTAGAAAACTCGCTATATCCTCGAACATAGTTTGGATGGGAGACATACGCCTGTCTCAACCGGGGGAGCGACAAGAACGCGCGTCGACTCGATAACGTGTACAATGTATCGCTCAAGCGCAGCCGCCGTCTGCGCGCCAGGCTTGTGCAGCTTCACTCGTACGATGTTTACCGGTCGGCCCTCACGGTCCAGCCCATGCAGGTAACTCTTGCCCATCTCCAGCTGCGAGATAAAGTCCTTGCCCTCCTTCTGTTCGGCCTTGCTCAGAGACGAATCATGCGCCTGCTGCCAGGCGTGCAGCTCGCCCTTGGGGACGACGTCGTCATCAACCCCGAATGTCTGGCGCCAGTAGATCGCATTCGCCATCATGCCAAAGGCCTTGTTCACGTCCCATTTACGGGCGCGCAGGAACCGGAGGAGAAGCGAGTCGGGATGCTCCTGCTTGGCCATCTTCAAGAGCGCGAAGCACATTTCTGCGAGGGACATCTTGGTCAGGATCTTCTCCATGGCTTTGATTTCGGCGTCGTGGAGGCCTGCTTTGTGCAGGTCGGCGGTGAGGGTAGTGAGATGCGCTTTGGTGACTTTCTCCTTGGAAAGCTGGTCGAGCAGCGTCTTGCCGTCGGCCTTGTTCACAAGCGACTCGACTTTATCGAGGGACTTTTCTGCGACAGCGCCATTGGTTCCGTTGGAGGTGCCATTTGTGCCGTTGGTTTCTGCCGGCTTGCTCTTCAGTGCGTCGAGGATGCCGTCGACTGTGGGTTCTTTGATGTTGTTGAGGAGCTTGAAGAGTTCGTTCGGGGAGCCTTCGGGGCGGGGGACGTCGTAGACGGCGGAAAGCAGCGAGGAGACGGTGGTGAAGAGCAGTGTCCAGAATTCCTGCAGCTTGGCTTCTTCGGTGGGAGTGAGGCTGCCGACGTGGCCGGTGGTGGGAAGGACGGCCATGGTGGTGTGTAGAAGGAGAGGATTGAGCGGGGAGTAAAGCAATGCAGTAAAAGGAGGGACAGAAGAGATGAACTGCAGGAACGAAACAAAAAAGGACAGGTACAGGAACAGCGTTATCGATAAATATTTGGCGAGTGGTTCCACATGAAATCCCCGGACGCAAGCCTCGGTCTTTCCCCGCGTTCACAGACACCTCCGAGGGCGACCTCTGCGAGATAGCCTAAAGATGATTGGTGGTAATGTTCCTGGGCGCTTGTCGAGCACGGATTCCCAGCTCGCATCACGCTGACGCTCGCACACACGCCCTGAAAACGTGTCTTGCACGGGCCTTTTCTCCGGACTCGACCCCGTGGAGAGAAACTGGCCAATCGGCATCGCAGCCACTAGTTTACAGTCCACGAGCGCAGCGACGCCTCTCCGCGGGATCTTCTCCCTCGACGATTCTGACTCTGCTCTGCTTTCGCCGTCCACCTCATGTGTAGTTGGATTGCAGAAAGATAAGGCGCGTATGCTGCACGAAGCCCACAAGATACTCTCCGAAACTTCTCTACCGACCATATACCGAGGCGAGAGAGTCCGGGCGACGCGCCGGCGAACGTCTCCAAGGCTGGAGCCGCAGGGTTCCTGCGCTATCGGCCATGACTGCATGTCGGCTCCATGTCCATGCGAGCCGATAAGATGCACTCGCATCAATTCCCCTGTTGTGCTCGCCACAGCTCCTGAAACATCGGTAATTTGGCGCTTTGCACGCGCCCTACACAGGGACGCGTTGCACAGGGGCTCATTGCATCCACGGTACGAGGCGGTTGTCTACCCCGTGAGTGTTCATGACGTGCGAGTTGTGCGTGTCGAGTTTCACAATTCGTGATCTGCGCTGGGTCGCTTGCCTAAATTAAGAAACGTCCGCGAGGACCCGCTAACAACGAAGAAGGCGCACGTGATAGTCCCCATCTACTCCCAAACAGGAAGGAGATGCGACTCGGGTTGGATGTGGTCTATCCTCTTCTGCTGCTAAATAGCCGATGCTTGATGGCGAAATTCCATCAGAGGAGAGATATCGCCCCGTCGTCCACAAAATATGATGTCTCTTTGATCCACCGTCAACCGAAACTTGATCAAACTTGGCACGCTCGCCATGCTTCCTAGAACAGGACGAACGTACTAGCCTGAAATCCCCCACGAGGACCTTCCTTGTCATTTATGAACCCTGCCAACCGATCCAGGGTCGTTCCGCTCCCTCGGAGTTTGCGGCACTTCGATCTCCCAGCATGGCGACTGTCGGATTCTTTCTCGAGGGTACATAAATGACTCCTTTGGTGCCCTTGACCGCTTGCATAGGTATTCATAGCGATAGATTGTGCAGTAAGCACCACATACTCGTCGGGCAGCGAGATGGCGTAGCAAAACCTCCAGTTGACCAACCTCGCAAATGGTGTCAACAACATACCACTGCTGACTCGAGGAGATCTATTTCAGTTCGACAAGGAGCAAGCGTCAGCGTTGAGGCCGTGTCTCCGGCTAGCGGTACTCAGGGTGTACGTACCCCTGTTATCAGCGTCGTGATGCGCCGGCCGGAGTAGTTCCAGACTACTATTGTGACGGACTATCGCTTGCGGGACGCTCTGTAAGAATATAGTGACGGAGAAGTTCCGGTGGCAGGGCCGCGACCAACGACAAGCGTCCGGTTTATGCAGGGGTCTGCACGGCCCGAGCCCGGGAGAATGCAGACCGTGAGGCTCGGGGCCAGGTCATGGACAGGATTCGTGCCGAGAGTCAGAGGACAAAGCAGGGACGGAGAGTCGCAGATGGTGTGTCCTGTGGCTCGGCATTGATGGCAACTCGGTCTTGCACGACGAACTTGGGCGGACCGGTGCTTCTTTGGATTGCCAGGTAAGGAGTATTTGTTCCCAGGACTGGTATTTAACATTGTCTTTGTTGGTCTGACTTGGTTGAGCGGCCCATTGAGGCGTAGGCCTATCATCATAGGTCGCCAAGAAGCAGATCTAGTTCGATGTCATGAGCAATGGACTGGACAGGGGAGGAGTGGAGGATGTGCTGAGTGAAAGTAAAGAGCTGTCTATCTCTGTTCCACGAAGTTAAGCTCGTTATGATCTAAAAGAGGTAAAAGAAAGAAATGAAAAGAAAGTACTAACCTAGGTTGTTGACCTAGTGGTGCGAACCAAGCTGGCCGTAGGTAGTTTGCCAGCATTCTCCAACTCTGCATCTACCGTGACCCCAACCCATGCGGAGCTATGGTGTGAGGGACGGTAGCATATCATATTACTCACTCCCGGTCAAACCATGGGGTTCTCGCTCTCCTCAAGACCAGTGCCTTTGCGCCCAGGACTCATCGCTCAAGCGATAGGGATGTACGGACGAGAGATCAGGGCAGCAGGACCGAAGGAAGTAAAATGGTCGGAGTATGATGTCTGAGGCTTCAGATACAAAGCCTTCGAGGCAAGGCTATAGACGAAGCTCTCAAGTCAGTACAAGCTCTCCACAGTTGCTGAAAACATGTGCGTTGCGAGGGTCCAGACCAGCACAGAGAGAGAACCAGCAGGGTCTCGAACAAGTCCAAAGCCGTAAACATTCTAAGGTGTGTGGTAGGAGGGAGAGGATAACTTGCTATTTGTGCAAACGTAAGGTATCGCCTCTCGAGTTGTCTGGTGGAGAAATGAGTTGCAGAGCTCATGCAATGGATTTGTCGGCGGACGTGAGCCCTAATGGCAGACGGAAAACCTGGACGCTGGGCAGGCTGACAGCCGCACCTTTCCTCTCTAGCGCCTAAGTCCGTCTATCGCACCACAGTATGCCCATTTATTCTTTGTTCATGGAGTTATATATAAGAATTCGTTATGAATCAACGCCTCTCGTGCCTTTGACTGCTGTGGAAAGTGATATGTAATTGTTTCTGAATAATAATCGTAGCCTTGAAAGATGACATCGACAAACCAATACATTGTGAGTACGACGGAATGAGTAAATTGAAACCAAAGAGAACCCTAGGATGATAGAGCATTGGATAGAGTATTAACCTAGAAAAATAGTATACAAGAAATCGACATGAACACCAAAAAGCCCATGCAGTCTTGATGACAAAACTTGGGAGATAGGGCCAGTAAAAACCCCGACGAGGTCAGAAAAAGCATTTCGCGGACGATAAAAACTGTACCTCGAGGGGCAAAAGGTCTCCTATCCTGATCCTTGAACGAAAACAAAAGCCAAAAAAGTAGATAAAACACATGTGATAACCAAAAGGAAAAAGATCCAACGAGTCGACGTATTATAATCTTACAAATCATCCCCAGTACATGATAACTTAGATCAACCATATCCACCTAGATAATTACCAACAGTCGCGGGCTGGATGGGGTCTTCTCTTGTCGCGGTGTTTGTTGTTCTCGTTATTATTGTTCTTGTCGTCGTCGTCTTCCTGTGTATTCCTCTTCCTCTTCCTCGGAGGAAAGTTCTCACCAACCACGGTGTCGAACCGAGTGCTGGTGGACGGAGTGTGATGTTGAACGGGGCGTCTAGTCGGAGACTTGGTGGCTTTTTGCACGCGGCACTGGTGCTTTTTCTCCCCGCGAGAGGGTTTGGGTCGGGGTCGGGGGTGGCGAGGGGCTTGCTCTTTGCGAGAGGGTACGGACTGGGCAGGTGGTGTCGGTGGCGGGGTCGGCGGGGTCGATGGGTTTAGCGGGAATTGTTTGGTGTTGCCGACAGGTTTGGCGGCGAGGTAGCGAGCGAAGAGCTCGTACCATTCGTCCTCGGCGAACGGGCCCGGCTCGCTTGGGGTGAAGAGCAAGGACCTGCGGACGACAAGTTCCTGGCCGTTGAAGTGGGCTTGGAGAATACGGGCCCGTTCGCCGATGACGGAGAGGACTTGAATCTGGTTTCGTGAGTATAATGCCAGGAGATGATGTGAGGGAGGGGTACGTACTGGGATGACCTGATGTTCCAGAATGGAAGGCCATTCGAAGTTGTGGTATCGAGCAATCATAGCCTGCATGATTGCCTTAATCTCGCCGTGGAGGAGGGTGTTGTGAATGTTGTTTGTATCGTCATGGAGGAGGGGCTGGTAGTCGTGGCAGACGATGAGGGACAGGTGCGGCTGATACTCGCCTGGGTCGGTCGGGGGACAGACGAAGGCTTTGTCGACGAACCAGCGCTGCCCATCGGCATACCGACGAGGAATGGCCGCTATGGGGTGCTGGCCAAAGAGGTTTGGGCCAAAGAGGTTTTCCTCGAACCGGGGTTCGTCCCTGATATAGGTTAGGTCTATGTGCGGTAGGAGGACGCATGGTGTAAGAGGAGGGAAACTTACGAGCTGTACCAACCGGTTTCCTTGATCAACTCGAAATGTGCATAGGGATCCTTGGGGTCCTCGCGGAGAGCCTCGCAATAATTCTCGCGGGGAGCCTCCATAAAATACCACTTAATCTGGTTAGAAGTCATTCCTGGTTCTGAGCAGATGTCAGTGGCATAGTCGCTGGGTTGTAGTGGTGCCGGGGGTGTTGTAGCTTGATACTCATTGGGTGAATCGTCGGCAGGAACAAGGGTGATTGGGTGTGTGTCGAGATGGTCGCTGGACATGGGCTCAAAGTAGTGGTCTGGGTTGTCCGACTGTTCATCCTTCGGAAAACCATCGAGCCTTAGGCTCAGAAGCTTGAGGTTCAACCCAATTGATCTGAGCTGGTTTGGATCAGGGCCGTACCCCAGGGTCAAGGTCTGGCGATAGATGCGGTGAAGGGTGTTGATGGTCCTCGGGCGTGAGTCGACGTTGGACGCAATGGTCTTCTCGCCATTCCAGTCCCAAAGCCTGACCATGTCGAAAATCGACTTCTCAATGGCCTCGGGGGTGAAGGCGGCCGTGTTTTGGTAAAAGTGCTTGTGCAGTTCGGCGATATGATGAGACATGGTGACGGAAGATGGTAGGGTAAAAGGGTACATAAAGTAGAAGATGTGAATGTAGTAGATCGACAAGAGAAGATTGTGATGGATAAAAGAGATGGATGATGTGGGTGAAGAGGGAGATTGAAGATGTTGGTAAAGAGGGCAGGGTCACAAAGTGTCAAGCTGTGGATGTTAGAGCCAACAAATCTATTCAAAAGGAAGGAAGTCTCATACCTCACGAGAGAGCAGCATATAAAGTGGATGTGAATTGTAAACGGATGATTCGACACACAACCGAGTTGGTCGATATCCGATGTGAGTGATGTTGAGGAGGTAACAACGAGTCAAGCTAAGGACGTCAGAAATTTTTTTCTAAAAGGGAAGAGGAAAACCCATTAAAAAGGAAGATGAAGTTCTCGTACCTCAGCAGAGCAGATGTAGGGCGATGTACAGCCCGATGTGGATGGTAGATGGATGGATATGGTGAATGAGGTGGGTGTGGACGAGGTGGATCAGGAAGCGAAATCGTCAAGCTTGAGGGAAACTACATCAATATAGAAAATAAAACGCGAGAAACAGGAACTATACCTCACTGTGAGCAAGAATAAGCCGAATACGGATGGTAAACTAAACTGATGGGTGTGGTGGATAGCAAGATGAACTGGAGAGTAGACTGATGGTGGAGAGGGGAACGACGGCGAGAAAAGGACTTCACTCCTATGTACGCATTCACTTTTACTTTTTCAAGCGAATATTTACCTAAGCCACCTTCTCGACAACTGGTTCAGTGTCATTGATTGGACGATGGAGCAACGAGACCGCGATCTAGGTGCTTCTACGATCAAAGTTTTCTCTTTACCTTTGTTCGAGGTTCACGCCGGAGCCGACGACGATGGTGGTGGGTAGAGGAGGCGGCGATAATCCTCATGCCGTGGTGCACCACTGCTCTATTGGAAGAGCAGCAAGCTAGGATCGAGTACAGGTTATATCAGAGAACAATGTAGACTTGTTATTTGGATGACTTTAGGATGTACAGGCACTGTCTAGATACCTACGTAAAGTACCTTGATGAGTACCCCAATCAGAGCGAGCTACTGGAGAGAGTACCGAGATGGCGTTGGCCTGTATATTACTTGTATTACTCTTTTGCTAGTCCTACGAGCTCCATCACACTAAAGCCTCAGCATGAAAAGGTCCTGTAGTGTCCTGTGAAATATCTGACAGTCAAGCCATACCCGACAGCACTGAGAGACCGACGAAACCGACCTTTCTCACCTGTCGACGAGAGCAGACTCAGTTTGGTATGTTGGCTGGTAGCGAGTGACTCACTGCGAAAACTTTGACCGTGAGGCCGTCCAGCTGTATATTAAGTTTTCAGGACTTAGTAATCATCGCCAGCGACAGCGAGGTCGACATCACAGACCCGTCGCCAAAAGACTCTACGAGGGGCTTAGCATTGTAGAGGAGATCTGAACAGATACAGGAATAGCGATGTTGATGAAGCTATCCAATAACAAGACAGATAGATGGTCATAAGAAGGACGCCGATCTCGACGGAGAGATTTCGAGCGATATGATGTGCTTATAATGAGTTGTGAGCAGCCCTTTGTGCCTTCTCACACAGTATTTGGGACACCAGATACTTGATATGAAGAATGTCAACAACCACTATACTATAAACTCGCTTCTTCCCGATATGTCCCTGACTAAGAGCGCTGGTAACTCAAGGATCAGACCCCAGAAAACCGCCAGGAAAGCCGACAGGAAGACAAAGCAAAGGGCGCGCAATCAGTAATGTAATGCAGCCAGTAGGTATGGATGACTAAATTCCCAATCCGGGTAACTCAGCAAGCTCATCTGTTATCCTATTCGACCAGAGAAAAAGTAGGTTCAATTTCAAGGTTTTCTCTTGCAACAGGCTACCTACTGGTCCGGAGGAATTGGTCCCACTTGTTAGCTCTGCTAAGTTACCACACTTTCGAATCTCTCGCCAGGCTGCGGCCAAGCGTCGACCGATCCCTCCCGACAACTCGGGAATCCATGGAACTGCCAGTGGAGACCAGTTCCGCTGTCCCGGCACGCACGACTCGCGTTTGCGGTTCGGCACAAGCAGGAATCGACTTGAATGACTCGGGTTCTCCACGTTGGATTCTTCACGGATTTTGGAACTGGAAAAGCTCGGGTCCCACTGCAAAACTTGGGAATGAGTCCTTGACGTCGGTGGTGGGCGTTTAAATTCGGGAACTCCCCCTCATCCTCGCCGCTCGCTCTTTCCTCACCTAGAACTGTAGGACATAGTAGTCGCCATGTCAACGACAAAGACCCCAGCCTGGCTCTTAGCAGGCCAGAACGGCCCATCGAGCCTCGAGTTCATCGAAGAGTACGAGCTCCCGCCGCTCGGCGACAATGACGTCCTCGTTCGGATCCACGCTGTGGCGCTGAATTATCGTGAGCTCGCCATTGCGAGGGTACGTACACCACAGAGGAAGCTCATTCACCGAGGCGTCAGAGGAATATTGATGATGTGGGCAGGGAAAATTCGGCCTCCTTCTTCCCAACCCGATTATCCCCTCCAGTGACGGCGCCGGAACTGTCATTGCAACCGGATCATCCGTCAAGAACTTCAAAGAGGGCGTTCGTGTCGTGACGCATCTTACCGTGAACAGTCCAGAGGATAGCGCACCTACGTTTGGCGAAATCGGTTCCGGTTTGGGTCAAGTCGCCCATGGGACGTTGACGCGGTACGGTGTCTTTCATGCGACTTCGCTTGTCAAGATGCCCGAGACGCTGAGTTTCCGCGAGGCGGCGACGTTGACCTGTTCTGGGCTGACGGCTTGGAATGCGCTATTTGGGATCCCTGGGAAGTTTGTTCCAGGGAATCTAGGGGGGATGACAGTGCTTGTGCAAGGCAGTGGAGGGGTCAGTGTTGCGGCTTTGCAGGTTTGTTTTCCTCAAGGATTATTCTTCTAGCGATTCAACTTTCGGGAAGGTTGAGACCATACTTGGGTATGCTGATGTGTGGTATGTAGTTCGCTCTCGCATCCGGCGCAACTGTAATCGCGACGACGAGCTCTGAGGCGAAGGCTGTAAAGCTAAAGGAGCTTGGGGCTTCTCATGTCCTCAACTACAAGACCACGGCGAATTGGGGCGAGATTGCCAAATCTCTTACTCCAGACAGCCGCGGTGTTGATATTGTTGTTGACGTTGGTGGGCCGTCGACGGTGGGGCAATCGCTAAAGGCTGTGCGGACTGATGGGGTGGTTTCTCTGGCTGGATTGTTGGGCGCTGGAACGGAGGCTAACGTACCCTCCATTATGGATGCCCTGTCTCATCTGTGCATCACGCGGGGGTTTTTACTCGGGACACGGGTGCAGTTCCGGGAGATGAACCAGTTTATAGATGAGAAGGGAATCAGGCCAGTTGTTGACGAGAGAGTCTTTACGTTCAAGGAGGTGAAGGGGGCATATGACTATATGGAGGCTCAAAGTCATTTTTCAAAGATCGCGATAGATATAGAGTAAGTTCCAATACACATGGAAAATAATCTCAAGCATCGTCAATAGAAGCGAAATGAATGAACGCGAAGACGTGCCGACAACAACAACAACAACAATAACAGCAGCTAGCAAGGTAGCTAGCTACAGGCGGGAAAGGGCCTAGTAGACAGTGATGGAAGCAGATCCACTGCTCTGGTAACCTTCAGTGGCCACAATCTGATAGTTGTGTGTACCCAGACTCATGCCAAATCTGGCCCAGGCATTGAAGTGATTTCCGGTGGTAACGCTGCCCGAAGTGCGCTTCGACTGGCGGACAGACCAGAACTGGGTGAAGGTCCTGGTTCCCTCAATCGAAGGCGCGTTGACGCGCTGAGAGGTATAGATGTCGTACGTCGCGCCGTCCGAGTACACAGTTCCGCGGTGAGTGCCACCACTGCCGGGGTTGTAGTTGCCATAGGACTCGACGATGTAGTACTCAATCAGGGGGTTCTGAGTCCAGCCATAGACCGCGAGGTAGCCGTTACCACTGGGGTTGAAGCTACCGCTGTAGCTGATGGTTCTGCTACAGTTAGCTTTGGTCTCTTAACTGGCTCAGCGGCTGTACCTGGTGCTTCCAGGGTTCCATCCTTTTCCGCCGACAAAGTTGCCGACATTGGACCACTGTACGGAGTAGGATCCTGCATTGCCGTTGGTGTAGGTAACATCGCCGCCGCCATCCGTCCAGAAAGAATAGTAGTAGCCGTTGTGGTAGCCGGTGGAGCTAGGAGTGGAGCGTTCGAGAAGGGAAGTCTCGCCGACAGATCGCTCGGCGACCTGGTCAGCTGGAGCAGCGAGTGCTCCGAGAGCAGCAGAGAGGGCGAGAAAGATGGCAGAGAAGGAAACCATTTTGATTGTGAGTGCCGGGTTGGAGTTGTGGATGAGTATCCCGTCAAGGGCAGATGCGCCGTTTTATACCCATCCCCTGGTCGTGGAGACTCAATCTTGGTGGGTCGCGCCATTCCAGGCATTCCATGACTAACCGTCGCGGTGTTGATGGTGTCTCGAACATCAGGCTAAATGTATGTGAAACGGAAAGCGTCGGGTGCCCACTCATCCGTCTCACATTTAGTGCCAACCACGGGCAAGTTTCTTCAGGAAGAAGATCGCCGTGAACTCCTTGTCCCAAAAGGAATGTCTTGAAATCTTGGCACGGTCAAGCATCCGCTAGAATCCTGGATTCCAGCGTCGCATGAGCATATAGGCTGAATTGTTGAATAGTATAGCCGATTGCTCTAGCAGTTGACGATCGCGTCGGCGGGGAATAAAGTTCTGGATAAAGCCGGACTGCGGGGAAGCTCTAGGCTCTCACCTTGAGCCTAATTTCTCTATAGCGACGCAGGAGCTGTTTCGGGGGATCGGATCTGAACTTCTTCAGCACGGGCAGACGGATGAGCGGGTTCTCGGTCCTTGTTTTTTTTGGTGAAGGGTTCAGGCATATTCTCACAGGTAAACCTTCGCGCTCTCGAGATGGCTTGCGACGAATACCCTTCTAGGTACATTGTGGGCGCCCTTGTGCAGGCTGGTAGCTCATTTCCTGCGAGTTTCAAGGGTCCGAACGGTGTTTGGTGTGTCGCCAGCTCGTGTGAGAATCGAAGGCGAGAATTGGTCCTTCCTTGCAAGCATTCTGATCTCACGGCAGACTCTTGACTACTCTGGGCTCTCGTGTCCTGGCCTGAATTGTTTCCATCTCAATCTGTCAGCAACTACTGCACAAGACTGTCTTGTTAGCACTGCGCATAAGCACAGAATAACAGGACTGGTTGACGAACCTTTCAGTCGGGTGAACACTTATACGCAAGCTCCATGATTGACATGATGCAGTATAAATGTGTCTCGCTTATTTCCTGAATCTGGAAGGGTCTCTCAACTGAGCGGAGAGCAGTGTTGTGTCGGATTCAGGAACAAGAGGGACGACGAGGGCGGAACACGTAGTGCACGTGCCTTCCTCTATGTACGTACTTGATTCTCGGGTTGCTCTCCATCTTCTTCACCAAACAACAATCATCTTTGCATCAATTTCAGCGCCAATGTCCCTTCGTCAGCACATTGCTCGCTCTGATTCGGCCTCTCATGAATCCAGAGCCCCAGCTTCCGCCACTGCCGAAAAATGACGGCTGTGGCACCCGCTACTGTAAGTCCACCGCCCCTCTGGCTGCGCCGAATCCTTAGCCATCAGGCTTGACCAGGAACAGGAGTTCCGTATGCGTACTCCAAGACGCCCAGTTGACTCGTATCGAATCAGATTATAGAACCAGGCCCTCCAGTTGTTTATTAAGCTTATCAACTCTGTCGCCGCGGATCCTACGGTGCAGGGGAATTTCAATGGAGATCGCAAACTGGCCCCATTCAGCATCCTTAACGATTGGTCGCCATGCACAAATAAGACCCTGGCCTCAGCATTGCCTCCCGACGACTTTGCAGATCGCAACAGGTATGACCACGGTCCAGGCAGCCCTGAGACATGACGATCTCTCAGCCGTATAATAGCGCCGCTCCCCCGAGAGTTGAGTTTTCCACGGTTCTTCACAAATGCGACTCGACGGCGCAGACGGTCAGACAAAATGTCGCGTCTAATATTGTTTTTTTCTCTTGTGTATGAGCCTGCAAGCTACGGCGCAGGGCAGGCTCGACAGTTGCAAAGCGGGACGTGTTGAGCGATTTGTCGGGGGGCTTTTGTCGAAGCTGGAAGTTCGGTGGTAAGTTGTCCATTTCATGATTGCTTCGCAACGGTCGGTAACAAGCTTCAGTAACTATTGCGAACGAGGTGCTCTATATGATCGACCTTCACGGGGGGCAGATGCCTGGCGACGGCAATTCAACGAGTGAGCCCATCTTCGTGTTCTGCCTTCCCATTTCTAATAGCAACAGACAGCTATCTTGTGGAGGTAGACTTGTCTGGTCCGGTGGAACTGAGCGACGGAGCGATCTACAATCTAAGCTTAATTCCCTCCGGTGTCCCCAGTCTCAAAGACCAGGCGCTCTGGCCTAATCGCCGCAATACCACTCTCTACAGCTACGGCGGTCGCGGTGCGAGCAACATATCAGCCGACGAAGGGGCGTGGACTTATACACTTGGGAATGCAGAGTGGGAGCTACAATCAGGTACCGTCAAGCCTGTACGGCTCTCTTATGGCGATGCGGCTCGCTCGACGATAGACACCCCATACAGCTAATGGGAACGATAGCGCACGTCAATGTCCCTGACCTTCAGGCTGCATACTAGGTTGGTGGCTACCAAAGTAGCAACTCGACACCTTCAATCACCGATGACACGAAGGAGCATACAACGGTTATGCTCCAGTTCAACACGACGACCGGAGAGTTTTCCCAGTTGGATGCACCGTTCACACCGGTACAAGAGGGCGCTCTTGTTTACATCCCGAACCGTCGTCTGGGGACTCTGATTTACTTTGGTGGTGAGGTACCATCTGAGCAAAGCGGTATCGACGCAACACTTACTCCCGTAAGCCAAGTCTTTGTTTGCTGGATTAGTCGCTCTACGGTTCAGAATGCATGGGACTACGTGCAGATCTATGGTCTCGAGGAGGAAACGTGGTATAACCAAACGACTACCGGCGATGTCCTTTCTAGGACAATTTTGCGCAGCCGTCGTCAGTGATCCAGACACTGGCCATACCGGATCTTGTTGTTGGTGGAGGAGACTTTGAATCCGAGGATATCGTAACTGATATGTACGTACCACGGTTTGGCAGATGCGTGTTATTAACAATCACAGGTATCTGAGCATTCCCTCCTTCAAATGGTACACTGCAGAGGGCCTCACAGAAGGCCGGATGAGTCCCACCTGCGAAGCGTATGGGAGACAGATATTCGGCATTGGCGGGCGACTTGCTTAGGATGACGGTGCTAACGCTGACTGTTACTATGCACCTACGTTTATCTGCAACGCTCAGCAGAAGCTGTCACTGATCAGTTTGATGTGAGAGAATGCATTCCTATGGGGGCATCTAACCAAAGCTGACTTTATAGCCCTCACTGCCTGTCTACTCAATTCCCTCCGCCCTGGCAGAAGATATTCGAGCAACTCCAACTCCCTCGCAGTGGTCAGATACTGATTTGGCAATTTTGTTCTATGCTCCGTTGCCTATAGGAACCTATTTACGTAGCGTGGACGACTCTCCCAACAAAGGCGCTATCACGTGAGGCACTGTTGGCGGAGTGGCCGGTGTCGCCATTATTGCCGCTGCAGCTTGTTTTTCAGGCGCGCTTGAGGATGTGAAGCTCAAAAAGCAGATGACCCGGCCGAACTTGGAGCCGACCAGAGGACGTACAGCGAGCTCCCGACGAAAGCCTCCGCCTCGGAACTTCCTACACGCGAGAATGAACGAAGGGAACTAAATGGCGATACTCATCACGTCCATGAACTAGACTCGACAGCCCTACCGCCGCCGGTGAAGCGCAAGTCGGGTGATGAACACGAGGCAACATCTACGGAGTAATATAGGAGCATATTCGCGGGTCATCATGATACATCTAGCATCAGCGAGGCATTACTATAGTGTCATTATCTAGTCCCTCAACATCCGTCCCCTCACACAACCAGCATTAATAAATGGCACCGCGACTGCGGTTCGGCTTCTCCACATCCGTAGACATGGAGCTGGAGATCTCCCCGCCGCAATGTGGGGTTTCCAGCCAGGGAAGGTCGCACGATGAGCATCAATGTGGGGCATTTATCAGCTACACTTCGCCTGCCAGTCCAAGTTGACTCATGAAAACACAAACATTTCCTTTCCGCCCGGAAGATTCTCGCTTAAGACCTCCCTAGAATCCTGATGATTCCTCATCCATAACAACCAAAAGTTACGAACAAACCACCTACAAGCACCCAACATGCCTCCCACCGACATCCCCACCTCTCTACCCCCCATGAAAGACCTCACAACCGAAAACCTCACCGACAACGTACACCTAGTAAACAGCCAATGCACTGATCCCCGCCTCCGCTACCTCCTCGAACGCATAGTCACCCACCTCCACACATTCTGCCTCGAAACCCGCCTCAGCACCGAAGAATGGAACACGGGAATCCAATTCCTCACGCAAATCGGCCAGATAAGCGACGACCTCCGGCACGAGATGATTCTCCTCTCCGACACACTCGGCGTCTCATCCCTCGTCGACGCAATCAATCACCCACGCCAACCACCAGCCACAGAGGGGACAGTTCTCGGCCCCTTCCACACCCATGATGCAGAGGATATGGACCACGGTGCAGTATTGCACAGCGACCCCGACGCAACCCGCCTCCTCGTCCTCTGCACAATCAAAGACTCCGCCGGAAACCCGGTCCCGGACGTAAAGGTCGATGTATGGGAGGGTGACTCGAAGGGGTTCTACGATGTGCAGAATCCCGGGCGAACGGGGCCGGATGGGCGTGGTGTGTTGAGGTCTGATAAGAAGGGCGAGTTCTTCTTCCAAGCGATTGTGCCCGTGCCGTATCCGATTCCCATGGATGGGCCTGTTGGGAGGATGTTGAAGGCTCTTGGGAGGCATCCGAATCGGCCGGGGCATGTGCATTTTATGCTTGATAAGGAGGGGTTTGATCTTTTAATTACGTGAGTTCTTCTTGTCTAGTGGTTGTGGGTGTAATGAGGCTGAAGGCTAACCGGCTTTGGTAGCGCGTTGTATCCACGCGGTGACCCGTATGAGACATCGGATCCCGTATTCGGTGTCAAGGAATCGCTCGTGGTCGATCTGTCGACGGTCGAAGACGAAGAGATGGCGACAAAGTACGGCGTCAAGCTCGGGACAAAGCTGCTGACGTACGACTTTGTGCTGCTGAGCGACCAGGAGGCGCGCGAGCTGCGAAAGAAGAACGCGATCGAGGCGATGCAGAAGCAGGGGCGCAAGGTTGTTTTCCACAATGACTTGCCAATTCCCGCGGAGAACAGCTGACTTCGTACCTGGCTATGTTACGAGTTATGTACTTTCGGAGCGATAGTGTAGATGAAATCATTTCACTCTTCCATTCTTTCATTCCGTGCATTATTTCATTATCGATCGTGGCTATGGCTGTATAGCATAAGCTATGTAGCGTCAACTTGTCTGGCAAGTGGGTTGGTTGACGAGACGTGGAGGGAAGTGTATCTTCGTCCGCAGTTTCTCGATTGCTTCGGTTTCGGGTGGAGCGTACAACGCTTGATTCCGAGGTTGCGTAGGCGACAAATTCGCATCGTCATGACCTGAAGTATCACTGCGTAATCAAGTTGAACATGCGAAGGCAGTAGATGTCCGAGAGGATGACACTAAGGCGTGAGTATAAGCGTATGCCAGACGTTCTCAATCACTGTCGTCCTCTATGATCCGATCCGACAACTGCGTTCCCTGCGTGCTTGGCGCAACGCCGCTGCGGCGTGGCTGAACATTGCTTCGTCTGGGCTGTCCGGTCTGAACCGCACGCTCTCCGACATATTTGTCTCCAGGCCATGGTGCTCGACAGACGGGGCATTGTTCAGCTCTCTGGACGCGGAAGAAGTTGCGCATACAATGGTCGTGCAACCGGCCGTCACACTCCCGGTTACCGCAGCGTTGGCCCTGAACAGTCAGCACACTATGATAATCACCGTAGATGGTCAACTCACGATAGTAAGGATATCCTTGCACGCGGCACAAAACTTGATCTTGTTGTTCCTCCGCCCATTCTCGCCCTCGTCATTGTACGTCGCAACGAGCCATCCTCGCAGCTCCATCAAACCGCGCGGACTGAGCGTATAGAACCCTCTAGGACTTTTATCAAACCACTCATCATCAACGAGCTGCTTCATCACAGCCTCCGCCTGCGTCATGGTAAGCGAGTGTGCAGCGCCGCCTTGCGTCTGCTGCGTCGCAGATCCCGACTCCCGCCGATTTCCGTCCGAGGGTACTTTTGCACACTGCATCGCGTCAATAGAGCTGACTGCCATGGCCTCCGTTATTCTGTTGTTGTTCGTCTCGAACATCTTGTCGAGGATGCGCTTGATGAAGGATATTTCGTCTGCGGAGTATGTCGTCGCGAGCTGGGTGAGGTCGTCACTGGTTGTGTTGACGAGGGCGTAGACGCGTTCCGGGGTGACATTGCCTGTCTCGTCGGGTTTTAATTGTAGTTGAGGGAGGGTGCTTCGGATTTCGAGGTCGAAGGGGGAGATTGCGCTGTTGGCGGCGCCGATGAAGGTGGAGAGGATTTCTTCTGTGATGTCGTCTGGGGAGATGCGTCGGTCTTCTGTTGAAACTGTCAGAGATATAACAGTAAAGGTTAATGCACGAGGAACATACCGCGAACGGACATAATAGCAGCAAGAATGGGTTTTGATTCTTCAAATGTTATGCTCGAGCGGGCCATCATGACCTGCAGAAAGGCCCTGTTGCTGTTGTCGTACGCATGTCGATTTCTTCTGTTCGACATCTTTGCTGCTCTGTTTTCGCATGCAGCCACTGAGTAATTTGGCAGCAGAAGATGGTATTGGCAAGAGGAATAGTTGGTGGTGAAGCTTTGCTTGCGACACTTTTCTTTGTCCAACGCGACTGACGCGCCAAGGATGGATGCCAAGACCAAGCCATTATCACCCAAACGGGCAACATTCTAGTCCACTGCCAGCACTGCCCAGTGGGACGGGCTAGAGAAGCTGACAGTGAGGCTGCAGGGGCTTTAGTACGATGCAGGTGGGACAGTTTGGAATTGGCAAGAAGCCAGCTACACGAAAAGGTTATGCCATATATTGCAATGCCATTAAACCAGGCCTTGATATCATTAGAAATACAAAGGATAAATCTCCCAACGCCACGTACTGAACACAAACATCAAGTCAGCCTTTCTAGCCTCTCCGCCGTGTAGGCTCCGGGCTCGGACTGCGGCTCACGCTGCGCGCATCCCGGCCACGGTCCTTCAACCACTTCTTCGTGCTGAGACGAAGCTCCCGGTCGAGCTCGTTGCTGGGGTCCTTCCGATGAATGAAGTTGCAGAATCCACCGCGGACACATCCTTCGCCACTATTTAACCGACAGCACGCTTCTCGGAAATCGGTGACAGGTGAAAGTTCGCAGTATATCGGTCGCGCGGCGTACCACCGGGAGTTCAGCGCATCACAGGCTGCCTGTGCGTCTTCTTCGTACTTGAATCGCGCGTAAACGTTTCCGATAAGATCTGCAAAAAGTCATGTTAGCTACGAACAAATTTCGACACGAAACAGAGTTGATCGGGGCCACATACGGTCATTGTTATTGTCGCACACAACCAATTCCTCGAGCTCGCCATATTTGCACATCTCACACCACACGTCCTCGTAGAATGCATCAAAGTGGTTTTGCAGTTGGCTGGGGTTCATCTTGCTCTTTGGGTCGTAGGCAGGGTTCTGGTACATGTTCGGCATGAGGATCGTCTGGGAGTAGGAGGGCTTGACATGTTTACGCGAGCATCTGTCGCCGTGTCTGCAGGCGCCGATCTTGTAGTAGAAGGAGCAGTTGACCTTGTCCTGTTCTGTTCCGAAGATGGAGGCGAGGTAGTTGGCCATGGTTGCGGCGGGTCGAGGGAAGTCGAGGAGGGAGTGAATACGTGTCGCTGTGCGCAGGGATTGAGGGGAAAGATGAGTTCAAGGAGTGGTGCTCGAGAGAAGGTGACTTTCACAGGAGACACGGTGGGGGTGAGGAGAATTGTCGCGCAAGGAAGATCGGAGCTCCAGACTGAAGTTTCTGGAGAGCTCCAGTGATCGGATGACTAATTGGGCGCCTGAGGCAAATACTGCTTGTGGCCAATTCCTTGAGTACTTACGAATCAACGCGGGGCTATGCGCTTTTCATTCTTGATCTGACTACGGAGTAGTGAATAGGCCTTACTACTAGTACTAGCATTACTATCGCTGGTCTTTTCGGGCCATGATTCCCCAGTACTACTGGGTACTTGCTCCATCTCGGTGCGTCTCCTTTTGTACACGCGTAGCTTCAAAATATATATCCGACTTCGCAGCTTGAAGAGTTGGCTTAACCAGCGAACTGAAGATGAGGAATCATGCGATAGCTTCAAGATAAGAGGGAAAACCACTAAATAAATTACCAGGCTCGAATGAACAGTGGCTTATTTCGTGGCAGAATCCTGCGTTTCGGTCGCGCCTTCTCTATCCAGATCACGTGCTTCAGAAAGATGAGGTTGTGTGCATGGAGGTCAAGCTCGCACTTAAATTCCTCAACAACTTTCACGTCAGGTTGTCTTTTCCCTGCGACCGGACTGATTGATCATACCTGAAATTGCGATTGATACGGCTGGAATGTACCTCGAGACTATTCGCACTGTTCGCTCAGGAAAGTTCCTACGCGGTCTTCGAACCGTCGCTGGGGATTGGTTTCTTATTTATCTGCTCGGCCTGAGACTCATTTAACATTGAACTTTCAAGCTATCCTGCCCCGCCGTTCGCCGCGCCTAAAACTGTTGCAGCATTTCAATCATTGCTCAGATTACCGCATCTTAACTTCGCATTAACGCCTCCGGGCTTCCGACGCGTCCGATCTTGGGATTATCCATCGCAATTCCAGTAGTACTTCTGGTCCACTCTTCGGATCCCTAGATAACGACCGTAATATCGACTGCTGGAGAAGTATCGCCTTTCATCCGAGAGCTAATCGGTTAGCTGGGACTGAGCCTTATCCCTGTACCTGCGGGCAATGCTGAGTGGGAACACCAAGACCATGCATATGAGCTCCACGAGACAGCCCTCTACACCCCTGGATAGATCGGCCGGTATATTACTGTCATTATATGCTTATTTCCGGTTGCTAGGGCACAACTGCTGCCCAATACCCAACGCCGATGATGCCGCGGTCTCGATTTATCAAGGTTGGGTTCATCGTGGTCATCCATCTTCCCATCAACAGGCAACGATAACCTCACTATGGCCGTCAGAGCACTTCTGCTTGTGATGCCAGCTATCTGGGCTATTATATTCCTCTTGTTTAATGACAGGTATCTATTGCTCGACTAAGGTGTCATCATCACTTACCTGGGTGTGCGAAATGGGTTCGTTCTTGGGATCTGTGACATTCTCAAAACTCAACGACAAATCTACCCCTGCCTGTCAGCACATTCATTCTCCTCTAACCTCTTCTTCCTAGCTTCTTCTAACACGGTCGGCCTGGTCTAACGCCATTTATATCCCCTCCACTGAAGACAAGTTGTCGGCATCACAGCCCCAATAAGAAGCGCAATAATAATACAGCTCCTTGCGCTAAGTCCGATTTTCTCCAACATCTCTGGGAACCTGGAAGTTAGATCAGCATCGCCACCAACCTTGTCACAAGGCAGTGTGACTCACCAAAACGGCCCGATGAAGCCCCAGGTCTGCCTCACGGAGTTCACAAACACCCCAGCCGCGGCCGCATCTGTCGGAGAACAGTCCCCCGCATACGTGAGATTCAGACTGGTTACAATCGGATTCCCGGCAGCTGCAATGGCCATCCCAATTAGCGCCGTGATATTTCACCGCGCGGAGGCTTTCTCAGTCTGCACGAGAAACACCACGACTCCAGCTATCACAAGGGATATCCCTGCGTAACTAAGTCATAATCTGTACTAGGGCGACAGAGCCGTCCAATCGCTTCCTTTCCCTTAATAGTCTTTTCGCGGTACCACATCCATTGATCGGATCAACGGCCGCCGGTAACTTCGCCGATGCCAGAGCCGATGATGATAGCGAGATTCTGGAGGCCGATCTGCTGTGCGTCAAGAGAGAACTTTTCGGGGAAGATCTGTGGGACGTCAATTGAGACCCGAATACTGGCGAAGAAAGGACCATGGCGTAGGCGATGCTTGGGAGGAGGACGCAGGGACGCAGGGACGCACTGCTAGACTCAGTGGGCGAAGAAACTCAGCGAGGGTGAGTGGGTGTGAATCCAGGCGCTTAGGGCGTGTAGTTGGAGTTCTGGGTCTGTCCCGTGCTCTTGGTCCGCTGCGGTGTGGTTGGTTTCTGCACCGAGGAAGAAGTATGGGATGACCTGGATTGCGTTCACCTGGGCCCTTGTGAGCTTTCCACTCGAACCGTTAGCTTTGGACTTACTGCTGACTCACTATAGCCAAGGTCCAATAGATCCAGCGATACACTACCCTCTTTATTACGAACCCAAAGATGAATGACTTGCGTACAGCGACGGGTGGAGGGCCTGGAAAAGGCTGGCGAAGGTGGAGAGGGGGAAGAGAGAAAGGGTATTCTAACAAATCTCACCAAAGCAAAGCATCCCGAGATCGGGGCGAAGCTGGACCCTATCGAATTGGAGACGGAAGCATTTGGGTTCATGTATCTCTCCCTCTCCTTGTGCTGAACTATGCTAATTTGGCGTACCCAGATTTGTCGGAACGCACACCACAAGCGCAACAACGACTGCTCTTCTACCACCTCCTTCACAACCCCGAGTGGATGCAGGAATGCGTTGCAGAAGTCGATGCCAATATCCCTTTTCTTATCCTCGAGGAAGCAGCTTATCCCGTCTCAGCCGCCGATCCTCTCTCCCTTTTCTGCGCAACTGCATGCGCGAGAACTTTCGTATCACCCCTGTCTTCACTATACCACCAGCTCGTCGTGTGATGGACCCGGCTGATGTGACTAGTGACGGGGAATGGTTTTCGAAGGGGGTATGTCATACTCCTTACCTGCTTGCCCTTACCTAACTACCTGTTCGGCTCCGTAAAAACTAATATTATTCATCTAGACCTCACTGGCGGTGTGCAACCACGCCTTCCACCAGAACGCGGCCGTCTGGGGCGCTGATCACAACACCTTCACCCAATGCGTTGGGAGGATCCAGCCGTTAATGCACAGGCACGGCTACTGATGCATTCCGGTCTCGGTGGGAGGCAGTGCATTGGAAAGACGGTGGCCCCACAAATATCGTCAAGGTCGTTATTACGCGTCTGAGGGAGTTTAGCTTTGAGCTAGCCAATTAGGATGGGTGCGAAAAGGAGAGAATGGAGGACGGCAAGCTCGGAGAGGTCAAGGGATGCTCACCAATGCCTGAGCTGGTCAGCGTTGGGATTGGTGATCTCACGGAGGCCTTGTTTGTCAAAGCAAGAGTTAGGTGATTCTCTACTTACTCGTTTGGCCCGTGTGTCTATGGGTCTGCGGGAGTCTCAAGGAATTTACGAGGCTTGATGTTCGGCGTGCGAGAATGCAGACATCAGGTCTGATATCACAGAATCAGGCATGTTGGCTTTCTAGACCCTGCACATGCACTGCGGAGGCAAACTTTGTTTACTCAACATCTCCACTATCACCGATGCAGGATTCTATTATGGCATAGAATTGGTTTCACTAGCTCAGGAGTCACCAAGCCTAAGGCTGCTGGAGGCCTTGCTTTAGTGGAGGATTCCAGCTTGATAGTCAGAGCCGACTCTACTGCCTGGATTGCTGAGCAATCCCAGATAGGTTGCCTTGTTGAGGAGACCCTGTGCGGCATCTTCCGACGACTACCTACCATACCTAGAACATTACACCTAGGGAAGGCGCTAGAGAATCCGGAGTTGCGGGTATTGCCTCTCGCCGGAGCTTCACCAACGCAGTCCTTTCTTCGTCGAGCATTTCCATCCTCATCGACGCTACTATTGCCCGAAGCCACGCTGTACCAAATGTCCTCTTTCCTCTACAGTACTGACCTTTTCAACGGACACAGACCGAGCCAGCGGCGAGTATTTCCCGAATAGCCTACAAGTTCCAGTCTTCAGCTATCTGCGCGATACCACCTGGCCCGTCAGCCTGTTCGCGGCTCATAGTTAGCTGTGCTCAAAGTAAGATCTGACGGGGTCGGAGCTAAGCGAAGGGTCGAGCTTGCCTAACTGTTGACAAATCCCTCTGCCACGGGGTACAACCTTGGACGCCTTGGAAACAGGTTCGGCCCAGAGACAGGATTTACCTTTCATTACTGTCTCAGAGTCATCTAACTTGGTTGAGATTGGGATCTGGTCAGGATTCAGTTTTCGGCGATTTTTGCACGGAGTTGTGGTCCATTTGCGGTTCTGGATTCAACTGAACAGGACCCCAGCGAGGGTGCGATACCCAAACAGACTCATCGCGCTCCGCGACTGGGATTCTCCTGAGCTCTGAGTCCCGGCCCAACCCAACGGTGTGGTAGAAGCCAAGGATTCACAGGGTATATTTAGCTTAACTCCTGCAACCAGCCTCAGTCGTCAGGCTTAGCATGTTAGCCCTCAAGTTAGGCCGAGGTTAAGCTCGGGCTGCTCAGCCGTCAGCGGGACGAGAGGCAGAATTTGGTCTGGAGTCTGGGAACGAGTCGAGTTCCTTCGAGTCTACAGGGCAGGGCACTCGGACCCGATTCTCGACCCCCAAGCACGTGTGTCGTGTTGGTGAGTGACAGCCTGTGACCTGTCAGCGTCAGCATCAGAATCCATCGAGTTTGTCAGGTTTGTCAGCCAGCAAACTCAAAGGCGTTTTGGCTGGACGCCTGATTAGAATTGTAATTTGGATGCTTACACGGTCTTACGAATCAGGGACCAAGCATCTCAAAATTTCTCCGACTAACCAACGAGCCAAGGAGCTAGCAAGCTGGCGCAGAGCTGTCAGTTCCCTGGTTGGATGCAAGGGCTCAGCCGCTTTCTTAGCGCTGGGGTTTATTTTGGGTGTCTCAGCCCTGTAGACTAACTGCTTTGGCTTTAGTGTTGAAGAAGAACGGTGGAACACTGCAGAGTCTCGAATTCTTGATTTCTCCCCGGATGCGCTCGGCGTTCCTTGTCGCGGAGTTTTGGTCATGATCTCAAACACCATGACTGGGATTCGAGGCGAACGTCGTTGTTTGTCGAGTTTCTCGACTTACGATAGATATCACTCAGAATGCTATCTGCTTTCTTCGACGGACAACCTTTACTCTTCCTTCGATCCCAAACCCAGCCGCAGGGTCCACTGGAGAACCCTGGAGCTCTTGGGGGCCGAATGCGCAGCACAACCTACTAGAACCCAACTGGCAAGAAGCTGTTTACTGATCATCCTAACCGGAGACTAACTCTTTCAGAGCGCTGCAAACCTGTAGTTTGACTAAGGCCATCCGCCTCCCATCCTTCTGTCAGCCTCCACAGCCTGCCCGCTAGTCCGGCTGCTTAGTAGCTCCCAGGAATAGGCTATAGCACAGCCCTACAGTTATACTATTTTCACCGCAGCTTTGGAGATCGGTATAGCATCAAGTCCAAGAAGAAAAGCTATATAAGGAGGGCTTTGTCGCTGGGTTTTTGGAATATCATCAACAGCATCAAACAGCCTCTCAAGCATTCTACAGTCTAATCATCCATCTTCAATCTTCTCACCACTACTCTAATCTCTAATCTTCTCTCCTCAACAACCATCAAAATGCGCTTCATCACCAGCATCTCTCTTCTCGCCTCCACCGCCCTTGCCATCCCAACGGGCCCCTCCCCTTCTGGCTATCCCGCCCCAGTCCCCTCCACAACCCCTGCCTCAATCGACGACCTTCTCCCCCCAGTCGTTCCCATCAACACCCGATCCGGCAACGAAGAGCTCATCCAAAAGCTCATTCTCGCCCCCACACAACAAGACCGAGCGAAACTCCTCGACCAGCCCGGCGACTACATCTTCGACTTCAACGAGGCCGGCGCTCCCGAATCCTCTGAAGCAAAGGGCCTCGGCGGCTTCTCTATCGCCGCACACGCAAAAACCCTTCCTAGTCTCATCGGCAACGACGCCGCGATGACCCTCGGCTTCCTGGGCCCCTGCGGCATGAACACTGCACACGTGCACAACCGCGCGACGGAACTCAACGTCGTCGTCAAGGGCCGCCTCGTCACAAACTTCGTTCTCGAGAACGGCGCCGCCCCCATCGAAAACACCCTCTCGCTCTACCAGATGGCCGTCTTCCCGCAGGGTGCGATCCACCAGGAATTCAACCCCGACTGCGGTGAGACCGTCTTCGTTGCTGGATTCAACAGTGCCGATCCTGGTGTCTCGCAGGTCGCGCAGAACTTCTTCTCGCTCCGCAAGGATGTTGTCCAGGCTACCCTTGGTGGAATCCAGACGCTCAACGGCCAGGATCTCGAGAGTTTCCGCGAGATGATCCCTGCCAACATTGCTCTCGGCATTGAGGCTTGTCTTGCCAAGTGTGGCCTGCAGAAGAATGAGAAGAGGGATGTGCGCGAGTTGATGTAAAGGGCTTTTCCTTTTCGTTTATGGGTTTTCTTTCAGTCAATGGATGGGTTAATTGCATTAGATGGCATGGGCAATGTCTCGCATGATAGATGGATGTCTTCTTGGGATTGTTTTCTGATTTTCTTCTCTTTTCTTTGCTTTGCTTTGACTAGCGCTCGCAGATTGGTATATATATATCTTACTCGTGATAATAGAAATGCTCCTCTTATATACATCTCTCCAGTCTTGCTCTTAACCCTCCGCGGTCTCAATATTGCCATCACTAAACTCGGCGGCGATTTAAACTTTTCTCCCATGAAAACGACATTCATATGGCAAAGCTACTTGAGCGCTGAGCTGGGAGAGCTGTTAGTCATTGCATAAAGCCTGACCGTATACAAGAGTACAAACACAGACTGCTTCGTACCAACTTCCTCGCCATTGACGAGTCCAGCGCACAGTCCTATACAGACTCAAGCCCCAACATCAACTCCTCGACTATCAGCCAAAATCTTCCCTCCACGAAGGACATGAAAGGCCACGTCCTCGCCATCGAGGCCGACTTCGACCCAGATGATCCAAAGAACCACCCAGACACATTCCTAGGCTACACAGGGGAGCTGCGGATCTTGGGGAACCTGGTCTGCAGTGAGCTATATCCAATGCTTTTTATGCAGTCTACGAGCTTGAAGTATCTGTGGCAGATGGCGATGGAGCATCCACGGAAGGTTTGTACGGGATTCGCCGTGCCGGTGTTGATTGAGAGGTGGAGGGGGGAAAGGAATATATTTGGCCGACTCTGGTACTGGTCCTGGAGATGGATAGCGAACAGTAACTTTCCCTACTCACGCGCCTGGAGAATAAACATGGCAGTAGGTATGGTCGTGGCATTTCCCTGCGCTTTGTTCATCTGTTCGAAACTTGGGATTTAAGTGCTAATCAAAGCTACTGTTACATTACTATTTATTATGGGTACCCTCTCATGAACCTTGGCTAATATGATGATATTGGGATTCTATGTGTACATAGCGCTCCAGTAGTTGTAGGTTGGTCGAAGGTCTTGATCCATCTGTCGGTAGGAGGAGTCAGGATATCGTGGTAGGTAGTCAATATCCACTGCCTATCTCATGTTCTTAAATAACGCAATTTGTCGCCTCCATTCGCGAGGCAGGCAGGCATGGTTCAAAGGGGTTTCAAGTCCTTCGACCGCGATCCGCCGAATCAAGCCAGCAATCAAACCTTGGAGTCAGCGACATTGCCATTATTAGGAACCGTTATCACATTAGTATTTACTTTACTAATGTTACTTTATTATCTTATCTTCACTGCTGGTATAAATCACTTACCAGGGACCAAGGTCTATATAAGACAAATACAGAAAAAGCCTCTTAATTAGCTGCATTTGAAGATTCGAGTCGCAGGTAGGATTGCTGCGGTGAATGTATATATAAGGCAGAATATAAAGGTTAGATCATATATATTCTGTTAAGGCTAACGTAAGTACGTGTCTTTACTATGTAAAGGGTAAAGGTCACTGCAATGGGGTTGACCTTCAGTTTGCGGGCGTACCTTGGGGCATGTTTTCTATCTCATATGGTCAACAAACTAAGTTTTTCCAGGCTTGCATTGGTTGGGTTTCCCTTGCTTTCAACTTCAGCCTTTTTTTTTCGCTCTCCCTCTCTCCCTTACAATCCATCTTGTCCGCACAGTTCAGATGGCCGTTGTGGTAAGTAGAAGTTTAGACCCCATATTTTCACCTACTTAATGAATTTGGAATGCATCGGAAATGGACCTTTGACTTCATAGGTACGTACCAACATTGGAGCAGAAAGTCTGTTATATGACGGTGACGCCTGGTTGCCCACAGCCGAGGCCATTGTTCAACTCCCGAGGTCGCCCAGACTTCACTTCGGCAACCAACAAAAATCCGAAATGCCGACTTGACTTGAACCTTCTGCATACACTTTTTGAGTGCTCGTTTTCGTTTGTTCGGATGTCCTACTGCTCGCGCTATACCGGCCGGTCATTTCGCTGTATATTCTGCGACGGATTGAGAAGTCAACCAGGGGAATTGAACTTGCGGCCACGAGGCTAACAGCAACAGCCCCCTTTCCCAGCGTTTGGCGAAGTCCACAGACCTTGGGAGTGGCGGCGCTGCCATACTAAGCCGGAATCCAAGCCGAGCAATCCACAGAATCCAGGCCAGGTCTCCAAAATTTAGGTTCTGCATCCGAGAACCCGGGGAATATGGGGATAATGTGGGGAAGGTTGGGGTAAGCATCTCGGAATCCTCTCCGAAAGTTCCTTCGAAGCCGGGACCTTGCGTCTTTAAAATTGTGTCAGGACCCCCTATTGCCACATTTTCCAGGGATCATCAAGACCCGATATCCCTGTCAATACTGTCACCATGAAATTAGGCACCGTACTTGTCTTTCCCGCTTCCCTACTTGGCATGGTGGTTGCCAGTCCTCGCCCGCGATTGCCCTATAAGATCGACACCCACCATCATTTCTTGCCTCAAGTATACAGAAATGGTTCGTGGCCCGGACGCTAGATCTCGTGCAACTGTTTGCTGATTAACAACAGCGTTGGAGAGCGCCGGCGGCGATCCATCTGGCTGGCCCACCCCTGACTGGACCCCCAGGGCATCCTTGGAGAATATGGCCAGCAATGGAATCCAAAAGGCAATCCTATCACTGACCGCTCCCGGCGCAGCCATTGCTCCGGACGTGGAATCCGCACGAAATCTAGCCCGGCAGGTAAACGAGGAGGCAGCTCGTCTCCGCAAGCAGTACCCGAAATCATTTGGCTTCTTTGCATCGCTTCCCTCCCTTACGGATATACCTGGCTCCCTTGCAGAGATTGCGTATGCATTGGATGTTCTCAAGGCAGATGGAGTGACTCTTTTCACGAGGTATGGAGATGGTAACAACTATCTAGGCCATCCTCAGTTTACGCCAATCTGGGAAGAGCTCAATGCCCGCAAGGCCGTCGTCTTCATCCACCCTACGCACCCAGTGAACACCACCTGGACGAATCCACTCCTCCCCCAGCCTGTCATTGACTATCCCCACGAAACAACCCGGACGGCCGTCGACATGATCATCGCCAATGTCACCCGAAAGTTTCCCGACTGTCCCAAGATCCTCTCGCACGCGGGCGGTTCGCTTCCGTACTTGATTTCTCGCATTGCAACCACTTCTCGAGAAACAGAGGGTACAAAACTGATGTATGGAAAAACAAGCACAGAGCTTGTCGAAGATTTCCGCTCTTTCTACTTCGATCTGGCGCTCTCCAGCTCCCCGGCTGTCCTAAACATGCTGCTTGACCTGGTTCCGCACAATCAAATCATTTATGGTCTGACTCTCCTTCTATTTGTGATACACTCGTGCATGCCATAGTCATCATACTAATACGCTCAATCCAGGTTCCGACTTTCCATACGCGGCCTCGGACAAGGTCGCTGGATTCAGGGAGAATCTGGATGCGTTCCACATGGGAGACAGGCTCCGTAAAATGATCTACCAAGGAAACGCCAACGATCTTCTCAGGAGTTAATTTCGTTTCCAGTAGAAAGGTCACACGCTTTGATGGTCGAATGCAGCCTCTGTTTAGTAATGTCAGTCTCTAGCTCAGCTACCTCTTATATCCCGAGGCCTATACATCTCCGCCTCTGTGCCGATTCAAACAAGTAATGAAAGGTCAAAATGACACCTATACCTTGGGATGGCCTCGTGTTCGGAATAAGTATTAGCTCCAGTGAAACTTTGGTCGCAGTATCTCGTGAGGCATGACCACGGCCCAGATGTAGCTATGCTTTGCCTGTCGTGTAGCAGGCTTCGGAGTTGGTCAATACTAAGATGGGAACATTATCACTCTCGTCGCTGTAACATCGGGTGTCTGGCGTCAACAACAATCACTCGATCTATGTGGACATTGAAGCAACTGATAGTTGACTACGAATCTGCTTATAGAGAGTGCAGCGAGATAGGATAAGGAAACGAGAATGAAACGGCTGTCCATGACAAGCCAAGAAAATACATAAAGATATGTTCTCTTAGGTAATGGATTTGGGAAACTGTAACCATTTCATGATCAGCATCAGAGGCCTGGACATGCTGATGCATGCAGTGGCGTCATGCGCCATGTTGCTTGTCATTTTCATGGAAGACGCCATTGTCGCAGAAAACAGTCGATAGGGGCCTAGTGGCCTTTTCAAGATAATGCCGAATCCTGATCGCATTTGTAGCAGCTTTACGACCTCTTTTTTCTAGTTCCCCTCTGTTGCTAAAAAGTGCCTGGATTACAAGTATCTAAGACAGTATGAATTTTTGCCGAAGAGTATTGAAATTCAGAAGATTGCGCTTGGCCTTGCTATATCAGGATTAATCGCTTGCCCCTCTTACCTAGTATTGAGGTGTGGTGATATGTGTGACTCGATCAACCGAAATTTGCAAGCCGCAAAGCTGATCACTCCTGCGCGAACAGGAGATGTGGAGGCGAACTCCAACCCATCATAGGAAACACTCTAGATTCTGGTCATTGCTGCCAACGGCAATAGTTGCCCTTGTCTAATTATGTGAGTGGAGTATTTAGGCCAACAGTTTGCCCAAACCTTCATGTCCCGCACTAACACCACTACCACTTCTTCAACCGCGCAGCCCCTTCCCACGCCCCATCTCTCCCCTTGCCAAGATGGTCGGATAACTTCTTGCCCCCTACAATGACAGTATGCGCCTGGGCAAGGGGTATAACTCTTTTTTACAGAAGTCTTGTGCCGAAGGCATGGTGACCCCCAACAGGAAGGATCGCACCTTGGTCACGTCCTTCGACAAGACGGCGCCCGTGTCGCAGGTCGTCAGCTACTCGTCGCGCTTCGTGGAGAAGCTCTCTGACATCACGCAATTGATGAATATTTCCGCCAGCAAGTCGATTAAGAGTGGGGTAATTGTGGTCTCGGGAAGCTTGTTGTCTGTTGATGATTGACGAGGCGAGGTTCTCTTCGGCGGATGTCAATGCTGTGGTCTCGGTGAAGGTGGTCAATCGTGAGTTTTGGCTGGTTAGAGACTAAGAGAAAAGTATGCTAATCTTTGCTACTCTGGTTACAGACTACAACAGTTGTTGGCTCGGCGGAATTGTACACTCTTTGCTATTCTATTTTGGGCGGTTGGATTGACTGACTTCCGCTGTACAGTAGCCAGGACGTGTGCAGCTTCAAACACATGGACTCAGAAACTTTCCACGACTATTTGGGGACTCATTTATCTCCAGTGCGTCTTCCATTCCGTCTCACCACTAATATCAATACTAACAATAAACCGCACAGGCTTCGCCGAAGGAGGCGAACTCCACGGCATCATATCCGTGTCAGCCTTCAATCGCACCCAGAGATCTACCCTCAAATCCGCCCTTGAAAGCGCCCTCAATAGCGCAACCAATAACAAAGATCTCACCCTTGCATCATCCATCATCGCCGATTTAGATTCCGCGCTGAGCGAATCCGAAACAACCATCTCCGTTAACTGGATCGGGGGCGGGCAGATCAGGAACGAGCACGGACACGAGAACAACAAATGGTCACTTCAGGACCTCATCAGAGCCGCAGCTTCATTTCCCGTACGCGTTAGCAAGACGCCCACACGCACGCATGCCATTCTGACCAAGTATAACAGTATCCTGTCCCTCCTGTCATGGGCGCAGCCGCGACAGATACCGCGGATTCTTTTGCGAGGGAGTTATTAGATACATATATGGCGTACAAGGGCCATATGAGGCTTCTGCAAGATGCTTTGGCGGCGCTGGAGTCGTATCATAAGAATGAGGCCGTAGATGCGGTTGATGTTTCGATTCGGGACCTGGGGACGGCGCGGAAGATGATTAGGGTTGAGATGGCGGCTATTGTTGATGCCATTGACAGACTGTGAGTGATGGACCTTGTCTTCTCCCCTTTTCATCTTCTGGCGGCAGGGAGCTGAAGGAGCGTGTCAGGGACAAGCACCCCGAGCGGGTTGAAGCAATCGTTGCTGAATCCAAGGTAACGGCGCCAGAGCTCTGGGCCGTTCGACTACCGGTAAGTCCCCTGTCGCAATCTGCGTCCCTTAGCTTTCTCTAATCCATCGCGGCAGGTCAAGCTATCCAGTGGCCTAAAAGCGAGCAATGCAGGAGAGGTGTAGACAGTTGACAATCTATAATCTTCTGGAGTGTCCACGTTCTCGCACAGGCGAGTCGTCGAAGCCAGCAGCTCCAAAACCAGACTCTGTTCGACAAGCCCTTGAGGCTGAATACGCCAATCTCGCCGTGCCCCAGTGCCGACAATGCACAGGAATTAGATTGATACCACTCATCTTCCTCCTCCTCGCCTTTGTCATACCTCACCTAGGGGTTATAGCAGCCAAAGACGCAGCGGCCATTACTCAAGCAAGCTTCGCAGAATTGTTCTTTTGTCTGTCTTCTCATAGCTGGTGCCTGGAGTGCCTAGCTCAAAGTGGCGCAGACGCGTCTCATTCACTCCCTCTTCTGCTCAGCTCAGCTCCGGATTGGCATTTCACTAGGAAAGGGCCCCTACGAGGTTATAGTGTGCGGAGTAGGATACTACCTTGGGAGATACATCGCGAAAAGATGGTAAAGGCGGCTAGTATAGACGGCCTGTCTAGCTTGGTTATAGATGAACTATATCACATCGTCCAGTACGAGAAACGAACTGGCTGAGCCACCCACGGGTGTCGATTTGCCCCCCTCCCTGGATCCTAACAACTTGAACCTCTTTCCAGCATTCCCTAACACTTCTTCGCATTGTCACCATCCAATTCTGGAATGTGCAACTTGATGCAAGCGAAGCTAATCTTGGTGGTCGTCGCCCCAGAGCTTCCACCCCAGCTGTTCACAGCCTCGGACAAATCCCACTCCATGTTCACGTACGGCCAGCAAAGCCTCCTCGCGCCAATCTTGACAATGTCACCCGCAACATAGACATCGTCGCTCTTGACGGGCTGTCCGATCTTCGTCCCCTTGTACGTAACCTGCTGGAAGTATGTTCCGGAGAAGGTTCCACGGCATCCCATGGCAACGAACTCGTCGCAGATCGGGTCGGAGATCTCCTCCCAGGTCACGAGCGAGTTGACGGGGCCGAAGGCCGCGGCGTGCACGTTTGTGTGGTCCTTTTCGCCCGTGGTGATCCAGGTGACCTGGCTGTCGCCGTCGGCAGCACCAACTTCGGATGTTGCTTGTTCGCCGAGTTTCGTGTATTTGTCGGAGAAGAGGGCGACGGCAACGTTGCGGTTCTCGGTTCGGGGGAGGACGTGTGTGTATCCGTCACCCATCCAGTCGTTCGTGGTCACGTCAACAGCACCGCGAGAGGGCCACGCGAAGATGTACCGGGTCGTATCGGCGAATTTGGCGAGCGCACTGTAACTTCCTGACATTCCGCCCATGGGTTCTCCGGACGCACCGTTTGTTGTGTTCTCATTCGCGATCTTGACGCCGTTGTTACCCATACCCTGTGTCTTGGAATTCAACCATATGGCGCCCTGGTCTTCAGCGCAGATACTGGCGAAGGGAGCTTCCGAGGCAGCTTCGAAGGCGATACCAGTGTTGTGGCTGCAGCCCCATGAGCTCGAGGCGCCGGCAATGTTCTGAAGTTCACCGGCATCGTTGACGTACTGGATGCTGTCACCGAAGTGACCGGCCGCAGAGCCGGTATATGCTGTCACAACGAAGTACGCGCCGTAGAGGCCGGCTTCGGCAGAGTAGACGAGATCACCGTTGAGATCAGGAGAGGCATGCAGGCCGTCGGACTCGTGGACGCCAGGGCCGCCGAGGAAGGTCTTCCAGGTTTGTTTGCCGTTGGTGTAGAGGTAGAGAACGGGGACGGGAGTGCTGTCCGCTGGTGCATTGGCGGTTCCGGCTGGGAGGGCTTCGTTGGTGAGCAGGGCGAAGCCGTCGTTGTGGGCGATAAGACCGCCGGCTACTTGATTAGCTTAGTCTGCAGAAGAGTAAGAGCTGTTTATACCTTCTTTGCCGCCTGTGACGGTGACAGTATCTCCTACAGCCTCAAAAGTATCCGGGTTCACCTTTTGAACGTGCACATCGGTTCCGCTCGAGTCGAGGTAAGCGAGATAGGCCGACTTGAGATCCGGAGAAACCGCAAATGGGGTACGTCGATGGTGAGGATACCCAGTCCAGTAGGCCTCCTTGATCGGATTGAACGAGCTAGTAAGCTCAAGAGTATCGACGTATTTCTCAATGAATGACGCATTCAGGGCTGCCGTGGCACTCTGCGCCGCAGAGAGCAAGGCGACACCAAGAAGAGAGAAACGCATAATGAACGAAGAAATAAATGAATGACTATCGACCAGCGATAAGAACGAAGATCAGCGCAAGGAGGTGAAAAGAGCGACTTGGTTGGTTGACGACAGGGACAGGACAATCCAGGGATCAAGGCAGATCCGAAATATATGTAAATCTTCGTAAGGCGTTAGTTGACATTGCGCCAAGGGACCAGGCACGTCGAGGCTGCAGAATTCGAGGGGTTCCCGAATCATCAAACATGGCTGTTTTGAATAGAGGTGCATTTCATATCCACAGCCCCTGGTCTGTGGGCCGCCGTTTCACCACGAGGCCCATTTAAGACATGACCTAACCACCGCCCTAGATTTAGGAAACGGAGTCCAGGCAAGGGCCAAGCAGCGGTCAATATGCTTAATCAAACGAAAACAGGTTACAATAACAAAGTAAGACAAAGAGATACATTCTGAGAAAAGCTCATCTCATCGAGCGGGGTCCGATTCGATCCTGACGGCGGGCAGGAGCACCCAGGATCAATGGCTGAACTAGCTACAGGATGCTGCACTTTGATATGGGTATTGAGTAAGCGCCTCCATTACGAGATACTGATCGGCGAGTAAATCGAGCCCTGCCGTTCCAGAGAACTTTGGAGGACGGAAACAATAGTCGAGACATAGTACAAAGCATTCGATGTCGACTTTGCAGGGGGTAACTCGGGCAAGCGCGAAGTGGTCAGCTTGGTTCGTGCTGGAACTGTTCTGTGGCGGTCCCGGGAATTCAGGAGTAGACCCCTAATCGAGGGCACCGCGAGAGGAAGGTCAAGCCATTCATGACACCTTGGGGCGTTTGGGGTTCGGCATCCCCCCACCACCTAGGCGCTTCCGCTCCATCATCTCCATCTCCTGTTTCATAATCCTCTCCTGCTCGGTCATCTTCTTCGGGGCGACCATGACAGGACCCTTCTTCCCGGCCAGCGGGTTCTTCTTCGCGGCAGCTGCAAACACATTCTTCGGCTTGCTATTCGCACCGCCGAACGACATCGACACCTTGGGCGCAGGAGCAGCTTGCGTTGGGGCGGGTGAAGCAGCAGCTGACGTCTCCGGCGTCACAGACGTGGAGTTGTCCTTGTCCTTTGCATCCTCGGGCGACTCTGACTGTGCCGGCGGACTCGGCTGAGCGAGCTTGGCACCGAAGGCAAGATTCAACTTGACCTTCTCGCCCTCCTTCCGTTGTAGATTCCGCGCCTCAGGATCGATATCATCATCCTCCTTGTCGACGTTCTGGCGCGCCCGAGCAACCTGCTCCAGGATCTGTCTCTGTTCCCGCTCTTCATCACCCCGATCCTGTCTTTCCTTCTTCATAATCGCTTCTCGTCGTCTCATCGCATCCGGACTCCGGTCGATATACGAAACAAACAGACCCTTCTCCGTCTCCTCAACGTGGCACAGTCCCTCGCGACCGAGGTGCGCCGCGAACTGCGAGAGACTCTTCCATTTCGTCGCGTTCATGTGGATATGCTAAAAACCACCAATCAGTCAGTCACAACTCTCCCTTTCTCCTAAACAGAGCTCCGCTCAAACAGAGGGAAAGCTTACCTCCTTATCCGCAATAACCTGCTGATAAAACTGGTTGATATGAGTCTTCTTCTCGCCGTGTGTCGAGCGAAGCAGAGTCAAAAAGTTGCTGATGAACTGCTTGCTGTAATCTTCAATGTATTTCTTCGGGTCTTCGCCGATGAGTAAGACTTGTCGGACGTGGCTTTCGCTCTGGACGTGACTATAGCAGTATATCACATCAGTATGTGTCTTCGCACTCGAAGTGATGGAAAAGAAAAGGCCGAACTCACCATTTGAACCCGTTCTCATCGCGCATCTGGCGCTCGCATGCTTGACAGTACCATCGTAGACGACCTAAACCTTTCTTTGAAGGAGTTAGCTTCTGGCTTTTGCTGGGTTGAAGATCAAGAAATGACGTACGGCTTTGATCTTGTTGGCGATGGCCTTTGTGCTTCCGGCTTCAGCGCGCGGCATTGTGATCAGTAGGTATCGATAACTTCCTCCGTGGAATGAACAGCAGTACGCAGACGGAGATCTGGAGGAGTTGAAGAGAGAAAGCGGGTGGCGAAGGTCCGCGATAACAAGTCAACGCCGCTTATCTCATCATCACGTGACTCGTCCTCGTTTTCAGCCTCCTCTTAAAGTTGCCAAGAAGCTGGAATTCTGGACTTCAAGTGACACAATGCTTAGGTAGTACTACAGGGGAGCTTAAGCCTGTAAAGCGTGCATCGAATAATATCTACTAGTATTAGAACAAACTCCAGCTACCCTACCAGCATCCGAAGACAGACTGCTTTTCTGACAGCGAAAGGACGCCCCTCGTATAGAATACAGAACCAAAAGGATACAAACTGCCGAGATCAGATTTGTGAACCACGACCGTGAGTGGCCGTATATAAAATCGAATAATCAATCAAATTCAATCCATCAACCAACACTCGGAGTCCGTCTGTGGTAAAAATCACATCACATACTCGTGGATCGCTGACGGGCCGTTCTCGTTGTACTCCACGCGGCTCATGAAACCCTTGCTCAGGCCTTGATCTAGGACGAAAATAACCTTGGATGCAACCTGGGCCCCAAGAAACACGGCTTCTTCCATGCCCCGATGACTACCACCTGAAGCCGGGCCGCCGGGTCCATTGAGGCCGGGAGCGTTTTGTGAGGCAGCATTCGACGCAGTTTGTTCCTTCCATTCGGGGAAGTACTCTGGCGGCTTTACTGTCCGCACCGACGTGGGTGTCTGTGAGTGCCCGGTGTGACGGTGGTGAGAAAGAGAAGGGTCCATTGAGGGGGTCCCAGGTGGCATGCTCGGGGCAGCGGGATTGTTGGAGTGTGTTGCGGCGACAAGAAGAGGGTTCACCCCATGGCCGCCCGGGTGGTGCATCGGGCCGGGCATTTGTGGCGCAGGGGTATTTGTGCCGCCGGTGGGGAGTGGTGTGGAGAAATTAGACGGAATCTCGGATGTGAAGATGGTGCCGGAGGGCGAGAGGACAAACTTTTGAGTGATAGTAGCGAGCAGTGCTTGGGTGAAGCCTATGACAATTAGTAAATGGTTGAGTGTGGAGGGTAGAATCACGAACCCTTGACTCTGCTACCGTTCCCAACGACGATCAATGACTCCCAAAGATCACTACGCTTAGTCGCATCAGGCACGGCAAGGATAGTATGATGGATTTGAGTGGCAATGTCCTCGAGGATACCACTTGACAGTCTTTCTCCTGTCTTCTGCTTCGGCGTGGCAGCAAAGAAGCGCTCAACGCCGACTTCGATGTCTCTGGCCTGGCGAATGAACCGCCCTGGGCCGCTTGGTGCATCCTTCTCCGGCTCTAGCTTCACAAACTCGTGGTACTGGAAGGTAGCCTTCTCCTTCTTCGAGTTTGGAAGACGGACAGGCTTTGCGGACTGATCTGCACCCTTCTTCGTCACGGTCTTCTCCTTTTCCCGATTCGCGAGGAATTCACTGGTGTTGCCGCTGACAATAGCGGCTACATCCAAGACACCCTCGTCCTCATCGCCCTCGCTATTCCCATTCGGAATTCTGGGCTGGGTTCCATCGGGTCCATTCTGCGTAGAGCCGGGCGCGGTCTGATTTCCGTCTTGCCGTGCGGTGGCTGCTGTACCTGGTAGCGGAGTCCCTTGTGGTAGAAGCTCCGTAATGTTACTGCGCTTGAGCTGTTCGCACATATCCCGAGTGAATCGTTTTGAAGCTAGCAGCTCCAAGAGCCGATCTGTCATGTAGTCGCCGCCGCATCCTTCCAAGGCAATTCCTCGGCCGTGTTCGTTAATCAGGAAATCTGTGACGGCAGTGACATCCACCTTGTCCTTGCCGACATCGATGACAGTGGCAGTCGACACACCATATCCATAGCACACGGCGAGTGCCGAGTCCATCAGACAGAACGCAGGCGTCTTGAACTTTTCAAAGACAAACTGCGTGATCGCTTCCCTGTCGCGTAAAGACCAAACTGGCTCGGCGATGAGCATGATCGGCGTGTGAAAGGGCGGACTAAGGGTGTTGTAGACGTGTGTGAGTAGAGCGAAGAAACAAGGCCAATCGACGATGCGTCCGCTCTCCATAGGATAAACAGCGCCCTCCTGGGAAGCGACATCCTCCTCGTAGAAAATCTCCTCGACGGTCTGACCGTTCTCTCCATTCTCCTCCTCCTTCTCGCCCTCCGCAGTGCCTTCAGCAGGTTCTGTCTTTGTCTCGTCCGTACCCTCGGTCTTCGGTGCGTCTCCATTTCCCGCTCCCTCTTGCGTGGCTGGCTGGGCGTCTTTCATCTCAACATCTTCCTTCGGCGCGTCGGAGCCATTGGCGACCTTGATCTCTTGTCGTCGCTCGCGAATCTTGTACGGTTCATATTCACCCTTCTTTTCGCCCGGGAACATTCGCGTCGGGAAACGGTATCGAGCTGGTGTGAACGACTCTGGAAGACCCAGTTGCGCCAGGGTCACTTGCGATCCTGGCGCAATTATCTAGCGAGCGGTTAGCGGGGCCCTCCTTCTTTTTCAGATACCAATTGCGTGAAGCGGATCCGACATACGAGAATATGCTCATCTTTGAATGGTGGCATTCTCTCTGGTTGGGATGAGGAGTTGGCTGGAGGAGCTCTTTCAGGTGATCCGCTGCGTTCGCGTTCTGGCGCCTCCGACAGCGCGCCAAGAAGGTCGAGAAGCCCAATCTGGTTAGCGCTCATTTTGTCAGAGAACTTCAGAGGAAGGGCAGACTTTAAACGTATTGGATTAAACGAGTTGTTCAGCTCAATTATATGCTATGGCTACAGTGGCTAAGTATTGCAATCCTTCTTATGTCTACCTGATGCTTCATTTTTGTCCCTCAAAGGAAGGTGCGAAGTGAAAACAGGAAGGGAAAGAGCGATCACGTGACTAGGCTTGTTCTTCGCGCTGTAGGCAAGATTCACTCTACTTGTGGTCTGGAAATAATCTATGGAGCTTTGTAGGTGATCGTAAGGGTGTTAATAGAAAGCCAAAAGGTCATATAGGGATTCTTTATTTATGGTTTGCGAGGTTCCTTTGATCGTCTTCATGTTCGTTGCCGAAATATATATATCCCAGCCCTAAATTCAGCGACGGGCACTACTGAGTATTTCGACAGAAATAAAAAGTCCGAACCACAGAGGCTACATAATATTGCACCATAATAGCAAAATGAGAGAAAAATCCATTTCGTAGATATACTAAGACCCCAAACTCCAGTCCCTCGGAAACTCCGAATAATTGCTCTATGTCCAGCACGAGTCCCGCATTATCATCGCCCAATTATCCCGTCACTCAGGTCCTCCTTCCGGAACCGCGTGATACTTTTCCGTTGCCGAACGGAACAGCTCCTGCTGCTGACGGAGAAGTTCCTCCTCCGACAACCCACTCTGCTCCATCTTGCTCTGCTTCTTCTCTCGCGACTAGTACACGGTCAGTCTTCCAGCCAGCAAACCAAACCCAGGGCTAGGGAGATGTATCCGTACCTTCAACTGTTCCTTATGTTCCTCCGCAACCGCCAAAACGTCCGGGATGTAATCGCCGAAGCCGAGGTCACGCAGAGCCCGCTCCACATGCTCACAGGCGATTGTCTTCTTTGCTTCCTTCTCGCTGATGTCGTTGGCTTCGGAGGAGATGAGTGTGATAAACTCGACGCAGCATTCCATGAGGAGATCGCGCGCGTCTTTGGAAAAGGTCTGGCCGGAGGATGGGGGGAGGATCTCGGTGATGATTTTCTGGACCGTCGCTGTTGCGGGGTTAGCTATGATGCAAGGTGATTTTTGCGGGATTTGGGCGATGAAGGCTGCTCTAGATAGCTAGAATGTTTCGAGACGCCATCATAAAGATGGGCTGGCGATCGTGTACACACCTTTGGGAAGCGACAGTTCTTCGTTTGCTGGAATCGCGGTTAGCTTGCAATGCGCCAAGAAACGCGAAAGACTTACAGCCAAACTCTCGATCTGACATGGCGTGGGCGTGTATTTATCTGTGGCGATACAAGCGGTAGCGTCAGGCCAAGATTCAATATGAGAGAAGCAATGATTAAACTGAATCTGGTCGACCTGCGGGGAGATTTTTGTCTTCGGCTCCAGCTCCGCCAGGCTGATCGCGAAGAAATATGGATGCGACAGCGCGGAACGGAACAACCTGGTGGCAGAATCATACTGGAGCCACACCGCCTACTTTACCTTATATTCGGCTGCGATTTTTCTCGGCTGTTTTTTTCTTCACCATCCCACAACCATGGGACACAACCACTTCTCTGATGTCGAGAAGCAGGATTGTGTCCCGGAAACTAAAATGGTATGTTTATCCTCCTCTCCTCCTTCGCTTTTACCATGATGAACCACGTTGTCGCCCCTATCATACATTCTATGGTGACCTACACTGTCCAAAGCCAAACGGACTGCTGAAATGCACTTTTCTGCCTCACTTTTGACTCAGTGATTGCTTGATCATAGCTAACTGTTCGTCAAGACCTAGGTTCTCAATTATGAGCAATTGCATCGGCATTAAGCGACTCGACACCACGTTTTCCCGAGACATAGCATAGGTACGGTACTTTTCTGTCTTTCTTCTCTTTACACTTTTTTGTGATGAACAAACTACATTCCATGCTAAGTATGAAGGTGTACTGCACCTAATGCTTCTAAAATGTACCTGCTTTTCATCTTTCGGCTGATCAATCTCAAATCTACCCAATTGTTCTATGCCTCTCTGTCGAGTCCAAGACTGACTCTTCTATACAGTAATGTAGGATCACGCCTGGTAGGCCTCGAGCAGTTTATCGTTCCACCTGCGCACGATTAGCATAAACCCAGATAGTCAGAAAAAAAAATGGAAAAGCTCACGTCAAGAACTTCCCACTCAACTCCTTCGGCGCATCAAGCACAAGCTTCGCCATAACATGCCCAGGTTGCTCAGGCTTGAGCAATTTCCCATCCTGATGCACACCTGTAAATTTCGCATGCACCTGCGGCTCCAGCGTCGTCGCATGATCCTCCCTTAACTCCCTCTGCATCTCCGTATCCACCATCCCAGGCCGAATACTCACACTCGTAACATCCTCCTCTTCCTCCGCCAAACTCAGCGCAAGATGATTCATCGCCGCCTTCGTAGACCCGTAAAGCCCCCAGCCTCGATACGCCGAAACCGACGCGCCGGAGCTCGTAAACACAATCCGCCCCTTCCGCTCGCGCAGCTGCGGCAGCGCCGCCTTGACGAAACTCACCAGGCTGAAGAAATTCACATCGTACCCCTTCTTCCACTCCTCAATGTCTGCGGTAGCGATCTTGCCGACTTGTCCCAGGATTCCGTGGTTCAGGACGAGTCCGTCGAGACCGCCGAAGGTGTTGACCGCGAGCTCGACGGCTTTGGGGCCGAGACTGAAATCCGCAAGATCTCCGTTCAACACGGCCACGCGGGGAGCGTATTCGGTCTTGAGCTTCTGCAGGGGTTCGACGGAGCGGGCTATGACGACGACGTTGTGCGATTCGGGGGTAGAGAGGAGATATTTTGTGATTGCGAGGCCGATTCCTGTGCGCTGTTAGCTGTATTGCTGGAGGTTGAGAAACAGGGTTCAAGTGGGGGAAGACCTCGAGAGGCGCCGGTGACGATGATGGTTTTCGGTGCCATTGTTGCTGTGTGTAATATCAATTGGTAGAAGGAATTGAGAAGGGAAATGGTTTGCGAAGAGGTAAACGTAGAGAAGAAGAGAGGAGCTTAGGTGGGTTGCGGAATTATTTGAGGGATGATGTAACGGCCGAGGAGGGGTCGTGGGGTCAGTCTTCAAGACTGCACAGCTGCCATTCTTTTGGCTCGAGGCTCTATGCTGTCTGTCAATAGAAATAAAAAGGGTATTGATCTTACTGTATCAAATATCTGGTACGACACCTCAATTTGTTTCTCACAATTCTGTTCGTGCGAGCTGCTTCTGATTACCCCTCTACCCCTCCTCCGCAGCGCAAAACTCAGGAACACAAACGCAAGCCTTTCGCATGCTCTGCAATCATCATCCTCCATATAGTTGAATTTCAACGGCACGTACAGCAGCCTATGTCATATCCAAACAAGATGTACCTCTGTCCGCCGGACAACAGGAACAGCCTATCCCGCCGGAAAACTCCCCACGAGCCAAGTTTCCCGCTTATCCAGCCTTTGTCTGGCGCCATTCGCGATGTAGCTGTGGACCCTCGCCAACCGGCCCGGTCGAGACGAACCCGAAGATGGGTAAAGAATCCGCGTCTTGACGCCGCTTGATCATGCGGAGGGCGTGCGTGGGCTTGACGATCTCCACTTGAGCTTGAGCTCATAGGCCTATAAAAGGCCTTGGGTGCCTGGACCGAAATTTTGATCCCGCAACACAACGGTTCTACGACACACACACAGCAAGATGCCCACAATAATCCTCGGCGGCGGCATAATCGGCGCCTCAATCGCCTACTACCTCTCACAACAAGACCCCAACTCCGCATCGGAAATCCACATCCTCGAATCCTCATCTACGCTCTTCAGTTCCGCCTCCGGCTATGCCGCGGGCTTCCTCGCAAAAGACTGGTTCGAGCCCTCGCTCCTCCCCCTCGGCGAACTCTCCTTCGCCATGCACGAGTCTCTCGCGGCTGAGCATGGTGGGGCTGCGCGGTGGGGGTATATGAAGGGGACGGCGCTGAGTTTGGGGTCGACGGATGCGGGGGCCGGAGGGAAGAGAGGGGATGATTGGTTGCGGTCGGGGACGAGTCGCGCGGAGACGGCGACGGGGGAGGTTGTGGTGACGGAGGGGCCGGAGTGGTTGACGAGGCAGAAGGGGACGGCTGTTGAGAGGATTAGTGAGGAGGGGAGTGTAGCGCAAGTGTATGTTTCTCTTTCTCTTGAAGATATGGAGGAGCGAGAGTGCTAACGGTATACAGGGATCCGCTCCGCCTCTCCCAATTCCTCCTGGACGAGAGTCTAAAGCGAGGCGTAAAGCTTCACCAACCATGCAAAGCCACCTCTCTCATCGCAGACAGCACGGGAACAATAACCGCCATAAAGATGCTCAATCTCACCACAAAAGCCGAATCTACCCTGCCTGCCACAAACCTCATCCTCGCCGCCGGATCCTGGACACCGCGTGTCTTCGAATCCCTTTTCCCCTCATCCCGAACGAAACTCCCAATCTATCCACTGGCCGGGTACAGTCTCGTCGTGCGCTCACCACGGTACACATCCGAGCACGAGAAGCAGATCAACGGGGAGAGCCACGCGGTCTTCACGACACATCCGCCGTCATGCGGGTTCAGTCCCGAGATCTTTTCGCGCGAGGGCCAGGAGATTTATATTGCCGGACTGAATAGTCGCGATATACCCGTTCCGGATCGGGTTGAGGATTTGCAGCGGTACTTTGATGAGAAGGAGATGGAGAGGTTGAAGAATGTTACTGTGAGATTGATGGGGAGGCTTCCTGATGGCACCCTGGAAGCAACCGAGGAAGTGGCTAACGTCAATGATCTTGAGATCCTCCGAGAGGGATTGTGTCTCCGACCCGTTGCGGAGAGAGGCGTACCGTTTGTTTCGAAGATCGAGGATGGACTCCTGGGGAATGGGTTGAAGACCGGGAAGAATGGTGGCGTGTTCGTTGCGGCGGGCCATGGACCCTGGGGAATCTCGTTGGCCCTGGGTACAGGGAAGGTGGTTGCAGGCTTGGTGAACGGGGTGAAGCCTGCTGCTGATGTTAGTGGGCTGGGTGTTGGGTCGTCAAAGGCGAAGCTTTGAGTGTCGTATACTTAGAATTGTTGTTTGTATAGAACTAGAGATCTTAGACATGTACTTGAGAATTGGTACTCCGTGCAATGGCCAAAATATGCTCAACATTCCGTATAGACCTCTAGAAAGTTCACCAAGACATCGTCAAGCAGTGACCTGAAACCCCAACTACCAAAACATAACCTAATATCATGGAGAGTACAAAGGCAAAATACATAGCTGAGTGCAAGTATGGTAATACATGGCTCAATATGCAAAACAGAAATTGGATAGAATATCCAAACTTTCACAGACAGACACAGAGATCGACGGGCCCTTCCATATTACAGAGCAGCGACTCCATACTGAACCTGGAGCTCCTTCAGCCACGCCACGAACTCCTCAGTGTATACATCCGTTTGTCGGCTAGCGTCCCAGTCACCGGCTGGAACGCGGAAGTACTCGTGTCCAGAGCAGAAAGATCGTTCAGCGCCATCTGGGAACTTCGCCATGCAGGCAGCGCATAGGTTCTCAAAGTAGCACGAGGTACAGACCCATCGTTCTCCAAATAAATCTTCTTGACACTCGTCGCAGATGACGCCATTATGGGCTATTTTCTCGCTCTTCTCGTCAAGCTGCAAGGTTGCGTTGAAGACCTTTGCGGCCGCCGACAAGTCTCTGAATTTCAAAAGGCAACGCCCTAGAGTATCCAAGAGAATCAGATCCTTTTTCTCGAGGGGCATCGGCGTTCCAGAAAGGGCTTGAATAGATTTTATAATCCGTTGCTGGCGAGCATCTTCGGTGGGGTGGCTGTATTGTTCGCACTCTTGGAATTGTTCCAGTAAGGTGTCCATGGTTGCTTCATCCGCATACTGAAACGGTGTGCACCCGAACATATCTTGATGGCTCAAGGATGCATGATTTTGGAGTAGACATCCAATCACATCAAAACGATCGGATCGAACAGCATGATGCAAGGGGGTGGACCCATCGCCGGCCGGAATATTGACATCAACCCCAGCATCTAGTAGCAGCTGCACAAAATCGACATGACCGCATTCAGACGCAACATGTATAGGGGTTACTCGGGTCTGTTGTTTATCTGCCAATGCTAGTATATCTGCGCCCGAATCCAGAAGGATTTTGAAAATCTCAGGATAGCCTTGAAATGCTGCAAATGCGAGAGGTGACCAGCCGTTCGAATCTGGGACTCTAGGACTGACACCTGCATCTATAAGGGCTCTGACCACTTCAAGACGACCGGTAGCTACCGCAGCAATTAAGGGCGACCAGCCGTCCGAGCCTGAAGATCCTGAGATCGCACCCGAATCTAGAAAGGCATTGACCACGTTGAGATGGCCACTTTGTGCTGCAGCTGTAAGCGGTGTCAAATCATTCAAGCCAAAGACATTCGGGCTTGCCCCTGAATCTAAAAGAGCTTTCACAATCTCAAGATTGTTTTGGGATGCTGCATGATGAAGCGGTGTCCATCCGCCTGAGTCAGGGGCTGCGGTGCTTGCTCCTAGATCTAGGAGATATTTGACTATACAGAGGTGTCCATTGATAACAGCCCACAACAATGGTGATTCCCCTTCCGTAGTGCATAAGTTGGGATCCGCGCCATAATCGACAAGGCTTCGAACTATTTCCAGGTCGCCGAGACATGTTGCGTATATCAGTGCATTCCAACCATCATTAGTGCCAGTTATTGCAGGATCTGCATTATGTGTAAGAAGAAGCTTGACAATGTCTTTATGACCTTTTATAATTGCAGCAATGAGGGGGGTTTCATCATCCTTGTTAATGACATTGATGTTTGCGCCTCGATCAAGAAGGACTTTAACCACTTCTGTGTGAGCTTGTCGAGCCGCATGAATTAAAGGCGTTGGATCTTCAGTATCGCAAAGTAAAAGATCTGCACCGTTATCGAGAAGGAGTTCGACGATAGGAGCATGGCCACCATACGCTGCCCAATGGAGAGCCGTATGTTGGACATTATCCTTTGCACTGACTGAAGCGCCATTCTCAACGAGCAACCTGGCTAATTCATGGCGACCATAAAAGGCGGCCATCATGAGAGGAGTTGAGCCATTGTTATCAGCAGTAGACGGATCGGAATTGTTGTCGAGGAGTTGCTGAGTTATCGTATAGTTACCAACATCAATGGAACGGGACAGTGGAGTTTGCCCAGATCGATTGGCGACTGAAACGGATGCCCCATGACGTAGTAACATGGCAACTGACCCTTCCTGGTTGCCTGAGACTGCGGCATGTAGTGCACTGCCAAACCGGCCTTCAGCTTCTGGATTGGCCCCAACATCGAGAAGAAACTTGAGCGCCCCTGTCTGTCCTCTGAAGGCGGCGGCCTGGAGAGGATTGCCATGCTCTCCGCCAGATTGGTCTTTGTCAAAAATACCAGTCTTGTGTAGATACTTCATCACATATTCCAGGCCGAAGAGGGCAGCATAATAAGTCCTGCCCCCGGGGATTGGGCCTGCCTCGGAGTATACAGATCCTGTTTTTCGGTCTTCTGTATCGTCTTCGCCTGTAAATTCTTCTTCTGGATCTTCCTCCTCTGAGTCGTTCTCTTCTGCATCGCTCACTTCTGGATTGCCCTTATCGGTATCGCTGCCTTCTTCCGAGTCACTCTCTTCTGAACCCAATTTTTCCGAGTCTTCGTCTTCTGAATCTTCATAATAAGACCGCCATTCGCTCCAGTTAGGGTTGACAGCGCTAAAGAAAGACAATAGTCGTTGATTCATGTCGTATGGAGAATGCGCACACGCGCCCACATGCTGAAACCAGTGGAAAGAGGCGTAAACTAAAAAAGGACGATCTTGGATAAGCTCAAGATTTTCATTGAGTTCTGGTTGCCATGTAGCACTGCAGTCTATGTATCCTAGGCAGTTTTGGGCCAAGTGATATTCTTGTAACATGGTGTCAGCAAATGGAGCATACCCATGTTGACCCAAGAGGAATCAATCGCTGAAAAGTGGATCAAGTGGACGGTTTTCTTTCTCAATTCCTCATCAGGAGTGGTACCTCGTAATTCCAAAAAGGAGCCGCATATACCGAGTATCTCGTCGTCCACGAATTCTTCATCAAATGAGTCGGGGAGATCATCAAATTGGGGCTCGTCGTCTTCACTAGTATCCATCACCGTCACAACTTCGGAGAGCTGTAGGATCGTGAGTGGCCGACGGGCGAAGACCACCCAGCGCAGAATCGCTTCGGCGCGCTGCTTGTCCGAGGGTGGCAATCGTTGTATATCGTCCCAATGCCGCTTGTATACCTGGACTATATCGGTTGGCATTTCATCGACTGCCCGACGAAGCTGGTTCTTTCCTTTACGAGGACGTAAATCCTGGCTCTGTAGGCGTATCAGAAGGAACATGCCATCGCTCTTCTGGGCCATCTGGGCTGAAAGCTCCTGACAGAGTTGATGCTGGTTTCCTGCTAGTTTCTGCGTGACAACATGCTCAGCGAATCGTGCGACATCTGATGACACATTGTCCTTGGAAATCGCTAGTTCGTCGAACTTTATGCCTGGGGGATGCGGCCCATGAGGTCGTAGTTGGGATTTGATATCGCCCTCCTCTCTGCTAACAACTAACAGACGAGCGCCTATACCAGCTCCTTCCCTCATGATTTCTCGCAAAACATCAGCCCTGTTGCGATGCAGCTCGGTTCTCTCTGTGTTTGTCCGCGGGCACTCGTCTAGGCCATCAACAACAAATATTAGAGTTGGGTTGTGAGATATGATATCCCGCAAAAGGTGCAAGACATCAGAATGTGTCGCTTTGGTGTTGCCGCACTTGCTGAGATACTGCAGAACCAAGTCGAGAATATCGTCATCGTGATGAACGGCTTGATGCACCCAGGAACGTGGAATGGCACTGGGGTTCCTCTGAGCATCGCTGTTGCCAGAGCAGAAGAAAGAGCAAACAAATGGCGTGCCACTGTCTAGAAGGGACTTGACAACATACGCGCAAAGAACGGATTTGCCAAATCCACCTGGGCCATGCATCCATAGTACGTGTAAGCTTTTGTCTGGGTTGCCTGAAAGCCATCCCTGATAAGCTGGATGTGTATCGATCCAGTTACAAGTTGTGTCTAGACGTGTGGAATAATAAGCATCGAAAGTGTTTTCAGTAGTCGTAGCATCTAACCAGTGCGATACTTGATGAAGAGCCTGATTGCGCTGAAACTGTATGAGCGACGTTTGCAATTTCTGAAACTCATCTGGATGAAGCTTTTCGGGTGGAACCAAGCGATACAACTTTTGTACTAGGTCGTCAAAGTCTTTGGTGTTTTGTGTCAGCTTGTCACCGTCTGCAAGGGCCCATTTTAGGCGCGACCGGAGTTTCGTCCGGCCAGGATTCGCTGCAGCTGAAGTTGATGGTTGTTCATATCCAGCGATAGTAGGGTCCACATCGGTGAAGACATTGGTGATTGAAGCTAGCAAGCCTGCAACAGCGTTGACCGTAGCAGGCTCTTTCAGCTGTGGATGTACGCTTTGTGCGAGCGAGTCCTTGTCCGCAACGCCAACCTGCGTTCCCCATCGCTCAAAGAGTACTTTTGTTGCACTGTAGCGCGAGAACAGTCGCAGAGACTCGGAGGAGTGATTCTTGACCGAGTGTACAACTCTGGCAGCCTCTTGGTACAGGTTGAATAAACCTAGCAGGCCGACGGCGCCGAGCGCCAACCCGGCGGGCTCCATGGGAATTCAAGAGAGAAAATGCGAGTCAAATGGGACTTTGAGAGTTGTCAATCCATATTCAAAACATGGATTGATGATTTGGCATCTGAACAAGGAGGTTGATGATGGGAAGTGGTTGAAGGATGGGAGGAAGATCGTTGTGATTACCCCGCTCAGACGTGGTCGACCGCAGTGAGGCTGACCAGGCTGAATCCACCCATGACCCCAAGGGCCCAGTGGGGCTGTACAAGTCATCATGAAAGCATCCGACTGATGCAGAATGGAATAGACTTTGATGTATTCGAGTGCCTCGGAGCCGTGAAGAATTTCGTTGTGACTGCATGGGTTTGCGATGGCGCAGGGCCCCTCCCTGTGTCGCACCTTCCTACCTTGCTCGATCAACTACAACCACACCAAGCCAAAGGCTTGATTTATCCCTTCATACCGAGCTTGGGGAGTCTGGAGAGTGCGACAACAACGATGTCCGTATGTGACCCTGCCTAACTCTTGCCTATTCGCGTCGGAGCTTTCACCCCCGACTAACATACAGTAGCTCTTCCGCCGGTTTCATCAAAGACGTGCATATGCAATTTAAGTTCGAGGGAGGCTCACTATTTTTGGCTGGTAGTTAGTCGACCATTAGGGTGCTATCCCTGAATAACACTCACGCGGAAGACGAGAATCTCCGTGTTACCAAATACTCCGAGATCTGCACAGCGCCTCTTTCTTAATCCAACGACGTTCCTTTCCAATCAATCTTCTACGCATTGCTGAATCAGGTATAATGGCCGAAACCCCATTCAGAGGACTAGGGAAGGCAGTTGAGTTTGAAGGCGTCTTCAACGTACGCTCTTTCGGCGGCTACACAAGCACCCTCCGACCCAACTGTTCCACCCGCCATGGCTTCATCTACCGCTCGGGCCACCTCGATAATATCACGTCCCGCGGAATCGAACAACTTCGCAGCCTCGGAGTAACGACGATCATCAACCTGACCAACACCGGCGAGTCGACGGCGCTTTACGCGAATGCAGGAACAGACACGGCGGGCCTCGAGGGGGTGAAGGTTGTGAATCTTCCGTTGGCGAAGGGTGGATTCTCGGTTGCGAAGCTTGCGGAGAAGTATCGCCGGTACGTGGCTGAGGGGGAGAAGGTGGGCTAAGACCTATAAGGCAGAGTGCGTACGTTATTAACAAGATCTCCAGGTCATAGCAGACGGGTACCTTAAGCTTCTGGAAGAAGGTCACTCCGTTGTAAGCGACGTCCTCATGTTAATCCGCGACAATCCCGATGATGTGTTTCTCATCCACTGCTCAATGGGCAAAGACCGCACGGGCGTTTTGTTTGCAATCCTTCTCCGTCTAGCCGGTGTTTCACAAGACGATATCGCCTCGGAGTATAGCCTGAGCGAGGCAGCTCTGGGACCAGCGCTTCCTGAAGTTGCGGCCGGGATTAAACGAGTGATCTTGCCGCCGATTGATGGCGAGGAGGCACTGAGGAGAGCGAAGATTGTGATTCAGACGAGGCAAGTTGCCGTTATTCTTCCCCTGGTGGAGAAAGGCTGACAGCCCTTCAGGAAGGAGGCGATGACCCTCACGATGGCTATGATTGAGGAACGCTTCGGAGGAGCGTTGCGGTATCTGACTGAGCGCTGCGGACTGGAGGACGAGGATCTGAAGAGGATTCAAGACATTTTGACGGACTCCGAGTCTGTTTGAGTTCGCACCCTAGCGTGTATCTATGGTAACAGGATCAATTCAAATAGCAGCACCAACCAATTCTATGTGAAGATGGGGTCAACGAACCCAGCAAATCAGCTGTGTTCTCGACTTCAGACGAACCCAGGCGAGCTGGGTAGAAGGCTTGGCACATCAGGCTCAAGATGACGTACCTGTAGCAACGCTTCTGTCGGCGTCTTGTAGATATCTTCGGCCGCAGTATCAGTTCTGAATTGTAGGCAACTTTTCCCCGCGCAGAGAAGGAGAAGCCGGAAAGTGGAGCCCGTAGAAAAATCACCTGCGCGGAGTGAAAAGTTCGCTTTGGACACGTACGCCGTAAGTGCGACCTAGAAGAGTTGAGACTGTTATTGAGAGTGCCCGTGTCAAAAACGAACACACTTGTGGGACTTCGGGAGAATCAAAAGAACAGTTTCTGGACGGATTGAAAACGTTGGTGGGAACACGAAGTCAAGTGAGTCTGGCTTTGAGGGAGGACCCGGAGGCTTGACGATAAGGATACGGATGTCGGGGAGGGGCAGGCAACGCCTTTCTCGTTATTTTCTTCTTTTGAAAGCAAACGTAGATGTGTCCATCAGCGACGCCGTAGACTAACTAGGACTCTGTGTTATTCTCCTCTAATAGCCTGCGGCGAAGAATATCTAAAGACACCGCGAGAAACGAGAATTTCTGAGATGGCATCATGGCCCATGAAGCGCCCAGGAAAAGCAAGTGTGTGAAGAGCAACCTGTCCGCAACACTGAGTTCCTACAATCTGCCCAGTGGGAGGGTGGTCCAACTTGCGCGCGTTTGAGCAACAAAGGGCTGCGAGTTGCAAGATGAGCAGGAGGCACTCATTTTTTCCCAGGCAGCAGCAGCTCCTTTAGTGTGATATTTTGTGATCGTACCCTGATTTAGTTAATTAGAAAGTGCAGATCACTCTTGCTCCTGCAGAGCCTGCCCCAGATTTGGATCACACTGCGCTTAATTTTGGGTTCCACACGGGCACTGCCGCAATCCACGTGGAACTGGGCCAATTAGATGCTGGGTCCAAACCAGGGAGGGGAGCCTCAAGCAGGTTTGGGAACATCATCATGAGAGACATTCACTTCGGCTCTCTTGACCTTAGACTTGAGCATTACAGCTGTTGTTTCTCGCCGCCGGAAGAATTATAAATTATCATGTTCCCCCCTCGAAATCAATCTCTCAAGTCTGTCTTTCTTTGAACCCAGTCACCCCTGAAGACTATCAGACCCCTGAGATCGATAGCCTCCCTGACCGTGCACCATGGCTTCCGTGAAAGCTGAGACGGACACCAACACCGGCGACGGCGTCGACATCGAGGCCGCGACACCCCTTTCTCCCTTCTTCCCCAGCCGCTTTTTTTTCGTCGACGCTTGGGACCTCAACAACGGCCTCCTCGCCCACACCGTCAACCTCTCCCACCAATCCACCGTGATCGTCGGCAAGATCGACAACGAAAACTTCTTCGAACCCGCCTTCCAGATCGGCTACGAAGACGGCCTGTACACAAACATAACGCGGGACTGGGTGGCGGAGACAAAGAGAACCATCCTCGCTGCCCTGGAGAAGGACATCAACCTCGCGGAGGAAGGCTCGGCAAGGGCTTTCAGCAGAGGCCAGAATTTTATCGCTTGCGTTCGTCCCCAGTGGCTCATCAACCCCGCTACTCTGAGCAAGTCATTCACCCCGCAAGGCTATCACGGGCCAGCCTGGCAGGCGGCTATGGTAAATACAGTCCCTGCGATGTATTCCTTTAGAGTCGACGGTAGCTTCGCGTTCGCCCCGCTCAACGAAAGCATGCTCCCCGACGACTACCTCTGCACCTGGCGTATGGTCTTCACTATTCGACATCCGATCGCGCTCTTCGGCGCCATATACCGTGAGCTCACCAAAGGCAAGAGGCTGCCCGCTGAAGTGATGAAACCCGTCTGTGAGCTGTTCATGACCTTTCGCTGGGTGCGCTTGCTGTACGACTGGGCAGCGACCTATAGCACAGCGCAGCCTCCGATCATCATCCAGTGCGAAACCGTCACGAACAACCTCCGCCCTATGGTTAGGAAGATCTGTCTCGAGCTCGAGTTGGACGAGAGCGTTGTTCTATTCGAGAAGCTGGAAGAGCAAATAACGATGCAGGGACCCGGACTGCAGCAGAGCCAGGCCGTCTTCAACAATCTGACCGCACAGGGAGTAGATGCTCTGCAAGCTAGGATTGCTGTCGCCGTCTCGGGCTGGGAAGTCGAGTTTGGAAGGCCTGCTGCGTATATGCTTGCGGATTTCGTTAGAGCGGCGATTCCTGATTGGGAATATCTGCGCGACAGGGCGATGACTTTACGCTAGATGAACCTGTTGGCTTCTGGTTTCTACTGTCCTTCTCTCCACGTCTCTCTCTCTCTCTTCCTTGCTTTCTGTGATGTGTGTGTACACTGCCTTATCCCCCAGTTGACTACGGCGGACTATGTTACTGTCTTTTTGTCTTTCTGTTATCTAACGTTTGTACCATCAAGTCGTGGGGATATTATCAAGAGCCGGAGTATCGGGGGGAGTGGCGCACTTGGTTTTCATGCGAACGAGGTGATCTGTCTTAGGGAAACGGTGTTCACGCTCAACATTCTTGTATGATAGTCACGACTTTCAGATGTATTTCATCTCCTAGTACTGAAATAGCATACCCTCCCCACGGAGAGGGAGTGAGTATCACTCAATTCTCCCCTCCCTCCCTCAACCAAACCCAGATCGCGACCAATCCAACATGTTCAGGCCGGGTTCAGCAATTTCTCTTCTCCAACTAATCCGACCTGGAGAGTGACTACGTACTCTGCAAGCGAGGCCGTCTCCGAGTCGGCGGCTGCGTACACCTTCCAAATGACCAATCATAGAAGCCCAGCTCTTCCCAAGTGCAGCGCCCATCCATTGCCGCCAGCAACCACGAACTCGATGTTCAGGCACCCTTATCTCAAGAGCCAATGACTTTGCGACGGGCGCGCTTGATGTTCCTGATTTGCTAGATATTTGAATCCGTGACCTCGTCCGCAGCATGAGAATTGTTGAGAGCTGTACGGAACCGATCGACTTGCCGCATACAAGGAGCAGGAAATGCATGAAGGCCGCCTGGGCGTCTGAGTCTGTCGTAGAATTACGGCTGCACGATCTTTCAGGCAGAGAAAGTCCTGGAAGAGCGACGTGTCCGCATTGCAGGTTATGGACGAGTCATCCGTCCTGCAGGATCCTTCTTTTGCCTTGAAGCCAATTAGAGAGGCACAGAACACGTTGACCTTCCAGGCAATAACCTGTCTCTGCAGGTGCTTCTCAAGTGTCTGTGGGTCTCTGCCTTGTTTTGGTGAATGGACAAAACACACCCAGTGATAAGCTGCATTAACCATGCAAGAACACCCCCACAGTTTCTCTGTTTGTTGTTTAAGCATGCATGCAGGCGGGCACTCCCGTCCTCCACATGGAGACTGGCCAATAGACTGGTTAGATGTCAGGTCTGCCCTGGACCAGCAGTGGAGGTTCATTCACTTCAGCTTCCCAACTTTCAAGTTCGCTTGATCCTGTTTCACTGCAGCACAATTTTTGCTACGCCATAAAATAGGTTATAAATTCCCCCGATTCCCCTGTCTCTGTTGTCTCAGCATCTTCTCAATTCTGGTTTTGGATCTGATCTTTACGGAAACACGGCTCTCGTCTGCAATCATTGGAAGCGTTCGCAATGACGCGCACTCCCACACCCGACACTATGGAGCCCAAGGTCAAGACCGAAGCAGAAGTGGAGGAGGAAGCGAACACCGAAAGCCCAATCCCGCAGCCCGCTTCCACTTCTGCTCCTGCTGCTACTTCCATGCTGCCTTCGCGCATGTTCATCATTACCATCCACCCGAACGGAACCAACAGCCTGTCTTCGATCCTTGACCTCCCTAACCAGCCGTCCACCATGGCCATAGACAACCTCTTGAGTGGTGCATTCGAAACTTGTTTTGAAAGTTCCCGACCAACAAATCGCCGACGCCTGATTTCGAACACTCAGAAGGCCATCCACCGCAACCTCGTAGACGCCGATTATGCTTGGGCCCATGCATTCCGTCAAGGCAAGGTTCTCTGCGCCAACATCTGCGCCCCTTGGCTCATCAACCCAACTGTTCTGAACCTCTATCCAGCGCCAAGTCACGTCATGGCCCAGGGGGAAATGTTCAAGGCACGAGTTCCTGCGTCTTATGCTTCTTCCGCACTAGACGGCCTCTTCAACTACACCAACATGAACCTCTCCATGTTTCCCGATGAGTACGTACGCACCTGGGGCATGACGTTTGTTATCGTCCACCCGGTTGTCCTTTTCCCACTCATCTACCGCGCACTCAGGTACTCCCTTCTCCCTGACATCCAACACTCCTGCGCGCTGCACATGACATACCATTGGACGGTCACGCTGTACAAATGGGCCCAGGCCGATAGTGCAGCACCCGAACCGATCATAATAGACGCCGACGCCCTCATCGAGATCCCAGGGCACCTGGCCTCCATGTTCTGCCAGCAGACCGGACTGCATCTTGATCTCGGCCTTGTACGATTTGAGGATGCGAAGGCGCACCGCGAAGCTCGCCTTTGGAATGACAAGGACTACAGAGATCGTTTCATCCGCTTGACCGCCGAGGGCCGTTCGACTCTGGACGCCGTCATCGAGCTGGCCAAGCCGGGCTGGGTGGCTGATTTTGGTACTGTTGCTGCTGAAGTCATTGGAGATGCTGTCGGGGCCGCGCAGGACGACTATATGTATTTGTATGACAGGAGGCTGCAGTGATCGGGTTGTTTGAATACTGTCTTTTGCTTTGGCTCTCTTCTTCTCTCAGTCTCTTTCTTCGGCTCTCGTCATGTGTGTGTAAGATACCCGCGAATTGTGATTCAATGGTGGCTTAGATGTCTTTTTATGCTTTTTTTTTTCTGGCTTCTGTATCATAAGATCGGAAAAGATTCTGAAGAGCTTAAACCCCAAGATGAATGTTATAGCTAGTGGTCTTGGAAATAAATGTTCCTTCCCAAACCCTGCCCTTCTCCTCTGGTGTAGAATGCCCTTCGATCTCTCGCCGAGACGAACCATAATTGCCCTTCACAAAGGCCCTCAGCCTCCTACAATATACATGGCGAACAATACCACCATGGATGCCTCCGCCTCTCTTCATCCGGAAGATAAGATAATCCTGTCGCCATCGGGGCCTCTAGATACAGCTGAAACATGATAGGTATGTACATAGGGTTGTATCTCCAACGGCCGAGAATTGCGACTCTTTCAGCCTGAAAATGCTCCGTCGCGAACAACAGTCGGTATAACGCCATTCTCGCACTTTGTTGCGTTCAGGACTTTGGCAGGGATCTCGGAGAGCGTTAGGCGTCCAACGCGAATCTAAAATGTGACTGGGATAGATTGGGGCCAAAAACGAAATTGCTGGAAAACCCAACAAGTGAAACCAATCTCGATTATCTACCGCCACAGCACTCTTCAGCGGGTAGTCCCGCCTGCATTCGTGAACACTGCATACGGAGCCCAGAGCTCTCGGAAGTGCTGAGCGATTGGGCTGGTGGTCTTTCGAGAATTGAGTAGCGTTCCCTCAACGCTTGGACCCCGCTAGCGCGCCGCCCATGCAGCGCCGTTTTTAGCGTCAATTTGGAATGCCTCGATATGGTGCCTACGGACGAGTCTGATTGGGCAGCCCCCGGCTGCAAAGGCTTACCAAGACGACTTAGACAGAGTACCAAGTGCTCCTTCAGGGGCGTCGGAATTCAGCCGCGAGGACGAGGAGCAACATCCATGGTGCACCGTCCAATCAATGTCGAGCCGCTCCATCCTTTTGCAGGGGTTTAGAGGACGAATACTGACGCATTGCAGGGCAGCAGCCTGAAGAATAAATTGCAGATATAGTGCCGACGATGATTCGTTAGATTGGAGCTCGTGGAGGAATGTAATAAGGGTGAAGGACTGGTGATTCGTGGAAGCTGGCACCGAGAGGTCGTTTAGTTCTCCAAGATAACAGTAGTGTATGCCTATTGGGGGCTATCTTTTGTAGTACCTGCATGGCCAAGACACCCTTCTCATTACTTTACAGAGCCTTCCGAGGGTATAAAGCCTCGCTCCAAATCGCACGTTTGTGTACCTTTCTCACACTAGGACTCGAATGCTGCCAAGACTATCCTGAGGAAATATCGAAATGGCCGGTCTCACCAAGATCCAAGGGTTCGACCTAATCCAGGAGACCTACAAGTACGTCGGCGACCATGCAATCCGCGCCGATATCCTCGTGCCCCAGACAAACTACACCGGCAAAAGACCTGCAATTGCCCGCTTCCACGGTGGAGGATTGGTACGCATCTACATTACCCCTGGACTTTAGTTCATTTAGAAACGCTCTTCTACAGTGCTGACCTGATGCTCGCAAGGTGATGGGCGACTCCCTCTACATGGACTGGTTCCCCTACTGGCTCTCGGACCTCGCCCTGCAGCACGAGGCCGTAATCATCAGCGCGAATTACCGGCTTATGCCACAGGCAACGGGAGTAGACATCTACAACGACGTCGAGGACTTCTGGGCCTGGTTGTTTCAATCCGATACCGTGAGCGACATCCTCACGGCGCACACGACGCCCACGGAGATCGACTTTGCGCACCTCCTCGTGACCGGAGAATCGGCGGGCGGATTGCTGAGTATCAACTCGGCGCTATCACATGCGGCAAGTGGAAGGGGTAGAGACAGAGATGGGATTACCGCTGCTATCGCCATGTATCCGACTGTCGACATGAGTTCCCCGGATTTCACGCAGCCGCGCACGATTCCGCCGTTCGGGCAGCATTTTGACGAGTCGATCATCGATGAGATTCTTGCTGGTGTGCCGAAGGAGGAGCCGATTTCTTCAACAGACGGAGACTATCTGCCCCTCATGCTCGCGGCTATCGAGTACGGGCGCCTAGGAGGCTGGTACGCGCGAGGTCTAAAGGGGTCGTCTTTACCCAAGGAAGCTCTATACCCACTGAAACAGGTCGAGAAAAAAGGGAAGAAAGTCAAGGTTCCACGCGGAGGAATTACCATAATTCAGGGGTTGAATGACACCGTGGTCCCGGCTGACCACTCGGAGCCATTTGTTGCAAAATTGCGGAAGGTTACCAAAGGGAAGCCAGTGAATGACTTGATTCAGTTTGTTACGCACGAGGGAGAGCATGGGTTCGATGGGGAACTGAGGTACGCAGAGGAAGAGTGGCTGCGGGATGCGTTGGAGCCTGTTGTCAAGGCGTGGCTGGAGTAGGAGATATTTTCTCGGGAAGCATGAACTGGATTTGGACTTGACCGCGGGGTTACGGTCTGACAAGAGACATCGGGTTTTATTGGGCCAGACTGAGTGCCCACATCTTACAGAGTAGCTATTTAGACAAGAACACCAAAACTAGGTTGCTAGGACAGCCATACCTTTCTGAAATCGAAGAAGACTATACACATCAGAGGAGATATCCGCTAGTATAGCCACAGAAACCGATATATGGGTGCAGAAAAGCTAGCTCTACCTTGGTGGCTCGACGATCGCTGCGGATCAATCTCCACTAGTCCATTCCATGCTACATACTACAGTAGTGCTGACATATCGAGTCCTCAGGGGCCATACGGTGTTTATCTTCAGCATATGAGGCGAGGTCTTTCCATACACTCAAGATAGCCATATAAGGACAGCGACGACGATCCAGATGCCGAAGCCCCGGAAACCGATGGGTACCATGAACCGGCTTTTGGCCCCCGTCATAAGTGACGACGCCTTGCAATGATTTGAATGGATACCGTGCCGACCTCCGGCAGAGATGCGGGTAGAGTTCTGCAGCTTATCACGCGTAGTATCCGCTCCATCCGCATAGAAGATGGTGCCCGGATGGTAGTAGGTTTCCTTTAACCCGTGGAGTGGCTAAAGAAGAACTCTAGGTGCACCGAAGCCTTCATAGTGCGGAGAAGGCCAGTTGTAGTCCACAGCGTGGGGGATGGTTCGACGGAGCCGGAAAGCATCAACCCTCGCAACAGCTCTTTGTAGGAGGAATACACAGGGAATAACTACTGCGCGGCTGGGCCAATAAGCTTTGGATCATCTTTTTGATGATCGATTGTTAGTCGATTTTATCTCTATCTCTGCTACCCTAGCTCGAGGAATGAGTTGTGGCGAAGCTTGTAACATTGTACATCAGTTTCTCTATCGCGAGATATGGTTGAGAAAAAAAAATTATAAGTAAATAACTACGGAAAGTAGGCATGTTGCCTGCCTCCGGTCTGGGTTGGACATCCATAAATCCGGGGGTGGGCTTCCTGGGAAGCGAGATACTGTAACCGGAGTCCGATCGGTGACCATGGGTAGATCAACCCGACTTCGCGTTGTGATAAGTCGACTGTAATATTCATCAGTAGACGGTGCTATACTTGATTTTGATACCCCGAAGTACTATCACGAAAAAGGCCCGCTGATAAGCAGCTCCATAGGAAGCAATTCTCACTAAAAGCACCCGAACTTTCCTTCTAGATTAAAACCCCATACATAATTGCCTAGATTTCGCTACGTAAGCCTATGGAGAACCCCACAATGTCGACCCCTTGCGGGGAAACGTTTAAGATTAAGGTTGTCGCGGAAGGTCGGAGCCCAGCGGATGTTCGGAGATACATCTAACCCACTCGCAACCATCATACCGTGATGGGGCCGGAGTACTCACCGGTGGGAAGAGATCCATCCGAGTCTGGTGTCTGCCGAATCTGCCTGGAGCCGCTCGGATCAATCTTAAGAACATCGATGGGTGCCAAGAGTCATGGTATCGCGGAATCGCGGACTGTTATAGACGAATCACACGGATCCAGGGCGAGTTTCCGCGTACAGCCCAGTTGACCGAGGACAAGATGTAGACACCCTCTAACCCAATGTAGGTAGTCAAGCAGCAAGAACCTATGACCCTAAGCCTCTGAAAACAGCCTAATTCCACATAACCCCCTTGACTACCCCAGAACTCGCAAAGCATAAGGGAAACGGCCGATTCGAGAAAACGTGGTTGCTCGTTATATTAAGGTTAATGAAATATGTGTGTAGTGGATGTAAGCATAACGACCCACGGAGCCAAGTAACTGATAAATGACTCAATAGACGAAGAAAATAAATACGCGAATGAGTTGCAGTCTCGCAGAGTCGCGTATATTAGCCAAGGCCTGGTGATGCAACAGTTGCAGCGCCAAGATGGTTACGGTCCGACATGGTCGCGATAGTCACGGGCCTGTTTCCCACGCTCCCAATTCGGGGCTAAACTTCGGGGCTTGGGCCTTGCCTCCAGCTTCAGACTCTTCACCCTGCAGTCCATTGTCCGTTCCCCACCCCCGGCCCAGTCCGCCGGCACGATCGCTCTGATCGTTCTGTCAAGCGGGTGGATTTCTACGGCGAATATTGAAGTCCGGAACTTATTTTCGCCCCAGTCCCTCCTTCACGGGTGGTCCCCTGACCCCACAAGTGTACATAGTTGGGGAACTTGGGGTACTCGTCAAGGGCGAAACTGGGGGTGGTGTGACTCGGAGATTAGACTGCGGGGAAGACGCGCCAATGTCCCGAGAATTCTTGCCAAGAAGCCAATCAGCCATGGCCCAGATATTAAGACTTGTGCCCAGACCTCATCCACGGTCGAACAGCAAATCCATTCAAGGCCCCCCGCTTGCTGGTTGTCCACATGCTTGGTAGCCGGTCGGCCCGGTCATGCGCCTCGACGAGTCAGTCCTCAATGGGAGCCAGTTCCCCACTTCCTTCAGCAGCAAAGGGGATGCCGATGCGAGTATGGCTACTGCAGTTCGCTTCTTTCCCTGACTGGATGAGTGCCCCGAGGTGGCTTTCCACCAAGGGCCCAGGGACACTAGAGCAGGTCGAGGTAGTATCCGTCTTCGTAACCATATCCCCATTGGTGGTAGCATTTCTTGGGCGAGGCACTACTGCTCTTGGTTTGCGCAGCATAAATGGCTCACGTCCCTCCCCGCCATAAATGGCCGAGTTGCGTTCTGATTTTCTCGTAGTTTCCCTCCTTGCTAGGCCATAGCCGTCACATTATTTGCTCTGCACCTTGATTGCCTCCGTTTATCTCGTCAAACAATCCGCCTCACGCAGTCAGTCACCATGGCCGACGACACTGTCGCCGGTGCGCGCATCGAGGCCCCGATTACATGGAAAACCTACCTCATGTGTGCCTTTGCGGCGTTTGGCGGCATCTTTTTTGGATACGACTCGGGGTATGTTAACGGTGTCCTTGGAATGGATTACTTTATCCATGAATTCACCGGAAAGGTATACAGAAAGAGCCCTTCTTTTGTACTTGACTAACGATCGGAAATACAGGTCAAGGAGGAGCTTGAGGACCCATCAGACTACGCGATCTCCTCTTCCAACAAATCCCTGATTGTCTCCATCCTATCAGCCGGCACATTCTTCGGCGCCCTCATTGCAGGTGACATTGCAGATTGGTATGGCCGCCGCACGACGATTATCTGTGGTTGTGCGATATTTTCCGTCGGTGTTGCCTTTCAGATTGCATCGACCACTGTTGCGATGTTGGTAGTTGGACGATTAATCGCAGGATTCGGTGTCGGGTTTGTATCTGCCATTATCATCCTCTACATGTCAGAGATTGCACCCCGTAAAGTTCGTGGAGCAGTGGTTTCTGGCTATCAGTTTTGCATCACCATTGGACTGATGCTGGCTTCATGCGTGAACTACGGGACAGAGAACTACACTACCTCGGGCTCCTATCGCATCCCGATTGGCCTGCAACTACTTTGGGCGTTTATTCTAGCAGGGGGCCTGTTCCTGCTCCCCGAATCGCCTCGCTATTTTGTTCGAAAAGGTGACCTGGCGCAAGCGACTCGGGTCCTCGCGCGCATTCGCGGCCAGCCAAATGATTCCCAGTATATTCAAGAAGAACTGGCGGAGATCGTGGCGAACTATGAATACGAGACGAATCTTATCCCCCCCGGCGGTTACTTCCAGACCTGGCTCAATTGCTTCAAGGGGGGTCTCTCGAGTCCGAACAGTAACCTCCGTCGGACGATCTTGGGGACTTCACTGCAGATGATGCAACAGTATGTTACTCCTCGATGCCTACCTCTAGCAAAGTAGTACCGGTGACTGACACTCACAGGTGGACTGGCGTCAACTTCGTCTTCTACTTTGGAACTACCTTCTTCCAGAACGTTTGTGCCCTTTACCCTTCTCTTAACGAATTCTCTGACTTACATGACCCGTCCAGCTCGGAACCATCGACGATCCATTCCTCATCAGCATGATCACAACAATCGTCAACGTATTCTCCACGCCAATCTCCTTCTACACAATGGAAAAAGTCGGACGCCGTCCCTTGCTCCTCTGGGGTGCCTTGGGCATGGTCATTTGCCAGTTCATCGTGGCGATTGCGGGCACAGTCGATGGCAATAACAGCCAGACTGTTAGTGCGCAGATCTCGTTTATCTGCATCTATATCTGTGGGTTCCTGTTCTCTACTATGTAACCGCTTGACATGGACTAATTCTTTATCAGTCTTCTTCGCGTCCACCTGGGGCCCGGGCGCTTGGGTCGTCATTGGTGAAATTTACCCTCTCCCTATTCGATCTCGCGGCGTGGCTCTATCCACCGCGTCGAACTGGCTATGGAACTGCGTACGTTCATACCCCCCTTCCCTACAACCCCCCTCCCCCAGATTCTCCCTTCATCCCTACCTAGCCTACCCAACTAACCAAATCCCCAGATCATCGCCGTCATAACCCCCTACATGGTCGACACCGACAAAGGCAACCTGAAATCCCGCGTCTTCTTCATCTGGGGCTCGCTCTGTTCCTGCGCATTCGTGTACACGTACTTCCTTGTCCCCGAGACCAAGGGACTCACCCTTGAACAGGTCGACAAGATGATGGAGGAGACGACCCCGCGCACGTCGGCGAAATGGAAGCCGCATAGCCGGTTTGTTGAGGAGGTTAAGAGGAATGACGGGGCTGTGGAACTTGGGGATGTTGCTGCGAAGGCGTGAGGGTTGGTTGAGGGTTAAGTTCAGGGTGTTACGGTTGAGGGCTTCTGTGGTAGCCTTGGAGGGGTACGGAGATGGATGTGATGGGCCTCTGGACTACAGATGCTGATGCGCCGGGTAGCTATACGTCTTTTATGAAGGACAATACACTCGTTCCAGCATTGAGTAACTGCTTGAACATCCTTGCCGGAGAAATGATCCACCGAGTAATAATTGTCATCAAGGATGGAGGCAGATATCTTAAAGAAAGAGACCGAAAGCTTTTTGCACCTAGCGCGTCTTTCATCAAGGCGAGAAAAAAAATCCCGTCCTGCGAACCCTCGGCGCAACGACCCAGTATGACTATATTAATCCGCCTGGTAGGGTGCCTTGCACTAGGTGCAATTGCCAGCTATGACAAGGTTAGTGACAGTCTGATTGGGCTTGCAAAAGTAGTCCCAAACAGCTCTACACGTCGACGTGTTCTAGAACTTGCTGGCGTTGGATTACTCTCCTAGCGAACCGAGGTTAATCATAGATGCCAAAGCTGAACAATAGGGGTCCAAAACTCCAATCTGCACCTCCAGCTTTTCCCCCGGTGGTAACATTCCTGTCAAAGATATTAGCTATGGTAGAATCTGAAGCGTGGCCGAAGATTGAAACAGCAGATGGACGAACAGGGGGACGTGGCTTGAGTCACCGACCGAATCCCATAAAGGGCGCGACAGCCGAGGCACAGCGGTGGTAACCAAAAGCAGCGAGCAAAGCGTCGCTTTTTCCTGATGATGCAAGAATGCGGTAACCAGGAAGTCTTCGCAACGCCTCATTCGTCGCATAGTACGGCCTCGCCGTCCAATTCCTTCCCATGGATCTTGCACCTCGTATGCTACGTAACGTAGATGGATTCTCCGACCCTGGCGGAATCCCCGAGGCTGGCGATAACGGCACAGAAGTCTCAAGTGTCTCCTCCCTTCGGTGCATATTGACGCGACATGCGCAGGGCAGCCCACCCTGTGTTGACCCCGGGAAGGCCCATGCCGACTTTCAGGGATCCGGGCAAGGATGCCTTTGCCTCGGCACGTATTTGTCTTCTCTGAACTCGGTTGATACCCAGTGATCGTCCCGAACGTGGATCCCGGTCGCTGGGGTATTCACGCATGGGCGACAATGGCATGGCGTGACTTGGCTGCATCCTCGGTGGTTGATACGCCGGGGATGCTCTCCTCTTATGCACCCTGTCGATCCGCGCCAGGCTCGGTCGAATACGGAGCGAACTGCGAAGCGAAGCGACACGGAAATTTGCTCCTCTCCTCGGGAAAGACAAGCCTCGGCAATGCCATGGTGAAAAGCAGGGATATGGCGGGACAGGAGGATTGCATCGACGAATCGAGGTACCAATACGAGACCAGTCGGAACGGCCTATTGGGCGTGGATGTCGGTCGCCTTTCTTGGCTGGGAGCTTGTCCATCGTCTGGAGTCACTGTGAACTGATGTTTAGGGTTATACAAAAGGGGTATAGTACGCGCCTGGCGTCCATCGTGACCAAGCTTTATTTTCTACGCTCCTAGTCCCATCCCCCCCCCTCTTTTTTTTTTTTTTTTTTTTTTTGGTACAGGGGATGCAGGGTCCCATGTCACTTTGTAGGAATTATTCATGATCAGTGGGCAACCACGGGTAGAGCTAGGGTGGATAGGACAGCAGATCTCGGTATTACTCAGAAAAGTATAGTAGTCGCGCAGATATGAGTCGAATTCCGGGTCCTGGGGCACTGACTGGTTTGTTCGTGGAATGTATACGGGAAGTCAGCAGGCGATACAAGGGCCGACTTGATAGTCATTTGCCACCTCTGGGCGCGCAGAACAACCACGACGGCTTCACGGTAGCCGGGCCCCATGTGTCCAGTGTTGAACTCATGCTGGTACTCACGGGATGTCAGGAGGATTTCTGATATTAGAAGACCCAATTAATGTCAAGCATTAGCGCTGAGCTAAAAGGGAGTATCTAGACACTATTCCAAGATGGGCCGTGGATTTCATTACCGATATTCAATTCCCCCAGATATGGAGAACACAAAGAACTAGCTGAATATTCTACCATCGATTGGCTCGATAGATTATAAAGGGGAAGAATGGGATTCCCCTGATTTCCAGCTGTTTCAAGTACGTTACACGGCCACGGGTGAGTATCCTAGCTATGACCTGCTGTATAACTGAATTACTTAATGAAGCCGGTAAGTAGGCTAAGGCTCTGGTAGCAGACATATAAGCGTTTATAACGAATATATCTTGGCTGCAGTGCTTTCTAGGAGGCAACTGAATCCGAGATTATCGTGTTATTAGCTGGTATTAAAGGGGACATATAGAAGAAAGGTCCTAAGACTGCATGGGACGTAAAAAGGATCGAAAGAAGGGTCTGAAGACGAGACAGCTTAACACCTCGAAAGAAAGCAATATAATATATTAGTATTGGACCCTTGAGAAATTAGGTCAGGATTGGGTGGGTTTTAGTAAGATTTTAGTGATAGTGATAACGGAGTTTACAGATGGTATACGAAACACGAGACAACGCATAGATCTTCTCTTCTTCTCCCTCTCCCTCACCCATCCTAGAAATACACTTCGACGAAATCACCACAGGATAATATCCATATCCCCAGCAGAGAACCCATCCAGTCCGTCCCTTCCACCCAGTAAACCCAACCAAAAATGCCCACTCTCCCTCCCTACGCAGTATCCGAATCAATCCGCCACAACAAATCAAAATACGCCCGCGCAGTCGACACAAAACAATGGGCCTTGTTCGCCTCCGTCCTGCACCCCTCGCTAACCGCCTCCCTGCACAACACTGATGGATCGACAAACAGTTTCTCAAGTCGCGACGAATACGTCGAGTTTCTGGACAAGGCGTTTGCGGATATAGCCTCTATTCATGTTGTTGGTGCGGGGGAGTTGGGAATGCTTCATAATGAGGATAAAAATGGGGAGGATGAGGTGGCTGCTACCTGGGCCATGTCGTATCAGTTGGGGAGCGCGGAGGGTGCTAGAGGGTATACGGAGATTGGAGGTGGACATTATCATGAGGTTTGGAAGAGGCTTGATGGGCGGTGGGTTATAGCCAGCTTGAAGCTTGTCAATAGCTTTCGGAAGGTTCTTTGAGGGCCCCAGGAAGGGTCTGTTGCATGATCAGGGGATTAATGGGCGTTGATGGCGGCCCCTGTCAGAGGGAGAACCAGAGGCAACAGTTTGCAAGAACTAGGTATAATTGGGAGGCATGCAATAGTTGGGGTGGGCGCAGATAAGTCAAGGTGACACTCAGATACTTTTACAGAGAGCCTATGAAGCTATCAACGAAGGTTCGCCGCTGTTCATGGCTATCCCAACTTGGGGAGTGTATAATTCACCTCGCAACGAAAGCTGCGAATATACCATAAACTTCCCCACGGCCGGCGCCTCCATGATGATGATGCAGCGACACCATTAGCATCCTTCGAAAACCCTCTATCTCTTTTGCATCAGCATTAGCGAGCGTCACCATGTCGCTATGTCAGCCGGAAACGGCTATGACCACCGGCCGAGTAGCATAGCATAGCATTTACAGGCGACGGAAAGGTCGGCCTTGCTTCATGATCTATCAACGAACTCGCGATGCCCAGTTTATTATGGTATGTTGCGCAACAAACCAATTCGGCCAATACTCAAACTCGAAGTCCCGGACCTACCTGCAATTTATAAGACAGCTTCTATACACCGCCTACAGTTGCGATGGGGAGCGCAAAAAGCGTCACTATTCCAACCTGTCTCACGAAGCTTGGCATCCCGTTACCATAATATTAGGATTCATACTGTTTATAGATTTAAGCTTTATTACAGGCGTGCTCATAATGTTTCCAAACGATCGCCAAGGTAGGCCGAGATGAGGGACAATGTTCACGCTGGTTACAAAGGTAGGGCTTGACAATGCCGCTTTCTCTTAATCAGAGTAGGACTCGGCGACTCCAAGCCTGCCAAGGTGTACAAAACGAGGAAACTCGGGCACTGCTACTCTGGATTAACCGCCTGACTCTCGAAGGCTGCCAAGGCTGACAGCGGGAAGCGCAGACTCCATCCCAGATATGGATCGACACTTGAGTCCAGTTGGTTCGGGACTTTGGGTTCTGCCCCAACCTCAGATTCCGCCGTAGGAGTTTGATCTTTCGGGAAATAACCAGCTGGGCGCTCACTCAATGCCCTTTCTGGCTCGTTAGGATCCATCTGGACCATCTGAGTCCGCATAAATGGCGATAGGTGTGGTGGAGACGTCAAGTAAATTCCACCCACAGTGGCCACATGCCGGAATATAGTGTTGGGACTTTTGTACTAGAGGTAGGCTTACCCTAAACGGTGCAGTTAGCTAGCTCTGCTCTATGAATGTTGAAACTTCAGACCAGGTCTGTATCTGGGCTCCGAGGGGGACTCGGTCCGTAGGACTCGAATAATGAGTTTGCCTGTTTGAATGCTACCGTTACTATTTGATACACATAGCCCGTGGCTAGACCTAATAGCCAGCTTCTGAATCTGGAAGGTTGCTTCCTACTACAATCAGAGCCCTTTTCCGCTAAATCGAAGGTCCAGAGGTTGATCGTATGATAATGCTTAGAGCAGGGCTTTTTTGGTTATCGCAAGGTGAAGCCCAGTGAGCATATCGCGGATGCTGTACTGAATTACTCTATGATATATGCCCTGTTAATCCTTGAGCAAGTTTCGAATGCCCTTTGAATCTGGATTGCCCTGTAGAGCGCCCGAAGATCCACTTACGCACACAAGTGTCATATTCGACATCGAGGCCCGCACCCTATTAAGTAGCATGCATCGCAAACGAAGAGCCGAACAGTGGACGCTTAACGTGGTTCGCGGCTTAGCGGAGGTCTCGAATAAAGATGAGTAAGATTTTAGATTCCGTCCGGCCCCACGGAAAGAGACGCTAGGTCGCGATCTCGAGTAATTGATATTCCATGTTATCTCCATTGCTGCCTAAAAGGGGTGGAGCCCGGCGGAGCTCGACGTCAGCAGCTCAGCTTCCATTCACCCTCCAGCGAAGAGACCTAAGCTTTTACGAAGCTCAACCTCCAAGACAACAAGCCACCAGAATGAACCAGTCCCCACAAAACGACCAGGCTGAAAAGGAAAGAAAAATGCGCGCCAGTCGGCCAAAGGTGCGTACTGGCTGTGCCACCTGCAAGTACGTCTGATCTTCCTATACCCGCATAGCAATCAGTCGTTGGGTGGAGACTTACACGTGGGCGCTAGGAGTCGGCATAAGAAATGCGACGAGGGCCGGCCGTCCTGCCTCATGTGCATCCGTGTTGGACGCGCATGCGAGTACCGAGAAACAGTAGATCGCCGCAGGAGGCATGCAGGCGGAGTGGGCTTGGGAGGCCAGATGGCTGGAGCAACACCCGCTGCAAACTACCATCATCGGTCCGGTCTAATAATACTGGCGCCAGCAGTTCCCGCAGCTGCAGGGCAGTCAAGCCTCGATCTGGAAGAGCGCCAGTATCTAGACTTTTTCCGAAAAGCCACCGCAGCGCAGTGCGCTGGCTACTTCTACGATGAGTTCTGGCAGCGACTGGTCCATCAGGTTAGTGAAGAGCAGCCGGCGGTTCGTCATGCTGTTATTGCCCTAGGTTCGCTTAACTATAGATTCCTGCAACTACGGTCGGGCGCCAGTAACAGGGCATTGCAGGGAACCTTCACTCTGCAGCAGTGTAACAAATCCATAGTTTGCCTTCGACAGATACTACAGGCCAGTCACCTAGGCCGCCAGAGTACGGAGGTGGCGTTGATCACCTGCATACTCCTGGTTTCTACGCTGCTGTTCCAGGAAGACGCGCAATGGGCAAGTCACCACTTGCAGGCAGGGTTAAAGCTGCTGAAGGAGTATACGAGCCACAATCCACACCAAAGCTCAGTGAGTATAGCGATAGAACGGGCTTTCGCTGGAGTACATTTGAGCTGGTTAGCTTTCAGCACGCCAGAGGTCATCGCGGACAATTCCTTCCCCTCTCCGATTCCAAGACGATTCCCAGAAATATCCAATGACATTTCCACAGCCAACGATTTTGTGGTTAGTCTTGCTCGACTTGTATTGCTTGGTTCTCCAAGAGTCGCGTCAGAAGCAGACACCCTCTTCAGCGAATTAGGCGCCTGGAGAAAACAAACCAAAGCATCCACCATCGCCTTCCAACAGCGTTCACAGCGCGATCGCGATGCATTAGTGCTCCTCAAACTGTGGAGCGAAGTCCTCTACGTCATTCTGAGCGTGGAAACGCAGTCCTCGCCAGAGCCACGGGAAATTCGATACGATGCCTTCCTTGCACACTTCCAACACAGCATCGAGTTAGCAAAGAGACTACTCACAACCACATCAAGGCTCGAGCCTGTTCCGACTTTCTCCGTGAACCTTGGAGTCATCGCGCCGCTCTTCTTCTGTGGCTTCAAGTGTCGCGACTGGCTAGTCAGACAAGAAGCGTTACTTTTACTGCGTCGATGGCGTCGGCAGGAGGGGATCTGGTCGTCTGATGCGACAGCTCGTCTTTTGACGCGGGTTATTGGGATTGAGACTGGCGCGTTCGGGCCGGAAGATATAATTCCTATGGCTGCGCGTATCGAGTCTGTACATGCTGAAATTACTGGGTCTAATTCTGGGTTATGTCTTTGGTATCGTCGAGCTGGGGATGAGAACTGGATGACAGATAAGTTGGACCAATGAACTGCGTTCGAAGACTGGAGAAGCTGAGGTGATCTTACACATAAGCCAATCAACCGAGATTATTGTTGAACTTGAGTGGACCTCACGAGTCGCGCGTATATGCAGAGCACAGACCAGGGCAGCCTCCATCATGAGCATCGCACTGAGTCGCTTTTACGCTCCTACCACAGCTTTCCTGGCTAGTAGTACTGCGTAAATGCATACAGGCACCTTTCAGTCTCTAAAATAGCTGGGCTTGTCCTTACACGGTCTAGTCACCTCTCAGATTAGTCAATGTTGATGCCTGTTTGCTATATATGTAGGGCCGAAGGGTACACACCGAGTCGTGCCATTCATGCGCCCAATCTTCACGCAGATCTTTGGAAAAGCACAGGCATTTCTCACGAAACCGAGTATGGCATCAAGAGTCACTGCGCCCGCACCATGGATTACAGGCAGTCAGCAATGCACCCTCGACACATGTCCCATATCACTCGCACACATCACATACCTGCCCAACCTTGCCGGAAACGCATTCTACGTCGCTCTCTTTGCGTTTCTCATCCTCAGCCAGCTTGCCATCGGAATCCGCACTCGGACATGGTCGTTTATGGGTAGTACGGTCTGCGGCCTGATCCTCGAGGTACTGGGATACGCAGCACGCATCAAGATGCGGAGCAACCCTTTCATCGATAGGTGGTTTACAATGTGAGTACACCAGCACATATCCAAAGCGTAAATGAGCCAAAAAAGAAAAAAAAAAGAAAAAGAAGTTTCTGACTGAATATGCTCGTCCACAGGTACATTGTCTGCCTAACCATCGCCCCCGCCTTCCTCAGCGCAGCAATCTACGTCTCCCTCGCGCGCATCGTCGCCGTCTACACCACGAGTGTCTCAAGAATAAAGCAGCGAAGCTACTCTATCATCTTTGTCGCGTGTGATATTGTCTCGCTGCTTCTCCAGGCAGCTGGCGGCGCGATTACAACGTCCGACGAGGCTTCTACCATACAAGCTGGAATCAACATCATGCTTGCGGGGCTTGCGGCGCAGGTTGCATCGCTGACACTCTACCTGGGGATATGTCTGGATTTGGCTTGGCGGATATATCGGCTCTCGTTCCGGACAAAGGGCACCGGATCACCGGGGACGGATTCAGTTGAGAATAATGGCTTCGCGCTGTATCCCGATTTTGCGGGCCTCCGCGCTTCAAGGAGCTGGGGCTCGTTCTTGGTCCTTCAGGGTCTCGCAACGATATGCATCTACGTCCGCAGCGTCTTCCGAGTCGCCGAGTTGAGTGGCGGATTCGATAGTCATCTGGCGAACGACGAGGTTACCTTTATGGCTCTGGAAGGCGCGATGATTTCCCTCGCGGCGATAGCGTTGAGTACATGGGGCCATCCGGGAATTGGCTTTCAGGGACGGTGGTCGGAGTTGGATTATGCGATGTTTTCGAGGACGCGCAAGTAAAGGACTGATAGGACTCGACCTCGGAAGTAACAGTGAGGAGAAAGTTGATGGAGAGCGGTGGAACTGGCAGGCAGGCTCCCATATACATATCGCGAGTGAGATTTTGAACAGTGTGCAAAGCAAGGGAAACGGATCTAGATCAGAATTAGCTGAGATACACAGATAGTAGATACGTAACCTCCAAGCCACATCGTGCGCGACGGATTCGTATTCAGACGAACTGAAACTAGAAACATATAAACAAAACAAATACTCCGTGCGAGTTCCACACTTGCGCAGCATGTTCGCTTGAACCACAATTCCGGTACGTACCTACGGGGCCCCCGGGGAGGGCACAGCAATATGGATCCACCCTCGTCAAATTCTCGGAATTACCGATGGAAAGGATTTCCAGAGACGCTGAACTTATCAAGCGAACGATACGCACGCAGTACGCCGAAAATCCCGCCTGGCAGGTTCCAACCGAGCCCTGCTAACCCGCTTTTCGATAGTTGGGATCCTTCCTTACCAGAAAGCGCGTTAGCCCATCCAGCCATAGTGACACGTGACCAATCACAATTCTTCTGGAAAAGCTGTCTCTGCGCGCTTGGAGCCTTGGCCGTTGCCAGCACTGAAAAGGGCGCTGCCTGAAGTGCCTTGGCTGTGCGACGGTGGCCACGTCTCGCGAACTCGTGGCTGAACGCAGTGCGCTGTCAGAACCTATTCCAGCCAGCCATGAGGCGGCTATATGTCGGTGACTTGGTTTAGCGAATCAAAGTGAGCAAAGGCTGAAACTCGTCAGTCTAATTTGTTGACGAACCGGTGGGGCGTCGGCTATAATTGCCCTGCGAACTGGGATCTGGGCCTCTCTTCAGCTCAGCCCCTGTCGTCCCAACGGGCCGGCCGAACCGAAACAAACACATAAAAGATGTGTACCAACGACTCAGGCAATGCATTCACCGTCCTGTCAACAACAAACACACCTTGACTACAAATCATCATGTCGGAATCAAATACAGCAGTCGCAGAGTGCCGTGTGCTCTACGAGCAAATATGGCACACTCCTCAAAAAACATTGGAGTTGGCGCGCTCGGATTTGATGAAACCTGCGCCAGCGTCTCTCAGTCTGGAGGAGCGAACCCGACTTACGTATAAGAGAGCTCAGGCTTTGGCGCGTGCTCACAGTAACGTTCCCTACCAATGCTGTCCACTAAGAATTGCGATTGACTAATTCGACTGAACCAGATTTGACATTACAGGATGTCGTGGAAATGACTCCCGCGTTCTGGAAACTCCACATGGACATGCTTACTGCCATGGATGGGAGCGCAATCAACTTGATCAGCGTCGGATATAATCTGTTTGTTGGCACGGTTGCTCCTTTCCTCCCCACGCATCCCGAACTAGGGCCTATTATACAGCAGGCGTTGAATGTGGATATCTCGTGAGTCCCGCATCCACATATTCTCTACGTACGTCCTGTAACTGCGCCTATTAACACTTTCTCAGCTCCCAATTCATGCTTACCGAGCTCGGGCACGGCTTGGACGCACGCAACCTAGAGACAACCGCAACGCTTCTACCAAACGGCAAGATTGACTTACACACGCCAACTCCAAATGCCGCCAAGTAAGTTGCCCTATAAATGCTCTCGAATCTTGTCTACCCAGGGCTAACGTGAGTAATTTAGATGCATGCCACCTAACACACCCCGCAACGGCCTCCCTACCATTGCCGTTGTAATCGCGCGCCTTATCGTTGAGGGAGAGGACCGCGGTGTCCGGCCATTCCTCGTTCCCATGTCGGATGGTAAGAAGATGTGCAAGGGCGTCACCTCGAAGTGAGTATTTAGACAAAAGCTTGAAGCCTCCATGGATCTATTGCTTGTCCTTAAATGTGCTCGAAACTGACGCGAGATGTTCTCTAGAGTATTTCCACAACGCCCGGGTGCCAATCCAATCGATCACGCCCTCACATACTTCAACCACGTCGAGCTCCCATTCTCGGCCCTACTCGGTACGCTGGAAAAGCCCCGCAACGAACGCGACAACTTCCTGCAAACCATCCACCGCATGGGCGCCGGCACCCTCTTCCTAGCAGGCAGCACGATCCCCCTAATCAAAATGGCCGTGTACAACGCCAGCAAATTCAGTTTTCGGCGCCACATCCAGGGCCACGATGGGAAACCCATGCCCGTAATTAACTTCCGAACACAGCACTTGCCTATTTTACATGCTATCGCGCGAGCACATGTCCTCCAGGCGTTCCTCATCTACGCGGGGAGGGAATACTGTATTCATCAGAAGACTGATTCGCGCATTAGCCATATCTTTGCCACGACTTTCAAGGCGGTTACGATTCATCATTTCCAGACGAGTCTTAAGGCGTTGAATGAGGGGTGTGGGTGGCAGGGGTATTATGATCGGAATCAGATCATTGCTGCCGAGGTGAGTGCGCGCCTTGCAGGGCAGGAAAGGATGACATGTGTACTGACCTACGATCTCTAGATGGAATTCCGCGCAGTCGCGACTGCTGAAGGCGATGTTCGAGTACTCGCTATTCGTAAGTTCATTCCCTTCTTCCATATCCTGGCCCACCAGCAAACCTAACCTGTTCCAAGGCCTCGCCAGCGAACTCCTAATCGGCCGCTACGCGCCACCCCCACCCAAAAACCCCCAAAGCCTGCTCGCCCGGCACGAAGCCGGCCTCTTCGCCGAAGCCCGCGACCTAGTCAAACGCTTCAAAAACCACCGCAGCGAACCCTTCAACCGCGCAATCCTCCCGCTCGCCCTCCCGCTCGTCCTCGCAATCGGCTACCGCATGGCCATCGAAGCAGCCATCGACATCGGCCTTGACCCCAAGATCATCGCGCTCTACGAGGCGAGCATCTTCCGCGAATCGTCCTGGTTCGTCGAGGTGATTAGCCGCAAGGAGCAGCAGGCGCTGGAGGCCAAGGCGGCGGATGAGCTGCTTCCGGAATTGGAGAGGCTGGTTGAGGAGACAGGGGTTGAGCCGTATTGTTATGCGCCCATGACGTCCGATAAGTTGTGGGAAGGGTATGTGAAGGAGTTGGAGACGTTTGAGGGGGATGCGGTTTGGGATTTCAAGGCGAGGCTCTAGCGTGTGTATATTTGGGATTTTGTCTGGGGCGGTTTTCTGAGAGGTTATAGATGATTTTACTAATTTTTACAGCGGAATCTATTTTCGAGCGGTCCTAAGCTACCAACTAGTAAATATTCTTTGAACGTGACATTGCCATGCTCATAGTAGTAATCCAGATATGTGCTCCTGGAATGCGGTACGGGAAACTCTTGTTTGTTCTGGTCACTAGTCAGCAGCTAGATGGAAAAAGCGATATCCGTGCCTTCCAGCGCACCCACCGCCTTCGTCTTATGGGTGCGCCACGTATTCTTCGTAGTCACATATTCTTCGTAGTTTTTCGATATTTGAAGCTATTCAACCACCACAACAGCTAATTATCAATAAAAAAGTCTTCTCCTGCCTCTCTAGATAGCCTCTCGTTTTCAGCTGCCTACTGGATTCATTCCTCCGAGCGCTGCGTGGGCGCAAAACCATAAACCTTTTCAAACTGCTTCGCTAGCTTCTTCTGCTCCCGCTTATTATCCTTCTCCTTCCTGACCTTAATTGATCAAATAGCATCGCGAGTCTTTAGTATCCCATTACTACCAAGTGGTTTAACCTGGCGCTTAGTATAATTTTGGTGCTATGGCGCCTGCGCGGTCCTAATCCTACAGATTACCTCCTGGGTCATTTTAAGCTCCTCTAGCTTCTCTATCTGGTGTTAAAAGACCTTTAATAAATTCCGCTTGGTCCGCTTAGATAGCTTAGTAAGATCCTTCATGACCTTTGCCTAGTTCCTAGTAAGCTCCTCAATTATTGCTAGAGGACTATTTTCAACGCTGGAGGATAATAATAGTGGTGGAGTTAGTATACGGCCAGGGAGCTCTAGGATCAATATATCTGGTATTTCCAACTAATTAGCAAGCTAATTAACAATATAATAGCTATTAACTAGCCAGATACCGCGGTCTTTAAAGGATTCTCGAATAATTCGCTGTGTAAAGGCCTTCTCGCGGACTAGTTAAATAATCTATAAGAACTCTGCCTTCCTATATAGCCGCCCACCCTAGAAGGATAGCTCATTGTTTATAAGCCTAAATTGCTGCTTATAAGCTAGAAAAGGCTTTCCATTAAGAGGTTGGCAAAGATGTGTTGTATAAGGTAAGAAACTAAAGGGGATAATCATATTATCCTCGCAGTATTATAGAAATTTAAGCGTAAGGTGCGCGCCATGACTATTAAATATTAGATATCGCTTCTCGCCTCGCTTCGTACGATTAGGATCCTTTATAGCACGGTCAAATTAAACTAGCCAGGCAAGCGCTAGCTCATCAGATATCCAACTATTTAGGGATATCGCGGTCATTATATCAGGATGTAGCACCTCACTACCATCGTACCAGGCCTCCATAAAGCTACCGCTAGCTTTAAATATAAAGAACAGGTCCATTAGCCAACCATTAGCACTAATACATTCCAAAGCTATAATATTTTCGCCTTACTCGCCCTCTGTGAGGTCAGGGCAAGAAGACTTCAATCTAAAGACCTTCCAAGCGCGCCCTTAACCTAGTTGGAAGCCGCATTCATCGAAGTTATAGACAAGGCGAGCAGGGATCCCATCAAGAAGTAATTTCAGCTAGTAGTACCAGTATTAGAGTAAGCCAGCATCCTCTACCTATATCCACTTTAATTCCTTAGTCTTCTGCCTCACTAGCGCAAGGTCTGGATGTGCTGGTACACGCGCTTCAAATCAAAATAGCCACATCTTACTAACCCGCTTGTCTGAACCAGCTCGCGCAAGCGCCTGATTTACCCACGCTACGATAATAGCAGCAGGGGGTGGGAGGTTCCATTTCCGTATTTAGATAATCCAACTAATCAAGGCCTTCTCCTGGTATGGTTGTAGGGTTGATTTATTCAAGGGGATTAGTATAGTTAGTTATTTTGCTTTTTTAATCAACTTCGTAGTATAGTAGAAGACACGTTGAATTCACGCGCAATCTTCGCGATATTAGGTTTTTTCTGGGCTATAGCGAAAGCGAAGGCCTCAGATAGTCTGGCTTCATTAAATTCAGGGGATTTAGGCATGTTGTGTGGTTGTAATAATAAATAATATTAAGGATATTAAAAACTACGAAGAATATGTGACTACGAAGAATACGTGGCGCACCCATAAGACGAAGGCGGTGGGTGCGCTGGAAGGCACGGATAGTTGAGTGCGGATCAAACCTAAATTCTCCGGCTTTAAAGGTCCCGCCTCCCCTAGAACAAAAGAAAAAAAAAAAAAAGAAACAACTCGGAGTTACGGGCATCATAAGCAGCCTTTTCCCTACCAACCATTTTCCAATGCCTTCTCCCTCGTCATCCTCATTATCGTCGTCTCCGGCAAGGCAGCACCCACCAGTCGAGCCAATTCAATTCGACTATGAAGTTTGCGCGAATCTGCATAACAAAATATTCCAGACAGGGTGGGTGGCCGATGCACCTGGCCGGACTTGTGGATCGTGCCCGTCGCAGACATGGTGGGAATATTTCTCGCCTCCAATGGAATTTGCGGATCGCCTTAATAATCGTCTGGTGCAATTCCTAAAACGCGCATATTTCCACCCAGATGCACCGGCATTCTTTTACTTTGTCTCGCGCCTTAACTACCCTAAGTACCTATTAGATCTAGGCTGGTTCGAGAATCGGGAAGCTGATCGTTATGTCCTGCTGCATGCGGCGACAGGCTTCAAATCAGGAGATGAAATGGGGCTGATCTTTGATCAGCATACTTGCAAGGCGGCCTTTGTTGAGCACTTCGAGGACATGATGCCTGTTGTGGATAACGGTTACGGCTGGAAGCCATTGGAAGAGATATACAACGCGTATCTGGAGATGATTGACGAAGGCACGGTCGAAGTTTCAAAACTGGATGCTTCTTCAAAGAAGTTGACATGGACAAGGGAGAGTAATTGGGACAAAATCGGGCCCTGGCTATGGCACGAGTTTACCGACATTGATGTTAGAAAAAGTGCCCTGGCCTTCAAACGCTTGACCGATGCGATCGAGACACGCCTGCCCCTCCAGCAACCAGCTTCGACAGAAAGTGTCCCCCAACAAGAGACAGATTCACCCCCCTGGAGCGACTCATCCGTGCTTGATGCAGCCCACATCCCGGTAGGGACCTTTGCTAGGGCATTCTGCGAAGAAACCGCCAGATTAGGACGCAATCTATCCTTTCAGTATATTGCCCCGGGGATACGGATACCAACAGCTGAAGAGTTCATCGCCCAGCCCTTTTACGCGAGACACACGCAAAAGCCTCACTATTCCATGCCGGGTTATCTTTTCTGTACTGAAGACCCAGAAAACCCTTCAAACAGTGCGACCCCTGAAAGTGTGACTTGGCTCTATCATGACGAGGAGGCTATTCCAGCGGGACTCTATACGAAAGGCCATAGCCGTATGAGCCAGTTATGTCAAGACAGCTGCCACCTGATACTACCTTTCAAATTTGGTTCGAATGGCTGGGCCCGGCTAAGTGATCTTGAAGTATTCGGAATGAAGCCCTGGGACGATCGCCCTGAACCTGCAGATGTAAATGCCGATCTCTATCAACCAGGATACAACGGATTCATTCCGCTTCACAGTGTTCGGCTGCATAAAGTGCTAACGAACTGGGCTGAGCGCATTGAATCTGGCGATTGGATTGTGACGGAAAATGGAGTTGCTGGTGGCCTGGAAAAATGGCGAGAGGCCGATACTGAAGATGGTTGGCAGAAGTACTGGATACCATTGGCTTGGTAGGACTGCTGGCTTTAGAGCTATCGCTCAACCTTTTAGAGGTAGAGGAAATCCGCATATAACTCGTTTAGAATCTCTATTTGACAGAAGGAGGGCGGGTGAGCAAGCAATTGATATTATACGGCGCGGGTGAAAAAAAAGGGTCTACTGGATTGTATAGAGTAATATGTCCTTCAAGGGTCAGGCCACGTAGGTGCCGAGCTAAGGCAGGAAAAAAAGGAATCGAAGTACCGCAGGATGCGTTCAGGCCCAAGGTTATCTGCTATATAGAGACTACGATCAATGTCCAAATTGCCATGCATAGAACGATCAAAGTAGGCGGACAAAAAGAACAGTTCAGGATGCTGCAACACAACACCAATGTGTTCCTCATTGAGTATTACCTCAATTATAAGGTACTCGCAATCAGGACCCGCAGGTAAATAAGATCGAATTGTAAGCCCAGACCTGATTGCATATCACCCAATTTGTCTAGTCTAAATTGGACGCATCAAACGGACAATCCAAGGTTTTACTCTAAGCATGTACCGGAATAGCAGTTGCCCGCTCCACAGTAATCGCTAGTACTCCCACGATCGCAGGTTGGGAGGCACGAAGCTCGGCTGGATGGGCGATAGATCTGTACCAATAACTTCTGCTGAAGGATACTCATCTGCGAAGTCTCTAACACGTCTCTTTAGCAGCGACCCTGGGCGCAAGAAGGTCTTTGCTCACATGGCCCAGATACCCATCCCTGTTCTAACATCGAGGACTTTCTGCACAGGCTTAATATGCCGCATTTACTAAGAAACCAGGCGGTCTTACCTAGATACCCTTTTTAATCGGTGCAAGCACTAGCCGATTATCGAGGAGTAGGGTGAATATATGATGGCTGGATCGTCGTCAATTTCAGCTAAAAGGGATGATTGTAATTAGTATACGCGATATCAAGCTGCTCATTCTGCTCCTCGTTATTCGGGCCCCTAATGAGTAAACAGTATCAGCTCTGAGAAAGGCCATTTTTCAAGGCTAAAGATACTAGTATGCACCCTCTTTGTAGGCATGATATCGCCGTCCGTTCTCATATCAATAGGAGGTTATCATCGAGTTTAGGGAGGTAGTGTCGCTCGCACTAGAGAAAGATGGCATCCATTAGCATGAAAGGCTTTGTTGATAACTTGCTAGCGAAAGGGCCTCATCACTTACAAGTCTGATTGATAATCCGAATTTACATCTGAGTCCTGTGGCAACGAGAAATCAAACCGGTTTGATGGGAGAAAAAAGAGTGGAGGTGTACAATCTCAAGCAGATCGTCGTTTTCTGCTGGAGGCGATTGAACCTCCATTAGTTCTCATGCTTCGTATTTTAGTTTAATACGACCTTGTCATCGAGAGACGTTCCTTACACACTATGTCTACGTGTATATGCTAAATTTGAAGCACTGGAGTTTCTAGAAACGCCGCTGCGTTTCGAGTTGACACATTCAATGTCACGGGTGTTGCATTTCAGTGTTAGAACCTTTTGGCTTGGCTCATCCGCCGATTGCAGAATTAACCTTTAAGGCTTAGTACTCTTTATAGCATGGGATAGCCCCTTGCTATAGCTATATATTGTTAACCCCTCATTACTTTGTTTAACGCGAGTTATACTATATAGGGGCTATTTAGGGGGGTTAATATATACCAGAATTTAGGTTCTGTTTGTATACTTGTATATACTCCTTTATTAGATCCTGGTGCTTGAAAAACCTCTAGCCCACTTCCATAATCTAGACGCCTAATAGAAGCTGTAATAATAAAGTGACTACGCAGAGAGCCTGAACCGACATTCGACAATCACAAGGCAATGGGGTTGGGCAGCCTGCATGTATAGCGAGCTTTAAGGAAAGGACCACCGCTCCTTTTCGGACATGTGGCCGCATTTATGACGTTTCATAGAGCAAAGCTACTATTCTTGCGGATATGAGATCCGTATCTATAAAATATATATCTGATCAAAAGAGAATCGTTACCTTAGGGCTTTGCGTACCCGCCAATGGAGGAGAACTCACGGGAATGGTAACATCGCTAGCGTAAGGAATGCGAGGAAAGATGAGGCCCAGTGTATTCCCATTCTGTTATACACTAGGCATTGACAAGGGGATAAGTTTCCCAGAATTTGACATTTGCGACTGGGGATTAAATACTCACTTTGTATTCCAAATAAGGGAAAAACACCGGCAAACATAGATCGAGCGAAACTGTTTGCTGCCAAAGCACTGGCAGCGTATACCGGATAAGCGTCGACAAGGAATGTGAAGACCCCCGAATACACAAGGACAGTCCTAGATATTGGTAAACTTAGGTCAGCGCTGACCTGAAGCTCTCTGATTTTGAAGCTAACCCTGCACCAAAGATACCGCTGCCGATAATAGGCACCACCCAATGAATATTGGAATAGGCTGTCCAAGCAAATATAAAAAGACCTGTAGTGACTAAAGGTGCCCCAGCTACAGCTGCCGATCATAGAGACATCAGCATTTTCGGTCAACGGAAGATAGGGGTTAGGGTATTACCTGGCGGGAGCCTCCACTCCGGAAAGAAAGCGAAGTTTTCTCTGTGAAGGGCCCGATGTTTCCTCTCTAGCCGGAGGTAACGAGATTTCCAATAAGGATCAGAGAGCACGGCCAAGACCATCCCGACCAAAAGCCCAAGGAACGAAAGCCCGCACTGCCATAATTCGAAGCCATATACAGATTGGAAAACAACCTGAAAAGCGCCGAAAAAAAGGTAGAGGATTCCAAGCAATATCGCCGAGTACAGGCAAAGGCTGAGACACATAGGCTCCAGACATAACAAAAGAAGTGGCATATACATGGAGTCTAGAAACCTTTTCCGAGAGAAAGATTTGATTTGGGACTCGTCTCGCTGTTTGCCGAGCTGTTTTCTCTTTTGCTTCAAGAGCCTTATGGGGTTTGTCAGGTCAATTGGTTGATATCGACTTGGGCTATAAACTTACACAGGTTGATAAGTTTCGGGGACAAGAAGATAGACCAACAGAATCAAGGCAGCAGTCCAGCAGAGCAACATATAGAACGTCCAGCGCCTATTTGGTCAATTCAGCCGCACCAAGATAAGTGAACTTTGTGGAGCAATCTCGCACATACCAATGAGCATATTGGTTGATAAACCCACCTAGCCTTCAATCCACAATAAGTTTCACCGACGGGGGACGGGTTCTGTGAATTGCAACTCACAACGGCCCAATTTCTGGTCCTATAAATGGACTCGCAGTATACACCATCATAGGAAAGGCTAAGTGATGACGAGGAAATAAGTCATTGACGGTGCCTCCCGCAACACTCAAAAACGCACTTCCTGAGAATCCATTAAGAAATCGGCCGATAAGTAATGTCTGTACATTGGTTGCAACTGCACATGGTAAAAGCCAGACGAAGAAAGATGTTAGCGAGGATAGGTAGATGATTTTGCGGCCATAGATCTATTTTCTCGAGTTAATCTTGACCATCCATTACCTTATGGTATAAGTCTCACCTCAGATAAAGGAGCTAATATCAATGGCCCAACTCCTAGGTAGTTCAAATATCAGGGTCACTATCTTTTCTTCCTTTGGCGGTTCGTCTTCTTCGAGAGAAGGAACTGGAAAGGCAATGAACAACTTACCCATTCCCCAGATGAAGAGTGAGAGCCCTAGAGTGGCAATCTCATGGGAGCAATTGAACTCCTCCTTAAGCTGCCCGTAGGTGGTTGAGTATATCGAAGACGTGCAAGCACTATAATCAATGCTTGTATCAAGAATTAATTTGCGGTAGATATGCTATGTACACTTACACGCAAAGTGAACCCGTGGACACAGTAGCAACAGCTAACCACTTCCTGAGTAGGCCCATGTTATATGGGTGCATGGGATCATGTTCGTCCAATTGGATAGTCGGAGACGACTCGGTCTCCGATTGCCCTTGGGTGCCAAAATTGGGCCCATGATGTAGATGCGCTCTGTCTGACACTGTCATGGACCCAGCGAAGGGCGTTTGTGGTGGTGTCATCATAGAGCTATAGAGGATTCCGACAAAGGGGTCGAAGGGAAGTGGTAAGAGATCCAGAATTGATTTGAATAAAGTTTTCGAAAGGTGTAGGTACTTCACCAGTTCTAAGGCCAGTTTAAACTGTAGTGATGTATATATTTTCATAGATGGAGGAGTTGAGCGCAAGGACCGGAAGCACGGAAATCCTTTGTTAGGCACCAAAGTCAGTCCTTGTTAAAGCCTGGACGTGCATTGGAGAATTCTAGTACGCCAGTTGGATATGGAGGAGATTATTGGCTGAGTAAGTAACCCAGACACTACTAAAATTGCTTAGCAAGAATTCGGGCCGAACTCGAACACTGGAGGCTCGTAGAAATGATCCTCGGAGATGTCGGTTCCTCGCTACAAACTCCCCGGAAGATATTTACGCGGTAGAACGGATCGCCTTTCTCGGCCTAGGGGTGAATAATGTCTGGCACATACCCATACTTGATAGTGCCTGGCCATGCCAAAGCCGAGAATGACCGTATCGGTCCGAGTCGTTTCCAAACTGAGAGTTTGAGAAGAAAGGTATGACTCTAACGAAGTTATCGGCATTGCCATCAATTTCGAAGCCACAAAGTGCTCACAAGGTCCTAATTCATATGAAAATCCGGTCCCGAAGTTGGAAGGTGCACCCACGCCTTGGCTATTGCAAGCCTCGGGTAGTTCACATAGTGGCTCTGATATCTACCTTGAGCTTGCCAACCGCCGACCTCACCGATGACTCTTATTGTACCCCTCCTCCCTAGCCATTATTTTTGTCGAAGACTAGATACCTTGTGCCATGCAACCGAGGCGTGAGCAATGATCCAGTGATTATTGATCATCTTGAAACCCGTATTTGCGCCACACTGAACTTAGATCGCCTGTCCAGCAAATACTTCTATTCTCCGGTCCCACCAGGAGAGCCTATAACGAATAAAGGCATTTGAGCAGCCTGTACGTCTCTTTTCAGAACATAGTTACTCCGCACAGGATTTCATTGCCGTTTCCGCGATGCCAAAGTCAGCGCCGTCAAAAAAAGAAACCGGACAACTGTATTGGTCCACGCCTTTTACACAACGCAACATTTCAGAGAAAAAGGTATGTATGGAATCTTTGCATGGAGCTGTGGAATGGGAAGAACCAGCAATAGACTCACAGAAGCCATCCGCGCCAACAGCAGGTACACCAAACACAGCACCAAACACAGCACCAAACACAGCACCAAACACAGCACGAAATACAGCACGAAATACAGCACGAAATACAGCACGAAATACAGCACGAAATACAGCACGAAATACAGCACGAAATACAGCACGAAATACAGCACGAAATACAGCACGAAATACAGCACCAAACACAACACCCATCCCAGGCTCGGACCGAGATGTCTGCTGCTGCATTGAAACTTCGCATCATTCAGCTTGAGACCGCAATAGAAGAAATCTGCGAGAATGTAGTGACATTAAGAAAGGACATTGTTCAGTCACAAGTCCTTACTCAATACCCGTGTCTCACAGATTGTCTGCAAGATGCCGTGAAATCATGCTTGCATTGGCTGGGGCACGGGGAGAGCTCTCAGGATGATTTTGCCCTTTTACAACCACGTGAAGGATATCCTGGAGGGTATTTCCAAACAGAAAGCCAACCTCGGGGGGAAGGCACATACAAGAAGTCCGTTCCGATCTAGCCAGCTCTAGAACTACCTTTCAGCAAGCCATCAAGCTAATCGTTGCTGCCAGGCTAGGTGATGCTAGTCCTATCGAGACCGCAACTTTTATCAATTATCTGAGGATAGCATGTTTATACTACGGCTATATGATACTTGGTAAACCGTCTATTCCCCTAGAAGCTCTGAAGAGACCTTTCCGTCTGCTTTTGCCGCTCGTCACTAGGGACAGCCTTACATGCTTCTTCTACACTCGCTTGCAAGCCAGGCTCACTAATAAGACGCTGGGTGACTCTCCGGAAGTACCTCACTTCCAAATAGGAGGCGCTGGTTTGCACTTTCCTGAAGTATCTGTTTTTAGCGGCCAGGAAAGCGAATCTCAGAAGCCATACCGAGATTTTATGATGCCTAATGTATGGTCCGGGTATTCGCCTGAAGTTCAAGAAGAGCTTCAGGGGGAGTGGTTTGATTTACAGGACTTGGAGAGGTACCTAGAAGCAACAAGGGTTCGTATCTCAACAAAACCTCAAATTGCTGACGGCTGTGTTGTGAACGCGGTGGATTTTGCAACAGGTATGGATCAATTCTTGGATTCTATTGAGGTATCTGACAGTTATTAGCACTCCTAAGAAACTGCATATGTTTGGGCCGAAGTCCCGGGTTCAAGCGAATTGATGTAGATTTTGCAATCAAGGAGGCTTCTTGGCAGTAGTAGATCAAGCCGCATGGTCTTTCCTTTGCGCTGTTTCTATGTCCTTGTTATCTGGAAAACGAATGCTGAGCCGAGAGGGGTTTCGAACGCTGCCTCGCTGATGACACGTGCCCTAGAAATATTACGAGTTAAATCGCCGTTGCTCTGAGCCTACGTCCAGCGTCTGTTGCTGAACCCTGGACAAGCCTCAACCCTGGACGTAAGGTATTTCATGCGGGCTTTAATTCAATAAGCAACGGCGGTACTAGACAGAAGTGATTGGAACGTCTAGCTTGGAAAGGGGGGATGGTTCACATGGTTGAAAGTATCAATTTGACTTCTTGACTAAGACATCTAAAAATAATCTACAGCTTGCTGGGCTCAGAGCTGTTTGCTCCTTTCATATTTGCCTTTGTCTGAACAGAAAGTTCGTTCCACCAAGGATAGGTCCGTGGTGCATCTCTCGCAAGAACGTCGTTGAATAATGGCCTCCTCTTGGCGAAAAACGCCTTTTTGAACTCGAGGTGATCCCTGTTCGCACTGTTAGTAAATAGTGGCCTCAATACTAGAACGATGATACACACCGTCCGCCAAACGTATCATACAACAAAGGGCTATCAACCAAATGCGCCCTCTCAATAGTTCCAGGATTCCTCCATATCAACTGCCGATTAATATGAATTGCCATCAAACTGACACTAGAGGCAATTTTCTCTGCCAGCTCAATTGCGCGTGGAAGAGCCTCCTCAGGTTCCAAAACAAGCTCTGCAAAAATCCCGTGAAGCAACGGGGATTCGGCAGGATATGTCTCACCTGTGGTGAGGAGATGAGTTGCATTGCTATATCCAACCATGCGCGGAAGGAAAAATGAACTGCACGACTCCATTGTAATGCCAATGCGTGAAAATGGAAATCCAAACTTGGCCTTGCGAGGCGCAATTCTAAGAATGGAAAGATTCAGTTCTCAAAAATTCCAAATGTAGCAGACCTTAGTAGCGTACCTGATGCCGGCGGCCAAGGTCGATGTCATGCCAATTCCGACAGAAAGACCATTGTATGCCACAATGACTGGCTTGCAACAGTTGAACATCGCCAGTGCAAGAGATCCCCCCGGGTCACGCATTTCGCTGGGTGGCGAGGAATTCTTCATCTGGCTCGTGTCAATTGTGAGGTCAATTCCAGCACTGAAAGTACTCCCGGCCCCCGTCATGACTATAACTTTGACTCGTTCATCCACGTCAAAGGCTTCAAACAAGGCGATGAGGTCCTGTATCATATCCAGCGTGATTGCATTGAGCTTGTCTGGGCGATTCAGAGTCACGATCTGTAGTCGTGTTACCCCAGACACTGAGTCTGGATAATTCGAGACGCGGACATGGCTATCGGGTGAGTTGACGTAAGTTTGTGGTGACATGTCGGTTTGTAGAACAGAGGCTGAAAAGAAAACAATGCTTGAAAGGCTGAATCACGAATCGATTAGAATATATATATGCCAAAAAGGCATATATCTGCGAATTTGCTCTATCAGATGTGATACACTACTAGACTACTGCGCCGTGGCCTTCAGGACAAAACTGAAATAGTATTGCTTACCGAGGTGGCATCTCGCCGAGGCTGAACCATAAGAACTGCCCAATGTTCACTAATCAATCAAGTAAAGGTCACATGTCAGAGTACCTGGCTTCGGGGGCGGAATGAATCTCAGAGTAGCACACTAGATGTAGAAAATGCGCTACCCTTGATCAACGCTGGTTTCCCACAGCCTAATGGGAATGCTAACTGCGCCAATTCGGTCCACTAAAAATCGGGCCGATCTGGGGGTGCTACTAGGTACACAACCCCCTGTCTCTGTTGACACCCCCCTAATCATATTAAGAAGTTCCACAAAGTAAAATGCGTACTGACTATATTGGCACCTCCTGTGTTGCCCATCACCCTATAAAGAAAGTAGCTAGCGGAATAGCTCTGCGGCCAGCCCCAAGATTCTTGCACACGTCCCTTACCTATGAATATTATTATTTCCAGGCACGTTATTAGCTTCTTACCTAGACTACTATGCCTTTCATAACAAGCGACCCACGGATGCTTTCTGACGCGTAACTTTCTGAGAACAATGCGTTTCCTAAGTAGAACAAGATATCTTATAATCCCCTGCCTCCGCGCCCTGTATCCACATTCAAATACAGGGATTTTGGAGCGTTGTTTCACATGAGGTCTAATATAAAACCGGAATATAGCTTTGTTGCCGAGGCCCAATTAGTCAACATCTACCGTACCACCAGGGGATGAGAGAAGTAGCAGCTGAAGCCATTCCATCTGCTGATGTGTATAAAGCTTCCCTGTGATCACCATGAAGATCTTGTTTAACTTCTCAATTGGCACGGCTGGCCAACAGACAAAGACATCATTCCCCACGGACTGACACACGTCACAATGAACAAAAAGACGCTTCGCGAAGCGCGTTTGAGCGCTCGGACAGCGCTTGAGAGAGCTGGAAATCTCCAATTCAAACCAGTATCCTCCGCAAAATGGGTTGATATTGAACGTACTTGGACAGGGAAAGTCCACGTTCGTATTGAACATGACACTGTCCACGGCTGCACCCCGGAGATGATCCGTTGGTGGTTTGAAAATTTGGGACGACACACTACCTGGGATGGTGTAGGGCTTGGAGGCCCTGAAATTTCTTTCTACCATCTATGGCATCACCGAGACCATATCTCAGTTACTCCTCTTACTGGTGTGAACAACAAAGGCTTTGCGGTCCATGAGAAAACCCGTCTTACCGAACAGTTCAACGATTGCAATGATAAGATCGACGTGGATGTTTATACGGAACGTCTTGATGACAAGGAGTTCAATTTTATCATCAAACGATTCGGCCTTATTGGCGTCCGTCTCAATCATTTTTACTCTGCTGAGAGTGATGGGTCTCGATTTTACGCAGAAACTATCGTGGGGTTGGATTTCCCTATTATTGGTTGGCTTTTTAATTGGACTGTTCTACCCTTCTTGTATTCAAGAAAGACTGCAGAGCACTGGATCACTCATAATGTTGAGGAGACTGGAAGGTCGGAATCCATTATTCCAGTGCTTTACAACCACGACAAGAGGGCTGGTCAGCCTTCTGACCAGGACAATATCCACGGATTAATGCTCACCCAATGTTACTCTTCTTGTTTGTGGTAGATTAGACCACCTAGCCACTATCATCCGCGGTCGTGTGTACCATATCGTTTTCTTTCCTCACTATGAGTTCGAACAAACATCCTTCCAAGCGTTCTATAGACGATATTTATAATGTCACAGTAGAGGGAAAAGTGCACACACGACAAACGATGTTTTGACAAACGATGTTTTGGAACTCCTGGTTATTTTGATCTACTAAAACAGAAAAATGTACGAATCCATGGAGGTAGAAGAGATATTAAGAGAACACTGGTCTGTCAAGAGAGTACGAGGATTGAAAAGTAAACAATTTGCCCTTATCATTACAGAAAACCATGTCACGATCATTTTCTCTCGTGTGAACTGTGTCAATCGGTCTATCATTGCTGGGGGATGATGGGCAAAGTGATGTAGTTGACATAATCCGGCCCGAAGTGAATGCAGTTTTGGCCTTTGAAGACAGACTCGGACCTAAATGACGGTTAGAAAATTGTAACGTTGTCTCCAGTGTGTTTTCTGTCATATTCCCACCTGTCAACAGGGTCATCATGGCCCCAGAATCCTGTCCCTGGAGTATCTCCGGAGCTTACCTCCAGCACCAAGCGAGCGCCGCGTCCAACAACGACGCTTGTTGGCCAGATCTCCACATCAACAGGGTATACCTCATTGGGAATTACAGGGAGAACATCTGTGGAATAGAAATCTCGATATGGTAGCCAAGGTCGGTGACGTGGATGCTCAGGATTGGTTTTGCGAAGAGATACACGGAGCCACCCCCTCGTCAAAGGAACTGGCTCTCCTGTAGACCCGGTATAGTGTATTTCTTCACCAGAAGACGAGATATGACGGAGGGTGACGAATAAATCCAGGTCAGAGGGAGAGTCTCCCCAACGATCTCTGCTGATTGAGACATTGAGATGAGCCACGATATGGCCAGTGATCTCTGTTTCCGAGTCAAGGGGGAGTGATGTAAAATTCAGAATATCCGTGGCTCGCCCTTTGCCCGGGGCTCTGTATGTCAGCTTGCTAGGAAGTCCCTGGCTCGGTCGAACAGACTCCAGCCCCTGCTCCACAGTTAGATAGAAAGGCGTGTACTCTGTCCTAGCCAATGGCCATTCATATTCCTTTCGCCGCAACAAAGATTTTTCTGCGACAGGATCATTGTATCCAGCATTTCCTCGGCGAAGAATCAGGTCAACTTTAGGGACGGCTCCCTTCCGGCTCCATCCAGCTCGATCTTCACCTTTTAGCCAGGCATCCAGGAAACTTCTTTGAATTTCAACTTCCTCCGGATAGTAGAAGGGTAGGTCATGTCGCCCGACGATAAATCGAAGATATTTGAACTCCGATCCCGCCCACAGGTACCCATTCACATTTCCCCGAAGATGTAGGAGGTTCCCACCGAGATTGGCCACGCTGAGAATCGGCACAGTTATGTCTTCTAAATTGAAGTTAAGGGCCGCTAGATGTTTGTTGTCGCGATACCTCTGTTCATGCAAACTTGCTTTGTGTCGGTTGGCGGCTAATTTATCCGCTCGAAGATCGCCTTCAACAGTGTCGAGGCCCCAGTTACGTGCAGCGCGCCCAGGCAAACCATACTGGTTCGGAGCGACCTGACGAGCGTACCACATGTCATAAAATCTGTTCGATAGAATACCTCCGTGCCGAATGGACTCATTATAGGCGTCAGAGAATCCTTCCCATGGTACAATGGCTGCTAAGCCTTTAGGATGCCGAGCTGCGACTTGCCATTGTGTCGCGGCATAGTAGCTGACCCCGAGGAGCCCGACTTTTCCCGAGGACCAGGGTTGCTGTGCAGCCCATTCGATGGCATCGCAAAAGCCGTCAATTGACGCTGCTGATTTAACATGCAGGACACCGGGAGATTGCCCAGTACCGATTTCGTCAGCTCGTACAACGACATATCCGTGGCTGGTCCAAAAGAGTGGTGTTGGAGTCTCCCATGCAGAATGTTCTGTTTGGTGCTCTGGGTGTACCTCTGAGAAACTCTTAGGATTGAACCTTGCTCGTAAAGCTGGATTAGCGCATTTGCCTCTGCTATATTATTCTTTCGCACGTACTGCTGGTAGGAAACGTCCTTGCCATAGGGGCCGTATGTTACGAGCACGGGGTATCTGGCTTCTGTTGTGGTAGGCTTAGGCCTATAGACATTGCAACGGACCACTGCATCGTTTCCCAAATGCACAGACACATTATGCTCAATTATGTATGGGAAGCTTTCTGTGTCAACAGTTTGAATGTAGCGGTATTGAGTTGGCATCTTTAGTTATCTTATCTATCGCAACATTATGAGTCAAAAGTCATGTGGAAAAAAAAAAACCTAGACTGGAAAGCAAGATTTGCCTAGCTGGAACCAGACCACAAACTCACCTTTCTGTGATTGATATTCTGACAAGGAGCTTGGCCGGGGGTTAAGAACGTAGAATGAGAAAAGAGTCTTCTTATATATATGATAAACTGCTACTAGAGGCACCTTCTTGGTAAGACTGAATTGACCCACCGATAGTCCCAACTGCCACGAGGAGTGAAGACCGGAATGCAATCTGAAAGGGGACCTTGATCTGCCGGGTCACCAATTAAGTGATAGAAGATGTCTTCTAGTCACACGAAGGCTATTCTTCATCTAATTCATGGACACACGAGAATACTCTCTTAGAGCTGGCACTAATTTCAGCCCTACCCAGGGTTTGTCTTGTTGGCCGTTGGTACTCTTGAGCCAGGCGGCTCCTTTGTTTTACTTTGGAGAGATTGTTGAACTCAGAAGTTGTAACTCAGAGCTCTGGGAGTTTCAACCAAATTCCTCGGGGCGAATATAGAAACTGTCTAATTTGGCGCTGGATCTCGAATCCACTGCAGACATCCGAAAAATAAGACGAAGTTAAGAGGCTGAGTGAACACCGGGTCGGACCTTTGGACTCCTATGCAGTGACTCATTACGACGACGTCTCCATCACATGAATCCACTCATTTTACCAGCGTTTAGGCCAGCAGTATCCTGGATGCAGAGCCGAATCTTGAATGAGAGGTAGCTTGAAACTTTCACAGACCTTGCGTATCCATGTTCGGCCCGATCTAAGTAGAAACGCCACACGCGATTCGGCCCGATTCGAGACGACATACCACTGGGCAACCCAGACAACTTGCCTTGCGGAGCTTAGCTTTGACTTCCAGCATTATGCCTCGGTTTTACCTGAGCTTCAGTACTATGGTACGGACGTAGCATTTTACTGTCAGAAAACTTGTTCTGTATCTTGGTCTAGCTCTGGGCGCAGAAAGCAGGATATTCGGCCTCGAACAAGCCAGAAACAACCAGGCTTATGGGGCTGGACTCCGAATCGTTGCTCCGGCTTCGCAATTCTTGATGTGCTACTAAGCAAATTCCTCGTCAGGAATTACCGCTAAGTGATGCACTTAGTGACTTTGTATCTCACAGGGCCAAGAACCCCAAACGAACAGCCCCAGAGGCCATTTAGCACTGATATCGATTGAACGATTTCTTATTTACTAGAGACTAATTAAATAAAGACAACCGTTGATTCCTATCATGTTTGGCAATAAAGACATTCCAATTAAGCAATCAGACGTAAAAACTTTGTTACGTACAGAGATTCGGGTTACCCAAGGCAATGCTTCCCTAAAATTCGTCCATCCGACGCCTGAAATTTGTGCTAAGATACTGACTTGAGTTCCTCGTAGCCATCCCTCGGTTTCCAGAATGATCACTAATCCTTAAAGCAATCATCGTTCCAAGTTGACTTTTCACACCTCGGCTACAACCCGCAACGCGTTGTGGAGAGATGGGGACAGTCTGTGTTGAATTTAAGCAGCAACAATCACCTATCTTGAAGCTACCAAACTCTCATGTCTTCCTGTCACAATAATCTCACTTGCACAATCAAGTTGTCGAATCAAGCATCTCCATCATGGCTCAATACCAACCAATAATCACCGCCCCAGAAGATTACAAAACCGCGCATAAACGGCGAATCATCTATATTCGTCCATTTCTCCTCTTTTGGCTCAGCTGTCTTTTCATCGAAATTGTTTTCCTTGCTGTTGGTGTCTTTATCATGACTGGCACCCGCGACCTCTTCCAGAAGGTTATGTGGACGATTGTGTTCTGTCCCCTAGGCATGGGTGGAACCCTGGGTGGCCTCATAAACACTTTCATCGTCGACCACCACTACGGAAAGAAAGCTGCTCATTTCACTGCCATCTTGACGCTACTGGTTCTCAGTACATGCAACTACCTCTGCTATAGCTTGGACCGGCACTTTGGATGGTTCGGGGCCTCTGAACATCCCATGTGGTTCCACTGGCGATATCCTGCGCTCTGGGTGATCGGATACGTGAATGGCTTACTGCTATTCACAGATAAGGGACAGGAGATGCTGGCGAGAATGAAGCTTTAGACAACTAGCTATGACTTCAGCCAGGCTGTCAGGACGCTGTTCCGACATTATCTACGGTTGTGAACCTACTGTTAAAGGAACCCAGGCACATACGGCCGAGGAGACTGGGGGTCCAATAGGGCAAACGATAATGGGGAGTGGGGATGGTAAGAATAGGGGGCTAGGGTGGAAGCTACTTGCTCACCACTTAGTCATGCTTGTATTTGATAGATATTATTGTTACTTTCAGAGTTCAGCTTGGTGCTACTATCCCCCAGGATCATGTTGTGATATACTTTGTCTAGTATCCGATAGTACAAGCCATACCGCTCGTTTATAGAGTGGCCTTACTTCGTTCTACCTAGCTTACTTGACCATGGCTTTGTTTCATTTGATTTAGATCCTGGGCTCAACCTAGCTAAGTCCATCTATATCGGAACTCGGGTCAAACAATCAAGCCGACTATGTACTAGAGATCTCGTTTCTGAAGGTGCAATTCGATCTCGCACTTTTGAACAACCTGAATCACTACTTAAATACAGAGATTGAAAGTAGATCAAAATTATAGCGTTACAATGGCTATGTTCAAAAACATATGTGGCGCGGGGTCAGTAAAGACTATTATCCCCGCATTGGTCCGAAAAAGATGCATGAACCTAAATGGTAATTATACCTCGGTAGCAGAGCTGAATACTAATCAAACATTGAAGCATGTGCGCTTAATGCGGATGTACCGTGGATATTTATAGCAAGAGAAGTTTCACCAGCCATGTCAAATTTCTCTTGCGTTCATTGACAACGGCCAAGAATGCGTTATAAGTTGGGCGTGTGGGACAAGATCGATGCCTGGCTAGGCTTGGTCTCTATTGGTAAGTGATGCCATCAACATTCTTCGTGTTCTTAGGGCTTATTTGCATAATGTGACAAGGCGCAACAATTCTCTATGCTGCTATGTCAGGTCTCTTTCGTGGTTCATCAGGCGCTGATAGCTACCATCACCATCTAATACAAGCCACAGTCAAAAAGGTTACATAGCTACCAGGAGCAATAACTTCCTACGAGTCCAACGCTGACCGGTATCTACAGATGACTACCAGACTCAGTCCGCTGCAGCTCCAGTTCGTACGACCTACACTATTGGAACGCTACTTTGATGCTAACAGGGGAGATTAGATATATGTTCAAGTCCTATGATCAGCTCTATATAAAGTAATGTGAAAAGATCAAAGTCAAGCCTAATTTCGTTTCAAATGATCGCGGCTTGAAAGGCTTCTGGCTCGGCTCGCCAACTGCAAAATACATTGTGATCAACTTCCACGGTAAGCATGAGATTTGAATTTGCAGACAGTCATGCTAATAGCTGTGAATTAACACAGGTGGTGGATTTGCCATGGATGCGACTGAATCATATCTTGAATTTTGGCCTAAAGTAGCAAGGGCACTTTCTGACGAGAATATCAATACTGGCTGGTTCAACGTGACGTATACCTTGACGCCACACGCGAGATATCCAACTCAGTTTTGCGAGGCAGTAGAAGCACTACGATACATCATCGAAGAGCTCGGGCGATCACCTTCGGAGATCATCCTTGCTGGCGATTCCGCAGGAGCAAATTTATGCCTTGCACTTCTATCACACCTGTCCCACCCGTCTGAGGATGCGCTAGCACTCACAATCCCCGCCCCGCTTAAGGCTGTTGTTCTTATATCACCCTGGATCTCCTTCCGCCAGGACTTGCCCAGCATGAAAGATAATGAACACAAAGATATTGACGACTGGAAGGCCCTTGAAAGATGGAAACAGGAATATCTACATGGGAGATCTACGAACTATTATGTTGAAGCATTTGAAGCGCCGGAAACCTGGTGGCAAAACGCCCAAGTGGAACAGTCTCTCGTTCTTGCAGGAGGAGATGAGATGCTTTTGGACTCTATTAAGGAATGGTTCAGTAGGTTCAGTGTATGTACCATCAGGTCCAGTCCAATGCCGTGTACATATCATGCTGATAAATTGCAGAAGGTGAATTCGGAGGCAACTTTTATCATTGGTCAAAATGAGTGTCACGTTGCGCCTCTTATTTGGCCTTTGTTTGGCGACAAAAATGAAACCAAACAGGGTCTTGCTTTGAAGTCGTGGCTGATTGAAACGCTCTATCAGTGAGTAGGCATAATTGATTACTTCAGATGGTCAAAGATTATAAACAGTCAATACTCGCAGGAATGTTAATTTTATGAATCTTAGGAGGGATACAGGGGATATGATAGCGGCCGCCTCATGGTTTAAACATCAAGGCCACCGATAAAGGCAGCGACATTGGTCTAGCATAGTTTAGTTACTAAAGTAACCCTAACATTTAGGTAGGCTAGATTCCAATAAAATCAGTAAGGATTCTTAATATGCTTTACTCCTTATGGATGTGTCCCCTATTGTCGTATAAAATCAATACACAAAAAAGCCTTTTGAGTGTATATTTTCTATCACGTACCGAGCTTCGTTTTTATACAATAATAGTTAACGATATATTTGACGTTCAGAGAGCATTCAAACTATGTTATCTCAAACTTAGCGAGAATACTATGGTACTCATAATAACAAACTAACCAAAGGCACAGACAAATCAAAAACAGGTAGAGGAAAGATATAACGTCTTCAGGTAAAGCTAGGTAAAGTTAGAGTATCCTTTCCGGTTCGAGCCGTGACTCCAAAAAATCAAATACAACCTGGTGCAGGCGAAAGAAGGCCCCTGGGTGGCAATGCGTGTCTCCGCCCTCTTCAGCCTTCAGACTAACAAGTTCACATTCACAGCTTAGATTCCTTCTTAGCAACTCCGGTTGACCCTTTAAGAAGTGGTCATTTTCCGCGTCAAGAATAAGGCACGGCGTCACAATATCATGACTGATCCCTTCTAATGTGTATTTGCTGGCTGCACGGCTAAGTTCTGCAGCAGAGCCCACACCAAACGTCCATTTGCCATTATGCAAGGCCCACCGAGTCCCCGTCGAGAAGGAAGACACGCAGTCAAATAGAAAATTGGGCAAAGTGTCGTATTTCCGCTCCACGAGCTTCTGGACGAAAAGTGGTTGCGCATTTCGAAATGCAGAACCAAAATCATACACACCATCATCGAGGACGATCGCAGCCGCGCGATGTTCCTGCGTAGCGGCCCTAGCCACCAAGTACCCACCCATGCTCCATCCGAAGAGAACTATGCCATTGGCCTCGATTTCCGCGCGAGATAGGGCATAGTCCACAACAGGCGTGAGAACCTTCTCCCAGTCGTGTCGAAAATGCATCCCTTGGCTTCGGATCGCCGCACCCTGTCCGGGACCATCGAAGGCGAGGAAGTTATACCCCCTTGCCAGAGCCGCTGCCCCAATGGCAAACCACCCCTCACTCGATGTTGAGTCAAAACCACCGTTGATGATTATCGTGCGTCGTGGTTTGTCTGTCCTGTCAGGCCGAATAAAATACCCCGGTAATGATGTCTCTTCGTAAGGAATACGGATCGGCTCGTAGCAAAACCCCGAAACCTCCATCGCCTTAACAAACGCACTCTCAGAGCTTTCATAAAGAAACTGTGATATTTTATCTTCATGGACATTTTCTCGGCGGTAGAACTCCGCCGTTCGGAAGTAATTTGACGCACGAAGGTATCCATGGTAGGCACTTTCACTGTTTTTGGCTGTTTTCGAGTGGTCTGCATTGGAAACTGCTCGCTCTGCGGCCTTCTGCCATTCACGGACCCAGTCTTCTTCATTTCCGGGTCGGATTTTGGAACAGATCGCTATCACTTCCCCGAGATCTGCCCCGCCGTAATTGCTGTAGCCAGCGGCCCGGAGTGCTTCATAGCTGAAGGACCCGTTAGATTTGAAAAAGTGATCGATAAGCATCGGAGGCATGTAGGTCAGTAGCTTTGAAAGAGGCTGTGAATATGCAAGGATGTAACTGAAACGTGGAAAATCCAGGAAGTTGTTCTGACGTGAGATGCGGCGGGCGCTTGAATCGTCGGCAGGTTTTTAATTTTATACGGAAAGCTGTTTGAAAGGGAAACATGGGGATCTCTAAATGCCGGAGCGGCCCCGGTTCTGACTTAATTCGGACCGAATTTATGAACTAGCCATTTCTAACCTGTGATGACAAACCAAATATTGGTAACTAATTGACCACCTAGGTAGGCTCTCAGAGCGAAACATGCTCCAGAGGAATTAAAATCAGCGAAAAGAAACAAGGAGGATCTGCAGCCTGCGCAGTATGTGGAGACTGGGGAATTAGATCTCCATGTCGCCCATTTGGGGGTTTAAGATAATAAAGACGCTTGCATTTCCGTATCGGTTGTTTATAGAGAAGAATCCCAAAAATTGCATACTTGGAGGACCTCTCGATTTATATCGAGCGAAGACCAGCCGATAGGACATGGCAATTGCATGGCTACATCATGATGTAGGACAGACGTGAAACAACTCTGTGCTGAGGAATGAACAAACCCCCGCCCTTCTCTACAGTGTCTTGGAGAACCAATCTTTAGCATGTGCCGCTGCAACGTTGGTATCTGCGCGGTCCGAATACAAACTCATATGACTGACACCAGCCAAAATCTCGACGCGTTTGACTGGAGCCGGAATCTGATTAAAGGCTTGTATTTCCAAATCCCATGCCGTAATATTATCTCCCTCGGCAACAATCATCATCACACTAGTGTTGAGAATCCGCTCCAGAAAGGGTGAAACGCTGTAGTTCAACAGCAGTTCAGCGGATTCCATCGTGCTCCAGTGCTCGTGCAGGGGCGCCTCGCCTTGCTTCACTTGCATAAACACCTCGTAGACACGAGGGAAGGGCCAGACAGAGAGCTCATCATATGGCGCTCGGGACGCCATTGCAATCGTACCCTCATTGTTGCTAGCAGACGAGGTTACACGTTGCCTTCGATCTGCGAGGATGGCTGCTTGCAGATCCGCGAAGCGGCGCTCCCCATGTGCGCGTCGTAGGTTGTTGTAGCCATCGACAACGGGCACAATGCTGACAATTGACTTGATGCGCGGGTCGATCGCGGCGAGGGTTAGAACGTGGCCGCCGCTGTAGGAGATACCCAGGCAGCCCAGCCGCGAGGCATCCACATCATCGCGGCTTTCGGCGTAGGTCAAGGCGTTACGATAATCGGAGATCTGCTGCCACGGATCTAGATGCTGGCGGCGGGCGCCTGAGCTCTCGCCGAACCCAGCGTAGTCGAAAGCAAGGACTTGCACTTCTTCCTCGTTCACGATCTTGGCTATGTGCGGAAGGACAATTTCTTTGGTGTAGCACCATCCACCGGCACAGATTACAGTGGGCAGTTTACCCTCGGCACGTTCGGGACGGAAGAGGATACCAGCGAGGGTTTCACCATCGCTTAAGAAGTTCACGTTTGAATGCATAACGAACTAGTATGTATAGCAGGGCGTTATATGAGGATTGCGGTAAGCAGCACAGATCATGGATGTTTTCTGGTAGAGATGCGGCGCCCGTTTGGCCTCCTTTATACCTCACTTGCTCACTGTAGACGCACCATTTCCTGATTCTCACAGGCTGCTCGACCCCTCACACCTTCAAGCAAAACAATTCTTGAGAGTCGTCGCATGAAACTCACTTCACTGTCCTTACAGAGCTTTTCTTGGGGTACCCCCAAAGTGCCCTTAGGGAGCTGGATTCGGCCCGACTCGGTAATCGGGGGAGATAATGTGTACATACCCGAAAATGTACATGGGTCGCGAGGATGACTGGCCTGTTATCCCATTGAACATCCCGTAATACCTAATTAAATTCCAGTGGTGGGAGGCTTTGCTTGAGATGGTCCTGGCTCCAGTTTCAAGCAAAGCATTGGTGTCTGTGCTGTACTTCTAACCTCCCAGGCCAACTCTATTCATCAATATGCATCTATAGCCTTACTACCAGTCGGACCTCTACAACCACAAATTCACTATAGGGTTCTTGAATCTGAATTTCTTTTTTATTACGATATCCCTGAACTTTCCGTGCGCCTTGGACCTAGCTGGTCACCTACTATCACATCCCGATGATAGCTCCGCAACAACCGCCCTTCGCCGCGCAGAGGGGTTTCACGGCAATAACAGAACGGGTCTATATTCGCAATGTATGTGATGAACCGTCCAGTCCACCGCTCGCTCAACAACAAGAACCCACGACGGTCGTGATATTCGGATGGGGCGATGCCGCGCTCAAACATGTCTCGAAATATAGCGACGGCTACCACAATATTTTCCCCCGCGCCAGAATCATCGTCGTGCTATCGCGTACCCTCCAGGCAGTAACGCAGAGACTGGAATCCCGAATCGAAGCTATGATGCCTGTGATTGATATAGTATTTCCAACTCCATGTACCCTTCGGGGCAAAGCCAGCGCTGGTGCTGCTAAGGGTGATGATGGTAATAAGAATGCACCAGAGGATATAGAGCGAGAGCGAATCCTACTCCACACAATGTCCAATACAGGCTCCATTTTCCTCGCTGCCACGCTACTCGCGTATCAGCGTCGCCGGGGTACCGATCGAAAATTCCCCGTTTCGTTGCTTGTGTGTGATTCAACGCCTGGCAGTCTGGATTTCGCATCGCAGGTGGGCCGCTGGTCACGGGCCATGGCCGTGGGGATATTGACATCAAGATACCTCCGGACGTGGCTGCCATTTATTACGATTACTCAAGTCCAAGCCGTTACGTATATGGTATTGTGGGCTAACTGGGCTTGGGAAAAACTCCGTGGAACTGAACCGTCAGGTATATGGGCCAACCGAGTTATCAACAACCTTGCCATCGTGCCCGTCGAGTCCCACAGGCTCTATATGTACTCGAAGGAAGACGAAATAATCTGGTGGGAGGACCTACTGCAAGCTGCTGCTCAGGCAAAAGCTCTAGGATACAGGGCAGATCTTGAGATGTTTAAGGGATCGCCACATGTGGGACATATGAGACTGCACCCGGAGCGGTACTGGAAGAAGGTTCTAAGCGTTTGGGAGGGGCTCTTCTAGGCACCAAAATGGGGCGAAGGGAGGCCGCAGATTAGTATACGCGGTCATGCAACGTTGGGTTACTGTATGTATGATTATATGTTTCCCTTTGATTAGGCTTGTCACTCAGGTCTTTGAAAATGTGACGGACCGAAAGCCCTATCATATAATTTGCTCTTAGGACAAGACTTGGGGTTACAACAGGTTTCAAGAGTGCTTTTTAAACTGGTCCTGCCGCTTCATAAGTTCCACTATATTCTACGAACGGCATAATCAAACATCGAAGGAAGACCCATTGGGAAAGTCCAATTCGTCCAGGTGCGTCGGATGGGATGTTGACGTATGGAAGGGAAAGATGGACCGTTTCAAGTGCGTATGAGCTAAGGGACTATCACTCGAACTTGAACCGGAACCCCAATTTTGCCGTACCCGTCGACAGGCGAGATCATCGCGACGTCTCTTCAGGCACTCCCTTGCCACTACTCGAAGACTCGGGGCGCACGAACAGATTATACCGACCTGAAGCTCGAGTGCCGAGACAATCCAAATCGGGCATGCAACCCATGACTCGTCATAGGTGTGAACAAGCCTGTAGATATATATGGTCTTGAATACCCCGCAAACGCAGATAAGCAGGCCGAGAAGGAACATGCCGAGCACACCAATGCGTGTCTTGATCGGTAAATTGAGTTGCCAGACGATAGGTCCGGGAAGCAACATCACCCAAAAGTCCAATACTGTCACCATGGCGCTTCCGCTGAACATAAGTATCTCTCGGTTCGCGCATTGGTATGGATAGGAAGGGCGGAACGACGGAGGGTTGAAGTCGTACGAGGCTTTGAATGGTCTGTTGAATTAGAGTTTCCTCCAGTCAGCAAATATACAGAGAGACGAGGCGAAGCAGCACTTTTTGACCCGGATGACACGAACCTGCACCGAAATATCAGGCCGAAGATGTACGCAATAGATAGCCCAACCGCAAAGAAAATCGTCGCATAGATAACGCGGATGTAAAGCTTCCGATGCTGATGCTGTATGAGACGTCTATAGAAGGCAAGAAATGACACTCTCACCAACGTTGACGCCAAGCAGAAAAGCACGAAGGTGATAGTGGCCAACACGTTTGACGGACGATACATCTTTGGCGGTAGATCCCATACGTGCCTGTCGAGTAAATATTCCCATTTGCTTAGCAAGACGGCGATGGTAACTCCGGTAGTTGGAAGCTGCATAGAGTGAAATGTGAGCGAATGCGCCTCGCAAGCAAGCCAGACGGGCGGGTTCTGTTTAATCGGCAGGAGGACCAACCATTGCAAGGCCAACCAGAGCATCTTCTGCACAGACCGAATGTGAAATTCGGATTTTTGCATAGAACCGAAGGCACAGAACAATACTCGCGAGGGTGTAGAAGGTAAGTACGATAATTGGTAAAGCAGGTCCTCTGGTCTCCGGATTTGCAGCTGGGGCTGGCCAACCGTCCACAACGCTAGGCGGAATGGCAATCATAACAAGTTATATGTACTTAACCCGAAGATCTGTTTCAACCATAAGGGGCTCAGGATATTCATGATTGTTGAACCTGTTTCAAGTATAATGTGAAGATCAACACATTTTATACACAAATAGCAAGGTGGCACGGATTTTTTTTTGCGGGGAATTAGCTTCAGTGCAGGAGCCTCCATTTGACGTTTATATTTAAAGTTTGATTGTGGTGGCAACGGTACTGCACATTCCTCCGTTCCAGTACGGATCATCGGGTACAGTAGCTTCAATTATGTAAGAGGGTGAAACCCCTGGTTTGCAGACAGCTAGCGAAAGACTAAATGATTCCTGCAGTCCGGTGAGCAATAAGATTCTAGAGCTGGTGAGTTCCTTTTGTTTGTTTTAATGTGGTACCACGGTCGCAGTTTAGAGGGAAGCCAGTCGAGGCAAGAAATGGCCCACTTTGTATGATGAGTGCGTAGCGGGGACATGTGATTCGGCCCGAACTTCGTGATGTCTTGACGTCAGCTCCGAACCAGGTGCGGAGTTGCTTGGGCGAAATTGAACGGACCTCCACAGATCCTCTCGCTTTGAATTTCGTAGTTCGGTCCGATAAGCAGCGACAGAATAGCACCGAGTAGCTTCAAGCTATCAATATGGACGCCTCCGAAACCCAAGAAAGAGGCCAGAGACAAGCAAGCGCTGGGAGTCGCTCATCCAGTACTGCATGTTTGCGATGCCGTACGCAGAAGGTGATTACAATTCTAGTTATTCCCGTACCCAGATATGTTTCTTTTGCTGATAATTAATCCTTTCCAGCTCAAGTGTGGCCGTGAGCGTCCAGTGTGTGCTCGATGCCAGCGAGTCGACGCGACGTGTTCCTATCCTTCGCCCCCGAACCGTCGGGGCCCACGCCCACGCTCACAACGTGCTCGCCTTCCAGCAAGGGCAGCTGAACGCAGTCACCCGCAGGAACATACTCGCCCTTGGCGAGCACCCGTTCCGCAGCCTTATAGCGACCCGTCATCGCTATTGCAACAGGAATCGCCTTCGAGGATTGAGCCGCGGGGCCAAAGCGCCATCCCGAATGCCGTTAACTTTAATGATGATCTTGAAGGGATATCGCATCCTCGCAGCGACACTGTGGTGGATGACGCATCCGTAGTGCTAGCTACAGGAAGGCCTGTATTGCTCGATGTATGCGCTAAGTTGACGCATGGAGTTTGATACCAGAGAGGTCCCTCGGCTGATTCCTGATTTGATATCCTTCTAGTCCTATCCAAATCAGCTACGGACGATGAGCTCAATCGCAAAAGCAACACCCTCAACACATACCCCAGACCAAGACCAGCCACCTCTACCTCCAACTGCCCTCGGTCTCTCCCTACTGGAACTTTACTTCACGCGCATCTATAATGCACCTCTGCTATTCCACAAACCTGTTTTATTTCAACAATATCTAGAGCAACAGCTTAATGGCGCTCTTCTTAGAGCCCTACTGGCGTTGGCAACACTGTAGGTTCTGCTGTGGTCCAATGCTACTCTTGCTTTCTGCTGGGTAATTTTTTTGCTTAACATAATATCTCCAGGTTTCTTCAACCCTGCGATCCAGAGAGTGAAAAGGACCTCATTGGAGAACATACTGAATTAAAAGTCCTGAGTATATATCACGCCTCTGGGCTTCCATGGGCGAGAGCTGCATTCAAGGAAGCCATGCTTGCAGCCGTGGACAGCCCGTCTCTTATGGTCATTCAAGCGCTTGAGTGCCTTCAACACTATTGGTTCGGTATCGGCCAGCCTTATCAAGGCAATCTCTGTCTTGGTGAGTTTCTACCCGTGGCCTACAGCCGACCACTAATAACACATACTGCTGGCAACATGTACCTGGTGGGGAAATATAACGTTAACAAATTTTGAATAGCATTAGCCTATCGCGCCTGCCATCTTCTTGGGTATACCAAGAAGATTCCGAATGGTATCGTTGGGCTTGACCATGATGTGAGCCTTGAATCGGAGCTCGCCCGGCGATGCTTCTGGGCCTGCTGGACGTCGACATGCATCGTCATGGAGCCGGAACCATATATCAAATCCTCCTGGCAGGAGGTCGCCATGGTGCCGCTTCCCGGGGTAATTCTACCCACGCCATCGGAAGGATATAGAATAATGCTCGGCGAAATAATGGATGAAAATTGGAACGCTAGTGTTCTGACACCGGGAGCAAAACCCGGACCAGCTGCAGCGATCTTGATGAAAATGGTGGGTGTCTGGTAAGTCGGGAGAAGAGAACTATTTTGCTACCCTGAAGACATGGCGAACATCAACTGATAAAGACGTTACATGCCAGGGCAAAGGTACAACTGCTGTGCAAAGACAATAAGATCGGTTCTATACTCTCGGAAAGATTTCAGTCAGGGCGGACATTGTCGCAAATGGCAACCTCATTTTTCGACGATGCAAAACGTTATAGGAGCTCCAATTCAGATTCCAATCACGAGAGTAACGATAGCCAAGCTCGGACACCGCAAGATCAAGACCTATTGCTCGTGCACGACGCCCTGTATCATCAGTGCCAAATCAGCATCCATTCAATGATCGTGCCCTTATTCTCGGGCATCGCAAATGAAAACAACTCAGAGAAAATACTAGACGCGGCTGACCAGAGGCAAAGCGCAACAACTGTTGCAAAACACACTGATCTACTGCGTCGCTTATTAGAACCGTATCTCTCTGGTCAGCGTCATGTTTCGTTTCTACCACCTCTTGTCGGCTATGCGGCGTTTGTCGCGGGAATCGTTCTTCTTGTCATGGAAATTTCATGCCCGAACAGAAGCAGTGGAATAAACGTCATTACATTCGGCACCGAAGCCAGTGGGAATGGCAATGAGAATACGAATGGGAATGGTCGGGGCTGCCGATTAAGCACCGTGGAATCAATATTGCATCTGCTTGATCGTCATAGGGTTTATTGGAGGGCGTTGCAACGTCCGGTAAGCTTTTTCCGGTCTCTTCTCATATCATTTTGCGTTCATGGATGGGTCTGGCTTTGTACAGGGTGTTGACGATTCGCTCATAGTGGGAAATATTGCATACTGCACTGCAAGGAGAATTTCAGAAGCATTCAACACAAAATCTACATCAACAGGCGAATCTTCAAAGTAGTACGTCACCTGAACCAGGCACCTCCAACAGCGTGCTATATGGAGAAGAACCACTATTGCATGACTAATGTGCATTTATTCAGGTCATCTCCTGGCACCAAGTAGTGCCATCGAAAATCCGCAGACGTCCGCCGCAGGATACTGTCAAGTGACGGAGCACTTACGTCAACAGCCACATCCCGTTGCTAGTATGGCGAATGACCCTGCAGAAGAAGGACCATTGTCAGGAGTAGTACAACATAGCTCCGGTTTGGCTACTAATGTTAACAACAACAATGATTTTGGAACAGCTGCAAGTGAAGCAGAAGCGAACGCGATTGATCTCTTGATCAGTGGGGGTAATGTCAATGTACCGCAGGATTATGATTGGTATAACCTGTCATTTGCGGAGGCCGGAGTTGAGCAGTTTGCTGGTCTTGAACCTTTCGCTCTCTTTCAACACGGGTGGCAGACATTTGGGTAGTTAGGTGTTCAACGGTCAGATAGTAATGCTCACGTAAGGTCTTAAAGAATAACTACGGGACGCCCTTGATTTCAGGCAGTATTAGAGACCGAAGTGCCGCAAGGTCCGAGGCTAACGTGGTTCGATAGCGTCGGAGTACAAGCCCCCCCGATGCCGCCGGTCTGTGTGGGCCCAAATTCTCGAGTGGCATGACGGGCCCAAGCAGGTTGCATCTGCTGCGCTTCAGTAGAAAGAACGAAATCGAGTGGCGAGTGCGCCCGGTCGAAACACAGATCCCGCACCAAACAAGGGCGCAACGGGTCATCCTATCCAATTCGCGAACTCACAAATAACCTTGCATATAGAACCCTGGCACTCAATCAGTGTTATTACGGAAAACTGGAGCTGAAGTGCTTCGTCCCCCGCCCGAACGTCGGCCTGTACAAACGCGTGATTCACGTCGAGCTCCTCCAATTCCGTCGCAAGCATCGGCGTGACAACCAAAAATGCCGTACCGAAGACCATACTGGGTGGTTTCATGCCCCGCCACCAGAGATCCTGGACACCGCTACCGCTTGGTCTCTATACACGCGAGCGATCGATCGCCATAGTCTCGGTATCGATGGCCATTGCCAGAGCATGCCCAGGGCTTGATTTGGATCCCGCCAGGACCGATGGCGGCAATGGGCGCTAACAGAATCCGTGCGATGGAGGGACAGACCACCAAGCCAGGTGTCTGTCGTGCCGGAGAGGACCTCGCCGGCGAGCGCGACCAGGAAGAACCCCGTTGGCCCATCCGAGTTAGAATTCGAAGAGCAATAGGGCGTAAGAGTTGTTGTCTACCAGAACTTTGAGACTGTATGACATCCCAAATCGTCATATGGTTGTAAGCCCCGCGTCTTTCGGGTTCTCCCTTGGCGTACATGGACAGCATATACACCAGCAGGAGAGTAATAAGGTAGCCGTTATTTACACCGCAGACCTCCTCGAGACAGAATCTTAACCTGGGCCGAACTGGAGGCTCCCCAGCTCGCGGCAGTTCGCGCCAAACTACAATAGCGTGTCAAAAGTTTCCCAACACTTAGCGCGTCTTCGGGAACGCGTAAACAGAACCAAAACTTCAACCTCAATTATCTCCACAACCATGAGGTCTTTCGGTACCGAAATAAGTGGAAATCGAAGGCCTGAATCTGAACTTTCACCTGAGGCGCGTTCTGCTATTTTATATGGCCTAGAGCTGGGGCAATCGCCCTCGCAACTTGCCCGCAAGTTTGAAGTCAACCGGTCGACTATTTTCGACACGAAGAATCGCTTTTTACGCTACCATACCACGAAATCTCGCCCTAGAAAGGGTCGGCCGCAGAAGCTTAGTAAAGCAACTAAGCGCTAGGTATATTACTTGGTGCGCAGGCGCCTAGATATCTCATGGAAGGCCTTAATAATCAAGACCCCTGGTCAACCTTCTATCTTGACAATTCGACGCGCCTTAAGGAAATATTATATTCGTAAGTAGCGGAGTAAGAAGATGATACTATTATCTAAAGAAGTCGCGCGAAAACGATATATATTTGTAGGGTTGTGGTTGCGATATATAGCCTAGCGCACCTGGAAGTTTTTAGACGAATGTTCAGTCCAACGCTGAGCTAATAAACGCCTAAAATTCGTGTTTCGATACTAAAAAGAAGGATTTAGAGAGGATCTATTAAATCTCTACTACCACGGGAAACCTATTTCACAGATGGTTTGGGGTGCTATCTAGTACGGTGGCCGCTCGAAGTTAGTAGTTATGGAAAGGGACGAGGATAGCCCTTAACAGGGGTATACAGCGAAGTCCTATATAAAATCTCTAGAAGAGGGGCTAATTAAGCACTAAAAGCCTGGTACTCCTCTCCAGCAAGATAATGCGCGAATCCATACAGCTATTAAGACGCAGGAGTGGTTTGAATCGCATGGAATTTATATGGTTGAATGGCCTTTACACTCGCCTGATTTAAACCCTATTAAGCACGTCTGGAACCTTCTAAAGTAGAAGCTACATGAGCTTTATCCTCAGCTCTATCTAGAAGGAAGGTCTCATAGCGATTAGAAGAACTTTAAAGAAGCTATCCAAGAAGCTTCCTGGGCTATCCCCCAGGCCTTGATTGGCAGTCTAATCGATTCAATGCCTCGCAGAGTAATAGCAGTGTATCGAGCTCGCGGGTGGTATACAAAGTACTAAATAGCTTCAATTTGCATGTATTTAGAAGTCCTAATTCATTGTGGTTGTCTAGATATCAAGCGTTGAAGTTTATATATTTTCGGTGTGGGGCGGGTGTCGGGAAACTTTTGACCTATGAGTTCATTCTCCATGATGAATTCTTGGTGTTTCTGCTCGGCCAGGACCTTCGTGAGACCATCCGCGGGCGTCTCCGTGCCAACCCATTGGATCTAAATGTGCTTCGCTTGAACCACTTGACGAAGCAATCGGCCGTGTATATCAATATTCGAAGCTTTGTATGGATTAGGGCGATGCTCTTTTCGTAAGCAGGTTCATTCTCTGCTCCGGTATCTGATGATCTGGTATGAATTTAATAGCTTTCGACAAACGTTTTCACCAGAAGGGCGACTTCGCGGCCTCGGATATAGCCAATACTTCTGCTTCAGTCGCAGAGGTTGCCACGTACGTTGCTTGCATACTCGCTAGTCAATTGGTCCTCCGTACAGCTTGCAGAGATAGCCTTCGCTTCTCTTTCAACCCTTATGACCCGCCAACGAACCATCACCAGTACCCCCTGGTTGTAGCGCAAAGTGACGCAGAATGAGTATCGACTACGTGAATAGTTAATACCAATGACTTGCGCGGGCGAGCAAAGGCAGGAATTTCCAAAACGTAAACACAAACACAGAATCCTGTAGGTACTAGGCTTGTTACACACACCGCCAGCTGTCTGGATCCTTCGCGCTGCCCAACCCCTTGTACACATTGCGATAGGGCCATCGACAATGCCGGCGCTTAAAGTCAACCCCCGCGCCCTTGCTCCCGTTAATATATGCAGTTCCCAGGATTGTATTGGGCGCAATCCCCTCCTCCACCCATCTCACCATGGCCATCAAGACATTCTCATCAGGCTCCAGGCTCGCCGCATTGCTCGCACTATTCCCGATCGATGCCGCCCCGGGGCCCCCGCCGCAATGGGCCATGCCCGATATACGGAAATACCTGTAGAAATCATCCATTTCAGCTGGGGCTAACCGCATCGTCTGCGAAACATGTTCATAGAATCGGGGCGAGTTGTCGCTGGAGATGATTCCATCCGCCAATCCGTGGTAATGGAGCAGTTTCCCGCCTCGCTTGCGAAAGGCCGAGAGATCCCCTTCCCACGTTTCGATGTTGAAAAGGTTCCTCTGCGACGCAAGGGCGTAGTCCTCGGGTTGAAGACTGAAGGGGTCCCAGCTGGGGTCCTGGAAGATGGCATAGCGGAACCAGTCCGCTGCGCCAAACGGCTCGCCTGTAAAATAGGTTTGCGGAGCTCCGGTCAGCTCTGCTCCAGGCTGCAGCCGGGGATAGACCAGACTGCCGTCGATGCCGAGCAATGGTGAGTAGATTTTCCGAAGGGTCTGAAGCTGGGGTTCTCTGAGGCAACCGTTGGTTTGTCCAGCCTCACACAGAAGCCGGTCAGGGTTGTAGTTGCACAGATCTGGCGCCTCGATAATCCCGTCGATCAAGCCGTCTAGTGCGTCGCACTGTTCGAGAACGTCTTGATGAATTATAGGCCACATATCCAAGGGTATGAACGTATCTGCGCTAACAGGGCCTGTCAGCGGCAGGAAGTGACAGCTCCAGGAGGTAAGATTGTTGAAGGCGAATGCAGGGGCACCAGCAACGACTCCATCAAAGTCTTCCGGAAAGGCCTGAACCTCCTTGAACCCCTGCCTGCCGCCGGTGGAGCAGCCTAGATAATAGCTTTTTCTGTGTGGTCTGCCGTAAAATGTCTTTGTGATTTTTTTGCCCAGCATGACACCCGTGTGCAGGGCCCGGTAAGCAAAGTCCTCAATCACGTCTGAATTATTGAGGAATGACTGCCCCGTCATCCCGTCGTGACCGTTATTGGTTCCGACGGCGGCGAAGCCCAGCGCAGCCGCATACTCAATGTCCTCGTATTGAATGCAGCCCCCGAGTCCGCCATTTCCAGTGCTCAGGAAGCGACCCGTCCAGCGCTCGGGTAGCCACGCCTCCATCTTGATTGACGACCTGCGGGAAGTGGCAACCTGTAATACCGCTCGGCAAAGGTTGACTGAGACATGCTGAGACGGACGCCCACACGTAGGATCGGCGTTTGGGAACTGGACTGTAGAGTTGGCGATTACGGCTTCAGATGTAATTGTATATGCTTCGGGAATGATCAACTTTCTGGAAAGAGATTGGCAGCGTCGTTGGAAAGCCCCGTCGTTATCAGGCCTGCTAGCAGCGACGAATAGGACCAGAACGCACCATATGAAGGGATATAATAAAAATATAAAGGGCATCTTGTCATGAAGAGCATAAGAAGAGGGAGGCTACTTGAAATCCAGGGATTGGGACGAAACTGCGGGTTCTATACCTGGCTTACCCTTGTCAGATCTCGGTCCTTGCTTCTCCGAAGACTGCGCTCTTGATATTTACTCGGCAGTTGACACCGGAGCTTTTACTTGTAGATACCTCGGCTGATTTCAATACCTACTTGGGCAGGACGCCAAGGTGCGGGCAGAAATAGAGCAGTGCAGGCAGGCGTTGGGGGGTGCTAATGGAGGGTGATTAAGGTGGAGGCCCCTGCTCGACAGGGAATAAGGAGTACGGCGTTGTATAAATCAAGAGGAGCATGTTTCACATTGCGGCTGGCCCCAGGAACAGTCTGTGCTCAACGTTCAGAGGAGATTAATCTGGTCTTCTTCCGAGGTTTTGCCGCCCAGGATCGGCTGGCTCCAGACTTTGGAACTGCCGGATTGCTTCCCACAAAGACGGCTTTAGCTTGTCTGGGTTTAGTTTGTTTGGACTGACTCCAGCCATGATGTTTATTGTGGAGTTAGCCAATCACAACAAGGGAGTCTCTGCCCTCCCCGCACATTCGTTAGCCTTCATCATGTACTGAAAAGCGGGGTTTCCAAGTCTACCTTGGAACGACTTTGTCGTTCCCATCCCTGTCCGAACCACTGCAAACGAGGGGTGGAAGATACGAATGGTCTTCCACGGCTGGCTTGGTGATATCGTATCCCGTACATCCGCATCGTAACCACGTAGCTCGGGTGAAATGAGCCTGAATGGTGGCTTCACTGCCGGACGGAGTGGCATAAAGTTTACCTTATTTTTTTTATTTAACGTTATATATATATATATATGGTATCCTTTACCTAGATATTTATATATCTAGCTATAATATCTATATTATTTAGGGGGGTTAGTATTATGGGCCTTGCCCTGCTTAGATTATTACCACATAATAATTCCTATATATAGTTGGTTCCATGTACGCGGAGCCTTCAAGAGTTTCTCCATGCTTCTTATGTTGTTTAATACAACTCCATTTTCAACGAAGCGTTCCTTACAGTTATAAATCTGGCCACTGGCAAGATAATTATCGCTTTATGATATTGAAAATACACGTTTACTGCCGGAGCAAACCAAGAGCCTGTCGCCAATGTCTGATAATTTCACCATCAAGCTTGCAACTTATCGGGACAAACTTATCGCTGGTCAATTTTCGAATTACTCAACGCCAGGATCAAATCACAAATCCCAGAAACGAGCGGTAAAATATTCTTCTTCTGCGAGGCTTTCGCGAGCAAGACCTCGCGAATGCGCAGTAAGACGGCGCCACCGGCGTGCAGGGGACAATTCCCCCTGTAAGAAGGGGATAATGAGGATGAGGATAAGACCTGGACCCCCTGCAAAACCGGGACCCCACAGCCGGAGCGAATCCATTTCTGCGCAGCGAGGGAATCAGCTGCGTCGAGGACAACCTCACTCGCAGGAGTCGCTACTGATATGTCCTCGCTTTTGGGAGCCATGATTCCGTACAGATAGAGGCATAGGCTTGCCTGGTACGCGGCAACAGCGAGGAATTCCGTGAAGGATTCCCCGCCGAGCTCGCGCAGATGGCGGACGACTTGGCCCGCGTGCCAGACTGCCCTGCGCGCCTGAGTGCTGTGGCACCGTTCCTGGAGGAGTGGGTAGGTGGCTTTGGCTTCATCGGGGCCCTCGCGGCCGGCGACGACTTCGACCTGCTCAAAGGGAGTAAAGAGGTGCATGAGAAGTAACTCGGCCGTCAGCATGCTGCTTTCCGGTGGAGATGGCGACAAGCGGGTGGTGGTGTCATTGTACCCGTGGTGAATAGTTTCTAGGATGTGGACGAGGCGATTATGCGAGGTTTCGGCGGAGGCGAGGGACAAGCGCAGCGTATCCAGCTCGTTTGAGATGATGGTGCTGTGAGACTGCCAGTGGTCTTTTATCATGGCTGTTATAGCATGGAGCACAATCAGGCGCGCTAAATGGGCATCGTAGAGCCGCGGGATCGCAGCCAGTCGGCGTGGATTGGCCAGATAGTCTCGCAGACAAGGTTGTGAGGGTCGCTCCCGGTCTGCTTCGAGGCGGAAGTATGTTTCCTTCCACTGATCTGCAGTTTGTGCCATCCAGAGTGCTCGATTATAGGGAAAGGACGCCGAGAGCTCCCCATATGAAAGGGGGGTACGAGTGCCCGTTGCCAGGGATTCTTGCGAGCAGTGAATATGCATGTGGAAGACCATTCTAGTCGAGAATGGAAAATGTCAGCCCGAATGAGCAGTAGTATGGTAGAGCTGTGACTGGTACCGCTTCCACGATTCCTCCTCTACCCAGTGCCGCCACTTTTTATCGAGTCTATCGCCAATGTCTTCAGCATTCGGACTAACATTGGTATTCGTCGAAGCACGATAATGACAGCCACTACGTAGCATCTTTTCCTCACGTTAGGGAGGTCTGTTACGACCCAAAACAAGGCAGTAATTCAGACACGTACGGTCAAAGCTGATCCCACAATGGCTGCCGCGATTTCCATTCTCCTTTTACTCCCGCTCCAGAACCCTGTATGAATGAATAAGGCGAGTGCCTGGATCTGCTGTATTTGACGCGTTCGCGCAATCCTCTTCTCAAACTAGCGAAATTAGTGAATATTGTGTTCCCTTTGCATTGGGTAGCGAGTGTGGCCTTACGACGTGGAACAAATACGGATGAAGCACTGCGTGTAGAGCACTCCCAAATACGCGAATTGCGCTACTCGAAGACCTCATTGCAGCTGATGATATACAGGCAGCCAGAAGCTCCGGGGGCATTGTGGTGGATACCAGGGTCGGTATATGGATCCATGTGTCCTCGTCAAGCGCATGGGTCGTATAAAATCGATTCAAGAGCCCGTCGAGAATACTGGCAGGGGGAAAGGCTGATACAATGCGGGCGATATTTGCGGGCTCGCAGGTGCTGAGGATCATGGTAAGCAGGCTGTCGCGAGCTTGGGACGCGGTTTGGTCATCCAGGATTCGCAGGGGCGGATAGGCCAGATGGTCTTGATTCCAACTCAAGCCATGGGAGAGGGATAGGTTCTTCTCTTCGGCTGCGCGGTGGTCCTCCAGATCCGGGTCCCACCGACCAACGGTATTTTCAAAGGCTTGGAGAACTTCCGGGGATTGGCTCTGTGCAGGCGGGGAGTGGCCGGTGCTCGGAGCCGGCTGGGTAGTGGGCAAGGGATCAAAGAAACATGCAGACAAATCTGCGTCTGCGGTGGGAAACAAGGGAATTATATCATTTGTCTCGAGCGAGTCATCCGGCGTCCCCTGGCTTGAGCCCTGCATCATCAGGTCTGCGAGGTAGTTCATCCCATCCAGGTTACCGAGAGAAAAATCGGTATCCTGCGGCGAGAAGTCGCGTACTAGCAATATCAATAATCTCCCGCGGAGCATAAGACAAGGGCGAAGACGTACCTTCCTGGTCACCACGACTAGCGTCTAGTGCCAACCAGTCTAGAGTTGCACTGTACGGAGGTTGCTGGGGTTCAGCGCGATCCTGGTTTGTGGACTTGTGCGATTGCCAGTAAGTACCCGTGGTGTTGGCAGTCTCGTCAGCCTCCAACCATGGTCGTGTACAAGGGATGTGTCGCCGATGACACCGCTGGCAAGTCTCGTTGTTATCGCATCGAGCTTTTGCGGCTGCGCATGCATCGCACGCTTGAGAAGCACGCGGTCCTCGCCGTTTGGCCCGAGATTTTCGCTCGCGTCCTAGGCTGTGGCGCATTGCGTTGAATGCCGCACTCGATAGTTGAATGTAGGAAACGTGGAGTAGAGTCGAGGTTGTGGAGAGAGAAGGGAATAACAAACCTGGGGAAAGGTGGGCTCGCGGTCCAGGTGGCCTGGGCTTCTCCGCTTTTTATTTTCTACCCCGAGAACAGGACGAGGCATGCCTACGCGGCCGTCAGACCGATGTTGATTGGCTAGGGACACGATTCATGTGGAGTGGCGTTGAAAGTTGACCATTCATCTTAGCTCTAAATCCGAAGCTCAGCTGCAATTCCGGTTGGGACAGACGACTCCGGCGCAACTAGCGGCAGTTTTCGGACGGTGATCCGAGCATCTATCCATGAGGTTGAGACTTGTGCAGTATTGCGTAAGCAGCAGCTAAACTAATGAACAAACATTCTGGGGTATATACGTCAGATCCCACTCAAATAACCCAGTCCGACTCCCCAATGACCAGCTGCGTCGTTTCTGCATGCTCGCCGAATATCGCACTGTTATACTTGTTGAAAAACGAACGAGCACTGTCGGTAGTTTCAAAACCAAACGTTTCCAGGCCCTTGTATTGGAGCCACGACCCGCCCGAAAACTGCGTCCCGTGAAAGAAATTGGCCGTCTTGGGCGTCACGTCGCGCCACACTATATAGCTGTAGATGCCCGGCTCGGACTCCCAGATGCTTCGGAGCTTCGCAGACCGCTCAGTAAACCAGGCTGGCGAGAACTCATCGCGCGAATCCCGCCTCTTATGATATAGCAGGCACTGGACGGGGTCCCGGGACGATCTCTTCAGATGCTTCTGTACCTGAGCCATTATACAGCCTTCCTGGTCCAGTCTGCAGAAAATATGCTTGCCCGCGTGTTCCTGGTAGTCCGGGTCCTGGAATCCAGCATTGATTATGAACAGACTGGGCCATGTAAGGCACGTCACATAGTCCCAAGAGGGGCGTTGTGATGCTGCGACCGTGTCCTGAGTATTCTGAAGTTGATTGTAGCTTCGAATGACCGCGAGCTTTTCCGCAACCATGCGAGTCATACCGGCATGAACGCCTTTGTATTGGTGCCGGAATTCTTCTTCGGTCCATTCCGGAATCCGAGTTACTGAGATAAACCAGGTCACCTCGCCGCAGGTGTCGAACAACTTGTCTGATGTGCTTGTTAGGGAGAAGTCCGGCAGCCCGATTCTACTTTTGGTGATAAGATCGTGGGGGTCTTTTAGCCTAGCAAGAGTCTCCTCTCTCTCCTTTACATGTTCTGGTTCTTGTGAGCAAAGTCTCATCAAGTTCGCCGTACTCGTTGGGTTTGTCCGCTCGAGGAAAATCCGGCGCCGAGTATCGGCATAAGTCGTGAGCACATTCGGACTGACACCTTGGTTGAGGACTTCACGCAACGCCTCGGCCAAATGTGCGGCATCAAGAAGACCGGTAGTGAGGCCCAAGCCTCCAACAGGACTATTCAGCTGCATGTCTGGGTGAGTAATGGCTCGACGTCTCTTCCAGGGGTGGGGGTCGACTCACATGGGCAGCGTCGCCTGCTAACAGAACATCGCCTTTCCGGAAGTCACTCGCACAGCGCTGATGGACGGTATACGGCGCCATTTCCTCGTACCGAATCTCGTCTGTGTTGCCAGGGAGAATGCGCGCCAACCGATTCTTCATCAGCTGGATAGTCTCTGGACCCAAGGAGGAGATGGATTCGGGCTCTGACTTTGTGACGCCGGTTGCGAACCGCCAGCTTGTTCCCTTTCCACGTTTGACAACAATGCCCCAATCGACTGGGTCCACGATGAAGCTGGCCGCCTTCCATCCACCCGCTGCACGCAAGTCGTACTGAAAGTTGACGGCAACGAACTGTAGCGAGTCGAACGTGTATCCTTCCAGATGGATCCCGAGACTCTTTCTCACTGAACTGCGCCCACCGTCGGCGCCCACCAGATAGCGGCACATGCGTTCGGTTTCGAGGCCGCTCTTCTGATTCTCCGTCCAATATGCGACCGCGCCATCGCGCTGTTCCAGCCGCTGGAATTTCTCCTCAAACAAGATCTTCACCTTTCCTGTTTCCAGAGCTTTCCTGAGAAGGACCTCGCCAAGTTCGGGTTGGGAAAGGCAGACGGCAAACGTTGGGTCGTTGGGAGGAGGGTCAATGCCGGCCAACAGGTTCCCATCGGCGTCCCTCCAGTCGCATCCGTCCGCATTCTTTTCTCCCGCAGCAATCACATCCTCAACAATACCCGCTTTGGAAAACTCTTCGAGAACTGGCGGGAAGTATCTTGTTTTAGTGTTAGGCATGTCTTTGCAGGAAGAGACAAAAAAGGAAAGAAGCTCAGGGTCTTACGCCACCGCTCGAGGAGACTGGTTGATGCCAGCTCCTGCCTCAATCACCGTGACATCCACGCCGCCCTGCGCCAGCAGAAGTGCAGTGAACAGGCCCACCGGACCGGCGCCAATGATTGCGATTGATTTCGGAGTGTCCGTCTAAGATGGAATCATTAGCATGTACCGTCCGTGTGTCAGCAGAAATTGTTGCAGAATATACCATAATGTTTCGTCGAACTGAGGAGAGGCCAGGAAAGTCTGAGGCTCTGAAATAACAGTATTTGGATGAGATAAAGAGTATGAATAGTATTCCCTGGGGATGCTGGAGACTGACTGCCGGAATCCCGTTGAAGACGCGAGACTGTGTGGGGCCATTTCCCGGGGGTTGCGGCATCCCGCCTCGGGCCCTCATTCACCTTCCGTCGCTTGTCGTCGGGATAAAGGACGGCAGCTGTAAGAAATGGACTCTGGAAGCACCTTCACACTAACATCTTCGACTCCCTGATAGAACCTTGGGCGAGTAGGAGCTACCATGGTGCTGGCGAGAGATGCCATCTTGGCTGGCACATTGCTTGATCCGGATTTTGTGACGGTTTGTACCCTCTAAGAACCAAAACAGAAGGAAATTGCGACTGTTCGGCCACACTTATGTGACTCCTCTCCAGATTCTTGCGCAAGGAAGTTCACCCCCTTTCCCATCAGATATTGACATCCCCGCCCTACGTGTGTTGACGAATGAGGCGAAGTCGAAAGCGCGTTCCGCCCAAGGCCCTCATCCAGATATCATAGAACGGGACATCACGATCCCTACGCGCGATGGAGCCTCAATCCTCGCCCATGTCTATTATCCCGCACATCCGGCTGCTGGACGCAGTACAACGCTGCCGGTGTTTGTCTTTTTCCATGGTGGCGGTTTCTGCATCGGCAGTCGCCACGATGATTTCGAGTCGAACCGCGCCATAGCACTGAGAAACAATGTCGTTGTTATCAGCCCTGAATATCGCCTGGCTCCAGAGCATCCTTTTCCGACCGCCGTGTATGATGGCCTTGACACCTTGCAGTGGGTATGTATCGCGCGCAACCACACTTGGGCGATTGTCCTCTGCGCTTCCACTCTGGGGAAGAGCGTACTGACATCGATACCCTGGCATCTAGGTAGCAGCCAATGTGCATCTAATCCATCCGTCTGCGTCGATACCCGCCGGCCTAATAATAGGTGGTACCTCCTCTGGCGGGAATATCGCAAATGCTGTACTTTACCTCAACCGCGATCAAGAGAATGTTGTGCCGGTAACGGGTCAATTTCTGAGCGTTGCACCTCTGCTCCCATGGCCAGTGCTACCGGAAAAGTACCGCAAGGCTTATACGAGCGCCGAGGAGAACCGGGCTTATGCCATACCCCCGCCAGAGATGGTCCGCTCGTTTCTGTGTAAGATCGTGCATATTTTCTTCCCGTGTTTGCACCAGAAATTTTCCACCGTTCCTCGGGCTTGTCAATTCAAGCGCATGATCATCCCTACATGCATGTTCCACAAGCCAGCCGAGAAAGCTACTAACAGAAACCATGCTGAAAAGCCGCGTACAAACCCGATATCTATTCGCCCCTGATGGTACCTTTTAACCATCCCAGAGGCCATGTGGGCATTCCGCCGACGTACTTCCAAGTCTGTGGCCTGGACACTCTGCGCGATGAGACCTTGATTTACGAGCAAGTCCTACGCGAGGAGAACTCGATTCCGACACGTCTCGATTATTATCCGGGTCTGCCGCATCATTTTTGGGAGTTTTTCCCCCAGCTGACGAAACATGTAAAGAGGAGGACAGACGACACAGTGGAAGGGGTCAAGTGGTTGTTGGAAGCTGGGGTGGAAATGAGGGCTGGCTAACTCTGCCATCTATTTCATCAATTCGAGATGAGTATGCTGTATGTTGTCTTTCACTTCAGTCGTCGAATGTTCCAGTCCCTTGGAAGCAGTCTTTGTATTGTCTTACATTCAGGATTACGCCTCCCTCTGGGGTTGAATAGAAATCGACCGTTAAGGGGCATGGGAATTTTTATGCTCATAATCAGCTCTAGAGCCACCTTGAGCCATCGACTGACGAAAGTATCACGCTTTCGTAGATGGGAGGTGGGGGGGAGGAGAAGAAGAAGAGGGTAGAAAAAAAAAAAGAAGGGAAAAGAATCGACCAACGTGTTGCCTACATGGAGTTTTAGTCTAGAGAAAGTTATTTCGAGTCCTAGAGTTTCTATGGCCACCCTGTTCGAGACGCTGCTGTTGGAATCTGGATGCGGGGATGTGAACAACGTTAGGGAATCAAGTTTCAGGGGACTATACTCCTAAAAATTCACTTTGGATGCGACGTTGTCCCGGTTGTGGGTAGTGGTGGAGTGCGTGGCAAGCGGAAAAAAAAAAAAAAAAACAAGCATGCTATAGACGGAGCTACCTAAATCTGGCTTTTTGTTTGTAGTCTTGTAAAATCAAACTGGCCCGTGATTGTAAGTAGGTGGCGTAGACCTGGAACAACATATCATAGTGGTCGACTTGGAAGACTTTCATTTCTGTCCCCACTGGAATACAAATATTAAACGGTGCAGCCAGCCACCGCCTTGGTGATGGCGATTTCTCTCTTGATAGATTTTTAATTGAAGTTAGGCAACATGGCCCTTCACCGCGGGAGGAACTAGCAGTAGAAGAAACGATAACGTAATTCCCGGGTCGTCCGATCATCCCGGGTCATCCGATCACCCACCAAAAATTCCTCGCGCGTTCAACGCGTAATTATTCAAGCAACCACCATGCCACCAAAATCGCGTCAATCACGTCAGAACTTGGTGGAACAAGAGGGCAGAATCCAACTTGCAATTAAAGCCCTAAAGAACTGCGAAATTCTAAGTATTCGTCGAGTAGCAGAAACTTTTAATGTGCCCTATACAACACTTTCAGATCAACTAAGTGGACACTTATTTCAAGGAGAACTTCGGAACCACAACCTCAGGCTATCTAAAACTCAGGAAGAGACCTTGATACAATGGATTATATCTAGGGATACGCGTGGAGTCGCTCCCAGGCCATCACATGTACAGCAAATGGCTAATATAATCCTCCAACAGGATTCACCAACGCCCCCCAAGCCAATTGGGAAGAACTGGGTCACTGAGTTTATCAAGCGCCATGATAGCATTAAATCTCGATTTGCTCGACGATACAACTATTCACGTGCTCTTTGCGAAGATCCTAAGGTTATCAACAATTGGTTCAAGCGCTTAAAAGAGGTTCAAGACAAGCACGGCATTCAGGCTGAAGATATCTACAACTTTGATGAGACTAGCTTTGCTATGGGCCTTATTACAACTACTAAAGTAGTTACACGGTCAAATATGCCAGGAAGGCCTCATCTTATTCAACCAGGCCAGCGCGAATGGGTCACTACAATCGAATGTATTAGCTCCACGGGATTTAGTGTTCCAACATGCATTATCTTTAAAGGAAAGGTCCATATACAGGGATAGTTCGAAGAACTCGATTTACCACGCGACTAGAGGATCGAAGTAAGCGCAAATGGATGGACAACAGACTAGATAGGCCTCCGGTGGCTAGAGAAGTGCTTTATTCCTGCAACAACTGCGCGGACTAAGGGGGGGTCTCAATTACTAGTTCTAGACGGCCACGGGAGTCACCTCACGCCTGAATTCGATAAGATGTGCAAGGACAATAATATTATATGCATCTACATGCCTCCTTATTCATCTCACCTCTTGCAACCACTAGATGTTGGTTGTTTTGGCCCATTAAAGCGCGCTTATGGGGGCCTCGTTGAGGCAAAGATGCGGTTAGGATACAACTATATTAACAAGCTTGACTTCTTGAAGGCCTATCCTGCGGCTCGCCAACAGGTCTTCTCTATAGAGAATATTCAAAGCGGCTTCCATGCAGCTGGAATACAACCTCACGATCCTAGCCAGGTGCTTGATAAGTTTAATTACACGGTTCATACGCCTACCCCCCCAGGAAGTAGAGGGGGGGCTTTAACAAGCTCTTCTACGCTTGCCACGCCTTATACAGTTCATCAACTACATAAAAAAGTTTCATCAGTCAAGAAGATGCTTGCTAGGGGCCGCCAGACCTCTTTTAGTCCTTCTAAGCAAGCGCTAGATGAGCTTATAAAGGGCTGTGAGATGGCAATATACAACACCGCGATGACCCTTAAGGAATTAAATGATCTCCGCGCAGAAAGCCAGATTCAACAGCAAAAAAAAGGTCGATCTAAACGGCAAATGAGTCCTATAGCTGGTCTACAAGTGCAAGAGGCAAGGGACCTAATTACGTTGAGAAATGAGCAATTGAATGTGGATGAAGGGGGTCATAGTAGTTCTACTCCGCTCGCTTCTGGAGCCCGAAAACGTGCGCCACCAAGGTGTAGTGAATGTGGTATACAGGGCCATATTCGAACTGGGTGTCCTAATCGCCGTCAAACTTAGTTTAATTAAAAATATTAAGAATTGCGTTGTTGGGAATAGCTTCAAGTTCGACAAGTATCTATATTTTTGATGGGTGATCGGATGACCCGGGATGATCGGACGACCCGGGAATTACGTTAAAAGCTCTTGAATGGGCTTATGTCATACAAGCCCAGCCGTCATGGCTACTCGGATGTTTACTCTTGCGAGGGGAAATTGGACTGGAGAGAGAACGGACTGAGAGTTGCAACGAACAAACGCACTAGGGTGAAGACAGGATTTGTGTGCACAGAGGATGGCAGGACGATGATATCATCGTTGCAATAGGAATTAAAAGCACCGAGCGCCCACTCTCTCCACTCGTTATCATGATTCAATATAGCCAGGGCGAGGTCATATTCGGGCCGAAGAGATAGACGTTGAGCTGCAAGGCCGTGAGTTCGTCGTTGTAGTACTGAATGACCTGGAGATTGTCGCCCATGGCAGGTCTGGGGGACACCATGGACACGCCGCCCTGTGCCTTCATCTCTTCGATCCACACGACCTGTGCTTCCTGTTGCGCCGGGAGGTCATCTGGGATAAAGGTCGATATGTTGCCAATGTATGGATAAACCATGCCGGGAACCATGCCGCTGCAGACGACGAAGCCCAACTCTTCGTCGACAACGAGGTTGTTTCGTGCGTACAGATCAGTTGGTCTGTCGGTACGCCAGCTGCAGGCCAAGGGATCGCTCGAAGCATTTCCGTATGTTCCCGTGTCGACAACAATCCAGCCCACCTCGGTGAACTGACAGTTGTTGCTAACGGTGACCGGGAAGTCAACCGAGGCATCAAACATGCCCTCCCCAAGAATTTCCAATGTTTCCCGGCTGGCTCGTGTTCGGTTAGGCGGCGGGGACATTAATTCCCTGTTATTCGTGTCGTGTTGGTCAGCCGAGAAGCCGAAACCGTCATCGCCGCGGGAGCGACTAATGAACAGCTCCACCTCTGTGATCTCGCGGTCAACCACCTTGATCCGGCCACGCAGGATAGACTTTGTCTTGCTGTTGCCCTCGCTGGCTACTGAAGAGAAGTACACTGACCCTTGCTGGGTGTCGATGGCGAGCAGACTGGGCGGGTTGACCTTGGTGATGGTGCGCCAGGCGGTCATCATGGCGAGCGACGATGCATGCGAGTTCTCAGTTGCCTTGTAGATTGTGGCGAGCGGCAGAACATGGGGGTTGTGGTTTTCGATCGAGTCCAAGACTTGGTCGACGATGCTCGATAGATACTCGCGGGCGTTGCCCCGGTGGTTGGGCGCGCTGCCGGCCAATGCGGCGGGAACGGTCACGGTCAGCCCCAGGGCCAACCAAAGGCGAAGTAGGTTTGAGAAGCGCATTGTAGAGCAGGGCGGAAACTGGGGAAATCTTGCTTCGCTCTGACCTGTGGGCACAAATCGAGGTGCTAACAGACACATTTTAAGGAAGGCTTAACGCATATATGTAGATCTGGTAGCCTGCTCCGTCCACGTCTTGCAGCTCGGACTGAGGTCACCGAAGGCTTCTACTATCGGCCCCACTCAGTAGCAACTGATTGATTACGGAGTACTCCGTATAATTGGAGAGTTTACGGGGCCTAAGGCGGCATTCCCCCAGGGACGTCCAAATCCCTGGTGTGGGAGAATGTGCGGGCACGGAGGCAGTGGGTTCCGCTCCGGGATCCCGGGCGTAGTGACACATACACACAAGCCTTCACCGCGAACGAGGAAAAGATCAGCAAGGAAGACAAAGAGTTATTATTTAGATCAAGTGGACATCAATGACTGGTCGGCTCCAAAAACCCCGCCCCCGTCCCCAGCTTCCCCCGCGACAGGCCGGGAGAATGCTAAGAGCTTGGCAAGGAGAGCGTCCACGTCCCCGCTCCGGGGAAGAGCTCGAAGAAGTGGCCAGCCGGGTAGTGGAGGAAGAAGTAAACACAGTGGAGGAGCGTACACATCCCCGTTCTCCGTGAAGCGTCCTGAATTGCCACGCCAAGAATCCGCCTCCTTCTCCGGCTACGCATCAGGCATCATCATAACCAGGATGACACCTAAACCTGGCTGGCAGTGGCTTACACAACCGAGACGAATCACCCACGACTATATCCCTGCACTACACCGCATCGGCGTTTGCAGTTACAAAGACCCCCCTTATTCACACCCGTGAGAAGATGAGTCCGCGGCTTCGGTGCAGTAGTGAGTGATTGGGATACCGCTTGTTGTCTGCAGCGATACTGGTCTGCTGTGCAGATCATGAAGAGTAGATAGCGGACTTGTCTGGCTCGTTTCTCAAAAGCGGCTGCAAATTATGATGGGGGAGCTGGGAGACACCCCGTAGCGAAGGATCTCGCGTTGCAACCCTTTACAACCATGGCAATGAACCACCAGCAGAATTAATGTATGACACGAATTCCAAGAGGATAGAGCGATTCGTATTGATGGTTAAGTACAAACGGGACTTTCGAGGAGCCTGCTCCAGGCCAACCTTGTTCTAATCGAGACCGTTCCCTGTACAGAAAGCCCTCTCGTCATGTAATACCGGCTCCGCAGCGATCCTTCCCGCGTTTCACTCGCCAACCTCCCGATCTGCACCCCAGTGGACTCCCTTCAGGACCCGCAGTCCAAGACTCCAGACACGAATCTCCTTCCCCCAAATATACAATGGTATCCACAGGACCAAAATAGCGGCACAGATTCCCGCCAAGGCCCCGAAAGCGTTGATGTAACCGGCTGACTCTATCCACGGGTTGGTATAGAACGAAAGCACAAATCCAAAGGCGGCTAGAGGTGCTGTTAGTAGGAGGCGAGGATATCGGCAAAATGCGAAGAGTGGTCCATACCTTTGAAACTCAGTTCCGAAACCACGACCTCTCCAGCGATAGGCCTGTGGGCATCCACTGCGTAAACAATGGCAATATTGCTGACTTGTGTGATAACAAAGCCGACTGCAGCCGTCAGCGTCTAGACTATGGAAACCCCGCCGTTTCGAAAACTCACAAAGACCCAGGCCCACAATGGGGACAATCCAGTGCATTGCCTTTGCTATCCCGGCCCCGTACAGTAGCAACCCTAACGGGCCGAGGATCAGGGAGATGGTAACGGTCGGCAAGCGCATCTCGGGCTCACGAATGCCACCGCTTCGAATGGTGAACAGATCTGCCACCTTGTCCGAGAGCCAGCCACCGCCGTAGATGGCAACCAGGGCACCCACCAGAACACCCGAGTAAGTCATGCCACACTGCCATGTTGAAAAGCCGTAGGTGGTTGAGAATGCCGTTGCATAATTCGAGCTAATAGCGACGAATGTGCCGATAACAACGGACATTGACAGAGTACCCCAAAGAACAGATGGGAGAAAGAGCAGGGGAATTGGGCGCCAGAACATTGCTAGAAGGGACTCGTTTGTCAAGGGCGGATTGATCAGCCTCATCTGCTCGCGGTATGTTTTTTTCATAGGGATCCTTGATTCTAGGTGCACCGCCTGGGCTTTGTCGGTACCGTCATCGTTTGCACCAAGGTCGTTTTGATCATCAACGCTCTGGGCCCTGTTATATGCTGTCTCTGGCATCGTGAAGGTGATCAAGGTTACTAATCCCCAGATTAGGCCCGTCGCCATATAGTATATGACCCGCCAGCTGTTGTTGATGGTGATCAACCCAGAGAGCACAATGCCCCCACCAACACCACAGGATAGGGCGGCGGAGTAGTAACTAGTAGAGATTAGCGCCACACTGGGGGAGAAGCCGACGAAAACCCGTACCTCATGATCAGTCCACGTTCATGAAGGAAAAAGGTGTCCGCAATGGTAAGCGGTGCGAGGCATTCCGCCGATCCCCCGGCAAATCCGAGGACGAGGCGAGCAGCCAACGCACTGGGGTAGCTTCGAGCAAGACCAGCCCAGAGCGAGCACCCTCCATATACGATGAATGACAGTATATAAACCGGTCGCCGGCCATATTTAATAATGAGCGGCATGTAGACCAGGTTCGACATTCCCTGCACAAATGCGCAGCCAGTGAAACAATACGCCATCTTGGATAGTGCGGACGAAAACTCTGGATCAGTGGGCATGATGCCGAAAAGATCTTGGATCATTGTTGTCATTGCGACGCTGGGTCCAGCAGCCAGAAGCTGGGCAAGGAAGATTGAAGCGCAGGATATCACGGCCAGGTAGATTCGATAGCCCCTTGACCTGCCGGAAATCAGTCATTAAATCTAATGCTCAGCAGTTACTCGGCAGTCATACCAGTTAAGAGGATCATTGGGGTCGTTTGACGGTGTGGGTATTAGGATGATGTCGTTGGTCACCGGGTGTCGCAGTTGAATGCTGCCCAGGATATTCACATGTTCTGGTTTGAAGTCTTCGGGGTCCGCTCCGGCAGGAGGATTGGTCGCAGCCGGATTCTGCTCGACTCTGATTTCGTCCATGGCAGCCATTGTAATTCTGGAGGTGGGTGTCTGGACGTTTCTGAAACTCCCAAAACCCAGTGACTTATGTGATAAAATATCGGGTCCGAATGTCCGAGGAATCCTTCCTTGAGGAGGAGAGGAGCAGGAATAAGAAGCGCCACCCGGAAATAGAAGGCTGCGGGTCCCCCACATTCCCCCGAGATGTCTTGACCGGATTGCCGGAGGATCAGCCCCGTTTCAAATTTCAAATCGTGCCCTCGGGCAATAGAGTGCATTTCTATCCCAGCCGTCGCCACGCCACTCTCGCTCGGCTCAGCTCTGCAATTTGACAATCAGCCCGCTGCCCTACCATGTCAATCTCTCGGCGAGAATTCCTTCGATACATCGAAGCGTTTAACGCGAAAGATTACGCCACGCAGCATTCCTTCTACCACTCCGATGTGCGACTCGTAATCCCGGATCCCAAAGTCGGAACACTGTACGGACCAGCAGGAATCATGAACCATTACTCGGTCGTCCACGACCTGGCAGAGGAGACGGTTGTCCCAATGATCGTTCTAATTGACGGCGACCTCGTCTTCTTCATTATGGAAACCTACTTCCGCTACACCAAACCCACCGACCACGCAGTTCACGGGCACAAGGTTCGGGTAGGAGATGTAATCAGGGTGAAAGTGTGGGCTACATATGAGATGAAAGATGGGAAGATGCTCCAGATTACATGCAATGGTCTGACCGATGAGCTTCTTGGACAGATTGACGTCGACAAGGCAATTGAGGATAGCTGGAACCGTGCAGATGAAAAAGTGAAGGCGGAGTGGAAGCCAAAATTCTTGATGTAAATAGTTCTGGGACCGTCCATGTTGGTAACCAAGACATAAAGCCGAGTTCGGCAGAATTCAGGCTTCGCTTGGATTCGAGGTATTTGCTGAATTGGCTCACTGTCTATCGTCAGCTCGAGCCAGCACAGCCCCCAAGCCACAACTTCGTCTCGAGACGACGGTGACATTAATAGTTACCATTCACACGTAGCAACAACCCTCCTGACGCACTTCAACTCGGAGTGAGCTGTCTAGGCGTGCGATATGGCACGCAGGCCAGGTCGTGCGCGCCATCAAAGGCATTCCATCGCAAGGTAGAGGGAACTATCCAGCTGTCGCCCTGTACCATGTGCCCTGACATTGTGGGCTTACGATGAGAGCACGCTCCCCCAACATCCAAGAATGGGAACCCGCACATTTTGGGTTTAACCAAACATCGAGCTAAATTTACTCAAAAAGGAGAGCATTTTTCGTCACTTTGTGGAGGGGAAATCCTGTGGCTCGCGGCCATATTCAGGGCGAGTCACCAGGCTCAGTCGGGTAATAGTGCAGGTTTTCCCGAAGTCATAGTCCACCAGTGCTGCAGAACCACAACAAGAGATACGCTGGGCAGAATCCACCCTCCCGCGTGCTGTTCGTGACCATAGTCGAATTTCTTGATGGAGTGGGATAATCTAACCAATAGGAACTAGATGAGAGGTCGGAATTGATCCTGCTCATGGCGCATGGTGATCAGCCAATGAGGCCGTGATCCTGTTCAATCAGACCCCATGATCCCCGCACATTCCGACAGCAGAAACTGGACCAGGGGCCCCGGGAAAGATGAATGCTGCTTCGTTAAATGCTGAGAGGCGTCTGGGCATTATCATTTCGTTCAGATCAACACCAGAATACAGGTGGGGGAAGGAAAGTAGAGGGGCTTCCGAGTGCGGGACCTGTTCGCGGTCTTTCACCCGGGTTCGCTGTTGCAAATACTCTAGAAAAGCCGTCCCTGCGCTCTCTTTAACACAACGATTGGACTGTGTGGAAGCTGAATCCTATAGAATGAAACAGGTTAGACCGAACTGGACTGGCTAATTAAGAGAACAGGGATTTCCTGTCGCGCCACTCCGCTCTCCATGCCTTGCAGCGGGAATCTGCTTCTGCGCCGAAGCGGCGGCGCACCGAGAGCAATAGATCCTGCACCCTCGCACGTTTCCGACGTGGTACCTACGCCTCGGGGTAACAAATCGGTCCATTGACAATTGAATCACATCTAGTCTATTCAATTAGATCATTGCTCCGTAGATACGTTATATAACGGCAATACCTTTCGATTCTCCGACCCCAGCCCCCAATTTCGCGAGAATATATACTTATGTACACGTTATCCGAGCTCCCTCCAACCAACTCCTTGCTATCAGACCCGGAAGTTCATCTACACACCATTGAGAATTACATGGTGGACACATTAAAGAAAAGAGCAAGTTGATTCGAGATTTACTAACGATCGACAGCCGCAAAACTGAGAATGCCTTTTTCGAACCCCGAGATAGAAAGACTTCTAATACAGCCTCTCAATGCGACTACATGATTTGCGCTTGATGTGACCTTCTTGCATTCAATATTGCATGAATAGGCATACTCGAACAGAAAAAGTGCACTTGTTATACTCACCAAGAAGAGAAGAATCGTCTTCCACAAAAGAGCATAAAGGAGATAAATTCGACGGCGAGCAATGGCCCTCCTCGACGTACTTACATTTTGCTCGCCAAACCATGAAGCTCAGCTAGAATAAAAGAAGTATTTGACAGCCCAGATTCTGCAGAAAGCTAAACAGGTGATACGGTTCCACCTCCTGCCAGTTTAATGGTCTTCCCCTTCAGTGCCTTGTTAGCCGGTGCGTGCCGGTCGTAGGTGATGGAAAAGCCATTGCTCTTGACGTTGGAAAACGACGTATCCGCATTGGTAAGGTTTTTCAGCGCAGTATTTCCCGTTACGTTCCAAATGCTCGTTTTATCCAAAGCAACACCAAGCTCCGCGTCACCGTATCCAATGTACGCTCTTCCACTCCAGTAGGAGTGCTCCTTGAACGAGAATCCCAGAGTGCTCCCATTGTATGCAACCAGATCGCCGGATAGCGCGCTTTCTTCAACATACACGCGGCTATCGGCAGTGGCCACGATGTTCCCGGAAGTCTCGTAGTCGGAGTAGAAGTTGAACGCCTCGGTGATGGTTGAGAAATTGGCTACAGCCAGGACGCCGGACTCGGCGATAATCTGGCTGCTCTGCACGTACGTGTTTGCGTAGACCGAACCGTACCAGAGCCCGGGCCCATCGCCGAGGACCTTGAGCTTGGTGTTGACCAGTGTCAACTCGAAGGGATACGCCTGGGTATCCTTGGAGATGGAAAAGGTTACTGCCCCGCCGAGAAGACCTCCGGTGAGATCACAGTTCTTCGCTACTGCTTCGCCCTCTCCGATGGTGAAGAATACGGGAGCTCGCTCAGCATATCCGATCACATTGGTAAAGTTGAGATGCTTGACTGCGAACCCGATGGCCGATCCAATCCCGGTCGTGTGGGCAATTGAATCCTCGACATAGACGTACCCCGCAGGGGTATCGCCGGAGAATGCAGAGCAGCGGTTGCCCCCAGAGAAGGTGTGGATATTCTTCCCGTGCACGGTTCCGTTCCCGGCAGCGTACAGGGCGTGCGAGGTTGGACCGGAACTATAAAGCCAGGCGTTGTCGATGTAGGCCACCGTGTCAGTGCCATAAGCGAACACATTTGCTGCACCATTGTGAGTGGTGATATTCACGTCGGAGAGGTGGATGCGGCTGTTATTGGCAACGAGAACGGCCGCGTTCACGCCGTAGAAGCTCGACTGGATGAGATTGCTGTAATATCCAAACTTGATGATGTCGGTGTTCTGCACGGAGACGTCAGCACCCTTGGTGGCGACCAGGACGCTGGTGTCGTTCTTGTCGGTTTTCAGCGTCGTATGCTGAAATGTCTTCTTCTTCCCAGAGACCATGTAGGGCCCCACCTGGGCGATTCTCTGGATGTACTCCACGGCTACACTGTAGTCTGCCATGATCGCGTTGTCGGCCGCCCAGTCGGATTCTGGGATCACGTCCGACGGATCGCTGATGCTGATCGAGGCAGCCGAAGCGGCAACGAGGGAGAGAAAGCACAAGCGTTTCATTTTGCTGGGTGAAGTGTATGAGAATTGCGATTTTCTTTTGGCGCTTCTACCGGTACTCGATATCTAATTGTACCTCTATTTAATGCCCTGTAGATTTTGAGATCATCGTATCTGCAATGTTAACCTGCAAGGGCATGCCGGTGCAAACCCCACGGGGATGATGTCCATCCGGGAGGTGCAGAAGCCGACGTGTGCGGGGGTACAGTGTGGGGTGCAGAAGGCCTCCAGACTCTGGTAGGAGGGAGTGGGCCACAGGCCAGTCGGGTTTTCTGTTCGGCTCCAGGTCGGCTTTCGTGGAGAGAAACCGGGGAGCAGCCGAAAGTCCGAAATGCTGCATTGCATGGATTTTCCCCGGTCGAATCATCACGAAACGACCCTCCTCCGAATTCCATCCTCGTTGAAGGATTAACAAATTTCTCGGTCGCAGTGTCGGTGTAACAACGTACCTGTTGCCCATGCGCAAGCTGTTGCAAAGTCTGGCTCAGGAGCTCTCTCCTGGCGCACTGGCTGTTGCTTGTCTTTGCCCATCACCTCCATCGTGAGGGGTCTTGCCATGACGGGAAAAGCCTTGCACATCAGCATACTGTGACCCAGTCAACTGCCGACTTGGAACAGAGCGAGATGTAGCATGCCGGACCTTGAGGTTGACTAGTTTAGTACAGGACTTGTGGTGATGTGGACGTAGGATGGGCTCAAGAATCTTGCATCTCGCGAACATCCGGTATACTCACTTTGGCCGGGAAACCGGGAGTAAAGGCTGAGACGTGGCCTACTTCAATACCGGGGGCTGTGTGAGAAGCTACGCTGATTACAGTCGTCGGTGAAACTATTCCATGCCGGACATGATGCGTGTCACTTACAGGCATCGAGCTACCACTGGTCGGACCGAAAACACTTTTCTTCTGTAGTTCCTGTGCGACGTGCGAAGGTGTTGTAGAGGTATCAGAGGCACGCAACGGTGAATCCCTAGGACCATACAGCGGCGAGCCTACGCATGCCTAGTCATGGTGTGCAGGTTGAGGCACCCAGCCTGAGCCAGTGGTCGGGGTCGGTGGAGTCCCCGGAGTTGCAATTTCAGTGGCGTCGTTGCATGGGACCGAAATTGGACTCGCCGCCAAAGCGGTGTCGTTCACTCGTGGGGATTTGAACGCGCAGATGAGGGCCTCCAGACGGACGGATTGTTCGTTCAGTGCATCATTGCGATTCTTGCGCTTGGCTTGGTACCAGACTCCGCATCGCGTTCCTACGACCAGTTCCGTAGAAGGTGATAAAATCCATCCCGGCTTTATTGTATTTTCCTAGACAACATATGGGGCGTTTGACCCGGGATATAGGGTCAATTTACCATACCTGCCTTTAAATTTAGATACTTTGCCATCTATATATTCGGCACACCCAGGAGAACTCTGGAGCCCCGGTGTCTCCTCAATGCAAACAATCTTTTTCACCGCAGACACCCTCCCGGCTTTGAGATTCTTTAGGGCAATTTCCACCCCCTCCAACCCCGCAGCCACCACCTCATAAGGATGCCCGCTGAACCATCCCTCATGCAACCCCTCGGCCATGTACCGCCACATAACGTACGCAGAATCGGCATTCTCGGCGAACACCAAAAAGACATCGGAGTATCCGGCCTCTACGCCGTCTAGCACCTTCCCTCGGCAGGTTGCAAGTAGACGTACATGCTGGGGAGCCGCGCAGTGAGTGGACCCGGGCACCTAACGGCACCTTTGATTTTAGTGTAACAGTACCTCCTAATACGAGAGGAGATGTGTGTATGCCTTTGACGTCTGCTGCTGGTGAAGACCAAGTGAGCGCATTGAACAGGGCGCGGTTTATCCGCCGGGACGGGGATTGCGCCATGCGTACGTGTTCAAAAAGCTTCGTAGGCCAGCGAGTGGGATCTTTTAGTCTTCGCTTGCGATTCACTAGCCTATTTTGGTGATCAGGGCCTCGTGGTTCTATTGGTGGGTGCTTAGTATCTCTTCCACCTGAAGCTTGATCTAAGACTATTGTATAATATCCAATATATATTCTTTTTTAATAACATGATAGACATGGTTAGGGGATATTCACAACAACAGGCTGCCTAATTGCAATATTATAGGTATAAAGGTCCTTGGCCTTTCTGAGCTTTGCATGTAGTGTAAGAGGTTGTTATAATAGTCTTATTCTAAGAATAAGGATAAAGAAGTAGATTAATACTAAAGGTTAGAATTAACCCTTTATAAGTAGAGAAAATCCTCTATAGCCTTAGTTAGCCTGCAGGCTTCTTTGTTAGGCGCGGGATGCGACACGCAAGGTACTTTTGCCAATACTTTCTATTCATGTTTCGTAGTGTTAAGGGCAAATAAGAAGGCCGAAGATTCAGGACAAGGAAGGCAAGATCAGGCAGGGCAGGACCAGGGAGAACAGGATCAAGATCATGAACGCATAGAGGAATATTGTCGATCATGGTTCCATTAGACTAACGTCTCCGTAACGCCCGACCAACCCACATTGCAATGGTGATTAGAATTGGTATGGAAGCGAGCACAACCACGTTCTGATATTGCACCTGAGAGATCCGTGTTGAAAGAAAGTTCACCCTATCAGCCATATCCATCGTATCTCTGTGGCCTGGCCCGAGCGCACGTCTGTAAGCCTGGTGCGCCCTGGAATAGGCTGTTTTGGCTCTCTTCAGGCTTCCACGCGTTTCATAGAGTTCTGCCATTCGAGCCTCGATTCGAATCGCGTATATATGCTCTGAGCCAAGAGACAGCTCTAAGCCCCGTAGAGCATTGGTATATACTCGCTCCGCCTCATCAATCTTCCCCTCCTGGCCCAAGAGTTTCGCATATTCACCTAGTGCGCGGGATATAAAAGGGTGGTTGGGAGCTAATGTCTCTTCCACGGTTGTTATGACCCGTGTATAGCTCTGCGTTGCCCCTTCTATGTCACCCTGCTCACGAAGCACATTTGCCAGGCAAAGAAGGGATTCCATCGTACTGATGTGACTGGGACCCAGGGTATGTTCTAGTCCCGATAGTGCCTCTCGACACATTCTTGCCGCGTCCTGCATTCTGCCCATCTGATAGTATAGAACTCCGAGATTATGAGTCGCCTCAAGAGGCAAAGTATGGTCCGGGCCAAGGGCTTGTGTGAGCCCCTGAAGAGACGTCTGGTGCATCTCCTCCGCTTCGGAGAATCGCCCTTGGTGTCTCCGGAGACAGCCCATGTTGTTTAATGTATCCAGAGTGAATTGATGATCGTACCCTACAGTCCTCCTTCTTCCCTCCAACGCGGCAGAAAGCCTATCATCGGCTTCTTCGAACTTCCCCTGATGGATGAGGGCAAAGCCGAGATTGTGGAGTGTCTCAAGGGTAGAAGGGTGATCACGGCCCAACAAGTGCCTGGCGGTACTTGTAGCCTGGCGTAAAGTCTTTTCCGCTTCGAAAAACCTCCCCTGTTCAAAGTGCAAAATACCGAGGTTGTTCATTACGTCAATAGTTGACGTAGGCGTAGAAGACGACGTAGCTCTGTAACCGTCCGCAGCTCTGGTGTACATTGACTCCGCCTCCCTATACTTGCCCTGTGCTCTATAGACAGTGCCTAAATTCACAACAACATCAAGAGTTGAAGTATGATTGCGGCCAGCCACTCGTTCATACCCATTTTTCGCTTCGAGAAAGCACCCTTCAGCATCGCCGTACTTTCCTAGAGTAAAGTGCAAGTTCCCCAAGTTGTTCACAATATCCAGCGAAAGTGTAGGATAGAGTCCAGACAGTTCCCTTGCCCCTTCCAGTGCCTTGGAGTATGTTCTTTCAGCATCCCCTAATCGACCCTGCATCATGTACACAGTCCCTAGCATGTCCATAGTCCGGAATACAGACGCATGATTCGTGCCCAGTGATCGCTGCCGGCCTGCTAAAGAGTATAGGAACTTCTTTTCTGCTTCTTCATATTTTCCCTGGTTAGAATAAAGAAGCCCCAGATTGTCAATGGCATTAAAGGTTGCTGAGTGGTCGGGGGCCAGCTGTTCCAAATCCTCGAGGATTTTTAGGTATCTTTTTTCAGCCTTGGCAAAGTCTCCCTGTTTCAGATATACTAGCCCAAGGTTATTCATCGTGTCAGTGATTGCGAGGCTTGAATGAAGGCCACGGGGGGAGTAACTGCTTAGGACGTTTTCATAGAGTTCCTGTGCCTTCAGCAAGTTGCCCAAATCTAGATAAACGTTCGCCAGCTTATTCATGGTATCCATGGTGGAGGTATGGCTCACGCCCAGTACCCTCCTCCTCCCGTCTAATGCCTGCAGAAACTTGGCGATGGCTTCTTCCAGCTTGCCCTGTGCTGCATATAGCGCGCCTAAATGATGGATCGTAGTAAGAGTGGACGGGTTATTGGGCCCCAGTTCCTCCTCCCTTTGTCGTAGAACCTCAAAGTGGGCTACTTCTGCATCCGAAAACCTCCCTTGCGCGGAATACACCAACCCAAGGTTGTCAAGTGCATTCAAGGCAGAGGAGTCAGATGCGCCAACTGTTGCGTACCCGTCGAGAGCTTTCTTGTACATACATTCGGCCTGATCATACTTGCCACAGTAGAGGTAGAGATTCCCTATTTGGCGAGTTGCAGTGAGAGTCATAGATGACAGAGCCACTCCGGACTTTCCATCAAGCAGCCGGAAGAGCTGATCGGCATGAGGTAGTAATCGCTTCTGCAGAGCCCAAGTACTGGCGTCATTATCGGCTGGGACAGAGAAGCCAACAGAAACCAGTGCGATGGACACAAGCGAAATCTCGCTCTTCTGGAGTAAGTAATCCCTGCACCAATCATGTACCACAGGGTGCAGTGAGTAGCTATTTCCCGCATCACTCGATTCGACAAGGGAGAATTGCAGAAGCGCCTTCATGCATCGAGCAAATTCGAAGCGGCTTGATGAAATATCTTTAAGCCAAGACGGGATGTCTTGATCGGCACGCTGACCATTTTGCAAAAGCTCGTACCATATGTCGTGGTGGTTATAGCAGGATAGGAGCAGAAATAGACAAGCTGCTGAAGGCTCTTTCTGCTGGATCTCATCGAGAGCGAGTTTCCATGTTGTCATCAAGTTTCCACTCGAACAATCTTGTATCCATTCTGTCTTTTCCTGAAGATCGCGCCACGACTGGGAGTACATCTCCAGATAGTCATGTGGGCTTGTGCCAGTCTCTTCCATGTAGGACCTGGCAAGAACCAACGCCAATGGAAGGCCATCGAGGCGGCGGGAGAGCTCTACCAACTCCGAGTATGAGTCTGGGCGTGATCCTTTGTTAGCTGGATCAGCGGATGTAAGGGTGTCATAGATGATCCCACCTTTGCTTTCAATGCCCAGGTCAGATGTCCCAGCTAGTATTCGTAAGGAATCATCATTCTCTAGCTTACCCAGCCGAAACTCGGTTCCCAAGGTTCTCATATTGGAGGCTCGGGTGCAGAGAAGGATTGACCCGTGATCCGCCCGAGGGAAGAAATCTTGTACGTTGTAGCCGCCGTCCTTCTCCTCAACCCCGTCAAATACAAGCAACCAGCGGGAGTTGCCTTCTTTCGCGAGCCACGTCTGTGCCTCCAACGCATGTTCTTTTATTTCTTCATCAGTCGTGGGATAATCTCTCGCCTGGAGTCCAGGGCACCGTGGCCGAACGGTCGTTGCGAATGATTGGGATAGGGTTTCCTTATCCTTCGCATCAAGCCAAAAGATCGCGGTATAGTCCTCCTTGTGCGTCCGAGCAAAGTGAAGCGCCAGTTGCGTCTTCCCGATGCCGCCTAGTCCATGCATAACGACGACCTTTCTCCAACTCGGACTTTGGGGCTGTAGCAGCGACCATAATTTTTCCAGATCCTTTCTGCGCCCCACGAATTTGGCAATGACCGGCACAGTTCCCAAGTCAAAGTTGACCTTGAACTCAGCATCTGAATGTGGCACGTTAATGTTCATCTCACTCAGCCGTACAAAGGAGCAACGTACCATGCGTGTGTATTGTGTCGGGCAGAACGGATAAAAGGTCTTTTGCGTATGCCGCTGCGGCTGCGGCGGCGTGTTCTTGCCATTCCTTGTTCTTGTGAGAATCACAATAGTCACAGATCCCACGGATTGTCAGGCAAGGAAAGTGGTCCACCAGCCCCGCAGCTTCCATTTCAAAACAATAAACCCCTAAATCCTCAGCCAGCTTGTCTCTGGTGGGACCATCTTTGATAACTCGATTCCCCGATGCAATCAGGCCGTAATGGACCACCGCTGGGTGGTGGAGAGGCCGTTCGTGTCGCACAACCAGTTCGTCGCTCTTACATTCGGAACAGGTTGCTGATGCGCCTGTATGTTCGTACGTTGGCTGAAAAAGCCTATCCTTGGCAGGCCCCGGGTGACTAAATCGAGTCATAGTCGGGTTTCTTACAATGAGGTCCTCCAGGAATGTTTGAACCTGGCTCTCCCCCTGCGCATGCTTTGCCCTCAGAGTCGCGACAGCCGTCAGTAGACGCGGTGGCGGCTTGTTCAACATCCCGGTACGTTGCGCTTTCCCCCCTGACAAAATCTTCCCATAGTCATATTGCACGACGCCGCCTTCAGTGCCTGTGGGATGACCGACCACAATATCTCCCAACCGAATATCAACTCCTTTTTGTGGAGCTCCGCCAGCAATTCCCACCATCAAGCCGTACACGATGTTTGGGAACGACCTGCGCATGTTGGACGCGACCGCAGCCGCCGAGGTGGTGCCGTAGACGCCCGAGGGCAAGCAAACGATAACAACGTTATGGCCGCACATCTGCCCGAGCTGGTAAACGTTGTCGTCCCCGGCCACTGATTGCAAAGGATCGTGTCGCTCGTCCAGCATAGCGACCGCAGCAGCCATCTCCAGAGGCAGTGCGCTCACCCAACCCACCGTGTAGTCTTCACGTCGCTTCTTTGTGGCAAACATTCTTCCCATATCTGCGCTCCTAGGCACTGATCTTTTCCTTTGTCGAGTTCTTCTGGGCTGTCAAGTTGGTTATTTGCGGGGATTGAGTAGGAGGTTTTGCACTTCTGATCGACAGACCACTCGGCACTCGCTAAGAGCACACAGCTCACGCAGCTGAAGGCAGTTTCGCTTCGCGGCGCAATAAGCCCAGTGGCGAGTCCTGAATTGGACTCATCATCGTCTTGAAGCGGTGCACAGGACGCTCTGCATGATCGCCAACCTCAGCGCTACACGTTTGCGCCCCATTGGCCTGTACATGGCTGACATGCATGAGCGCCGGGCGCCGGTCGATTGCCTTTTTCTTTCTTTTCTTTTTTTTTTTCAGCAGCTACTACAGGAACCTTTATCATCCCCATATTGCCAGAACGAGAACTACCTGCAGGCCGTCAGGCTGAGCTCGACCAACCATTTGGGTACCCGGGCAACAGCTGCATACCGTCAAGTGAGGCGGGGGTTGCACATTTCTTGCCCATCCACCGTCTATTGCGAGGATGGGTTCTTAGTTTGAGACAGGAGTGATTTGGAAAACCGGAAAGATGCTGCTAAAGTTCTGCTCGCTCTGAGTACGTAGCCTAAGTTCTGTCACAAATGGAAGACAAAAGATTTGGGCAGGAAATTTGTCGTTATATATTCTTCTTGGACAAACCCCAAGAGACCTAGGTTGGCCTGACTGTCGTACCCGTTACCCCTGACTGTCTTGGCTTCAAAGTCGGGTTGAATGAGATTGGCATTGTCATCACCCTGCTGCCCGAGTTTTCGTCCCATGGCAACACTCTGATACACGGTCGCTCCCGTTCGATCCGCTCCCCATTTGGACCAATTTCGACCAGTCGTTTCATCATATCCGGGTGCCTGACGTTGTCAGAAGCGATATCGGGCACATATACGGCAAAATTGCCGTTTCCGTAGGAAATGAATAATAGATTGAATGCGGTCGAGTCCAGATGAGAGTTGGTCAGGGAAGTGTCTAGTACGATCATCAGAGGACTTTTCCAGAGCCACTGGCAGGGATGATCAACCAAAACTCACCAGCATTCCAACGGCCGCTCCCAGTATCGGCCACCAAACAATGAATATGCTTGTCTCTGTGCTGATAATAGACTTTGAACGTGTCATATGTTTCGTTCACGGCGATGAAAGCACTGTCGGGTTCCCTGTCGACAGGAAAGGTTGAAAGACGATTGAGCCTGCCCTGTTGAAGCCGGACGCTTTCAAGGTGGCCAGCGCTGTTTTCGAAGATAAGGACAAACGTGGAGTCGTCGGTTTGAAGGCCTGCCAGCCTGCCTCCGGACGCGATGGAAAGGCTGCATTCTTCGATCTTTACCGGCCGGCAGGTCTCTAGAGATGTGCCTGTAAACTGCTGTAGGACTCCCGTGGAGTCGATACGGAAGATTGTGTGCTAGTACTTCAGTCAGTTTGGAACCGGGCAGAATCATGAGGAACATAATGAAACGCCGGGTTGCATCCTACAATCCCCTGAGTCTCGATGTGGAGTGATGGACGGGTTTGTGCGGTGGGATCAGCTTCGTGAGCGTGATGAAGATAATAATTATCAATAGCGAGATATCTTTCCATGTCACTAGCGGTCCGATATGAGGCATACTCGGAACCATTAAAGTCAACCAAAGAGCAACGATTAAGGTTGAATAGGATATCAGAATAGTTGTCTTCTCCCTCCATGGCTTTCGTCGTTGCGGCTGCAAGTAGTTGAGCTTTTTGGCGATAAAGGCTGAAATAGGCTTTTATCCCTCCAGGCATCCGGAGCAGTCTGCTAAGTGCTTTATAACCACATTTCCAGGCATTGGACGGACATAACGGGTCTTAATGAGAATTTTGACTGCCTGCAGTCTCACGCTTTGGCAGAGGCCATGCAAGGAAAGGCCCAATCACGAACCTCCCATGCGTTTGCTCGATGAGATGTGACGCACCGAGTTCTGGTTGGGCGAAGAGAAAAAAAGCAATACCCTACCGATTGACCTATTGCGCATCTGAAGACGCACTTTGGCGATGGCAAGCCATGATCCATCAAATCCTGACTTAAGCGAGCCGGTCGGCCGTTACACCTTTCTGTTCATCTTGACCAGAGTAAAAGAAAAAAAAAAAAAAAATTCCCTGAGTATGCGGCATCATCCACAACCTTGATGTGGGCTACTCGCTCCTTTATTTACCGTGTGAAAGAAAAAGAATGGAGGGAAAGAGGCTTGGCCGGTCCGGGGATCAAGGCGAGCCCAAACAGGCGGATGACTTGTACCACCCCGCTCTCTCCATAACTGACTAGTTAGTTGCTCGTAAGCCAGAACAAGGATGATCTTCCCTCACCCGACAAAGCAAATAACCTACAGTTGCATCTCCATCATGCGTGAAACAGGAACCAGTGTCAAGGAATATCTACAATTCTACCAAAGTACATGGTCTGAATTGCAATCTCAGGCCAGCGCCTACACGTTAGTACCAGCAAGGCAACATCCTTAGAACATGGATAATCATGTATTAAAAAATTAAGAAACATGACCCTACTACTATACTACTACTACCCTTGTTTGCTTTCTTTAGTAACTAAGATCTTTAGTATAAAATAATTTAGGGTAGTCAGAACTATTCCTCTGTAAGCGGCGAGGTCGGATCAGTGGCAGCTGCCACTCGGTCTTCACCCGCGGCGATGTCCTTGCAAGCAACGAGACGTCAGGCTAAGAAGGAAGTACGAAAGAGGAAGGAGAAGCTGTATGTTAATTGATCCAGAAACGACTCGCTGGGGATCAGGAAGACCAGCGATTCCAGGAGGATATCTATAGATAGTGATACTAAAAGAATTATTCAGGATCTAGCCAAAAGAGGTTAAGCCAAATGAGGTTGGAAAGCGGCGGTCGCACGGTCTCCTGTCGGGGCTGCTTGCGGCACCCACTGTGACAACGAACCGCACATTCTGAGAGTTCAGCATTGTTCCCCCATCCCAATGATCTCCTCTTTTTTTTTTTCCTGAACCTTATTCTCTTCTTTACTGTATGAGTGCGTCTATCCGATCAGGGTTCGCAGGTGCTCCCATGGGCCGCTCCTGTGGCGCAGGGGCAAATCCGAGTGAGCAAGACTGGGAGCGCCAAGCGTTTGCGCGCATTACTGTGAGCAATAGAGCCAACCGACTCCCAGCTTTCAGACCGTCTGCTGAGTGCTAACGAAAGTCTCCCAACAGAACTGGTACAAGTGGTTCCGTCGGCAGTACCCCGTCGAAATGGTGGGCAACATCGACGTCGCCAATGAAATCTTAAACTTCGATTTTGAGATGGTCGACGAGCCCAACACCCGGGATGCTGTGTGGCTTGAAGCACTCCAGCGCAAGCGGTATTGCTGTCCAGCGCCTGGAAATCAATGTCAGAGGATTTATACTCAGCATCCGCCTAGGCTGTTTCCTTGATATGTACAGGGAGATGCAGCCCTGTAGTGGAAGGGGTCTGCTACCATCATTAGCGCCAGGCAATATATACATTATACATACTATAAGTACCTTCTGCGAGCTTTGTACACCGTTTCCACCCTGCAAGGCACGGAATAGACTGATCTATCGATCATATCCTGCGGGATACATACCGCGCCATGAGCTTAATGAAACAACCTCAAGAGGGATTAATTGCTTATTATCTCGAGTACAAAGTTTGATTTCGTTATATCTCTCCATCGATAATATCCAGAATCTGTATTTTCTCAAGAACCGGCCCCAGGCCTGCTATCACAGCCTGATGCGCAGGATCCCGCGAAGAATAGTAATCGCGATCGGCCTCGCTATTAAATTCCAGGATAAATTGATGTGTAAAGCCGTTCTAGGTTATCGACATTTGTCAGCATCTCCCATGGGTGGAAGGTGGAACGGCTCGTAGGTAGGTAGGTAGGTGGCAGGACTCACATTAAGTGGCTCGGGAGAGACATCCTTGCCCACTTTGATGGATTGGATGTATGGCTGCCCTGTCTCTCGGCTTAGACAGTTGACTTTCATTGCGCGAACTTTCTCTAGGGTCTTGATGTAGCAGATATTCACTGTTAGTGGCTCGCGCTGGGTGGCTTTTGACGTGGGGACATCAGCAACCACACGTACGGTTCTCCTCGTGTCAGCGTCAACGCCGTCTTTGAATTGAATCTGGACGACACGTGTAATCGGTGGCATTCTTTTTTTTTGTTTATTGTCAAGATATTGGGGGCGAGGACGGAGTAGTAGGAGGGCGAGCGTGATGAGAAGTATGTATGACTTGGGACTTGTTTGGAGGGAAACCCGCGTATAAATGCAGCAGGCTCTTTGATAGATGCCCTGCCCATATTAATTGGAAGCGAAGGGTTTATATGCCTCGCTACCTTGCTATACTATTAGTGATTAGTAATTAGTGAAAGATGAGAAATCTTTTAAATAGAGATCATAATCGACTGCGGCAGTAGAGAATAAATTACAAATCATAAACTGGGAATTTGCTGGGCAGAGTCTCAGAGCACAGTCAATCTCGTAATGTATGGTGCATCTATCTCAGCCACTGTAGGGCCCGCCTTCACCACTGGTTTCCGCTTTTCAGTCCAAACAAGCAATAACAAGGAACTAATTCTTCCCATTCTGCATTGATATCTCAAAGCCTAGAGATACATCGTTCCAGATAGGTCTCGCATTTGTGACCCACGTCCTAACTCGCGGGGTCTCTACGGCTGTCCGTCCTTGACGCGAGACAGTCCGAGAGCACATGATTTTGAGGGGAAAAGAAAGAGGCTGTGGAGATGGAGCTTCTTTCCTGGTAATAGAGTCGCTTTATTCGTACGACTATTGCCAAAGTCTGGTGGGGTTCAAGATGGGCTTGGGATAACAGTCGAGGTCTCCGGAGGTGAAGAGGAGCGGTCTCGTTTCCAGTATGAAGGATGATCATTGGGCTTAAACTAACGAGCTGTATACCTACTCCGGAGTAGTGCTTATCAGTATCCGCCTATGGACGGCAGCCTTATAAATAGCATCTCCACATTTACTCGAGGAAAATCAGCCGCAGGATGCGGGCTCCGATGAAGTTGCGGGCAAAAGTGGATCCATCCAACGTTGTCCCATTGATGCCTGCAGTCCTCGTCGACCTTTTTGCGACTATATAGACGCTGTAAAATCCCACCATTCATCCCATATTTTATTTCCCTACTCGCGACATTCACACCAAACACCAGCCTATATCCATACCAAAATCCCGTCTCAGAATGACAATCACCGAAATCCTCCTCCCAGTCCTCAAAGGAGACCCCCAGTCCATATCGGCATTCAGCTCGCACGCCTCGCAAATATCCTCGCACTTGGTCGGTACCCCGGGCCTTCAGTTGTTCTGGCATGGCGCGGTTCTCTTCGACGCAGGGAACCCCGTTGCCCCAGATTCCGGGCGCGCGGCATTGCTTATTGGTGAGGGGACCCAATTTGACTTGTGACTTCATCATGAACAAACCACATTTGAAAGATCGACATGGTGGAACCTTTGTGCCGCCTGATTTTGATTGATGAAAGCCTGCTGACACATTTCCACCGGGTCGCAATGTAGAATGGGACACGCTCTCCTCCTTCCACGCATTCTACCCTCATTCGCCAGCGTTCCAGGCGTTCGGCGGAATTATGAAGCCGTACGCCGCGAGACCCGACGCACCGAAGCTTTTCCAAGCGGTTACATCAGCGAAGGACACTGGCTCCGCGCCGATTACGCAGATCATCAAGGCTCGACACGGGCCTGATACAGAGCGTCTGTGGACGCGGCTGCAGACGGCTCTTTTGAGCGACGAGAAGAATTCGGACACGGTCGGCAAGCCGGTATTTGCGCATGCGCTGGGGGTTGAAGAGCAGGAGGGGGCGTTTTTGGGGACAATTGGGTGGAAGGACTTGGTGGTGAGCTGGATGCGCTTTTTGGTTCTTTTTTGGTCGCCATGCTGACATGTAATATGATTTATAGGACTATAGCCGGACCAGATCGGATGAGACTGTTCAGGGCATCTTGGGCGAACTAAAAGGCGGTGATGAAAGTGCGCTTGATCTTGTGGTACGGTTGGAGAAAGTGCAGGTTGAATAGCTTGTGTGTCCATTATGTGGTGGAACAAATTATAATCGAAAGGACGCAAGGGTGGGCGGAGAAAGAAGATATGTACGTTACAATGAATAATCGCAACTCGCCAGATTAGAATTCGGACCCTACATAGTTTATAGACTGGCTTCTTCGTGGCCACTGTTCGCGTTCAAGGCAACTCACTCTTGGTCGGGTGGGAGAGTGTCTGCGACCAACCAGTACCACGTGAGGGCATGGATATTAGGTCCATGGGCAAAGGGAGAAGTGAAGGTAGACAATCATCCGAAATAAGAATGTAGATTCACTCCAGCCTCTTGAGCAATAGGCCATGTTGAATCATAAGGCACCCTCTTTTGCGAAAATTAATACATACATCGCGCGATTTCATAATACTAATTGGGCGTCTCTATACAACACATAGATCAAGGTCCTAGATAACTGATAATCAAGGACCAAAGTATAAGATGGGAGATAGAAAGAAAGCCCCACCAAAATTCCAGCTATAGCACTCTTAGACAGCATCAGGGAAAGTGCGGGGATTTGCCTGAGTAATATACGACCCGGGAAGCAAGGTGGCGCTTCCGGGTCCCGTGATGAGGTCATAAGAAATGTGGCGCCGGCCGCAGAGAATGGCAAGAAGGGTGGCATCAACAAGTCCCTCTAGTCTCTGGTGGTTTTCTGGCAAAGGAGGCGTTCCCTCGGCATCATCAGGCTGTTTGGCAGGCTCTGAAGCATCTTGAGGCATAGGGCATGCAAAACTTGTTCTTTCAGTCTCCACATCGAACTTCCTCAATTGGTCATCATCATCGTGGTCATCATCACTAGGCTCAATGTCACCGCTCTGCGTGGGGATCTCAAACCCCCAACGGTCAAAGCGGCAAAAGGGATGATAAATATCTAACTTGTTTGTTCCCAGGAGGGATTTCGGTAAATGGTCCTTGTAGAACTGTTTCCGTAATTGGGGGAGGCTGTTGATACTCCGTAGATTCCGTTGCCATTCTTCTTCGTCGTAATGGCTTTTCTTGCGCTTCTTGCGTTCACGAAGCGTGAGCTTGCTGCGTACTTCCTCCCGGGATAAAGTGACCGTGAAATCCATTTCGAATCTATCTGATTGGGCCATAAGGCACTTCAAAGCATCCCTCTTACCTTCCTTGACGGTGTAAAAAGTGGGATTGCGAGCGCCAAGGCAAGGTAATATCATGAATCTTGTATCATAATTCTGAAGCCAGAGTAATGCAGCCCTCAAAGCATCTTCGTGACGGTCGGCATGGTTTATGTATCTCCAGAACCTGTTGGGTAAATTGAACCCTGATGATGCACAAGAGGATGCACTTCCCAATACCCAAAGCTCTATTGGCGAGTAAGGAGTCCCATGGGACCAGAGTCTAGTCTCCGCCAGATTGGTCAATGTCGAAGACACAGAAATGCTTTGTTCCAGCACTTCCAGGATTGCAGGATAACTTAATCGAACCGACCGCCCAATTATTGCGCTTAGTGTGGATGAGGGAACAACTGGGGTTTGCGCATCAGGGCTCAACTCTAGTAATACCCTGAGCACATGTGGCTGGTTCAGCATAGCCGCCCGTAGTCGCGGGCATCCTTTACCCGTAGGCCTGGTCCCCAAGTATGTATTCCCGGTATACGCTGAAGCATCTGCATCAATCTCGGCTCCAGCGACGATTAACAGCACGGCAGCGTTGCGTATTTCGCAACCTAGATCATCGAGGTTCCCCAAAAAATGGAGTGCGTTCTCCCCGTCGTTGTTAGTAATTTTAGCGTCTGCATGGCGCTGAACAAGAGCTGCTAGCATTTTATAATCACCGGATCGTGCTGCACATAATAGAGGCGTATCCCCCTATGCATTTTGGCCGTTCAGCACGTTCCTGGTGAGCCAAGGGTCGCCAGGTGCTGGTCATTTCCAGCACATTGGTTTGCGAGTACAGCCCTGCAACCGCAGTGAGAAATGCCAGGAAATCCTATTTCTCCTCCTTGCTCATGCAATTGTCTGTTGTCCATTTCGAGAGCCGTGTGGTCGTTCTCCGACCGAACGAAATTGATATATCCAAGATCTCAGACATTATCTTTTCGTTCTTGTCAAGATCAAGGAGGAATTTCTCTCGAGGACTGACTGGAAATTCTCTTGGAAAAGACTGACAGCCAGACAGGCAGGACGCACGCGATCTCAAAACGCGCTAAATTGACAAGGATTATTGTTTGGTTTGCCCTTCGAGCTGCTGTTTCGTGCTGCCCCTGAATATGTTGCTGAGGAATCACAACAACGAATACATATCCAATTGTGCACTATTTCTTTTAAACGTCTATGTTATTGTCTTTGTGGCCTACGTTGTGTCGTGCCGCTCCCTCATCACTCGACCAATTTTGCGACGCCATAACCAGTGACCATGTCTGGCATGGAGGCTTTGCGGGCCGCGTCAGCCATTGTTGGCATTGTTGGAGTCGTAAAGACTGGCATCGATTTGCTCGACATTGCCTCTTCTGCACGCAGTGCCGAGAGCAGTATTGAGGACCTGCTGGTACACTTGCAATGGCAACGAATCCGCTTTTATTGTTGGATCGAAGAGTCGGGATTCACGCAGGTTATGCTCCGAGACGACAAGTCCCCTGTAAGGGAAACAGCACAGGTCACAAACTTGCTACCAGATGAGCTACGCCTCCCGCACGTGTTGTCGCACATAGCTCGATCAATTGAAAACATGAATTTACGGCTGAAGGGCTGTGGATCTCTTCTCCAGAGATATTCAGCCACCTATGCTGACTCAGGTCCTGAGCGCTGGAAAGAGAAGCTGCGAAGATGACTTCATCCAGCCGATCAGGGGAGTATCGATCGGTATATAGTCGCACCCGCGTTGGGTGCCCTACCTCATGGCAGCTGTACTTAAATATATACAGCTGACCAATCTGAAACAGAATACATGGTTCGTGATGCAATCACTAGATTGAATCTATCCAACTCCGCATACCTCAGGATTATGCCGTCGTTGCCCAGCATCTCCATCGGCGCCATTTCACGGTAGCCTCGCAGGCAACAGGCACCTTTCTGACAAGCTACCCTGTTGGAAAAAAAATGCATTCGCCTTGATTACCCTGAGGTTGATATTGTAGTACTGGATATAAAATCCATTTCAGGCATCAAGATTCAGGTGTTGATCTGTGGAGCGGCTCTCTGCACCATCCCCACTCTGATCCTTGAAACTTGGGGCAAACTGTCCGAGCCTTGGAATCCTGCAGCCTTAACCAGATCCCAGCAACTATAAAGCTCCGACTCCCGTACCGAGAATACCAAACCTCGACTAATCTTCATCTCAGACTAATCTAAATCAGGGTATACCCGTCAATCCGACAATTGATCCTTCGTCAAAAACACAATGTCCACCGCATCACCATCCTCATCCTACACCCTAGTCCCCTTCTCCCCCTCTCGCATCCCACAAACCGCCGAGCTCCTCTTCACCTCAAAGCTCGGCCTAACAATCAACCGCCTTCTCTTCAAGAACTGGCCCAACGAAGAAATCCAGCGCCGGAATTATACCGCTGTTCTAGAGGGTCAGCCTCGTTCAGGGAGTGAGGCGTTGAGTGTGCTTGATGAGGTCTCTGGGGAGGTTTTGGGGCATTTGAGTATTACGAGGAAGAGGCCTCTTCAGGAGAAGAAGGACAATATAGAGGAGGAGAAGGCTGGTGAAGGGAAGCAGGAGGTGCCGGATTTCTTCAATCCAGAGGTCCTCGCGGCTGTCCAGTCGGCTGTTGGCGAGCTTTCCAGTTGGTTAGACGGTGTTGATCATCTTGGTACATTGCCCATCACGCCCCCAACTGCGTAAACCGCAGAGCATACTAACGATGATTCAGAAATCACATACATAATCGTCGCCCCAGCCCACCGCAACCATGGAATCGGCAGGATGCTCATGGAATACGTCTTGGACAAGGCAAAATCCCTCAATATCCCCGTCTCCCTCTCCTCAGAGCCGCAAGTATATGCATTCTTCAAGAAATGGGGGTTTCAGGATACGAAGCATGTGGACTTTGATCTTGCGGAGTGGGCCCCCCCGCATTCTGGGTTTGGGATCTTTAGGCTTGCGGGGCTGATTTGGTATCCTTGATTTGAGCGTGCGTGAGCAGGGAACAAAGAGTAGAGTTTTGTTGGGGTGTGCTGAGAGTGCGACTGGGCAGTTTCTCGTCCCTTAAGAGCAGTGTCTTTGTCTGCGTGCCTATATTATGAAAAGAATTTTCGCCAGAGGATAAGCTGGCCATTTTGCTAGACAATCCCTCTAGATCAGAACCTCTGACTCAACTCATATCCATCCCCTCCCCTACCTCTCCCCGCCAGCCCACACCGACCCAATGCGCTGACCAAACAAAGGTCTTTGTACAGTACATAGGTTTCAGGTCCGCTTCATCTATCCCGAAATCGATAGGTATCCAAATAAATATATAGCTTGATAAATACGATGATAATGATGATGATGATTTTATTTCCCCCGACTCCTTGCGAAAGCGATAAGAGGATAAATACTATAATAGATAGTTGTCACAGTGGAGGCCCCAGGCCGCTCCGATAGAAGGCCGCAACCTCTGGGCCTAACCTCTTGGTATTGCTGTACATAAAAGACCTCTGCAATCGCTGGTCTTCCTGATCCGTAGCGATTCGTTTCTGAATCGATTAGCATACAGCTTCTCCTTCCTCTTTCGTACATCCTACGTAGCCTGACGTCTCGTTGCTTGCTAGGACCTCGCCGCGGGTGAAGACCGACTGGCAACCGCCACCGATCCGACCTCGCCGCTTACACTAACCATGACTAGTTATTATACTAGTTGGACATTAAGCAACCTAAGTAAGTTAATCTATTATCAGGGCTTAGGTCAAGATAATCCCAAGGTTTAGGAAGGCTTGAGAGGTCAACCTTCTATAACATTTTACTACTATATTTTTATAGTTTTAATAAATTAATACTAGCTAGATAGCTTCACTTTCCTTTTTTAGTATTAAAGGGGGCCATGTTAGAAGTCTAGTCCTTTATCTTCTAAAAGGGGTTTAGTGCCTTATATATAGCCTTTTTCTTTATAGGAAGGAGGTTTTTCTAGTAATTTCTTCCTTCTTTATTGCTTATTAGCTAGATAGCTCAATGCATCATCTTTCTGTCATAGCCACTTTTATCACGACTTGGTGACAAAATTGCCAATGGACTACTCTACTCGATTGGAAAGCATGCGTAACAGCTTTAAAATCGACAACAATGACAGTAAGTACCTCGTCTCCACCTAGCCATGCCTTGTGCATCCTCCCTTTTGCCATATCTGTTTGAGCTTTGGAAATAAAGTGCAACTAAGACTCTTTCAGGGAACCCACTAAACCCAACATCAATCTATGTTCTTCCTGCTCTTGACTTTCTACATACAGAGGCTCATTTTGCTTATACCGGTGCGAATCCCGTCGCAGTTCCTGGATACTCTGCTGACTTGAATTAACAAGATCTACAAAGCAAGTCCATTATGCGTAGTGTTGAGGATGAATTAATCCTTGCTAACTTTGAAGAAGCAGAAAAATCCAAGGCCAAGCCCCCGTAAAGTATCTGGCAATTGGATTATTTACCATTCTCAAGCCCTTGGCATTCTCAAATGGCCGTCCAATACTGGCGGAATCTGGCGACCCTCGCTTTTTCTCGAATCTGGGTATGAAACGGGAGGACGTCCTGCCCCTAATCTACCAAGCGCCCGAAGTTACGCACACCCTGGAATCACAAGATCAATATTTGCAATTGAGAAGTCCTGGTATGTATTTAAACTAGTAGTGCAAGGTCTGTGATTTACCATGGCCAATCCCTTTACCAGCCTGAGATCTTTTGAGCTCGGTCATCTTTTCTATGCCCAGGCTTCAGTTGAGAACGATTCGGACAGTCATCACCTCGCTGAGATGGTAGTCATCCTCGGGCCACCGCCGGCAGGGATAATCCAAAAGAGCGATTGTGCGACCAATTCCTTGGATCAACAAGGTATAATTCCTGAAAACACCCCCGGGCTCGGTTTCTCCATATTGATGTGGCTGAATAGCGAAACAAACAGGGAACTGGACAAGTTCTACTGAGATTCCTCCCATTTCCTTAGAGAAACTGGAAGCGAATATGCAGGGCAAAGGCTGAGACCTGTTTCTCCGCTTCATGCGCAAATTGTTACATCCCAGGTAGTGATGAAAACATAGATTATCAAGTGAGGGAGGATTGGAGAACAAAGTGAACAAAAGGAGACATGGAATATAACAAGAGCTCTTTCTTTTTTATCTAGATTGATATCCGCATATTGGCAAACATCCTTTAGTCAGGTCCATTGAACCGAGGGTCTGTGCTACGATTTCTCAATTATATAAAATTGCCGATGACACAAAAACTATGAACTACTCCGTACTGGGGGCCAAAGGGACTCCTCTCGGCTCCCGAGGTCAATGATCAGTAATCAATCTCAACTCCGACATTTGGTCCCAGTTCCAATGAATTATACCTAGTTTCTATTATAGAGACCTGGGAACAATTTTGCAATTTCTATGTACCGTCACACTCTCGTACGCGATGACCTTTTCTTCCACAACGAGAGCACTCTCTCTTTTAGCGTCGTATCTGAAGTTCCGACCGGAGACGAGTCGAGCATGTTGTTTCTTGGCTGTACGGTGGGGTTGGGGAGTCTGTCGGGGCACGGCGAGCGTAGGTTCTCGATCCATCTGCTCGTCCCCCGATGGTGGCTGCAGGCCAATGATTGGAAGCTCCCTCCACTTTGGCAATTGCTTCAGCCAATACTAATCTTCATCTCAAAGATAAAGCAAGCTCAGCCTTGGCCATGTTCCTGGCGATGCGTCTATCGCCAGATCTGGCCTTTCGGCAGAAGTCCTGCCCCGACCAGGACCTGTCTAGGATGGTCTCGAATGGTCTAGACTCAACACCTGAAACTGACTGATATTGGACAGTAAATCACGCGGGTCAATCTTAATTTGCTTCTGGTTGGACCTCCAGGAAATTAAGGTTAGCAGGGATGAAAACCAATAACTTATAATCAATCCCACCCCAGATTCAAGGACTAAGCCTCACACCAATATCTTCGGTCTCTCACCCACCAGACCAAAATGGCAAAAGTCAGGAACCTTGTCAACAATATACCAAACAGCTTCCCAGAAGACCACCCTGTCTTTATGCTCGGTCTTTTACAATGGCACGAGCAGGCGCAATATCCAGAAGGAAATTCACACCCAGCTTGCACTGGCCGAGAAGCCTGGTTTGAGCGATTCGTTAAAGAAATCAGCAGACCCGCGATCGAGGCTGGCGACGTTGAAATTTTATACGAGGGTTTACCTACCTCCCGCGTTCTTGGAAACGAAACGTGGGATATGGTCGCTTTGGTGAAATTCACAAACATCAACATATTCCGCAACACTGTCGGCAGTGACGACTATGCACCGTCTATATTGGAACACCGTGACGCTGCACTGAAGAACTGGAACTTGCTTTTCTTCACTTCGCCGAAGTCCAGGTCCAGTGAATACTGTCAGTGAATACCCGAAGAGACGAGGGGTACGGATGCTAACCTTCTTCTGTGGAAAAGTCGAATATCGACCACGGAAATTTCGCTTAACTAGCAGCCTGCATCAAAGACAACAAAACGACCATATCTCTTAAGGATTCTTTGCGGAGGCTGAAGCTTGGACAGCTTGCACACCGCCAATCCCTACCGCTAGCCAGCACAACTATGAGATGATCCCTCGCCGCATTACTCCCCACTAGTGTACTGTTGCTCCTCCTATGAATATGGTTCTATTCCAGTATAAATATCTGGACCGTTCCTCAAGGCACCGGCCAGGAACCGCGCATACCTTTCACACATTCGTTTACATTCCATCATTGTTGCTCAGTCAGTGGGCTCACTCCGTCCAGTCTGCAACCACCCATTTCGAGAAACCCCCAATCAACAACTTCCTCTTAAGCAAAATGCTGTCTTTCAAAACCACCCTCCTCCTCCTAGCCACCCTAGCCACAGACCCACTCCTCATCTCCGCGACTCCAGTCCCCGACGCCTCGACCGAGACCGTCACCACCATCGCCGCCCCCAACACCTCCCTCGAAGAACGCGGAACAGGTATCTACCTCAAGGCCTACCACTCCGGCTCCTGCGACCGCGATATCGAAGCCGCCTCCGGCTGGGTATGGGCCGGCCAATGCAAGAACCTCGAGGCCGGCACCTACGGCGCGAAACCCAGCGACGTTGACTACCCGTGGCCGGAAAGCTGTGTGCTCAAGTTCTGGGAAAAGCCCAATTGCCATGGGAAGGCGGCGGTGCACCATGTTGCGGATTATGAGCACATCGGGAGTATTAATTGGGGACTTTTTGATGGCTGGTATAATTGTTTTCCCGTGGCGAATAAGAAGAGTAGTGGGTTTTATTTGGGCGGTGGGGCTGCGAGTGTGCTTATGACTTGTTGATCTGTTGACTTATGTGTCTAGGTCTCCTTTTTCTTGTTTTCTTGCGTTTTTCTTCTCCTTTTCCTCTTTTTCCCAACCTGTTGTATTTCTGTAGCCTTGCCCTCGAGGGCGGCAGGTGGTTGGCGATGCAGAGCAGAGCGAGTACTATTGCGTCGAAGAAGCTCGGGATAGCAGTCCAGTGCTCATAAAAAGACTAGTCTGTTCTCGTATCCTTGATGTTTCGCTGTTCAGAAGCCAGGCGGCTGGATACTTGATGTTTAGTAGTGTAATTATAGCGTCCGTCTTTGCTGGCGATGCCGCCCGGTGGTGTCAGTACTGAGGCCACCAATGCACGAAGTAGATATATTGGATGATCGAGGCCCCAGCCTCGCTCGACAAGCCAATAACCTCCAGTAAGGCATCCATAAGACTACTACTCTGTTAGACGGGGATCAAAGATACTGCCGCTAGAAAGACGAGCGACTTTTAAAAGGGGGTATTTTCGTATAGACTTCGTAGACAATGATCTGGTAAAAAGAAATATTGCGTGACTAGGAATATATCAAGTAAATAATATTTAACCGACTCTTATAAGCTTGAGAATCTGTTCTCGCAGAAAAGAAAAAGCAAACAACCAACCTGTCACTTCACGAAGACTTTATGGCCTCCGCAGCCTGGCAAACTCACAGTTAGCAAAGATTCAAAACGTAGTAAAGAAGAATGACGTGACTTACCTTCTCCGCAACAGCATAAACCGAACTCTGAATATGCGCCGCCGGCAACATCGGAAACACACTCGCATCAACAACCCTCAGCCCACGCACCCCATGCACCCGAAACTCCGTATCGACAACACCACCATTCTCCAGCTTCCCCACGGAGCAAGACCCCGACGGGTGAAACAGCGACTCGGCAGCGCCCCGGATATACGCCTCCAGATCCGTATCGGAGGACACGTCGGCGCCGGGAACGAGTTCCACGGGGTTGAATGCAGTAAGCTCTGGTGTGTGCGCGACGGCGCGTGCGAACTTGATTGCTTCGATGAGAATCGCGATGTCGATCGGGTTGCGGAGGAAGGCGGAGTCTGCGAGGGGGGCAGCCAGTGGATTCCCATCGGTCGACGAGGCCGCGGCGGGCCGCACGCTGCCTCGGGAGAAAGGGTGCTGCAGGCCAAGGACAAAGGTGCCGTCTGCCCAGAGGACTTCGATTTGGGCTTGGTTGGTCGCTGCGAGGCCCGCGGTTAGGAGTTTGTGCTGTGCGGCGTACCCGCGTTTGACGCTGGCCGGGGTATCGGCGTCAAGGTATGTGGAGGGGTCTTGGGCGTTGGCGAGTCTGTGTAGGGTGTCTCTTTGAGATGTAAAGCTGTCTGTGGATAAGAAGGCGAGAAAGTCGCCTGTTGCGTCGGCGTAGGGGCCTGTCTTGTGCGTGTTGTATAGATCTAGGGACTCTGCGGCAAATGTGGCGTTCGAGGTGAGATTTGCTGATGTCAGAGGGAAGTCGACTGGTTGTGGTTAGGGTATAAGGTATTATCGAAAGCTCCGGGGGAGTGCGGCTTCTCACAAGAAAAGACGACAGGGACATAGACATGGTCCTGGAGATTGCGACCGACGCCGGGAACTTTGGCCACGGTGGAAATGTTCAAAGGCGACAAGATGGCCGGGTCGCCGATTCCGGAAAGTTGCAAAAGCTGAGGCGTGTGGATAGCGCCAGCTGCTAGAATCGCTTCTTTGCTGACCTTGACGACAGTTGGGCTCTTGCATTTGGATGAGACAAACTATTGGAACTCAGTCAGTGCGACGTGTGCAGCTGGCAGGTCATTCATATACAAACCTCTACCCCTGTAACCGTGGGCCCCTGGGGAGTCTGCTTGGTTATGAGTCGACTGACTGTTCGCCCTGCAAGAAGACTAAGACGAGGTCGATGGGAGGCCGCTTCCCAATATCCCCTGCGGGCATCGCTTCGGGAGACCGTCAATGGATCTTGGTTATGAGGGCTGAAATACAGACCCACGGCATCCCCACTGGCAGCGTCCTTGGGAATACGAATACCGAGGCCTGTTAGGGCACTGATGAAGTGCTCTAGAGGCCGTGTAAGCAGACACCGGCATTGGAAAATCGGACTGAATGAACTGGTACGCACTTGTAGAAGGCCAGATCCAAGGAGCATAACTCGATTGAATGGGACCAGACGAGCCGTGAACAGATGGATCATAGGTTGCATTCCATTCAGCCTCAATCGCATCTTCCGGGGGAGTGAAAGTCTCACTCTGTGGAAAGTCGCTGTTAGCAAACCTTTCCACTCGTAACGCAAGAATGGCTGTTCTGTACCTTTTTAAAGTACGGGAGAAGATCTTTCCATCCCCAACCACGATTGCCGAGTGCTCTCCAGCGGTCATAATCAGCACTGGAGCCACGGTCAAACACCATGCGGTTCAGGAGACTGGAGCCGCCAACTGCCTTGCCCTGTGGAATCGAAGGAGCGCGGCCTGCTGCATCTGGGTTTGGCACATATGTCAAGTTCCAGTCGTATTTTGTGCCGATCGCACCACCAGCTAACCCGGGGATGACAATATAGTCTTCATCTTGATCACTGCGGCAGGAAAGGTTAGTTGGCGTACATAAGAGATAGTAATCCCACGTCATGCGGCCAATTACGTACAAGTCACCTGCTTCAATGACTAGAATACTGTTTTCTACAAAACATCACCAACAAATAAGCTGTAAGATCCGACGCTTGATGCTAGGCTGCTAAGCTGCTTACTAGGATTCTCCGACAGACGGTTAGCCACAGTCAGACCCGAAACCCCTCCACCAACAATCACATAGTCGTAGGAAGAGCGCAACTGAGCCTCGCTGGTGAGAACTTTGCCATGGGACGCCGATACTGCGAGAACGGGCGATCCGAGTCCGATCCCTAAGATCAGGCGGGCAATGCAGGCTGTCCACGTAGAACGCATGGTTGGTCGGGATGAGTTGGTACCTGAACGGAAGAGAATGGATGGTGCGGCTCCCTCCTTAAAATGTCGTCTTAGGCCATCAGCCAAACAAGAGGCGAACGGGAATAAGCGAAATTATGAAACACCAACTGAAAAGTGGATTGTACAAGGGTTCACTCTAGTCAAGCTCCTAATTGGTAAACCCACGTGCTAGTCAATTCATCGTCAATTGTCATAGGGTGCTAGCAGTTTAGCTATTGCGCCACATACGGCTTTACCTATTCTAGGACGGAGGGCGTTCCTAGCTCTTATTATCAAGCCGCAATCTCCCACGTTTTTATCTCTCCGACCCGGATTTGCTGCGGCCGTCAAGTTCTACTTGTTTCTATGTTTTCCAGAGGACGGGAAATTGAGGTTAGAGTTAAACTGAGATCATCAACCACTATCCGGCCGATAATTACACGTACGCTGATGACCGAGGGTATTCGGATCCCCGGTGGCGGCGCTTTATCCAACTTCTCGGCCTCAGCTGCTGCTGCCAGCACTGCCTACGTCTCGTCGTCCACAGCGTCGTCCAATATTACACTTGTGACCCCGACGATCCGCTGGGCCATCGCTGCGAACCCAACTTCTTGGCTTCTATCACGGTGTAGTGTGGGATCCGGTTGTTACGCTTCGCACTCATTGGGGTTTGGCTATAATTGCGGGGTTGATGATTCCTGTTGCTGTTGGTTACGAGGGTCAGCGGCTGCTATGGTTGGATCTAGATGGACTGTATGTTTCGATGTTACCATAATGTATTTATCCCTCCCAATTAGAGACGATGATGGTCTTGGAATTAGAAACTTACGAATAAGGTGCGGCTCTTCCATGCAACATCAGAACTTGATTACACTATCTAATTTCACATAACTATATATAATAGCACACTTGGGCCAGGAAAGGTAAGGCTTGTTATATTTATTAGAGCGTATTTTATTAAGAATTGGTTGCCGTTTGATAATACAACTTCTGCTCTCTCTTTACGAATAATGATTCTAGTCTGTCTCTTCTCTATTGCTCTTTCTACAGGAGACGGTACATAAAAATCCCATAACCTAACAGATGAAGATTAGTTATGTCGGGCTTGTTGCTCTTACATAAACGTGTCTGCGTTCTCCATAGCATTGGCTGACCTCTGGGCTTGCAGGGGTTCTCATTTTCACAAGCACAGCCAAGCCCGAGCTGTGGGCTTTGATAGGCGCAGTTTCAGCCAAAGAGGAGTTTGACCCATTAAGAATGTCAACAATAAATGCCCAGGTGCTGCGGCGACTACGTAGGTGATCACGGTTCCCCAACCCTGTCCCTGCTGTTGAGTCAGGGTCCCCCTCGCCCCTCCCGAATACATTAATTTTAATGTTTACGAACGTCCCCGTGGCTCCCGAGTCTTTTCAAGAAGGCTAGAGCCCCACTCGGTTTCTCTTAGATTCTCCGTCCCATCTTCCTTCTCTGGGCGATGTGAATGCCCGCCCGCACAACCATGAGCATCTCGATCAAATCTATTTTTCAGTTATTATCGGGTATCGGAGCCCTGCCATTAGGTACCAAGAAATGAGTTATTGTCCTGCCAACCCAAAGCTGTTGACCCGTCTCTAGGCATCTCTGCACGGGAATGTTACACCAACGAGTTGAATGCCAACGGCAAACACAGCCTATGGCTCTATGAAGCAAGCCAGCTGCGCCGATTCGAAGGATGTACGACCATAATCGGCGACATGTGGATCTCCGAGCAATTCGCCGGGTCCATTGTTCTCAACGGCGTCACGCATTTCAACGGGACCCTTGGCGCAGGGCACGACTACAACGTGTATACTGTGCTTGACTCGATCGAAATGTCCGATGCAATCTATATTAAGAGGATATCTCTGCACCAGTCGAGAATGGTCAGCGAATTGTCTTTACCGCGTGCGGAGGAGATGGGCGGATTGGATCTTTATCAGCCTGATGATGGGACGTATGATTTGAGGGGTTTGAAACGGATAGGCTCTGTGTATGTTCGAGGAGGTGAAAGGAAGTATGCTAGTCCTCAACTCTTAAAGGCTTGGCCAAACGTACTGATGCGCTTCTACAGTGTGTCCTTCCCGTCTTTGGAGGAAATTACCTCTGATGTGATGTTAGAAGAATCTTCCTCAGTCGGTAGTGAACGAGGGCCACGGGTTATGCATTTTCCTGCTCTCAAATATGCAGAATCAATGTACCTTACGGGGCAAATAGCGAGGTAGGTTTTGCCTGTCTCACTCCCTAACACCCTGGCGCTTATGTTCCTCTGGCTGATGTCACGCAGCGTCTACACCCCGGAGCTTCAGATGATAGGTGCGATGTACGTGCGAGCGTGCAACACCACCTTGCCTGCTGTCGACCTTCCCTGTCTGTCCGACTCGGGCCGATGGTGGAGGTCTACCCCGGCACACATAAACCTGTCAGGGCCTATCAACCGGTAAAAGCCTCAGCTTCGAATTCAAGTCTCCACGCTAACGCCCGACATTGCTCGAGGGCAGCATTAATCTCGGGCGGCTGCAACGTATAGATGGAAACATTGTCGTCAACGCCGAAGTGCCTGTTCGGATCGAATCCTCCATCAAGTGGGCCAAAAGATTACAGTTGAGTGGGGAGCTGGAAGCGTAAGTTTTGGCTCTCACCAGACCAGCACCCACTGCTAGAGTCCTGTGCACCAAAAAAAAAAAAAAAAAAATTACGTGGATCAATTAATACACTGGCTAACATCTCAATAAAATCGCAAATACAGCCTCAACTTTAGCCAGTTTCGCTCCGCCGGGGCCCTAGCAATCAGCTCAAACATCCGCGCCAACTGCTCCTCCAACCTCATCCACGTATACAGAAATTATTGGCCTTCGCGAGAGGCCACATTCTGCAATGAGGAGTCGCTCCAATACGCCGATGACCATATGCTTGTCACGCAAACTCCCAGTCCAGGCCCATCTCCAAACCCAACCACTTCCCCCTACCCCTCTTGGACACCCACGCCCACGCCCACGCCAACGCCCTTAACAGTGTGGGGAGAACGGGGTCTAAGTTTCGGAGCGTGGATAGGGGCTTTTATCACACTATCATGGGTGGCGATCTTTGTTATAGCTGCATTCCTGATGCTCCGCCGTGTAATATTGGGCAGGAAGGAGTTGCTTAAGGCTGTTTTCGCTTGGGGAGAGGACGTAAAGGATCCTACGCCGCCGCCTTATTCCGATGATGGATTGCCGCCGTATATGGACGACGTGAAAGGCTAATGAGTTACGTAACGCGAAGCAGTACTATACATAACGTAATTCCCGACCGAAGCGCTCACCCGACCGAAGCGCTCAACCCATCGATTTTGACCACACTGAGTAAATTTGAAGCTATCGCCAACAGCCAAAACCTTTATTAAATTAAATAAATTAATTATTTTGACGATTAGGACATCTGACTCTAGTATGCCCCTGAATACCACATTCAGAACACCTTGGTGGAGCGCGCTTTCGTGTAGTTAAAGGTTCTAGAGAAGAAGAAGTATATACATCCAAACCACAACCTTGCTCATTCAACTGCTAATTTCTTAAAGTAATTAGATCCCTTGCCTCTTGTATGGATAAGCCTTCATTAGGGGTCATCTAGCGCTTAGATAGACTCTTTTTCCGCTTGCTTTTCTCATGTTCTGCGCGGAGATCATGTAATTCCTTTAACATAAAGGCTGCCTGGTGCATTATTGATTCGCAACCTTTAAGTAACTCATTATAAGTCCTCTTTAAAGACGAAGAGGGGCTTCTTGAGTCCCTCCAAAGGATCTTTTTAACTGATGATGCCTTCTTAAAGAGTTGGCGAGCTGTATGAGGTGTTGCTAGCATAGAGGAGCTAGTTAAGTCTCCCACACGGCTCTGAGGGGGGGTTGGCGTTGATATTAAGATATTAAACTTGTCAAGCACCCATTAAGGGTTAAAAGGAAGTATCCAAGCTACAGTAAAACCGCTTTGAATATTCTAAGTAGTAAAGACTTGGTAGTGAGAAGTGGGATAAGCACTTAGGAAGTTAAATTTATTAATATAGTTAAATCCTAAGCGCATCTTTGCCTCAACTAATCCCCTATACGCGCGCTTTAGTGGCCCAAAGCAACCAAAATCTAGTAGTTGTAGAAGATGAGATGAATAAGGAGGCATGAAGATAGTAATAATGTTATTTTCTTAACAGGCCTTATAGAATTAAGGTGTAAGATGACTTCCATGGCCGTAAAGGACTAGTAATAAATATAGACAAATTATTTAACTAGTAGTTGAAGGAATAAAGACCTTCTAAAGCCACCGAAGGCCTATTTAATCTATAGTCCAGCTATTTGCGCTTAGTTAAATCAGCTAGTTAGGTTATATACCATATTCTTCAAACCAGCCCTAGATATGGCGCTTGCCTTTAAAGATAATACATGAAGGGACAATCAAACCACTTGAATTCATGCACTCGATTGTAGTAACCAATTCTCGATTGCCTGGTTAAATAAGATGAGGCTTTCCAGGCATATAAGCTCTAGTAACTACCTTAGTAGTTGCTATAAGACCAATTGCAAAGCAAGTCTCATAAAAGTTGTAGATATCTTGGTAAAGGATCCCCCATTGCTTTCAAGCCTCTTCTAGCTGGTTGAACCATGCCTTTATAACCTTTGGGTCTTCGCATTTCGCGCGCGAGTAGTTATATCGTCGAGTAAATCAACTTTTGACTTAAATATTTAGATTAATAAAGGAAGAGACCAAGTTCTTTCCTAGAGGTTGAGCAGCAGAGCCAAGAAGAATATTAGCCATCTCTGAAAAATGAGAAGGTCTAGGAGCAACTCCACGCGCATCTCTAGATAGTATCAACTTTACTAAAGATGCCTCTTCATTCTTAGAAAGCCGGTGACTGTTGGCGCGCTGTTCAATTCGATATTGCTTTCCCTTAATTCGACCGCGTAGTGTTGAGTAAGGCACATTAAAAACATCCACTGCTCGACGAAGAGACNTTCTTGAGTCCCTCCAAAGGATCTTTTTAACTGATGATGCCTTCTTAAAGAGTTGGCGAGCTGTATGAGGTGTTGCTAGCATAGAGGAGCTAGTTAAGTCTCCCTCACGGCTCTGAGGGGGGGTTGGCGTTGATATTAAGATATTTAACTTGTCAAGCACCCATTAAGGGTTAAAAGGAAGTATCCTAGCTACAGTAAAACCGCTTTGAATGTTCTAAGTAGTAAAGACTTGGTAGTGAGTAGTGGGATAAGCACTTAGGAAGTTAAATTTATTAATATAGTTAAATCCTAAGCGCATCTTTGCCTCCACTAATCCCCTATACGCGCGCTTTAGTGGCCCAAAGCAACCAACATCTAGTGGTTGTAGAAGATGAGATGAATAAGGAGGCATGTAGATAGTAATAATGTTATTTTCTTTACAGGCCTTATTGAATTAAGGTGTAAGATGACTTCCATGGCCGTTGAGGACTAGTAATTGATATTGACTAATTATTTGACTAGTAGTTGTAGGAATAAAGACCTTCTAAAGCCACCGAAGGCCTATTTCATCTGTAGTCCAGCTATTTGCGCTTAGTTTAATCTGCTAGTTAGGTTATATACCATATTCTTCAAACCAGCCCTCGATATGGCGCTTGCCTTTAAAGATAATGCATGAAGGGACTATCCAACCACTTGAATTCATGCACTCGATTGTAGTAACCTATTCTCGATTGCCTGGTTGAATAAGATGAGGCTTTCCAGGCATATTAGCTCTAGTAACTACCTTAGTAGTTGCTATAAGACCTATTGCAAAGCCAGTCTCATTAAAGTTGTAGATATCTTGGTCAAGGATCCCCCATTGCTTTCGAGCCTCTTCTAGCTGGTTGAACCATGCCTTTATAACCTTTGGGTCTTCGCATTTCGCGCGCGAGTAGTTATATCGTCGAGTAAATCGACTTTTGACTTTAATATTTTGATTAATAAAGGAAGAGACCTAGTTCTTTCCTAGAGGTTGAGCAGCAGAGCCAAGAAGAATATTAGCCATCTCTGTAATATGAGAAGGTCTAGGAGCAACTCCACGCGCATCTCTAGATAGTATCTACTTTACTAAAGATGCCTCTTCATTCTTAGAAAGCCGGTGACTGTTGGCGCGCTGTTCAATTCGATATTGCTTTCCCTTAATTCGACCGCGTAGTGTTGAGTAAGGCACATTAAAAACATCCACTGCTCGACGAAGAGACGTGATCTCGCCTTTATTTATAGCAGAAATTGCGAGCTGTATCCTCCCCTCTTGCTCCACCAAGTTTCGATCCGATAGACGCGATTTTGGTGGCATGGTGGTTGTTTGAATATTTACGCGTTGAACGCGCGATGGTTTTTGGGGTGGTGAGTGCTTCGGTCGGGAATTACGTTATATTGCTATTTCATGTATTCTAAGTTATACCTCGCCCCTAGGATCTATGTTTGCACAGGGCTAGTCTTCAAGCCACTATTTTATAGAGAACCTTCACTATTTCTGCTATTTTCGACATAGCTAGAAAAATACAGTCCGCACCCGCGGGCCAAGACCACTCTTTTTTTTTTCTCACAGGACAGAGACCTGCATGGGTGTACAGAATGACTCAATGATAAGGCCCACAACAAAGTGCCCAGTTCATGCAGCGCCTGTGTTCTTAGGACAAGTTGATCCTGCAGTCATGACTCATTATTGCATTACCAGGTACATTGCGGCACGCCTCGCTTCATTAAGGCGCGAGAAATGACAAAATCCTTGTCCGCTAACGAAACCCAGACCATCTGGGCCGGCCATCAATATTCCCTTTGGTTGCTCCCTTCCACTCATCCAGAATTTCCCTTTCTTCGTGCCCCAAAAGAAACCATAATTCAGTAGCGGCTCACGCTTCTCGCGCACCCAGCTCATTGACACTGGCCTACCCGACTTCTGAACGCGTTTAAGCAACCCGCCGGCCGGCAGGTGAGTAGTATGGTGGGTGGCCACATGGGAATCCCTACTGTTGTATGCTTTATATGTTTGCTTGCCATTTTGAACAGAAAACTGGTTATAACGGGACATAGAGCTGTCTCCCGACTACTGATCGGGGTTGGTACAATTATGTATGGTCCTTGACCCCCGCACCACTGGGAAACCCCCCAAGCGCCAATCTCATCTACTGCGCTCTAAGCTTCTTGAACCCCCTCGCCTTAACGCCCGTCTCATACGCCAAATCAATATCCTCAACGGTAAGCCCAGCAGTCTCCGGAACAAGGAACCAGGAAACAGCACCAACAATAACCGTAAGCCCCGCATACACGAAGCCCGTCTTTGCGCCGAGGTTTCCGGAATCAACGTTATACATGTATGGCGTGATGAATGAGAACAGCCACGAGCTGACGGCACCCGTGATGAACGCGACGGATTGGGAGTAGTGGCGCAGTCTGTGGGACGAGATTTCGGGGCAGATTGTCCAGGCGACGCCGACGTTTGCGTAGGCTGTGTAGGAGATGAGGATGTTCCTGTTTGCTGTTAGTATGTGGGGGTGAAAGCTGGAGGAAGCAAACGGGAGACCGACATGATGACACCAATGGCCCAGATACTACCCATACTCCCGGCGAACGCCAGAGCCCCAACGATAACCATTCCAATCAAGTTGCCTCCCAATCCCCACAGCCATAGCCGTCGGCGCCCAATCCTATCGTTGTAAACCCACCCGAAAACAATGAACAACCCGCCCAGGAAGAACCCACCGATCCCAATGTCAAACACATGAACGGCCGGCAGACCAACCGTAAAGAGGAAGTAGATATTCTGGCTCAGGAATGGGATTCCGATTGCACTTGTCGAGAACATGATGAATGCGATTGTAAGCGTTCGTCTGAGGTTCGAGCCGCGGAAGAGTTCGAGTGGGGATGCGGAGGCCGCTTGCGAAGCTTGCTCTTCTTCGAGCGTGTAGGCGATGGAGGCGAGGCGGAGGGACAGGGTCGGGTCGTTGCCGTGTATACGGCGAAGGGCGCGCTCGGCTTGTTCCTTGTTGCCCTTGGAGAGGAGGTACACGGGGGATCTGCGAGGGTTAGCAGGCACGAACGGCATTTTGGCAGGATGGGGAGCTTACTCGGGGACGACTAGGGCAGCGACTAGCACAAGGACAGCAAAGGCCCACTGGATAGCAAAGACAATTTTCCACGCAATCGGGTTCGGGTTTGGAACGAACGCCCGAACGATTCCCAAACTCGTGCCCTGCATGACGACCCCGAAGAAGACGAGGGCCTGTAGGATTGCTCCACGCAGTCGGACTGGGGCGATCTAGTGGAATACACAGTCAGAATGAGAGACAACAGGCGCGCAGTTCAATCCAATACTCACATCAGCAGCATACGTCGTTCCAATCGTCATCAACCCTCCAACCACAGCGCCGTTGATCGTCTTTCCAGCGAGAAGCATACCACGCGAGGTCGCGAAGAAGAGAATAAACGTGCCCGCGATGGAGAGAATCGAGAAAGCAAACGCAGTCCAGCGCCGCCCAACCTGTTGCGCCAGGGCACCGGCAGCCATGGCGCCGAACGCCTGGCCTAGATTTGACATGGAGGTCCACAGCGAAGTCCAGAGAGATGGTAGATAGGCTGAACCGGTAGTTGGATCCATGTCGCCAAAGGAAGCGATAAATGCGGGCATTGCGATGCTGGAGTTGTTGGAGATGGTGTCGTAGCCGTAGTTTGCAGCACACACGAAAGGGAGGATGGCTAAAAGGTTGTTGGTTAGGTCGGGCTGTAGGGGTTATTCAAAAAGGATAGAATTACCAAAGAATAAGACACGCCTATGTGTCTTGATAGCCTGCCAGGTGGTGATCTCCTTTTCGGCGCGGTGAAAGTCCTCCATGGCTTCCGTGCCGAGCTTGCCAGGGGCCGGGCTGGACTCGACGTGTTCAATATCTTCCACTTTTGGGTCCGCCATTGTGATGGATAAATTGGTTTAGCAGACAGAGCGGTGATGTATTCCGATAGCGGCCTTGCTTTAGATAGACGCGGATCCGGGGTACAGGGGATAGAATATATAGAACCAGCGTGGCAAGGTTTTCATCCCGGGGCGAAGTGGACGCGGTTCACGTCCTCGGCCGGAATTAGCAAAAGAGTCGGAAAGACTAACCTCGTGATGAAGATTTGACAGCTAATCCCCATGGGGTTGGGTGCGTCCACTTCAAGGCACTCCGGAGAAGCCGAGAAGGTGGACGGGTGGACGCTCGGGATGAAAAACACCGAGTTGGCACTGGATATCCCGAAAACCTGCACCTCTTATTATAACGCCGTATATTCCCCAGAGCCACTTTTCTGCGCATGAATTCTTGTTGAACAGCATGCTAACTAGAGAAAGGGCCCGTTTAGACGTTGTTGCGATTGTTCTGCCCGGTATGTTATCCGGGAAATCCGTGCAAGTCTTGGAGTATTGTTGAATTTCCTGGACACCGGTGATACTTGCAATTATAGCCACAAGGACCTAAAACAATAGATTGCAAGATATACATTAGCTACCATACCTTGTCAGAAGACCATGTCAGCGCCTCGAGCATTTTATCTACGTTAGCCCGGCTCCCGGGAGGCAACTCCGAGGGCGGCACAGCCCCCGTTGCGACCATCTCAGGGACGCGATGACGTGTTTGTTGGTGCTTCAAGCTCCACGCGATGTCGTCCGCCGGGATGGTGGTTGCTCGCTACTGCTGACTTGTGATATCGCCGCCAATGCCACCAGCCTAAGACAATTATCAAGCAGAAGCCGAGCACAGCTCCGATTACAGGACCGGTGATCCGGTCTATTGACGATGACCTGTTTCCGACTGGAGCCCCGCGTGTGTCTGGCTCGGATGGCAGCGCGGGCCCTGACGCTGCTGCTGTCACGGCCGCCAAGCGGGAAGTCGGTTACTCAGTAGAGGTTAACGGTCTCGTCGTGGAATCGGTCACCTGCGCAGCTAACAGGTCCAATCCACCCGTCACCGTGAGGACTGCATTGCCATTCAAGTAAACTGTCTGGATAAAAGAGAACAAGTCTTCTGTGACTCTGGATTCGCCTGGTAGCGTCTATCCAATTCCTCCAGAGCAGGCCGCCATCATGGACGAGACATGGCACTTAATCAAGTCAGTACGAGGGAGGCATGCGCCCGGCTTTACATCCGTAGGTAGTAGCGGGGTCGTGGTGCATCAATGAGTTGCTGGCCCGGTTGTTAAAGCGATTTGGAGACCGAGCCGTCTGTAGTCTTGGTTGTCGGGTAAGCATGAAAGCATGATTGTTGTCACATGCGGCTCGGGTTGACAGACAAGGTGCTTCCCGAGGCTGCTGTTGCGACCTCGCCGAGAAGATAAGGTAAAAGGGGAAATTCAGTTATTAAGTTTGTTGGTAGAGGGGTACTCATGGTTAGTGTAGGAAACTCCCTGTGTTAGGTGGATCATAGGGAGGAATGCAGTCAAACGCAAAAGGGAATTTCAGGCTCCAGACCTTCGTGTCTCGCCCGTGAAATCTGGTCTCAGAGTGATTAAGGGACGCTTGGGTCGCGCTCAGCCCAAGCTTCGTCGCATCCATGCAGCTGGCTCGCTCTCTGGCCTCGCAAATAGAACCTGGCCTATTGCAAGCCCGCCCCAGGCCAACTGTTCCTTCTGATGCATCCGGGGTAAGGATGTGGCTCCTGCGAATGGGCTCCTGGGGGCTCTTGGCGCCGCATGGCTTTTGCAGGGTGGGCCTCTACTGGGTATGTAATGGATGCCAAAGGAATTTTGATGTCAGTGGGATGGTGCTCAGGAGGAGCTACAAGAGACAAACCGGCCAACTGTACATTAGCAGCTGTCATGGTCAGTTCATACTTCACGTGCACGGAGCACCCTAGGCGTATTAATGTGCCGGATTGCTTGTCACCACTTTGGCTGCCTGTTCTGGACCCAAGTCTCAGCAACAAATGAAGAGGAGCCTTGTAGAAAAGTGCCTTGGTACACCTAGTACCCATACTCTGCCATGTAGCTACTAAGCATTAGCTCCATAGCAGGTTGGAAAGTCGGGAGGGTGCATGGTTTGTTTCAGAAGGCAGCTACTCCACAGTGTGGATCGATCAGCAGTGCGTACTCTACCAATAAGCAAGAGGACAATCGGATGAACAGCTGATTCCGTGAGCTATCAATCAAGAAATCCTTCAGCAGCTCATGGAATGATTGGAATGAGAGCTCGTATTACTTTGTACCCCTGGCCCCACTCGATCGATCGACAGCGACATGAATGGACCACCGTGGACCCGTCGACAAAGCCAAGCCTTTCCAAGTTCGGCAGCGCATGGTCGACCCCAAAGCGAATCATTATGAGACGAACCTCGCAAAAACGGCCCCATTTCCACCAATGCCAATGACGATAACGCGAATCAAGTCCCTCAACGAGGTTCTGTCCTTGCGTTTGCGTAATCCATCTCATAAAGCTGATCCCCACGCAGAGTAAGCACTAGAAGACTCTTGCAAACCAAGCATGTCAGCTTATCATATAAGGACGCAAGCACCCACCTCCTCTCTAACTACCATCTCAACTTGAATAATCATGCATCTTGCAACTCTCGTTGTTCTTACCGGCCTCGTAGTAGGCGTATACCTAACAACCCGACGCAAACCACCCTCTCTCCCCCTCCCACCAGGCCCTAAGCCCCTCCCACTGATCGGCAACATCCACCAAGCCCCCAAATCGCACGGATGGCGAACATATCAACAATGGAGCAAGGAGTACGGACCGATCGTCCACGTGAATATGCTCGGACAGCACGTTATCATCTTATCCTCGACAGAAGTCGCACATGAGATTCTTGCCAAGACCGGAGCGGCGTTTTCGGATAGGCCAAGGCTTTTTGTACATCCTCCCTTCTTCATCAAACTCTTCAATATGAATACACCGGGGACCAAAATGAGCTAATGAAAGGGTCAGCTCGCAACCGAACTCGCCCTCAAAGGCCTCAACATCCTAATGATGAACTACACGCCGCAGTTCCGCCAACACCAGCGCCTCCATGCCTCCGTGCTAAACACCACCCCGGCAGCATCCTACCTGCCACTACAGACGCTCGAATCGCGACAACTCCTCCACGACCTCCTCAACCACGCCTCGAACCCGGCAGGGACAGACGTCCAAAAGTACTTCCAGCGCACCATCGCAAGTATAATCCACACGCTGCTGTACGGCTTCCGCATCGCAGACCCCGAGGATCCGATGCTGGGCGAGTTGTCAAGGTTCAATCACGAGTTCTCAAAATTCGTCCAGGTCGGCGCACATATTGTCGATATGTTCCCGGTACTCAATAACCTCCCTTCGTTTCTCGCGCCGTGGAAAGAAAAGGCCGAGAGGCATTTTCAGGATAAGTATGCGCTGCGGAGAGAGAATTTCCGGCGCGCGCTGGAAGGGGAGACGTGGAACATCGCGAAACATCTCAAGAGTTTGGTCCAGAGCGATAAAATAGATATGCCTATGGATGAGTTGGCCTTCGAGCTCGGGACGATCATCGATGCTGCGCTGGATGGGACGGCGGATAGTCTGATGTGGTTTGTTGTTGCGTGTGTCACGCAGGATCCCGAGGGGACGGGGTTTATCGCCAGGGCGCGTGAAGAGATCGAGACTGTTGTTGGGAGGGAGAGGATGCCTGCCCCGGAGGATCGAGGGAATCTCCCATATGTCAGTGCGATTGTTGAGGAGGTCCTGAGGTGGAGGCCTGTTGGTCCTGAAGGCGTTCCACACCTCAATAAGGAGGAGGCGGCGTACAATGGGTACAGCATCCCTGCAAACTCGGTGATCGTACCAAACGCCTGGACCATCTCGCGCGAAGAGAGTATCTTCGGTCCAGACGCGGACTCGTTTATTCCAGAACGCTGGCTCGTCGACGCTGACCCCACCTCTGACCCGGACAACGACCCCCAACCAAAAGCTCAACACAAGACACTAAACAAAGCCATGCTTACCTCCGTCGCCGGCTTTGGCTACGGCCGCCGCACGTGTCCCGGCCGCCACTTCGCGCGCAACGTCATCTGGATCGTCATCGCGCAGTTACTCTGGGCATTCGAGATCCGGCCCGGGATTGATGAAGAAACGGGGGAGAGGATACCGGTTGATCCGCTTGCGTGCACTTATGGGCTTGTTATGCGGTCTTTACCATTTAAAGCGTCGTTTCGGCCTCGGGGGGAGTGGGTTAGGGATGCTCTTGGGGGTGGGGATACGTTTGGGGTTGATTTGGAGGGCATGTTGGAGAGGATCGGGGCGGAGGTTGGCAAGATCTAAAGCTCTGTGAATCTGAAGTAGGATACCGAGGATCCATAAATCAAAGCAGCTATATCAGTTGACACTGATCCTCTTCTAGGATCTTGGAAACGCTAGTGCGAATATCTGGGAATAACTTGTTCGTCTCTAGAGCCGCACCTCAATCGGATTAAGACTCCACAATACTTCGTCTGCGTTGACACACACACGCTAATCCCTCCTACACAGACGCAGGAATCCCATTGAATGCTAGATCTCGGCTGGAACCACATCTCCATACTCAATAGTAATACTCCAAGCTAGCAGGCGAAGTATAAAGCGCCTTCCGCAACGGTCCCTCAAAAACATCCCTAATCTCATCAAGGTCATACCCTGCATTAATAGCCAGCTGGAGAAGGACCCGCGCCTGGTCGGCGCCAAGGTAGCCTGCAAATATACTATATCAACACGCACTATTAGATCCGCCGCTTACAGCCTGTGATGAGGAACGCAAGGAGGGAGAGAAATATGGAGATGGGGGTATAGAGAACGGAGAAGACATACACAGCCTCTGGATAAAGATCGGGAACCCCAGTCCCCGTTACGGGTCTTGCGACGGCGACGGTCGGGATACCCTGTGCGAAGAGGTCGGCTGCGGCTTCGTTTGCGGAGGGACTTAGGGCTGCGGCGCCGGGACCGAGGATAACGAGACCTCTATTCATTTGGAAAACAGTTGTTAGCACAGCACACAAGTTGAGGACACATCACATACTTGGCTCCATTGGCGACGGCGGCGTACATCAGGGATGCGTCGAAGCCCTCTGTTTCATTTGATTAGTGCAGAGTTCCTGTATTTTGTTCCGGAGATGGTTTGTTTGGCTTACGGTGTCCGTAGAGGATAATAACAGAGGGTAGCTCAACCGTATCCGAGACGTTGAAATGAGGTCTTCCGACGGGGTACGAAGGGTCAAAGAAGTAGTACGGCTGACCACCGAGGAATGCACCTAGATTCCCCTGCTCGATCGCCTTGAATGTATCCGGGGTATTTGCGTTGGCTTTTGTGGAGTAGTAGATTGAGGTGATTCTGCATAGCTTGTCTGTTAGTGAGGCCGTAAGCGGGTGATGGGATGAGATGCGCATTGCACACCTGTCATTAAAAACAATCAGACCTCCTCGGTTTGCCGACGCCGGTGACGATGCTGCCGCGACAGCCTGGAAGAAATTCGAACGGCCGTCGGGGGAGATGTAAGTATCTGGTCGCATGGCACCGGTCGCGATGAATGGTTTCGAACAGTTGAATGTGAGGTCGACGCCGAATGCCTGCACGTTCCGATCTCAGCTTTCAACATATCATTTTCAGGCCTGCAGTCACCTACCGTCTCCTCGAGTGTATTCGTCCCATGAAACATAATGGCCCCCACAATATCCGAGTCCGGGCTGCAGAGGTAGCGGTTCAAATGCTGTGTGATATTCAGGTACAGCGACGAATTAAGCCCAGCGCTTCCGCCTGTCGCGGGGAACTGGATTACAGCGAGCTGAGCGACGTCAAGCACCTCAGGAACTGTCTCAATTAGGTCTTGCGCAGTTGGACCCTTGCCCAGACCATAGTGGATGTTGTCGAGACGGCTGTAGTTTGAGGCCGAGAGGATTGTTCCGCCTGCGCTGCAGATTAGGACTTTGGGGAGGGTAGTGTTATTAGAGATCCATTCTAGTTCTGCGGATGCGGAGCAGATGCCTAGGACTGAGGCTGCGAGTGCTAGAGTGCTGGAGCGCATGTTGGGCTGCGGACTTGATCTCTGCACACAGGCAAACTGCAACCGATAGCGAGCTTACTGCTATGAACAAGAGTGTATCAGGCTTAAGTAGGCTGTGACCCTGCGATATCGGATCCTTATCTCTGTACCTTGTTAGCCTTATCTCCTTACTCCAACTCCATTTCTACCCCAAGATTGCAGGCTTGGCTAGATACCTGGACACGTACCGAAAGCACCAGCAAGACCACCATTCGGACTGCTCTAAAAGGTACTGTTGTCCACGGTCGATTTATCAAGGGTCTCAAAAGTCTACCAACAAATTGCGAGCATGGTAGCTTACGGAACGAAAGTCGGTATAACCAATCGATGGACTGTGAACCCTCTACCTGCGTCTCCACCGATGTCATCCGAGTTGGAGAACATGCTACAAGCGCTGTGATCCACATATATTTTGTTGGCTGATTTAGACTCTCACCCACGATTTCATTATCTTCGTGGTGACATTTATCGCCAATCCGATCCACCCCACGTCGCTCTGATGTGGTACTAAGTGGTGATTGTAGCGTAGCATCTTCAACATCCACAAAGCAGGGAACCAGTGCGCTTTTACTCAGAGACATTCTTAACGTGAAGCCATCCGAGTCTCTCCAAATCACTTGGATCTCTAGTAAAATTAGTTACGAAACGGTCACATTTTGGCTATGGTTCATCTGGGGCGTGTCTAAAAGCGTGGTTCCTTTCTCTGAAGATGTCAAGATATCCGTGAAAAGTGCCTTGACTAGGACCTACTGCATGCTTTCCTTTGTCAATGGCACTTTGCACTTGGAGCTTTCTTGGTGGTAGTCTTGGGGAGAAGCCATGGGCGCATGGCATGACTAGCTAGGGAATCCTCCTTTAATCGACCACGGACGTGTTATTCAACAAGTAGCTATTCTTCTTGTTATATACATTACTACTATTATAGTTTATTGTAGTCCTTTATTCTTTACTTCACTTGAACCCTTCTGACAATAGCTAATGTCCTACGTGGGCCTACCTGCCCTGTGACGACGCAACAGGATAAGCTCGATAGATCAGCAAAATCCAGACCTTTACGCGCGCCACGAATGACGAAACGCTGCCCAGCATAAGGCCAATCGATTCTCGATCGAGGGCAAAATCGGATCCCAGCGGGAAGAAACGTGGCAAGGCACAGGGTCCAAGACCAAATTTTCGGTGGCAAGGGACTTTCGCCGAACCATGGATGTATCCAGGGCGGGTGGAATATCTCAGCCTCTAGGACGCGTCCGGGATAGTTTCCCTACTTCTGCGCCAATAAGATTTCTTCTACACCCGTGCGCTTTTCCTGTTCCTGTGGGTGTTCCTGGGCGGAATCGATGGGCCAGGCACAGGAATGGCAGGCACGGCAGCGCGCCCGGCTGCTGTAAGTGGCGGGTTTGCACATACAGCAAGAAGAACCAAGCCTTTGCTGAGCTCGGCGAGTTGTGTCGCGCCTCTTCTGCAGGCGAACATCAGTGCCGTCTGGCCGTTTTGTGCAGTGTGGCTGAATCTTGCTCCGCTATCCAAAAGGGGCTTCGCAGCAGCTCGGGTTTGGTGGATAGAATGGATTAATCGATTTTTGAGTCTTCACCCGTACGTTTTGTTTCATAGGAACAGGAAGAATGGATTGTCTTGTTCTTGCCTTTTCGAGATACTTATAGGAGTCCCTCATTCCAAATTTCATCATGCATTCCCAATACCCTTTGGCTTAATCGCGCTCCTGTTCTATCTTTCTCAGCTCTTTTTTTTTCTTTTTCTTTTTTCTCTCTTTTACCCATATCCCTGTTCTCATCCCATCATGCTCCTCCCCATCCTCTCAGCGACAACTGTCGCCCTCTCAACACGCGCTCTCGCAGCCACAAATACAACCACCGCCCAATCCCGAGCCCTGGCAGCCGCAAATACCCTCCAAACATGGTACAATAGCGCAACTGGAATCTGGAATACATGCGGGTGGTGGAATGGCGCAAACTGCATGACGACGCTCGCGAACCTCGCAGCCCTCGACATTGACGACACATTCAACGACGTCGCACGCGGCGTCTTTGCGAACACATTTGCCGTCGCGGCGACGGTCTCGAATCCGATTCCTGGACGGGGAAATGATGCCGCGAGTTATCTTTCGAGCAATGGGACGGGGTATTACCCGGCGACTGAGGGTGTCCCGACTGGGGCGGCGAATACCGCGCTTTGGCTCGATGGGTCGTATGATGATGATCTGTGGTGGGGACTCGCGTGGGTTGCTGCGTATGATGTGACCAGTAATACAGATTATCTCGATCTTGCGGAGGGGATCTTTTATCATCTTGTGGGTTGCTCTCCTAGTCATACTATGATGAGGAGCCATGTACTAATCCATGGGTAGAGCAACGCCTGGCCCTCGAAATGTGGCAACGGCGGAATCGACTCGAACTACGAGCACGTTTACGTCGGCGCGATCGCAAACGAGCTGTTCCTCAGCCTCGCCGCTCATCTCGCGAACCGCGCGGAGGATAGCGCGTTCTACCGCGACTGGGCGCAGCGGCAGTGGGCGTGGTTCCAGGACAGCGGGCTGATCAACGAGAACAACACGATAAACGACGGATTGACAAACGACTGCACGAACAACGGACAGACGATCTGGTCCTACAACCAGGGTGTGATCCTCGGCGGCCTGGTTGAGTTGCACCGGGCCACCGGGGACGATTCTGATTCCGATTCCAATTCATCCTCGAACTCGACATATCTCGACGCCGCCGGGGAGATCGCTCAAGGCGCAATTGCCGAGCTCGTGGACGAAAACCACGTCCTTCACGACGCCTGCGAGCCAGCTGGCTGCGCGCCCGACGCGACCCAGTTCAAGGGGATCTTCATGCGGAATCTACGGGCTCTACATGCGGTGGCGCCTGATGACATATATGCAGAGGTCATCGAGGCTTCTGCAGAGAGTATCTGGGCGAATGATCGGACGGACGTGAATGCGTTGGGGGTTGTTTGGGCTGGGCCGGTGGATGCCGCAGTGGTGGATGCGTCGACGCATAGTTCGGCGTTGGATGCGCTCGTTGCTGCTATTGAGAAATAGAGAGGATGGTAGGAGAGGGCTGTGTGTATGGCAGGACTGTATATAGGATGGATAGCAGGGTGGGTAAATATAACATAGAGAGGATTCTCAGTACATACGCGGACCCGCAGCAACTGCCTAAAATCTAGAACAAGACAGCTACAGCTTCGAGCTTCGCGTCCAGGTTGAGGTTTGTAACCGAATAGGAATAGCACACTACGACGTATTCTTTCAAATCACAAACAGCGCTACCCAGCATTTCATGAGACCCAAGCATCATGAGTGGACAAAGGTTAACACTCCTCCCTCTTCACAATAACATTCCAATCAGTTGAATGAAACACCTGTCCGGAGAGAATCCCATCATAAAGACCGGCATGGCAATTATCATAAATATACTGCGCACCATCCGCTATGCTCGAGAAGCTATCAAGGGTTTTACCGGCGGGGTCCTATGCACGAAATGAACATGGTCAGACGTCGCTTTTCCGTCCTTGAGCTATCTATCTATCCAGGATTCAAGGGAAGACGTACGTCATTACACCACCAGATGGCACTCGCATACGAGCAGCTGACGCGCGCACAAGCCCCAGGACCGGGCCCCGCGCTCGGCTGGCCCGAGACACCACGGAGGTACGCGATTCCCTCTGCGATTGCTTCTCTCGAGGCGTCCCAGTAGTCTTCGGGGTAGCAGCGGACGTTCGAGCCGGAAAAGTCGGTGCGCTTCGCAAGGGGTGCATCGTCATTGGTGGGCAGCGCAGTCGCAAGCAGGCCCGAGAGGACCATGGAGAGGATAGAGGCGCGCATGCTGAAAGATGAAGGAGGCTTGGAAATTGAGGGGCTTGGTACTAGAGACAGATGTAGGTATACTTGTGCTGTTGTCCCAGACAAAAATTGAAGGACAAGGTGCCGCTCTTTATATCTTCACCCCAGGTGCGGATCTACACCTCGCAAGCCACCTTGAAGTGGATGATGAAAAGTTTGGGGGCGGAGAATATGCCAAGACCACCTTCTGCAATCTTGATAGGATCCGCTCGCTGCAGGATCATTCAGTACACTTGTTTCTGGCTGTCTATCGTTGCTTAACTTGGTAAATCGATTCGAGGGCTTAGCGGCCGCAGTGTTAGGGCCGGTCAATCAGGGTACAGACAGCGCCTTGCCAGTAAACAACATGGACCATCATATACCCTGGCAGAATTATATTCTTTTCGTCTTAAAGGTAGCGTTACCAGGCTGTGCAACCCGCCCCGTTCCTACAGTAATACCATCCATAGAGGTGTCGCACAAACCAAGCCTACCCTACAAGATGGCCGGAAGTTCCGGAATCCTTCCAACTTCGGAAGACCTGCCTAAGCCAGTCTTTTAAACTGTTCAGTCAGAGGGTCAGGGTTCTCCGAATTTAAGGGGCTGATATATCATTATAGGAATAGCCTAAATGAAACAAGCTTAGCCAGTCACTAGAATCCACAATCCCAACACTGAAAGAGCAGCTTTAACATAACCGCATCAACTTTGGCACATCCCTAGACATCAATTTTCCTACCAACCTCACAGCCTCCCGCGGACCCAAATGCATGCAACCACCCCCTACTGTGAATGCACAACCATGCCGCCAATAAATCACACCCATGTCGGGGGATATTGTGCATTAACCAACCAAGTCTCCGTCCCCCGATCCGACCTCGCCTTCTTCACCACAAATCCATGCGCAAGCCCCTACCTACATCCTTCATCTCCGTACCGCCCCGTGCCCTTCGTGGCCGGGTGTGGGAAACACGACACATCCGGTCGCTTCTTTAGCAAAACCACGAATACCAACACAAGCATATAGAACTTTCTCGCTGTGATGAGCAAGGAAGACTGGGCGCAGCGCGCAAGGGATGCACTAACCACCGAGCGCAACCCTCAGACGCACGCCGAGAAGCCGGATATGGTTGTTTTTCTGCATCTCGAGTGGGATATTAACGGTTTCTGTGATACCGCCCACGGCGGAGTACTGGCGGCCATCCTTGACGAAGTGATTAGGGCTGCCATTATCGGGTATCAGCAGAGCGTAATGGGGGGATAGTCGAGGTTGTATACCGCGTGTCTCAATATCGCGTACCGGGCCCCGGTGGAGACGCCAGGAACGGTGTTGATTAAGACCTGGATAGTTAGAAGAGAACGACGGAAATGGTTTACGGCGGCGCAGTTGCTTGAGGAGGATGGGAGGACAGGAGGATACGAACTGAGGCCAGTGGAATGTGGGTAGGGAAAGAAGGCAACCTTTGATATTAATGAGGGTATAAATATGTTGTCGACAGTCTAGGTTCATTGTTGGCAATAGTCTAGATAGACTTGCCACCGTCGACAATCAGATCCGTGTCGGTAACAAAGTTTCCTTCATCGTTGGCCAAATACAGACGCATGTTGGCAATATCATACGGATTCGTCAGCCATTCCAAGGGAACATTCCCTATAAATTTCTGTCGGTTCTCTGTAGTATCCTCTATTCTAGTAAATAGTGAAAATAGCCCCGTCCCAGAAAGTAAGGGACACACGGCGTTCACGCGGATATTATACTGGCCAAATTCGGCTGCGAGACCCTTGGTAACCTATATTACCTTTAATCAGAGTAACACACATCGACGAGACCGGGCTAAGTAGCAGGGTTGGCCTCATATTTAAAACCGCACCCTTGGAAGCATTATACCAGACCAATCCTGGGCATGGCCGGGCTACTCCAATTGAAGAAATATTAATCATCAAGCCCCCCTCGCCCTGCTTAATCCACTTTGGAATTGCCACATGCACACTATGGAAGACTCCTTGAACATTAATGTTAAAGACGCGCTCCCACTCCGCCTTAGTTACTTCCAGGGTCGGCTATCACAGAGAAACAATACTGCGTTAGCCACAAGCAATAAGGTAGAAACCAAGAGAAAGCAGATAAAGCTTTAAGGCGAAAAAAACCTTAGGTACCAGCATTATTAGCCAAAATATCAAATCTTCCAAACTTGGAAAAGGTAAGCTTAGTTGCTACATCCCAACAATCCTCTTTGGTCACGTCCATTTCCAAGAAGACAATATTCTCCGGGTCCTTGGAGGCGAGTTTTTTTGCCATTGTCTGTGTTGACATCGCCTAATATCACCTTGGCCCCTTCCTTGCTAAACCACGAGACAATGGCTGCGCCAAAACCCGACCCGCCGCCTGCGTCGCAAAAAAATGCCTAAAACATTAGTCTGACATTGCCGTATGGAAGGGAGGTCGGGGAGGGAAACTAAACCAGGAACTATGGCGACTTTGCCATGGAGGCGAGAGCCCTGAGCGCACATTTCGCTTACGTAGTAACCTAGTTGAAGAACCAGTCGAGGGTGTTGCAGTTTATGCTGCTTTCCGAACACCAAACCAGCGCGCTATACGTAAATATGAGCAGCGTTGTGGATTTTTTAATGATTGAGGGGCGGACAGGTCCCGCATAGATGCACCATATAGCTCGGGTAGTTATCTGGGGTGGGCTCTATAGTCTGTGACAGCCAATTTTCCCTATAGGGTAGGGGACCTGGCTAGTCTATAATAGGCGGGGCATACTATACTCTAGGCTCCTAGCTGCAGCTCTAGCTCCGTCCCTCCTCAGCTGAACGCCAGCATGGGGGTGATGTACCTGCAGACATGGAGCTGAATGTTTGTCTTCTGGGAACTAGTAGGTAATTTATAAACGATTATGGGCGCTAGATATAGCTGTTAAGGTAGAACACGCTCATCCGAATCCGCAACAGCGCTCAAGGCCTGCAAAACAGGCCTTTTTTTTTTTCCGATTTACGATTCATGCCAGTGAATTCCTGAAAATGCGACCGCATTTTTGAGGCAGAATGGAGATAGGGGATTTGACAATCATTGCCTAAAAGCAAAAAGCCTGTGGCGCAGCCCGCCTAGGGTCCCAGTTCCCTTCGCTTCCGGCGAGTCCTTTTCCCGATTGGGCCTGAGCTCACCCCCGCGCCCGAGTCGAGCTTCAGCATAAATCATAAACTGCTATATTGTTTCATGAGATGTTTCAGAATTTTACCAAAGCATGGATTGTGGGTGGGAGATAAACTAAACCCCTATAAAAGAAAGGGACAAGAAGCTAGGGTCTGCTTTAACGAGCCTCTTCACCTCGCCCGACCTCATCTCGTCCACATCCCAGGCTGCCCAAGCAAATTGACCATACAGGAATGCCGCCTCTGAAGTCGTTGCCCACACAGCCCAGTGGCCTGGCAGGGTTTCTATAAATACTTGTTAGAACAGTGCTTAATTAATCTTGCGAGCTGGCATATTCTCGCGGTGGTTAAGTTAGACTAACTATTGTCAAAAGGAAGGCTGTTCTCCTTAAGACTAGCCGTCCTTACAGCCTCAGAGAGGATCTGTCCCGGATGAAAGCTAATGATTTGGAGTTCTGCTTGGTCCACCTCATTAGCGATTCTCTGGAGGAGATGGCCGGTGGTTTTGCTTAGAGAATATGTCGGCAACGTGTAAGCAAGGTTGCGGTCGTGAATTGCGGTAGTCGAGATGTAAACGATGAACTAAATTGTTGTTAAGTGTCAGCCAGCTGGCATAGCAACCTGGATTAGTAATGGAAGGGCTCCCTGCTACCTTTTGCCTGTTGGTAGACCCTTCCTGGCTTTGGAGTATCTGGCTGAAATCCAAAATAGTCCTAACGTTCGTCTTGTACATTGACCAGGTCACGTCTAGTTTGGTTTCAAGGATCCCCTTTTACTTATTGAACCTTGCTGCATTCAACACAAGCACCTTAACGAAAATACCATCGTGGTGGAGACCCGTCCACAGGGTGGCTGAGTCTGCTAGGTTACCAACATCACAGGCCCTCGCAATGAACCGAGTATTTGGAAACTTATCCACTAGTTTAGAGGCTGCTTGTTTAAGCACATCTTGTCAGCGGCTAGTTAGGATAATTCTGGAAGCCGAGGCCTCTGTATATGCTCTCGCAATTGCAAACCCGATTCCAGCTGATGCACCAGTGATGAGAATATTTCTCCCGGACTGGTTCAGCTCCGATCGAAGTGGCGAGAGAGTCGAGTAGGTTGCTTTGTGGGTTTTCAGGACGAGGGCAGATTTTACGGGCACTAAGGTCTTGACCAGGTCCCCGGGGCCAGGGGAAGGTAATGACACGGACATGGTGGTAAGTTCCCACAAACAAAGGAGCATAATTATACAGTAGATAAATGCGTTCGACTGTAAAATACAATAGTCCATGTTAGCTGGCATAAAGTGGACTATATATAGATTATCTACAGTGTTTGATGGTGGCGAAGTTGAATTTGATGGCATCTACGCAGACCGATATAAGTCCTGATGCGGAAGATAACATATACGAGAAGCTAGCTAGGGCAAAGGCTCTCTGGATGTACCAAGTTTTAAGGGTGTTTGATGGGGACATCGGGCTCCGTGCCCAGGCAGAACAAGATATGACTACCCTAAAATTGTGGCTCCTCGAGCTCGAAAAATACAAAGATAACTTGGGAGAAATTTGTCTTCTTGATGAAGCTGAACTAAGGCGGAGGACCCCGTCTTCGTGGGAAGTATGCACTCTAAACCACTGATCTGTTTTAATGACCAATCAACTGACACTGCTTTGTCTATGTCCAGAGCTGGGTCTTGAATGAGTCCCTCCGACGCACCATCCTCATGGGGTACTCGTTCATAGCTTTCTACGCGCTGCTAAAGTGGTCGGGCTCGAAAGACATCCCCATGCCTGACCCAGGCAACTATGTACGCGTGCACCAATGGACGGCCTCTTGCCCCCTATGGAGTGCTGATAGCAGCCCCACTTTCTTTCTTGCGTGGCATAGTCATCGGTAATTATTTGTGCGGAACTTTTTCATTAGGGACTTTGCGAGAGTTGTTAAGCCCGTGGATGTAGATCCCCTCTCATGGATCATGCTTGCTGCGTAAGTGCAAGGGTTGTCCTTCATCCGTCTTTATTTGGCTATTTATCAGCTCTTGCAATCTTGCAATACTAAATTTATTCCTCATAGGTTTGTAGGCAGTGTGAAGATGGAATAATTTGTGGGTGGGAACGTCACATCCCCCGGGCCCTGCCCCCAATCGTACATATGACAGCCACTGATGTTCCCCTTCATTGTAGAGCGTTCCGCCCGTTTGGGATTGTATTCAGCTGCTCTGGGAGTGGATGGACACGGAGCTAACATCTGAAGAGAAGTTTGATGACTCTATTCCGATCGGGCAGCGGCGCGCTTGGTGGGAGGATATGATAGCTTACCTGATTGACAAGGTGGGATGGGTTAGTCTTACTTAGTAGAGCTTCAGTTGGTTGATATTAGCGGAGGCTCTGTATAGTCTGTGAGAAACAGTATACAATTTGATGTTTTCAGCTCCCTACAGTACCAGTATACACCAACCCATATCAAGTGCCAGGCTCCTGAACCTGCTTGAAGAGTAGGAAGACAAGAGGCAGGAGAATGTGAAAGAAGGCTCCGAAAGAGAAAAGAGTAAACAACCTGCCTAGAGCCTCTACCCTCCCCTTCAGCCTATCATATCTGTCAGTTGTATAGGGAGAAAGGAGGAAACAACGCCAGTTCATGCGATATCGAGGCTTAGATCTTTCAGGGTCGATCAGATAGCATCTATAATAGCCTTTCGAACCTCCTAGCCAGTGACCTCTCCTTCCATCTCCCATCGAAAGGGCTTGATAGGCAGCCCCACGACCTCCAGCTGGGGCTCAGATGTAGATCTGAGATGCTCTGGTATAATGGCGTAGATAGGCAACACCCACTGTACATCACCCTTTCACAAGGCGAATTTGCCCTTGGGCAGTGTCAATGTTACCCAGAGGCTGGTGTTTTTCTTCATCTTTCACATCTGTAGAGATAAATAGCTGCTGTTCTCCTGCCCTAGATGATCTGCTCAGAGGAGTTCCACAGGCCTATCGCCAGTTGACAGTGCCTACCACCACAGCAAGAGTTGTGCCGACTATTTATACACCCTTAAAGCCACCAAGCATTAGCCTTCGGTCTTCACACCCTCCTACTAGCCGTCAAACCAAACCTACATCTCCACGGCCGCGATGAATATCGGTCAAGTCCTCGACATCGGCGGCAGCCAAGTCGCACAGAATATCCAGTCTACACTGAGAAAGTATTCCTGCTCCAGGAGGAGCATGGGCATGGACAGTCCCAACCCCAGATGAAGCGCACCTTGCCCACGGAGCTGTTCTACTACGGGGACGGGCTCCGGCTGTGGCAAGAGGTCTGCTGGTTGCCAGACTACCACCAGACCCGCGATGAGATATCTCTCCTGGATGAGTACGGCGCGGTCATTGCGCAGTACATCCCGGCGGGATGCACAATTGTGGATATGGGGTCTGGGTAAGTGATCCGCTGAGCTAGCTTTCCTTCCCTCGCTCGCCTTTCCTCCCTTGTATATATCCCAAGCTAACGGACGAACGAATCGGTATAGAGATATCCGCAAACCTTCCGTCCTCCTGATGCATCTCGACCGCCTCAAAATCCCAGTGTCCTACTACGCCCTCGACCTGAGCTACGAAGCCCTATCGAGCAGCATGTCCTTCCTCTCGCACCAGTCCTACACGCACATCACCTTTTACGGCCTCTGGGGCACATTCGAGGACGCCCGTCTATGGCTACGCGCAATCCCCACCCCGAAATGCATCCTCTCCCTCGGCTCCATGTTCGGCAACGACGAGCTCCCCCTCGCCGTCGCGCACATGGCGCCCTGGCGCGAGGTCCTCAGCCCCACAACAGACTTGATGCTCGTCGGCGTGGACGCACGAGGCGCGGAGTCTCCACGTGGAGCTGAAGCGCATGTACCATGATGCAGGCGGGGTCTGGGAGCGGTTCATCCGGGGCGGCCTGCGGGCGTCGAATGCGCTTCTGGGCGCGGAGTGGTATCGCGATAGCGACTGGGCGGTGGAGGATCGCACGGGGGAGGATCCGCCGCGGCATTGGTTTGCAATTCGGGCGGTTCGCGATGTGGAATGTGCGGCCTTGGGGTTGAGGGCTGGGGCCGGGGAGATGGTGGACTTTTTTGAGAGCTGGAAGTATGGGCCTCGCATCATGGCGGATTTGTTTGCGAGGGCGGGGATGGAGGAGCGGGGGGGTGTGAAGGTCCCCTGTCGGAGAGTTCTGTTAGTATTCCCTTGCCCATTCTTTCTGTCTGGTTGGTAATTCGTTTGGCTAACGGAGTGTTTGCAGATCAGTATCTGGTGTCTTTCGCTGATGGGAGCGAGGACGGAGCTTAGGATTCCCGTTGCAGACTTTTCTGTCTGGTTCTGGTTGTTGTGTAATGTCTGGTCTTTTGTATCTGGTCTCCTTTCGTTGATGTTCTTGGTTTCTGCTGTCTTGCTACTTACTGTATAGCTATATATTGTCTCCTCTTTTGTTGATATTTTTGTTTTCCTGTTGTCTTTCTAATTACTGTATAGCTCCCTCGTTTATGGTTTTATATCGCCTCGCTGGCAACCCTTATCACTCATACATGGTCCTCCTTGAGTACTGGAAAGCTAGCCTGTCACGCGCAATTGTCAATCCAGGATGGAACATACTCTCCAGGTCCAAATCTTGAGCCTTTCCCCATCCCTTCCTTCTCTTACCATTCATCGCGGTCTATCTGGGTTCTCGGCCGCCAGTAGTTCCAGTCTCGAACTAGGAGAGTCCCAATGGCATGGCCGGCAACCGGAATCTTGGGCGGACTATGGGCGTATTTCCCCTCCATGGTCTCTTTTACGAAGACATAGATACCAGCTCGAGCCCAAGGGCTGTATGTAGTTCGGTTGTTACATTAACAAGAACCCTCTCACCACCAGCAGATGTCTGTGACAGAAGTCCATCAGCCGATTTCTGGACATTGTAATTAGTGCTGCGCAGGGCTCAACTTCCAAAGCAATAGACAGTTCAGAGGTGGATATGGCGAACTAACCCCTACTACTCTAAAAAACCAAGTATTAATCTTCCCCGGGGCCCCCGCCACTATATTAACCTCATATCAGGGCAACTTCTCGCCGTGATTCCTCGCCTCGCAATGTCGGTCGGCGTAACAGTTCCCTTCCCCTTTTCATCCAACGGCGACCACTTTGATCCACCCTAGTCAGCAGGCCGTTCCGCGATTCGCCAAGTTGTCAAAAGACAGCTTGAGTGTTATATAATCCGCTCAACCTTTGCCTCAGGATTATTGTATTCAGCCAGGGCTTCCTCGTGACATTTAGCTTTCGCCGGGCGTTTTGAGGCGTATAGGTTCGTATGCGGGTAGGGTAAGAGCGGCAATACGATCGGATATCCCCCGGATGGCGATGTTTTTCGGGGGCCATCCGATGGAATCCATGCATGTAGTCAGAGCGTCAGTGTTGTCTTGGTTATTTAAAGCTGACAGCACGCATCCCCCTCGGCAGTCTTTTATTTTCCTACAGCCTGCATTCATCGCGCACTTTTCTCTCTCCTTTGCAATAAAAACCCCTGCTCCACCCTACCCTCCCACCATGTCCTACGTCACCACCATCCTCTACAAAGTCGAAGACGACACTGATTTCGACCTGGAATACTACCTCAACGAGCACATGCCCTTGTGCGCCAAAGTATGGGAAAAGTACGGTATGACGGGCTGGTCCGTGACGAAATTTGACGTCGATCCTCAGGGGGCTAAACCCGTTTACGCGGTCCGCTGCGACAGTTACTGGGAGAGTGAAGAGGGGGCTAGGAAGGCATTTAATGGGCCCGAGAGTAGCGACGTCATGGCGGATATTGTGAAATATAGCAAGACGCAGCCTATTGTCTTGTTTGGGAAGCCCTTGGCCGAGGCAACTATTTGAAGGTTGGATGATATGGCCCATGAGCCCCTTGCCCCGGCCACGATGCGAATGTTGCCAGGAACTAACCAAACTATGTAGGAGCCACGCAATCCAGAATCAGAGTATATCGTCACTGGGAAGTGGGGGGTAAGAAAAAGGCACCAAAATTGCGGTCAGCTCCTGGCATAGGCGCGCAGACAGTTTCAGAACGTTTTTCATTCAGTTAGACAAGTGGGTTTATGGCATGGGCAAGCTCATAAAAAAGGCTTTCTAGAGAATGGGAACCAGGCGTCTCTCCCTGGAATATAGCTACGCTACATGTTTCTCCCTCCACTTCCTATCGTTAGCCTTGAGCATGTGGCGAAGCACTACCTACTACCAGCATAAGCCCTCAAACTATATCAAGGTGATCTATTCCCGGCGCACCGAATCGGCTTCTGTTTGCAGCTGTCCCTCCCCCTCTAGGACCTCCATCCACAAGCCATTAACGCAAATATCCCACTTCTTATCCCCACCGGGAGCTGCCGCAAAGATGTCAACCATGTTTATATTCCGTCCCCACGCGTCATCTCCAAAGATATTAAACTCTATCCCCTCCGTCCTCTGATGCCCACCCTGTCTATACGGCGTCCAATAAGTGTACACATTGCGCGCCTCCGAGTCCACAATTTCCCACGCATTGATACTCACCAATAGGCCTGGCGGGACATCGCCAAGTGGCTTGAAAGAAAGACCCTTAAGGTTAAAGAACGCGGATAGACCGGCGGAGTGGCGCCGGGTTGCATTAGAGTCAAACTGGGGCCTTAACGGATGGTAATTTCAAGGGCCGAAGAGTGCGTTGGGGGATGAGGAGGCGCAGTCTGTAGAGTTTGGCTCGATAAGACCGAGATTTGCCGCCGTCGTGGTCTCTACGATGGAGAATCCGCGGAAAGCCCGATACGAGTAGGAGGAGATGGATCCGGTTCCGCCCGTGGCAGCGATGTCATCAACCTAGGATCCTGTTACTTCTGAGAGCAATACATTAAGGGAGCGAGGAGCAGCTTACATGGAGAATAAGACTATGGTTCTTAGGTTTTTAGAGGCTATGACCCATGATAAAGTTACCGAGGGCTGCTTGGTCACTTCGACCTTGCGTACTTGAACAAAGCGCCAGCAAAGCGAAGATGGATTCTGGATTTCAATTGAATCATGATCGTAGGACATTACTTGAGCGTGTGAATAAAAATATTGGAGCCAGGACTGATGGGGGCTTGATAAATCCTGATCTCAACCTTAAATAGCCGTCTACCTGCCTGTTCAAAGCCCCGCTCCAACTTCTTTAGGCTAAAGAGACTGTGGACAGGGGTAGACAAGAAATCCAACCACTAGGATTTTGATATTATCCAACATGCAACCTTGTAAGGGGTAGTGAGGTAGATTAGCCCCGGTTGCCCCGCCCCCGCAGTGCATACGCACGCTCCGTCACCAATGGACAGGTAAGTCGGCCTTATCTCCAGGCGCCAGATAAGGCCTTTTGTGCGAGATCGTGACGTTGGAGACAAGCATACTAGTCATCAGGCTTGCGCTTTAGCTGCGTCTGTTCTCTATGTAGTCAGGTATATGTTTTTCGGCAGCGACATACCAAAGGAAAGGACAAGGTGTATAAGACTACCTTAATATGGAGAATAGCTCTATGATATATAAGTTCTTGCCTTTTCATCACAGCAAGATGTTCGATGCAATAGTTTATGTTCATGGTAGTGATAAAAGCCTTGTAATAGGCTAGCCAGCCCAGATAAGTACAGCCACCAGGAAACTCCAAGCCACAAATTATGTCCAATCTCCCGTCTAACCTTCATGGGCACTATTATGACTGTAGCCAGAGAGGTTTACTCAAGAAAATATCCACTTCACACGCAGCATCCACACATTGCGCGAGGCTGCCGAAAAGGAACTGCCTCCCCGTAAGCCCAGGGCCGTAATGCGCATATTTGGCAGAGTTCGTCATGATGGCATTTGCAGACGGCAGTATAATCGGATCCCCGATCATACACCAGCAGGTGTCGGTAACAAACTGGATGCCGAATTCCTCCAGCGCCGTGATGAGCCCTGCCTGTGTGGCTAGGCCGTAGCACGCCCGCCCGCATGTCACAATGACGGTGACGCCGTCTCTTTTCCGGCGGCCCCGGCAGAGTCGCGCGAGTTGTCGCATCTCCTGGAGGGAGAAGTGCGGGTTGCCGAGGGATATTAATCCCACCTCTTGATCGGACGATGCGCTGTTTAGTTGTTCCCAGCAGGAACTCAACGTGGCCAAGCTGACACTGATTCTTTGTATATCTGGATCCTTGCGGAGGACAGCATCGAGCGTTGTGGCTTCTGGTGTGACCCCGAGAATATGGAACATGGGAGCACTCGACAGTGTTGCAAATGCCGCGCCAAACGCCTTCAAATTATCCCTCGTAGGGGCGAGAGATGAAATCCCCACAATGACAGGGATACGATTCACCGTGAGGCCTCCAACATGGTAGCCGAGCAGTGGGTAGAAAGAATCATCAATGGACCAAGAATCCCCAATACCTACAACTGTAACAACAAGAGACGCAAGTCGATTAGCGTCAGTATGCGGCCCTCCCTTCGGCGCACGACCCGTCAGGGCAATAGCTATATCGAGGAAGTCAGGGTACTTCATTGTCCTGGCGCCCAGTACGCTATTCGCATAGACCACAGCATTAGACTCGGCCCATGCGACCTGCTCGCCGAATTTCGGCGCAGACTCCAGTTGATACGGTGCGCATGTAAAGGTCGGTCGGGCACCCATGTCTATGTACGCCTGGGCCAGCGATTGGGCGTTTCCGGCGAAGAGGGGATCAATTCCCTGCGCGCGCCAGCGGTTTAGGTCGATGGATATCGAGTTGAGGGTTGTTGGTACGCGCACTTGGCCTCCCCAATCACGAAGCTTGTCTGCGACGGCCAGTGAGGCTGGCCCTGTGTATATGCAGCCGTCGACATGGACTTGGGAGACGTCCATTAACTCTTTGGTACCGAGCAAGCGCGCCATTTGTAGAAGGATTCGCATCGAGACGCGCGCAGCCTCGCCGTAGGCACCTTCAAGAAATGCCCGGTCAATTGGGGAAAGCTTCACGGAGCCTACATGTATGCTCCGTCTCCCGATGTCGATACTTGGACCATGTGAGCAGCCATTACCATCTTTAACACCCCTGCTTGTAACCCTCACGCGCCCACCAGAAACCTCTACCCAGGAGCCACCAAGCCCAAGAAGCTGCCGAAAGTCGCCCGGCTGCAACCTCACGATTGGAATAGCCAGGCCAAAAATCTCCTCAGCAACCATTACACCCAGCGTAAGAATCTCCTCTTGCCGCTCGAAAATAATCGCATTAGGTCCCTTGCCGTTCCTTAGAAGCTCTAGCATAACCCCGCTCGCGGAACACGAACCGCGGCCACTGGGGATGGCGAGGATGGAATGCTGGAGATGGCGCCCGCTGAGCTCGTGGTGGCGGTCGACAATTTCCCCGGTGGAGGGATTCACTCCGCCCCAGAAACTTAGCGGTTCGCTGCTGGGAAGGAGCGAGCCGGCGCCCTGTCCATCGATGTAGGCTGTTCCGTGGAAAATCGTTTCCGTGCTTGGTGGGTCTCGTGTCATGTTTGCGATGGTAGGAAGCGGTATAAGATAGACCCAGACGGGATGTGCCTTACAATCTGTGAAAGATAGTTATGCAATATCATAAAAGGGCTGAAATCCGAGGAGACCAGGTGGCTGTGTATGGGAGCTAACGTTGCTTCAAAACGGGCGGGATGAACGTGGCGGCGATCCAAAAAACTGGAGTCGCCCCGCGCTCGAGTCTCCCCACCATCCCCATTCCCAGTAAAGAAGAACTCCCATCTCTGCCAATCCGAACCTTTCCAGCTTTCCAAGGACTAGGGCTGCATCTTGGTTGGTGTCGCGTGCAATGAAACGTTGCGTGTGGCCCGAGATCAGTGAAAGAATTGCGAGGTAATATTCCTCACAAATTCAGTAGGGCAAACAACGAAAAAAAGAGGAAACAAAAACGTGGAAAAGAAGAAAGAGCATTACTTGTTGAGTCTTTTCAAAAGTGACCCCGCGACCTTTGGCAACGAACGCAGAAAATTTAGACTTTTATCAGCGAGACAGACTCCTTCCTCCCCGCAGCAAACACCACATCAATTACCACAGGCGTAAAAAGAACAATAAATTCTTGCATCGAATAGAATCAATTACAATCCGTAGTTTGAAAAGAAAACTACCTGAAAAAATGAAATGGGATGAACCGGCAATCCAAATGATGGACCAAAGTAGGCTTCAGTCGTGCGCTCCTGATATGGCTGTTGATGATTGGGTTGGCTGATGAAGGCGAAAGTGGATACATCCTCCCAACTGACCTATCACCCCGTGTGATTATGTAGCCCACCTAACTTTCTGTACCAGAGAGGTTGCTTTTAAGAACGAACTTGGAAAAGACCTCGACAGAATTCAGGGCTATCTATCATAAAGCAGTAAACCGGTGCTGGAGGCAATTAGCTAAGAGAAGGCTAATACCAGAGAAGAAGAACGCCCGTCAAGAATTTCCCTCTTGTTGTGGCTGCATCGCTCCTCCGCCTAGAGTCTCTTAGCATTCGAAAATATATAGTCGAGCCGTATCATGCATGTCGACCGGAGCTTAAAGCATAATGATGGTCGATACAGACTAAGGATATGTTCCATTTATAGGTGACTGTTCCTTGGTTCCTGACATCGTTCTCGCAACTCAATAGAGTAGAACCAGGCCACCTTGGACCCCTCGTCGCACTGGGCACAGGCGGGGGCGGCAAAATGGCGGACCTTCCCAATCCGGACTAGGAGCCGACGGCGGACCTTGTTTCCCAAATCCAGCGCCGGCCGCTCGAGCTCAGACTCTCCACCATGCTTTCTTCGACTCAACAACCATCCTGCATCCTGTGAAACGCAAGTATTACTGTGCGATGGAGCTCACATTCTTGATTGGAAAAGACGGGAGGAATGTAAAGCGACCGCAATCTCACCGCGCATGCTCACTGTGCCGCCGGAGAAAGGTACCCCTTGCTTCTGTATCGTCGCGCTTTATGGCCGAGTTGACGCGAATAGAAACGATGTTCTCACAACCCATCGTGTCTTCGGAGATCGTCTCCGCGGACTCCAAAGCATCTGCATGTCATCCCGCAAAGCGACCCGTCGTCTGAACAGACATCGCCGCTCAGCAATACCGAGCAGGAGCTTACCATTTCCTCACGGACCAGTGTGTCCGAAGCACATACTGCTCCCGAGGATCTGGACCTTACTGGCCGGCAGTTTATTTGCGATACCAACCCGGTTGTTGGTCTGTTGGAAGATCGAGGATCAAGACTCCACAGAGGCCGATCTGATCGCGGAGACGTGGGAGCGTGGGTAGATCAGAGCCATACTTCCAGTCCCGGCGCTGTTGACCGGAACTCTCCGCTTCTTGGAGGACAGGACTTGGACAATCAGCATCATGTCGGCGATTCGAACCCAGTTGTGAGCTTACTTGACGGTAAGCAGCCGGGGCTTCAGCACGGCCATGCTATGCATGGAGTAGTAGGTGCCTGGTTCGACCAACGCACTAGTTCTTCCCTGCGTAATGGGGATAATGAGCAAAGGAGCGAACAAGAAACCTCAACTAGTTTTGGTAGCCCAGCATTGCCTCCAAGGGGTGACATGGAAGCACTGCTGAACATATACTTCGATCGCATTCATTCATTACTGCCACTGCTTGATGAAGATGAGATACGGTCACAGTCTGCGCTCGGCACATTATCTATCCCACTGCTGCAGGCTATAATTCTTGTTGCCTCGAAAGACCGTGCCGCGACGCCTTTCCTCCGGCTCGGGTCGGACACGGCTGTTCTACGGCAGGAGAGATTCAGCGAGCGTATCTACAACGACATTTTGAAGAACATGCCCAAGAAAGAAGAAAAGAAGCGAATACTTACCCTTCAAATCCTGACTCTGTTGTCGCTGCACGATTGGGGCACTGATGGAGCAGAAGAATCCTCGCTACACCTCAACCAGGCCATCCACCATTCTGAGACAATCGGCCTGCACCACCTAGCGACTCCAGAAAGACAGACCAAAACATCGCTGAAAGCACTGTTCTGGTGCCTGTGGAGCCTCGATAAATGGAATGCCGCTATCAATGGGCGTACTATCATGATCAACGACTGCGACCTGAGCCACGGTGTCCAGAGTGCGATCCCAATGTTTGAACCGCCATTTCGGGTCTGGCTCCATCTTGCGGACCAGCTTTCCAGCGTGATCAAGGCATATCGTCCGATCGCGGATGGGGCGAGGAGTGACGAAATGGATGTTCTCACCTTCGAAGAGCTCATTGATCGTTCCGTTGCGTGGGACATACGGCCTGAACTGCTTGGTAGGAATGGTTGCCCCTTGTCTAATTCTGATCTTCTAATCAAGAACAGATTCATTCGAATTCTATCACCATGCTGTCGTCTTGCTTTCCACCTATTCGAATGGCCTACAGGGGCGCTCGCATAGCCGAGCCTCGAGCATCCGCCACAGCCATTCAGTCTTAACGCTGGCATCCCTGTGCCGGGACAAGGATGTTAGAGATCTATCGCCCTTATCAATGTCAGCGTACACACTGTCTCTTGTCTTTTCGATAACCTACAAGCTCTGTAAAACGTCAAAGCTGCGGAGTGTGAGGACTCAAGCGAGGCTCAACCTAGAGATGTTCTACACGCGTCTTAAATGCCTGAGCTCGACTTGGTGGCTCGCTGCGATTATGACCAGTCTCGGAGGCCGCGCAATGGAGAACCTGGACCGTCAGTCTAGGATATTGCCGGATGCCTCTGATGAAGTCGAAACCCCGGCATCACCTCGTTCTAACGGTCAGGTGTCACCTGGGTATTCGACTACGCGGCCATTGAATACTCAAATGCTCGACAAACCCGCCAGTGCCGTCAATATCCATGATGGGTACCTTCACGAACAAGCACTACCACCAATGGGCCCTGATTCTTTTGAACTTGCTACTCTTGCAGGTGCCGACCCTGAGACTTTTGACATTTTTCTCGACAACTTCCCGGATGTCAACTTCTCCTGCGCTGCGAGTGATCAACTGTTTTGGGACATGGAAATATGACTATTAATCGACATATACTTACGATATACATTACTCAACTGCGAGGATGAATGCCATCTTTACGCCTGGAGTCTGGGCGGCTCGTCCGCATCCACCCGAAATCGAGATACGCCTTGTGGGGTGGCATGTCAGCCTGGTTGGGCAGGCCCGCCGATCATGGTGACCATCCTTAAATGAGGTATAGGTATACAGACCTCCTTCGAGTGAAGCTGGAGACGTGTTCTTGACCACGAGGATCTGCCCCTTGACTCTCCCCTCCTACCTTCTATTTCTGTCGCTTTCCAGCAATATCAAACATCTGTGCTTGAGTGCGCTAAGAGAAACCCTATCCTCTGGCTACTCTCAACGATTAAATCTCGGCAAAAGACCTTGAAACGATTTCGGGATGCAACATCGTGTTCTCCTCGTATCTATCTTCCACATTGAGATTGAGGATGTAACAATGCCGATCGCGATCGTCGCCGCGATCACCCATGCAGCTCGTATTGTGAAGAAACCCCAGCCTATTTTTGGCATCGTATCCGGGAATCTCCACTCGGATCGTATTCAACCCTGAGGTTTGATGTAAATTATGAAAATTATCATGATGACGACCCCAAGGTAGGATTGTCACATTGTGGCATGCTCGTGTCTCCCCTGACGATAGGTCCAATGAACTGATCGGTGGTACTAGGACGCGATTCGTGAGCTATCTTTGGAAACGAGCGCAGGGGTTTGAATTTGTGGGGTAATGCTTGCGTCTCAGCGTCCCTTGCTTGGGACCCTCTTCGATACTAGGCCGGAAAGAGCGCAATTACGAGGACTATGTGCCATTTCCAATAGAAAGGCACACAAAGCGCACGCCCGCGACTGCTTAGGAGGGACCATATCGCCGTCGCTTAATAATATAGCGACTAATCGACTAGGAAAGTAGAAAACGAGGTGATCTGCATTCTTCGAAAATAAACAGCAACGTGCTCGTATGATGCGACATGAGGCGAGGAGGCAGGAGACAAGGTCGTGTTCTCGACGGGTCGGAATGACTTTCTCGACATCGTTACGAAGAAGCAGGCAATCGGAGGGAAGGGCGTGGAGCCAGATTGACTGCAATCCTCTCTAATCAACGGCAAACCCTCGTGTTTTGCGACAATGAAGTCCTATTGTATGTGGATCCCCTCGTAAAGGACTGTTTCGATGAGTACTCGGTACTACCCTCCCGCATCAAGGCAAGGGAACATTGCCACACCAGCCGAGAGAATATCAGCACTTTGAAGGTATAAAAGGCTCGAACCCTTCCACCATTGCTCGTCTTCATTCAGAGTCTCATCCCCACGCACCGAGTCCAAAGCAAGCAATCTCAGAAATAGCCTCACCACCGATAGAAGACAACATCCACCTCTTTACGCTTCAATCCACACCATGCATCTCAAAAGCCTGGCTTTCGCCCTCGCGGCCGTGATCTCGACGGCCACCGCATACCCCATCACGGGCGACAACGTCAACTGCCGCGCCGAACCCACCACCAAATCCGACGTTGTCGAAGTCTACGCAAAGGGCACCGACGTCAAACTCGAATGCCAGACCCACGGCGAAACCGTTCTCGGCACCTCGCTCTGGTCGAAGACCACCGACGGCTGCTACGTCACTGACTACTACGTCAAGACGGGCTCGACGGGGATGGTCACGGATGACTGCAACGGTGGTGGATCTGGCGATTCCTCATACAACGGCGAAATCTCCCGCGAGGAAATCCTCTCCCGTGGACAGTACTGGGTCGACCGCAAGGTTCCCTACTCGATGAGCAAGACATACCCGGATCAACAGGGCCGAAAGTATCGAACTGACTGCTCTGGTTTCGTCTCGATGGCGCTGCATGCGTCGTCGCCCGGTTTCAGCACCGTCAGTATGACTGAAATCGCAAAGTCCATCTCCTGGGACGATATCAAGCCTGGTGATTTTGTGGGCACGTTGGGCTCGGGCACAGGTGGTGCGGCTGGTCACGTCACGCTGTTCCATTCGTGGGCTGGAAGCGACAAGAAGGAGTACAACACGCTTGAGTGCCGCGGTACCTATGGGTGTGTCAAGTATAAGCGCCCTGTTGGGTGGAAGGTTGGCAGCTACACGGCCAAGCCTTATCGGTACATCCGCGTCAAGGACTAAGCCAACCATCGGGATAAAACCTAGGGTTGAACCGTGACGGAATCGAGTCTCGGGTACATGTATATAGCTTTCTGACACAACCCGCTCCTCGGGCATGCGTCTGCTGATTGTTTTGGATTATGCTTTTGGTTGTTGTTGCAATATGAGTTCTGCTATTCGTGATCACCGGCCGAAAAAATCTTACTAGTATCGTATGGTTTTCTGTTCTAGAACAAGTTCAATTCCAATTCCAGAAAGTTGCCATTGACCACTTTAGGCTTAGGGAATGCTGAGTGTAAGGTTCATGAATTGTTCGTGGCACCTCAATCTGGGTCTTCAGAAGCCAGAGCTGGAGGCCAATCTTGGGGAAAGGAGATTGATCACCTGCAGAGGCTACCACAACAGGCACTGGACGAGGTGTGCATGTAGTCACCTGGAGTAAGCCGTGCAATTCCGCGGAATTAGCTCGCTGTAGCCCAGCCCGTCTGCTTAGCAGCCCAGTCAAGCTAGTATTGCCTCGGAGAATTGAGCCGCCTATAGCCGATACGGCACTGCAGAAGGCACTGCAAGCGTTACAGGCAGGGTAGGAGGCCCAGAAAGCAGTACGGAAGGCAGCATAGGAGGCTGCGGAGGATGCGGTATCGAAGATTCCAAAGATAGTGCAGGACAGTGTGGCAGATGCAGTTGAACAGGTAAAGAGGGACTATAAAAAGCCATTCGGTGAAGACCCTCATCCACATTCCCACGGCATGCAGCCAGGCAGTGTGAAGCCAGTCTGATGGCAAATTCATTTACTCCCTGAAGCAAGGGGAGATTTTTGTGATTTATTGGTGTTTGCTCACAGTGGCTGTACGAATCGCGAAAGTACAGCCATTGATGCAATGTCAGGCATTCCATACACAATCCTAGTAAATAGTCACTGGATTCTGGCGAAAAGAGATCTTCTCACGATTATGAATATCTTGGCATCTCGATAAGGACAGCGCTGAGTCGGAACTGTTGATACAAATGTAGGCAACGCCAAATTGGGTATTACTTAATTTTTCTAATCGCAAGTCTTTTTATACCTGATCTTACAGTAAACTGGGTGGAGCATCCCTGGTGAACAAATCAGAAGAAGCAATTCAGGGTAACTACCTAGTTATGAGGGGCTTGGATCTAACGGACCAAGCCAGCCAGGCGCTCTTTTAAAAGATAGAGAACAATATATTCTGTTTGGTCGGGTTTATCTTAAAGGCTATATTATATCATCGTTAAGGTTATACTTGCGTCGCATGTGGCGTACCAAGAGTATGCAGAGTTCCCCGACGGTGCCCGCGTTGACGATCTCAGGAGTTGGAATATCAATCTTGAGTGACCGACGGAAAGAAGTATGGATCTCAACCGCCATGAGCGAATCTATCTGCACGGCCTTGTGCTGCTCCTCATCCATATCGTGGTGCGCGGCAATCTCCTCCGCAACTGCCTTCGCCATCCCAATCTTCAAAGCCCGGACTACATCCTCCTGATTCAGGAGGGTAGGTTCCTGTTCAACCCGCGCGAAAAGGGCACTGAGTGCGCTGCCGCCTCCTTCCTGATTACCAGTGGAGGACGCACCTAGCTGACGGTCTTTATGGAGCGCAAATCGCGCGTCAAGCCCCCACATGTATTTGGTGGGAGCACCAAGGGATTGGACGTGTCCGATCCCGACACTGAAGGAGCATTGTTCCTGGTCTTCGCCCCTAGACTCCAGAATGGCTAGTTGCAACGCATCGAGAACCTCACTCTCTGACAGAATCTGCGTGTGTGAACGCATCGCGAGGTCAAGCGTTTCCTGGCGTTGGGTGGCGATTCCAGCCTCTTCAACAAGGCCCAGATGGACGACAGAAGCAACAAGACCGTTCGTACGCCGGTATCTGGCGAACGCGTCCAGGAATGTATTGGCAGCGGCATAATTCGCCTGTCCGCCGACGCCAATGGTTCCAGATATGGAGCCAAACATGACGAAGAAATCCAAGGCGAGGCCTTTGGTCACCTGGTGAAGATGGCGTGTCCCAGTCACTTTGGGCGCAAGGGCCATTAACCAATCCATATAAGTCATCTGCGAGAGCGTGCGGTCCTGATCCAAAAGCAGAGTTAGAGAGCTGTCAGAGACGCATATAGTTGGGGAAGAAGGGGCTTGGTTTACCCTGAGAATGCCGGCCATCTGGATGATTCCGGCTAGCGGCCTTAAACAGCTCGACACGGCCTTCTCAACATCTGCCAGATCGGTGACGGTGCCTTTGACGCAGGTGACCTCGCATTCCTGAGCTTCCAGCTCTCGAATGAAAGCACGGTGCTCTGGCAGCTCGCCGGCTGTTCTTGATAAATAGACGAGAGAACGTGCGCCATGCTTGGCCATCCAGCTCGAGACTAAGCGGCCGATGCCGCCGAGGCCCCCAACTAAAAGGTACGAATGATCCGGAAGAAACGAAGACACCGCCCGCACAGGCGTACACCCCAACAAGGCTGGATCGCCAGAAGGCATTCTAAGCACCACTTTACCCATGTGCGAGCCTGTTTGCAAGTATCGGAGTGCATCCGCAGCCTGGGCTGCATCGTAGACATGCAGGGGCCGGATTGGCTTAATGAAGCCGTCTCTGCGGGCGTCTGAGAACGACCGGTTGATCCTACAGAGCGTGTTAGGGCCGAGAGGTTATTCTGGGGGACTGTTTCACATACTGCTCTCTGATCTCAGGCCGCTCCTTGAGGACCCCCATGAGATCCACCCCAGTGAAGGACCGGTTCAACATGAAGGGACTCATACTGAGGACGCCATGGGTCAAGAAGTCGCGCTTCCCAAGCTCAATCATCTTGCCATGTGGAGCAACACACTCCCAGCTTGCGTGTAGTAGGTTCCCGGCCAGCGAGTTTAGCACCAGATCCACTCCCCTTCCATCGGTGGTCTCCATGAGGCTGGGTAGGAACGAGCTGTCCCTGGAGTTGAAGATCTGCTCCGGCGGTATCTGAAGAGACTCGACCAGGTAATCCATTTTTTCCTTGGTTCCGACTGTAGCATAGATCTAGGGAGCGACAGTGTCAGCCTAGTTTGACCAGAATAATCGTATCATAAGGAAAAATCAACGTACTTTGGCTCCAATCATTTGGCAGATATGCATTGCAGCTATACCAACGCCCCCGGCAGCAGAGTGGATCAGAACGGACTGTTCGAGTTAGAACTGAGTAGCGCCACAAAGTATAGAGACAGAGAATAAAAAGGGGTTTCTTTTGTTTTTATGGACTCACCTGTCCTTTCTGGAGATTCCCTACATTGATTAACGAATATAGTGCAGTCATATAGACCACCCCCATGGATGCCGCATCCTGGAGCGAGACCTCATCAGGGAGGATAGTCACCAGCTGGCGATTCAACCTCACGCGTGTACGACAAAGCCCACTGCTAATAATACTGACCCTATCACCGGGCTGGAGCTCGGGGATGCTGGGCCCAACTTGGCGGATAACACCGCTTGCCTCCAAGCCGCATTCTTCTACAGCGCCGACGTATCCCAGAAGAACGAGCAAATCCTATGGCCACCTATTAGCATGGGTTATTTCCGCGGTGCGTTGCTCGTGTCCACAATTCCTACCCGGAAATTCACTCCAACATACGCGACCTCGACCTCGACCTCCCCAACCCCCAAGGGAGCCGTCGGTGACGGAACAGGCAGCCACTTGATTGTGTCCAGGTGCCCGATAGAGTCGATAGTAAGACTTCGCGGAATCTCAGTCGTTGGCATGACTGATAATTCCTGAGCAAATGCCGACTGATATGACCGAGGGATATAAACCGTGCCGTCGACTGCAACAAACTCATAGTCCTGGTCGCCGTCTAGGCGGTCTCGAGCCGCGTTGATCTTTTCACAGACGGAGACAATCGCCTGCGTAGCCCGTGGATCCGAAACGTCCACTTCTAAGATGGAAATATCCAAACTTAGCTCCTTCCTCACCGTCCGAACGAGTCCATGAATGGTTCCGAATTCCGGGTTCTCACACTCGCGGTGTGTCGTTGGTAGTGTCACCCACAGGAGCCGAGTGTCCTGCACCTCAACCAGGAAGTCCTTGAAGGTGTCAAATTTCTTTTCGGTGAGTTGCTCCAGGTAAGGAGCTTGCATATCTAACAAGCAGACGACAAACCGTCCGTTGTCTGGAGGGTTATCGACAGTCCTATGCTGCACCGCGTAACCCTGTCTCTCGAACTCAGATGATACCTCTTCTACCCAAGGGAGATTGGTATCGCTGGAGGTAACGATTGCAATCTCGCTCAGGCGGGAAGAAGAATGGCAGGGGCTGCAGATTATGCTGACTGAACCGAATAGATCCAATACCATGGCCTCTGGCGCGGCAAAACCAGCTGTGCGTAATTCGGTATCCCAAAGGTCTGTAGATGCAAAGGGGCTGATGGGGTCGTTGATATCCTCGCTCAGCCACGATTCAGCAAATGGACTCTTCGAGTGTGTCAGACAGAATGCTCGTCACCTGCGATAGAAAGCCATGGGCAGGAAAGCCTTACCATGAGGAGATCAAAAAACACCATTTCTACGAGGGATGCATGGTCAGCCGGATCCTAATGAAAGTTCCTTTTTTTTTTCCGATGGCTTGTTTTTACCTTTTGTGCGCTCATGAAGCAGTAGTCGGCCCTGAGAGCATAAGAGTTTTCGAATATTCTGTAAGGCCGTTTGTAACGAAGGGAGAGCATGCAGAGCCTAGACTATAGTCAGAGACAAATAATAGGCAATCTTGTGAGTGACGCACATAGGACACAATGATGAGATCGAAATCGTGCGGTCGAAAGCCTTGCTCCTCGGGATCACTGCTGATGTTCAGCAGCTGGAACTCCATCTTGGCCTCCCTTTGGAATTTCTCCCGGGCAGCAGAGATACAGCCATCTGACACATCAGTGAAGACGTAGCGTGAGTACATATGCGATCCAGACTCCAATCTGAGGCTCTGCAAGGCTGTCCGGGTTGCTGAACCGGTGCCGGCCCCGATCTCGAGGATCCGCAGGCCCGGATTCGAGTGAGAAAGCAGGGTAAGAAACGGACTCCAGTTCACGAAGCGGCAAGCAATGCCGTAGACTTGTTCTAGCATGAAACCTGTTTGCCCTATCTCGATGGGCGATCGCGTTCCATTGGCAAAGTCAATGCCATACTCAAAGGCCAGGGCTAGACTTTCTGTCAGCGGCGAGTAATCGCCCATTAGGGGCGAGACCTTATTCATGAGTCGGCGAACAAAGTCTTCCCGGCCTTCTGGGTCAAACGCATCCCACTCTGGGCAGCCCTGGGACGTCGCATGTTTGGCTTCGCCGATGACAGCCGCCACATCGCGGAACACATCTTGGATGGCTCGAATAACAGGAACATCAGATTCAGACGACACGATCCAGTCCGCCAGGCCCAGGAGGGGATCAGCTCCTCTTGTGATTCTTTCATGGTGCTGGAGGATAGACTCTCTCCAATTGGCGAGCTCGACCATGCTTCCAGGCGCGATAGCAACCCGCTGGGCAATTGCCCGAAAACAGAGACTGGAAAGGAGATTAGTCACTTTCGTCAGGAGTTGCATCTCTTCGTCACAATCGGCCCGCATAGGAAGAAGCTGCCTTGGACGCAGCAGATCGATGTCTGGCTTCCACTCCATTCGTGAGACAAGGCCGAGGGACTGCCTGGAAGAGGCTGGCGGCCGCCCAACTTTCAACATGAGGACACCATCCATGGCCAGGATGGCTTCTTCTCCTGCCATTCCGGCTACCTCACCGTAATGACCTCGGGTTCCGTTCTGAGAGCTGGCGGCGACCTGTATGCGAGACGCACTCCCCGAGAGAGAGAGGCTCTCAATAGCGACAGGTAGCAGTGCCTGTGTCATCGGGGAAAGAAGCCCCGAGGTGGTGGCGATCGCAATCGCCTGGAGACATTGGTCAAGGCAAGTCGGGTGCATGAGGTACCGGCCACAGCTCGTGTGTAGTTCGTGGTCGTCGATGATTGTCGCCACTGCTACAGCCCGCCTTGGATCCGCAGTGATGTCCTGAAGTTGCCGAAAAGACGGGCCACATTCCATCCCCACTTTCTCAACGGTCCGGTACCACTTGGCGGAAGATAAGATGCGTGGATGTGGATAAATGGCCCTGGGCTTGAGTGGATGCTCCTGTCCGGCGCGCACTTGGCCCTGGCAGTGGACTGTCCACCCCGATCCATCGAATGCGGTGATGGTGAATCGATACCAGCTGGAAGAAACGCCATCCGCGACTTCGATCGGGTTAAAGTGAGTCAGAACTTCCGTCTCTTTGTTGTAGTCGAGCAGTAATGGGGCCTTGAACTGGATGTGCCTCATCGAATATCCGTGCGATTCCGGCTGTAGCTGGTGTACCGCTTCTCCGGCCATCGCGATGTACCCCGTACCCGGGAACGTCACCTCCCCACCAATGACATGGTCCGTGAGCCAGGGCACGTCGTCGAGATGAAGGATCTTCCGCCAGCTGGGTTCTAGAGGCGTTGATTCGGGAACGCGGGAGCCCAGCAGTTCGTGATCCGGCGTGGACCGGAGCCTCCACTCGCGACAGGCTCTGCTTTCCAGCCAATACTGCTTGTCATGCTGCCAAGGGTAGCGCGGTAGATCGCTGAGCACTGTGCCCCGCACGAAGATGCGGTCCATGTCTAGAGGAAGGCCGCTGCTGAACAGGCGACCGATCGTGGTGAGGAGGAGCGATTGGCAATCGTCATCATTGCGGATGAGAGTGGGAATATACGTCAGCACTCTCTGGACACGACTATCCGTTGTTCTGAGTATTTCCTGTAGCGGTGCTGAGAGAGCTGAATGAGGGCCGATTTCAACAAAGACGTGGTCAACTGGGTTGGCGCGAAACGCGCTCTGCACGGCTTCAGAGAAGAGAACGGGAGACTCGAGGTTGCGCCTCCAGTAGGTCGCATTTAGTTGAGCAGGGTCCGTGATAATATCTCCAGTGAAGCTAGAAAACATAGGCTGCATCTGTTTACCGGGGCACACATGAGGGATGATCGACTGCTCATATTGTGCTCCAATTCGATTCATATGTGCTGCAGGGGGTAATTCCCGTTAGCACCCGACTAAGAACATCCGGAAGCTCACTCATGGCACTCGAGTACTTACGCGAATGGTAGGCTACTGGGTTCTTCAGCCGCCTGCATAATGTGTCCGGAGACCGGGCCTTGATTGTGGCCAGGACGTCGTGCATGGCGTCTTTATCCCCCGACAGGGTAACGTTCCCGGGGCTATTGAAACAGGCGATCACCACTCCGGGCTGTAGGTATTCCCGAACCTGATCCTTGCTGAGGCTAACAGTCGCCATGGCGCCGAGATTAGCCTGGGTGGCTGCAAGCCGACCCCGATAGAAGGCAATGACGATCGCAGCACTGACACTGAGCGCACCTGCAGCATACGCGGCCGCCATCTCACCACTTGAGTGGCCGATGACGGAGTCCGGTACAATGCCTTTATCGGCAAGGACATTACAAAGGCCGATCTGAAGGGCGGTGCAGAGCGGTTGCGCCAGTTCGACATCGGAGATGCGGGAGTCCATCGGATCCCGGGTGAGCTCCTCTACCAGGCAGTGAGATTCTGCGATGAAGCAAAGGGTGTAGAATGCAAGAACCGACCTCTCAATGACCATTGTGGGGGGTCCCCCAGTTGTTGCAGGGCTTTATCCATCTCGTCAATCGCCGTGGTGAAGGGAGGGTTCGTCTGCAAGAGTGCCCTACCCATCCCTGCCCACTGGGCTCCTTGTCCGGTAAAGACAAAGGTAACGACAGGGGGCCGAGCGCGGTGAGAAGACGTCTCGAATGCTGATGTTTCCAGCGGGTAGCATGGGGATGCGAGGGCAAAACCACGGTATGGGAGATGCTCGCGACGAACTCCGAGTGTCCATGAGAGATCTGCTAGCAAGTCGGGGTGACTGTTCGCATAGTCAGTCGTAGACTGGATCCGGCGCTGCAGCGCCGCAGGGCTCTTGGCGGAGACGACCAGCAACCGTGACTCGATATCTGAGAGGCTACGTACCACCTGCTGGGGTACAAACCCAGCAGCAGAGTCCAGGATGGCGTGTGCATTGGTACCCCCTACCCCAAACGAGTTGATACTCACCCTGAGCAGTCGATCGGTGGGCCATGGCATGAGCTCCGTTGGGATTTCCAACGCGGATGGGATGCTCAGGTTGCGCTGGTGATAATGCATGTTGGGAGGGATCGCGCGATGCTCAAGGGCCATCACGGCTTTGATGATGCTGGTGAGTCCTGAGGCGCCCTCAGAGTGTCCGACATTGGGCTTGACCTAAATTGTCCCCGTTAACCGCCTGAGCCAATTCTAGGGCGGGTTATACCTAGAGGTCGGCGTACTCCACTGATTACCACTCCTTCAGGCGCAAACACCTTGGCGATGGCCGCAGTCTCCATAGAATCTCCAACGAGGGTTCCTGTCCCATGGCACTCGAATAGACCCGTCCGGTGGTACTGACCGGCCAGGCCAGCATGTCGATAGGCGCTTCGAATGAGTGCCTCCTGTGCGTCAGAGGATGGGCTCATCATGCCCACGGTCTTTCCATCACAGTTCACGGTGGTGGAGCGAATCACCGCGCGAACGTTATCCCCCGCCTTCAGCGCGTCCCGCAATCGCTTGATGTAGATTGCATTGATGGCCTCGCCGCGGGCATACCCACTGGCGTCCGCGTCAAACGTTTGACAGTTGCCGCCGGGTGACAGGACGCCCGCCGCTGACAGGGATTCAGTCATGGTTGGAGTACAGATCAAATTGGCGCCCGCCACCACGGCTGAGGAGCAGTGCTGCAACTTGAGTGCCTGGCAGGCCTCGTGCAGCCCAACCATGGTGGCTGAGCAGCCAGTCTGGATGGTCATGCTGCCTCACAAGGTTAGCCCAGTCCTGACGCAGTCACTAAGCCTCTCTTACCAAGGACCGCGGAGATCGAACTCGTATGAGATGCGATTTGACAGCGCAAAGCCACCGGTCGCCAGAGTCTGATATGGGTTGGTTCGCTGCTGGCTCTTCAAGCTCAGCTCCAGCCAATCTTCCCCAAAGACTCCCACGTAGACGCCGACAGCGGCGCCTCTCCAGTTCGTTTCACCGGCATTTTCCAAAGACTCCCAGACGACCTCGAGCAGAAGGCGTTGCTGGGGATCCAACTGTGCGGCCTCCTGTGCAGACATGGAGAAAAAGGGTGCATCGAAACACGCAGGATCCTCTTGCAGAAAATGGCCGCTTACCGGGCCCTTGGTTGGCCCCAATCTACTCTCGGCATGATACCGTGACGGCGGCACGAGGCAACGGCCATCTCGCCGACTGACGAGCATATCCCAGAACTCCTCGACCGTGTGGACCTGGCCTGGCAGTCGCATGGCCATGCCGACGATGGCAATGGGCTCGTCGATGTCAATGCTGCCCATTTTTGTGCCGGCGTTGTCGGATGTTGGGTCAATGCTCGATCCCATTTTCAGTACAGGATAAGATAATGGAAAGAGAATATCAAGAACCCTAGAGCGCCCGCGAGGAGCTCACTTCTCTGCCCTCCTGTTTTCTCTGAAATATGTTTAAATTATGATTGTCCAGTCAGTAGGTAACGATACTGTACGGCACAGCTTGGTACCAGATCAGGACTAAACCAGTACCCCCAGCTGATCGAGAATGTGGGCTCGAGCGATGTGACTCGGGCGCATGAACTACCCGGAGTAATTCCACTCCCGCTTGGCATGCGGCGGCCAGGATCCTGTTGTTCAGATCATGATTGGTGTGTGCGCTGCAGAATCACGCATGCAGAGAGGGGCTGTGATTCCTGTTCAGCACCCGCAAGCGAGCGTGACGGACAAACAGTAAGCAAAAGCAAAAACCAATAGATGATACCGGAGGTGCATGGACAGCAGCAAAGCCGGTTCTGCAAGCGTAGAAGAAGGCCCTTCGACTAGTCCCCCGCAAACTGCCCTTTTCTGGAGACACGTTCACGTTTTTTTCCTCTGGTGGCCAGCCTCAATATGGCGGATGAGATGGACTGGTATCGCGGTCAGACCGTGTTGCTCACTGGCGGCACGGGCTTTCTGGGTTCATGTCTGCTCTACAAGCTCACCGTGCAAGTGCCCACGCGCCGGGTCTTTGTGATCTGTCGCAAATCAGTCGAATATGCCATTGCGAAGCTGGAGGAGTTGATGCCAGAGCAGAGTGACGAGATCCTGGACACTGGCAAGATTCACTTTGTGATCGGAAACCTGGGTCGTCCAGACTGGGGGATGAGGCCCGCAGATCTTCAGCGCTTGAAGGATCAGGTCACGGTGGTCCTCCACGCCGCAGCAGAGACCTCCATTATTGCTAATCTACCCCAGGTGGTCCAGACAAATTGTCTGGCGTCTCTCTCGTTGCTGGACCTCCTCTGCAGCTTCCCGCTCCTCCACACTCTGCTCTACATCTCGAGTGCGTTTGTCAACATCTTCGTCCCGGAGACCTTCATCCAGGAGGAGGTATACATCCTGCATCCGGATATCGAAACAAAGGCAGACTTGCACGCCCACCTCCGATCAATCCGTGAGACTGGAACCTCGCCGTTGAGCCAACGCTTTCCCAACCCTTATATCTTCTCCAAGTACCTGGCCGAGAGAGCCATTCTCGATCAAGCCGACGCCCTGCCCTTTGCCCTCCTGGTTGTCCGCCCATCCCTGATTTGCCCCGCGATCTGTGATCCATACCCGTCCTATGGGGTTGACATGGTGTCACCAGTTTATTCGGCACTACAGATGATCGTCAGCAGCCGCGAATACGGAATCGAACGGCTGGCTCGCGAGCTCCCCCCGGACGCCTACATAGATGAATTACCGGTGGATCTGGTAGCCAACATCTGCCTGCAACATCTGGCCATGGGGACTGTGGGCATAGTGCACGCCACTGGGGACTTGTTTTTTCGGCCAACGGTCCACGAAGCCGCTCTGTTTCTGCGAGAGTATACGCCATGCGAGCTTCAGGGCCAGATCCGTCAACGACAAATGGGCGAACACAGCAGTTTGTCGGCTTTTTTCTTCGAGAATTGCAAGTGGTACTGTGTGCGATCCACATTTGGCTGTGGTCGCTCAGCCCAGCTGAAGGAATCGCAGGGAACCCTTGGTCTACAACGAGCATGCAGGGGCCCTGTGCCTATCTTCAAGGATCGTGTTGAACGGATGTCACGTGTTCTGGTTCAGCAGTTGAAGACGAGCAGCAAGGGCATTGTGTAGTTTATCTACTAGCAGCTAGTAATACGTCAATCAATCGATGAGGGACACGTAAACGCAGCTCATTGATCGTCGGCTGTTTGGCATTACAACAAGATATAACCACACGGGAAGAAACCACCTATTTTCTCCAGAGCTCTCCAGAGCTCTCCAGAGCAGGCTCTCTCACACTATGTACTCGCAGCTCCACTTCATGTCTCTGGGACTAACGTGTGTTTTTCGCCTGTCAAAAGAGCGGAAATGACGCCGGGTTAGAATAGTCAATGTTATCAGGCACACTCTCGATGCGCGTGCGGGAAGTGCCGAAGAGGCGATCCCACAGCCGGCTCTGCTTGCCGTAGTTGTAGCTTAGCTTCCAACCGGCCCGGTGATGGAGGTCATGGTCCTCAATCGAATTGTCGACATTGAACAGCTTGAGCAGCCAGAACAATGGGGTGGGTGGCGAGGCATTGATTCGAATCCCGCTGTGGGCTCCCAGCTCAAACCACAGCACGTATAATTCGCATACCCAAAACTCATAGAACCCCATCGGTAGCCCCATGCATTTAAGGCTGAGGAGTGTGGCTGTAGGAAGCCCGGCAGTTTCATAGATCCATTCCATAATCCCAGTATGAAGCGAGAGCAGAGTACACGGGTGCTTCGCGAGGTGGTGCGTCTTGTGGTATGCCCATAGGCTGGTCTCGTGCATGATCCGGTGGTAGCAGTAAAACCAGAAGTCGAACACTAGCGCATAAAGGCCAATTTCAACAGGGAGCCACGTCCAGCTCATGGAGGCCGGACTCGTGCGATGATCGTACCGCAGCCAGACAATCAGCATCGGCCGCAACGTCGAGGCTAAGAGGAGAGCCGCGATAGGCCTTGCGCCGCCAATCCGAGCCACGCTGTCTCGAACATGCTTTTTCCCGTCGAAATATCCATAGATATAGCCCAGGCGGTTGAGGATGAAAATTTCGTGGCCCCCGATCACGGTGAAACAGATACCATAAAAAATGAAGGCAGCGATCGACCCCAGATTGGTGCCCATGGTCGTGACATATATCTGGTGGAGAGCTAAGGGAAAGAATGCATGAAGGAGCACCCAGCGCTGAATATGCCAATTTCTCAGATGAGGCACCGCATCATCCTCTGAATGTAATGGAATCCTGCGGTTGTCGCCGGATGAGCTTCTCGCCGACCATCTTGAGAGCCAGCGGACGAGGGCCCCGGGCTTTCCTTTGCTCGGAAACTGTGCGGACTTTAGTGAAGCCTCTACCTTAGATCGTGTCATCTCTGGCTCTTGTAGTCGACTCATGATCGAAATGATATAAATTGCGAATGAACGTGTTGAATGGCGACCTCGTGGGTGTGTGCACTTCGCACGCGGCACTGCTCTGCCATCAGGAAAAAGGGTTAGATATTCGCGAATTTCCGGAGTACTGCACTTCGCAGTGCGCTCGGAGTAACTCTGGCGGGGATTGAAAATGTGTTCTTCTGGATCGGTACTTCGTCACTAAAAAGTTTCTCAAATACTCCGGAGCCTCTGCAGTGCCGGGGCAGTCTCCAGAGTTCTGAGCCCTGCTATTGGGGGTATTGCAAGGTGTGACATGGCTGCAGGTGTATCCCCAATCTCCACTCCCCAATCAAGAGTTTCACTGGAAGCAAACGTGAAGAACCGGCATCTAGTGCAACCGTCCATCTTGGTCTATTTATCTAACTATGGATCGGCACACTGGGGAGCCTAGTAGTACGGGGGTCAACCCCCGTGCCCGGGGGCCCCGAAGAACGAGAAATGGAAGAGACCCAGGTTTACGTCAAGCTGAAGCACTGCATAGCTCAGCTATTTCTCTATAGAACAGTGATGCTGTATCTTCATCTCATTGGGCCGGTTATGCTCCTGTCAGTTATCCATCCCCAGTCTTACTTTTCATCGCAATGTTCCAAGGGAGGGTTCATATCCCAAAATCCAAGGTCAGAAGCTCTCAACCAGGAGACTATTATACAAAGTACTTGAAAAAGGGCTCCGTGAGCGAAAATATGGGCTTGTAGTCCTCGGAATCGCTAGCCAGGTTCATCGTGTACGCGTCAAACGCGTCAGTCCAGCTAGAGTCAAAGGTAATTTTCATCTCCTGGAGCGACGCACTATGACTTTCAGGGACCTGGCCTGCGATTGTGATCCGCATGTCGTCGGCTTCCCGATAGAGCGCCTGCATCACGATGGGAACCACGAAGCTCACCCGTGCGCGACGCAGTAGCGGCTCCTAGAGCAGAATGATTAGACAACTAGATATCAGAAATTGCACGCCTGGAAGCCATACCTTGTCTTTGTACGTTTGCATGAGGCGAGTCGCCTTCTGGCTCAGAGCAACCAGCTGTTGAACGATGTCATCAGAGTCCTCTCCATTAAGCTGGTTGTCACCGTGGTAAATGTGGCTGTTGGCACCTCTCATCGCACACCAGGTGTCGTAGTTCTGCTTGCCCACAGAGACCGCTGGTATCAGGCCTCCCTGGTACCGGTCAATGGTTGCCTGGTTCGCTTCAAGCGCAGCCGTGACTGTAGAGAACTGGTCCAGGATCCTGGTAGCCGAGTCGGAGATCGCTAGCAATGGAGCAATCATCAATGGTGTCAGCAGTAGACTCCAAAGCGCAGGCATCCTCATCGTGTTTTGATAGGATTGTTATTGTTATTTGGTTGAGTGGCACACTGGTGGCAAGGTGAAGAGATTTGTCGCGGCGGCCTTTGGTGTGCTCAGTCAAGATGTAGAGTAGTTGGGGGTAATATTGATCGCGCCTGTGGTCTGTCACAGATGATGATCCCCCGAGCTAGGTTCATAGGCATAATTAGGATAAGTTTTGCGTCCACTTGTCGCCGCTCATTGCCTCCATGCAGTCAGCACCGGTTCTAGTGGAACCTGCATGCGATGAGTCCGATGATCACGACCATCAGCCCTTTTTTTGGACAACCTATGTTATGCACGGTCCTCCACCCTGTTTTCGTCTGCTTTCTTTTGTCTCAGCCGGGAATGGACTATATCCAATACGATGTGCATCGATCTTTTAATACCAGTAGGGCGTATTGTCCAGCCTACCATAAAATTAAGAAAGGAGCCCTTTTTGATGGCTGTGCAAACAGAGGGAGAATCCACCACCTTGACCCAACCGACAAGGAGGCAGGGAAAAATATGTTCGCGTGGCTTCTCATCGTCGCGACGGGCGTATGTCTGGCTCAGCAGTTAATCGCCACGATACTGATTGCGGCATTGACAGCTCCCAAGTCTAATGTACGACGGGTTGGCGCCACCTTGCTACTCCCATTTGGCTGTTGTCAAGCATATCTCATATACTACCTGTTTCCGTGGGTGTTCGCACAGGCCCTTGTGCAAGCTCTCCTCCCGGGGACGTGCTTCGTCCAGTTCCACTACCTCCTGTTCAATCCCGCCGCAGATGCCACTGTGCCACCGTGTTTTATGAAGCTCTCATGGACGGCGTGGGTCCGGATCTTTGTTCAAGTCATCCGTGACTCTCGGGGTGTTCCTTCCCCCGCTTCCCCCACACGCAACACGGACGCAACCCTCAACCGAGCGGCGTTTTTCCGACAGCGATTCGCTCAATACGCCCGGAACGCCCTCATTCCAGAGGTGATGTGGTTCCTGGGGCGCCGCGAGTTCGGGGTCAGCACGCCTGAGTGGGACCACGTCTTGAGTCCTGGCACGGAGTATCTTCTGCTTAGGTTGACTTTCCGGCAGCTGCAAGCAAGGATCGTGGCCACCGCCGGGGTGTGGATTATGGTGTACTGCACGGTGGATACATTCGACTGTCTGATCTTGACAGCGGCAGTAGCTCTTGGGGACAACCGACCCGAAGACTGGCAACCGATGTTTGGAAGCCTGCGCGACGCATTCTCACTACGGGGTTTCTGGGGGTAAGGCGGCCCCGGTGGCCCCATTCGACCGTGGCTACTGCTAACATGGCACACAGAAAATTTTGGCACCGGTTGATTCGTCGGCCTCTAATCGACTTTTCCACCGCTCTTCTGCGACTTGTATCGGTGAACCGGGGCAAACGGTGCGATATCGCCTTCTTGTGCATTGTCTTTGTGCTCTCGGGCCTGGTTCATGTCCCCATGGACATCGCATTTTGGGCTATGACTGGAGCCCCGTCGTTCCCTTTGTTTCTGATTTTCTGCAAGACCATGGTAGCCATACTGCTCGAGACGATAGTTGTCCGGTATTATCGCGGCTATCGGCGCCGGCGTGGACGGTCGGCGGAATGGACCTGGACGGTGGAACGAGCACTGGGATACATCTGGGTTTTCCTCTTCTTGTGCTATGCGTCTCCTCCGGCCTTCTATCCTGTCCTGCGCGTCTTGGGCTCCGAGAATCATTGGTCTCTTTACTGGCCTATTCCATGAATGATCTATATTGTGTCTTAGAAGCCTAACATCAGCTGCAGCATTGTGCGTCTTCCATCGATGTAGGCGATCTTTTAATCACACCATGAGTTGTAATTTCTGACTCTATTTTACAAGTTTTATTGCCAGAGTAATACGTGCCGGGTTATCACGCGCCCATATCATGCAAGCCCATGTGATACAAATCACATAATTAACCTTATGGCGCAGATCTTGCAATAGTACCATACTACTATCTTCCTAAAGTGATACATGTAGGGTTATCACGCGCTTCTATTATGCAATAGCAATCACACATAAAGTAAAAAAGAGGCTTTAGTGGAAATTCCAAGAGATTACCCTTGAACAGTGTTACCCAGTACGGAGTTTCTTGACGAGGACTGAATCCCCATCTCGCGATAGCAAGTTTTGGAGCCAAGTTAGTTGATCAACGCTGTTGTGCTTCTCCTTGTTTCTTCTTGGTTACATTGCCTTTGTCGGTCTAAGGACAAGAAAGGATTCCCATTTGTTTATCCTTAGTACTCTACCCACCGGTTCACATCCTTCCTCATACGCGAGGAAACGCGCAGTCTATGAAAGAACCCACCCTTGCAAAGATGACAGGAGGCATCCCGTCCCCTTCTGGAATGGAGCACTGGCACAAACAGATCTGGTGGGCACACTTACCGGGCCAGGTTGTCGCGCCGCTTTGTGCCTTCACCGGGGTGCGATATGTCCCGATTCAAACCCCGACCCTCCTATTGGCACTGATATATGGATTGACGCTCGGCTTTGGCATCACACTCGGTAGGAGCTCTCCCAACGCAGCCGCAATCCTACATTCCATAACCAGATAATGGCGAGTTCTAGGATATCATCGTCTCTGGGCGCACAGATCCTTCCGCGCCCACGTCACCCTCCGAGTCTTTCTAGCGGCGGTGGGCGCCGGAAATGCCCAGCGATCGATCAAGTGGTGGGTCACCGGCCACCGGGCACATCATCGGTATCTTGACACGGACCTCGATCCATATAACGCGCGCAAAGGCCTGTTGCATTCCCACGTCGGCTGGTTACTAGTGCGACCACCCACCAATCACTGGGGTGTGGACATCTCCGATCTCGAGAGCGACGCCGTGGTCATGTGGCAGGACCGCTATTTCATCCCTTTGTCGGTCACTATGTGTCTGGTAGTTCCGGCTCTGGTGTCCTGGATGGGCTGGGGGGATTTTTGGGGCGGACTCTTGTATGCTGGGTTGTGGCGCATGGTTGTTGTATTTCACTGCACGTTCACAGTGAATTCCCTTGCGCATTGGGCCGGGCAGCAGCCATTCTCCAGAACGATCACGGCTCGCGACAACCGCCTCGTCGGCTTGTTGGCATTGGGGGAAGGGTATCATAATTTCCATCACGAGTTTCCTATGGACTACCGCTGTGGATTCCGACGGTATGATTTGGATATGACCAAGTGGGTCATCAGACTACTCGCCACACTGGGCCTCGCCACTCACCTGCACACCGTCAGTGATGTGGTTATCCAGAGCTGCCGAGAGCCGCACCGTGGTGGTGGTCGTATCGAAGCCAAGAGCTCGCCCTCTGACTATGTTCCGGTGATCGATTGGGAGGATTACACGCAACAGGCAGCAAGTGGCCGTGCCATGGTTGCGATCGCTGGATTCGTCTATGATATCACCGAATTCGTCGAGCGACACCCCGGGGGAGAAGAGGTTCTGCGCGCAGCGATTGGACGTGACGCGACGGCGATGTTTTATGGCGGTGTCTTCTCCCATTCAGTCACAGCGAGCAGCCTGCTGTCTACCATGTGTGTGTATGTGATTCGGGGTGGTGGACGCGTGGAGATCCGTCAGAAAACATAGTATTACAACTAGGTTTGGTTTCAGGGTGGCCCAATGCCAACCTATATATACACCCTGCTTTATCTTTCGTGGTCTTTACTGTTTGGCCGCCCAGCATGAATTCTGTTCTCTCAGGAGACTGGATCCGCATACCTGCCAGGCAGGGAGTCCGCGCTATAGTAGAAGTATTGTTGCAACCTCTTAGGGATGAAAATAAATTACCCAAACCTAAACCCTTGAACTATAGGAGAAAAATCAAAAACTTAACTATCGTGGCTCTAAAGATACCTAGCTTGTAATACCGAAGCCCAGAAAGATGCAAGATGAAGATTGGATATCTACCTCCCTAATAGTTTTGTATAAATTGTACTAAAACTAAAGCAATATAAAAAAATACAAGATGGCGCAACAAGAACTGGCATTAGGTTTAGATTATATGTCTTTTCACGACTGTATTTACTCTCTTATAATTCTCCAATCTGACAAGGGAATGTTAAAATATATACAAGAGGGACCTAGTAAGCGCCACCATACTATAAGAAACTTAGTCTGGATCACACACCCCCAGTTTCGAGATTCTTTAAGAGTGTGAAAAGAGAGGCATCGCCCCGCCATTAAAGCAGCGGACTATGTATGTATTCCGCCACTTTTGAGGGGCAGGTTGATATGGGCCGGATAGATATAGTTGATATAGTGGAGAATTTTGGCCGACACTATCCCCTGTTCATCACCGCCGGAGCTACCAGATTTGTTTCAGACGCCTTTTGAGAGCACAGAGTCCGTTCCCAAGTTTAAGCTCATCGTATTATATCGCGGTTTACAGGGACAGGATTATGATCCGGTGGAACTAACATGGGGAGCACCAGAAGTCGACCAGATCCTGTTATGCGAGAACGCCGGGCCAGCCTAGGCGTTGAGATGCTGCAGCTAGGGATTTGCCAACATTTGAGGATTGGGCACCGTAATATATTAACGCCAAGACATATACAGATTATATGTCAACATACGGGTCGAGGTAGACAAAGCCCACGAAAACCGCAAACCGACTACCGATGTCTCTAAGCTCGTTCCTCGCCGCAGGGCCCCATTGACCCATACCAACATCGACATAGCCCATCTGCAGAATAATACGGCGAAGACATGGCGTGCATTCCAGTTCCTAGTATATATTCAACCAGTGCAATTATGGACGAATCTTCCCAGTCCCTTGCAGTAGGTAAATTTAGACACTTTGATTAATCCAGGGAAGGACATTGAAACAGCGAGGAATGACCATGGGAAAGCAGATGACTAGAAAAAAAAAATGCATTATTCTCAGATGCAGGGAGTTCACTGCCTGTCCGCCACCTGCACTCCAGGAGTGCCACTCAACAATCCAACTTGGAAATTGCCCTGGATTTTCGTCCGCATCTGAGCTAGTAGACGTACAACGCACCTGTCGCTTCTGAGTGCTCTGAGAACAGAACCAACCCGAAGGTTGTGTGTGATATTTGAACTTATTCTTAGTGTATGTCATGTGGTCCTAGGTGAGGATATTGCATTGCCTCTCTAAGCGCGGCATCTCGCGGGAGTTGGAAAGCCGCCGAGTCCGGACCTCCAGCCCTTTTGCTCTATGCAAGACGCATAAATCGTTATTCATGGCGAGCCCACATCTGCACTACCATCTCGGTTAGAGAAAGAGACTACTTTACTGGGGGCCTATTCGTGGGAATTCCTCGGGAACCCCACCAGGCGCCGGGACCAAGCCTCACATCTGCCGATGGGCTCCGAGAATCGGCCCCGTTGTGCCTTGCATCCAACTGAACCTTAACAGGTCTATATCCATGATAAAAACTTATATACTTTGGACTGTCGGCGTTCTGTAGGCAGAATGACCGGAAAGCAATAGAGCCGATAGGTATATTAACAATATAACCTCACTAGAAGACCCTCGTCTCACTGCCAACCATTGCCAACCCTCGCCAAGTGGTCCCAAGAAGACGCTGCCTGTCGCCGCTTACGCGAATATTTCTTCTGATCAGTATACAGGAATCTCCACAAAAATTTTGACGATGAACCCAGGCAGAGCTTTCACCCGGGCGCTCCCAGCTGAGACCTTCGACACGCGTGTTCTCTTCTGCTAATTTTCTTCACTTCTGCAATTCCTCTCGAGAATAATCACCAACCAACCACGATCTCGCTACCATGGAAAAATCTCAGAATCAGAACCAGGATGCCGAGACGCTCAGATCTGATATCGAGGCTGTCAGGTCCTGTCCGGTCCCGACCGGGAGACGACTCGCGAACCCGGTAAGCAGCGACCGCGACAGCAACCTGTGACAAACAACAATCGTTTAGCGCCCAGCTAACATCCATTCGCAAAATTCCAGAACCCCCTTGGATTCGGCGCCTTTGCAACAACACTCATGACCCTCTCCCTCTCAAACATGGGCTTCCGCGGCGTCTCGAACCAGACACTTTTCATCGCGGACCTCTGCCTCCTCGCTGGATTCGGCCTGCTGATTTCCGCACAGTGGGAGATGGTTCGCGGTGGCACGTTTGGGTATACGGTTCTCGCTGCTTTTGGTGAGTTTATACCTCCCAGCGGAAATTGCGCGCCCGTGGCGTGGGGAGGACGATGCACAGAGGGTTGATATATTTCGCGATATTAGGCCTGTATTACGCCGGATACGGAGTCCTCCTCATGCCGTCGATGGGCATCACGAATGCATACGGCGGACAGACGACGGAATTCTATAATGCGTTTGGGTTTTACTTGCTCGGTTTGTCTACCACCCTTTCCACAAGACCATATGACAGCGTGACTCAATAATAGGACAGTCTGGTCCATCCTGAATTTCTTCTTCTTTCTTGCTTCTCTTGCAACGTGAGTACCCGGACCTTTCCTTCCCACATCAAAGCAGGAAAGACAGCCACTAACAATAATCCCCTAACAGAAACATCCCCAACATAATAATCTACTCCGCCCTCGAACTCTCCTACATCTTCAACTGCGCCGCACACTTCACAATCGCCGACGGGAACACGCGCATGGGAGAAGCGCTGACGAAGACATCCGGGGCCTTCGGATTCGTCTCGGCACTTGCGGGATTCTATATGCTGTGTCATGATCTTTGTCAGGATTCGTTGCCGTTTAGGTTGCCGTTGGGTGAGACGTCGAGGTTTTCTGAGCAGCGGAGGAGGGCGGAAGGCGAGAAGGAGATGTAGACTGTGGAGCGCTGGCACTTTATCTGATGGAGCAGTCCTATTTCGGGATGGATGGAATGGTGTAGTGTATATAGGTGAGGATTTAGCGTGTAAGTTTGCAATAGGAGGAAGGTCCAAGACATATCGGTACCAAGGGTCAGGTGCGGTACTTTGCATGTTTTCTTTAACAGGAGCACCCCTGCGAAGTAGAAGAAAGCGGATCATCGACAAGACATTCGATGCGCAACATTTATTGTATTGAAATGTTCGTGACGTTGTCATGGTCAGCATGGCTTGTCCTGGACTGGTGGTGATAGTCTTACCCTGCTGCGGCACAGCCGCGAGGAATACCAAGTGGCGATAACCTGCGCCCTCCCGCATCAGGCCTACGGAGTGAAAGCTCTCTTTCATGAGGCAGCCATATGTTTCCCACCTCCGCTCGACCAGCGCCTGGACATCAGGCGGATACGAACCCCAAAGCGAGCCAACAGCAAGGCAATTGGAAGAACCAGAGAAGCTACTTCAACAAGCAGCCAGCCCTGTTTCTTAAGGTTGTCGCAGCCGCAGCACTTCAAAACCTTCTAGTGGTCCCTTGGGCACCCGTGTCCGGCATACGGAATTAACGGAGTATACCCATACTCATCAAACAAGAACTCGCTTGTACCAGGCTCACAGCGGATCGATTCCGCGCAGATGAGATTGTGTAGGCTCGTGGGGTTGACATTTTCACCGGCCCTGTAGGGTGAAGACACTCTCATCGCTTGCTTTGGGGATCTGCGACGATTCGAAATCGCTTGCTGCGGATGTTGTTATCAAGGAGCGGAGGAGGCTTGCGCTTGCTGTGCGCGAGATATCGCTTCGTACGATCCATTTGCAGAATTTGATGACAGTGACGCAGGCGGGCGCTGTTGCTTTCCCGCCTGTTCTGGCGAAGTATATACGGCCGGATTCTGTGGGGGATTTGCCGGACCATAGTGTGTGGAGGATGTTGGATCTTTTTGGGTTGCATGTGGAGGGGTTCAAGAGGTGGGAGGGATAGAAGAAGGATTGACAATGCAATCTTCGTGACTGGGTTGGACTTTAGAGATGATATGGCATGGCATGGCCTGCTATGCTTGGCATCTTGGGGAGGATATGGTGTTCTTGGGTAGAGACTATCGGCTATTGCATAGTTAGATTAGGGTATGGGACGAATTTAGGTATTGAATAGCCTTGGATTCTGGACCTAACATTCTGATGGCGCTCTCTACAGAATCGTCGGTCAATATAGTTTCAGGTCGGAGGGTACCTAGTAGGCTAGGGGAAATTAAAGGCGAAACCCACGAATCACCTTGACTTATCCTGTTGGAGAACAAAAGCGAGCCGGAAGAGAAAGCTGACCATTATCAATGCATGTATTCGGAAAGACATTAGGTAGATATAGCCGGATAACCATGAAAGAACAATAATCTGCATGTGGACCATAACCTTCAGCATCTCCCAACGAGGGGCTGCCACATATCCACCAAGGGACAAAGGGAGGTATTCAGTGGAATAATGGTGGATGGTAATTTCCTCTTGCTATATCATCAATCCATCCTCAGCCACAGCACCTATATAAGGAAGGTATGAAGTTAAGCAAAAGAAGAGACTGTCATCATCTCCCACAGCCATTACGCGGAGGTATAGCCTCTCACCGCCAATCACTTCCGCTCCTGCAGCGGCCTAAACGTAACGAACCCGGGACTCGCAGTCGGCGGCGGCTGCCCACTATACACAAAGTGATGCGAGCAGTATTCCTGAGCAAAGTGCCAGTTGGCGCCCTGGCACGTCGAGTCATCCGCACAGAGAGACGCGCACTCCTCTGGCCCCTTCACGCCCGGAATGGGCTTGACCGTTGACGATACATATGCCATGTCGCAGATAATCCGGAAGCGAACTCCGTTCGCCTCGAAGATGCGCCCAGGTCGCGTAGGGCAGTATGGGATCAACGGCTCCCCGCTGTTCATGTTCGTTCCCCCGCAGCATCCACCCCCAGCTCCGCTGCAGCCGCCGGCACATCCAACATCATACGCGCTGCTGAAGCCCGCGGCAGGAATCGTCGGCTCGCCCTGGTGGTTGGAGAGGTAGCACCTCCGGTTCCTCTCATGGTAATCGACACTGTGACACGCCAGCACCGCCGCACAGGCATCAACACACTCCTTCAGCGTCTCCTTGGTAAGCGGCGGCGCAATGTACGCCGTCCCATGGCGCATTCCACACGTCGCTCGAAACACCCTCCCAAACGCCGTCGGCAGATGCTGCCCCTGCGCCCACGGACACTGCCCCGAACAGAGAATAATCATATCATCCTGCTGCTCCGCGGTCGGCGGATCAATCAAGTACGCATAATCATGGTTCGGGCATGGCGTATCCCCGGCCTTCGAGACGACGCCGGCGCCAAACATGAGCGAGCACGTCTTCCCGTTCAAGTGGTCCCACACGATCGCGCCGCAGCCCTCGACTTCGCTGCATTTGTTGAGGCATTCGTGGTAGCTTGCTGCCTCGATGTGCGTTGCCGGCGCGTACCAGCCGTGGAAGTCGCACTGCAGGCGGAACCAGCTCCCGTCGGGCGCGACGTAGACTTTGTCGTGATTTTTGGGGCAGCTGGGTGTGTCGACTACCTCGTAAGAAGGTGTAGAGCCTGAGCCTGAGGCTGGGGTGCCGCTACCACCTGGCTGGGCGGGTGCGGGCTGCGGGGTCGCCGGTTGGGGCGCTGCTGGTTGAGGGAATGCAGGTTGGGGTGCTGCTGGCTGAGGGAATGCTGGCTGAGGAAAGGCTGGCTGCGGGAATGCAGGTTGAGGAGCTGCAGGTTGAGGGAAAGCAGGCTGAGGAGCTGGAGGCTGCGGAAATGCTGGCTGTGGGAATGCAGGCTGAAGAGCTCCAGGCTGAGGAAAGGCTGGCTGAGGAAAAGCAGGTTGAGGAGCAGCAGGCTGCGGAAATGCTGGCTGTCGCAATGCAGGCTGAGGAAACGCCGGCTGTGGGAATGCAGGCTGAGGAAAAGCAGGTCCCTGTGCAAACACAGCATGAAACAAGACAAAGTAGAGAAGATAGACCAACAGAGAGTAACCAGGCATTGATCGGGCCATCATGATTGTAGTTGCGGTTCAAGCAGGCTGTGTGTAGAAGATCACAGTATCTGGCTGCAGAGAGCAAGTCTGCCGGGGATATAGCAAGCATCAAAAGGTCCCGAGACTACCGTGACACCTTCGTCCTGGAAACTCGCGGATTACGCCATGACTCTTGCAGGAGCTGAGCAGCAATGACCTCAGTGCTGCACGGCTGCCAAAACTCATGACCGAATAGATGAATCGACTTGGTGGTAGGCCGGTCTAGAACTGGCCTGTGAACGATGATGCCCTCCCTAACCGCCATTAGGGTCGTATCGTGGATGCATGCAGGCTCGGCTGCCCGAAATTACGTAGCTACTCTACCGCATATAGAGATCGCAAAGGCCCCTTCAAAAAGGGGACACCGAAATAGTCCTGAAAGGCAACATCCAGTGGTCGAGCCCTTCTCAGCAGTCGCAGTCGCACTCCAGTGCGTTCCCCCAGTGCCCCATTGACTCCCAAGCACTAACGATATCCCAGTCAACCTCCTATATGCCCAGCATGCTTGTCACCAAAGCCATTGCCTGTCTCTGCCTCGCAGTCTGCGCCCAGGCCCAAATGCCCTGGATCCCACTACCCAATATCCCCATCCCCCGGCCGCCTGCTCCTCCGCCTGCACCTGCCCCAGCCCAAGCCCCGGCTCCGGCTCCGGCACCCGCTCCGGCCCCGGCCCCTGCGCCAGCACCAGCGCCAGCGATCGACCCCGCGGTAGTGGCCGCCGCACAAACCGTCTGCGATGGACGCAGTCTGGGCTCCATTCCTCTCTTCCGGTCTGATGGGACCCCATACGCTTGTGGTCCTCCAGCCTGTTACGGGACGATCCCCTTGTCCTGCTAGTTGAGAGAAGACGCGGTGGGAAGGGTTATATAGTGTCTATTCGAAGTTGCAAGTGAATGGTAAACACATATTGTTACGTCGTATATACTGTCTCGTGGGTGGGTGAGGCATGAACAACTGGAATGATCAGTAGTCCGTGTGGTGGAGAATAATATCGATGAGTACAAAAATAATAATTGATTTGGCCCATGAGCTGGTTGCTGGTCGAGAAAAGGTTCCAAAAGCAAGATAAGCGTCCCATGGTTCTTTTCCGAACAGCCGCGAGGAGATCTGAGTGTCCATTTTCGGCTCGTCCCTTGTGCGGGTCGTATCGCTATGACTCTTACAGGCATCACCACCCGGCGCTATGTATCCCGCACCCGTCAGCCACTGTTCCGCTCGCTGCGAAACTCTATATAGCCATCAATCACCTGGTCATCACTCTTGTCCATGCAACCTTGCGGTTTCGGCCATGTTCGGCAGGTACTGTTGGCAGAGTCGTGATGCACTCGAGCTTATCATTAGAGACGGCAATTGCGGGCGGAACAAAGTTAGGTTATGGGTGGTGATGTATCCAGTCAACACAGACTTTCATGACTTCAATCTTATGCTAATGTGACTTCAAATGCTTCATTACGGCTCTCACCTTTCGCTTTGGTATCCCGTTCCAAGCCTCGAGAAAGCAACAAGAATACACCACTCCCACTCCCTGTCACGGAGAATGTTCATATCTCTACTCCTAAACCTAGTATTGCTATTCATTCTACACGGTCTGCAATGTAGCGCCCAGGAAGTGTATGCGCCCGTTCCATCCCCCTGGATAGACCGCAAAGATGCAGCAGAGGACCCCATCAGCGGCATCGAATTCATCCAGCCCGATGACTCGCTCGAATGCCCCGAGCAGCCACTCCACGCCTACCTCGTCAGCCAAGACCCGCTGGTCATCTATCTCGAGAATTTCGTCAGCGCCAATGAGTCGGAGCATCTGATTCAGCAAAGGTCAGCCCGCTCCACCCTACTCTATCCTACCTCCTCACAAAGCAACAACCAACACCCTCACTCACCACAACAGCTCAACCCACCTAACCCCCGCAGCCGTCTACCAAGCCGGAACCACAGGCGTCGACCAAAGCGCCCGAAAGTCCCGCACAGCCCTCCTCGACCGCGACGCAACCGTCCGCTGCATCGAACAGCGCACGCGCCGCATCCAGGAATGGAACCCGGCGGCAATGGCCCTTGAGCGCATCACGGTCCAGCGGTACGACGCCAATGGGTTCTTCCGGCACCATTATGACTGGTTCGGGCGCGCGCCGGGCGCAGACCGCATCTCGACGGTGAATGTTTTTCTGCAGGGTGTCGGGGATTGTGAGGGGGGTGGGACACATTTCCCGAATCTGCGTATGCCGCCTGGTACAGCGGCGGGTACGCCGGACTCGGAGGAATGGTGTCGGTTTCTAGACTGTGAGGCTGCGGCGGCGGAATTGGGTGGGGTGACCTTTTTGCCTGTGGCTGGGAATGCGATCTACTGGGATAATGTGAGGCGTGATGGGTCGGGGTATATGGAGACGCTGCATGCGGGGATGCCTGTGCAAAAGGGGACGAAGATTGGGTTGAATATTTGGAGTTGGGCTGTGCCTGAGGGGAGGGGTCAGCCCTGACTTGGGGAGTTAAACTGTATGGAAATACCAATGGAATAAAAGGTTGGCACGCATATACGCAATATAGACAACACGCGAGTATTATAGGGAGCAGTTACTGGTATTGTATGACTAGAAGGTTTCGCTATATATCAGACGACACTGAGGGTTTATCGATTAGACTTCTACTGATGTCATGGACACTTGATGATTTAAGACTTCAGTGGTTTCAGTGAGGAGCCGGATCTTCAATATGATTGTCGATAATCATTATTCTTCACTATTTAGTTCCTCCTGACTCGATCCTGACCCATTCAAGAACCACGCAGCCCAACTTTCACTTTCACTTTCACCTTCACTTCCTCCCTGCGGCTACTGTATAAGCATTTATCAAGAACCATGACAGTAAACGACGACCTCGCAGACTCCGAGACGGAGGCTATCATCAACGACCCCAGCGGCGGTTTCCTCGGCCACCTCGCACCGTCCGAAGCCATCCCCCACTACGCATATTTCGGTCCCAAGCAGTTTCTCCAGATCTTCGAGCGAGAACACAACCCCAACCGCCAAACCGACCACTGGTTCCTGCTGACCGGCGTCACGCAGCGTGTCTTCAACGAGACCTTTCTCGAAGCCGAGTCCGGCCCCTTTTCTCGCGCTTTCGCGTACGACCCCTTCTTCCATCGGCTCTTGGTCGCTACCCCAGAGTCGACGACGCATTCGGTCGCGGGTACGGCGTTCGACCGCATGGTAGATCGCGCGGCTGAAGATATAGGTATGGATTATGAGGTCGTAGCAATGGGGAAAGGCTACCACGCGGCGGAGATGGGCACCAAGCAACCCGCAATGGCCTGGCAGCCAGAGGAAATAGGCCCCGGACGGGATAATCGCTGGCCCAGTGTGGTTTTGGAAGTCGTTGTCTCGGAATCGGACCCACGACCCAAGTTGCAGGCAGACCTTCGATACTGGTTTCGGGCACCACCACTGGATACCGTGAGGACCGTGTTTATTCTCATTATTAACTCGAGGATGGATGAAATTGTCATTGAAAAGTGGGAACGCACCGCCGCGGACGAACGCCCTCATATTGTACAGCGAGTCGTGTTATCGAGAATGGAAACGGGGGGTAATGTTATGATCACTGGCTCGCCCCTGATTATTGGCTTCGAGCATCTGTTCCTCCGTCCGCCACGTACGCCTGAAGAGAGGGATCTCCAGCTCAACGGAGAGAAGCTACAGTTTATCGCAGAGAGGATATGGAGGTATCAGAGGCTGAACTCCAAGTGAGTCTATTGGATCCGGGTAGCATCTTGCCTTGCACCACGCTCTATTTATGGGTCATTGGAGGATGATCCGAGTGGGAGGGCACTATCACTGGGTCGTCTCTTATAATGAACTTGGATGATACTTTCCTCCGCGCGCCACTGATCATAGAAGAGATGGGTCTTCCACTTAACAACCATAAGTTGCAGAGGATCGATCGGCGAGAGGATATGGAGGGATCAGTGGCTGAATGCTCCGGAAGACTTCAGAGCGTGCAGCATATTCGCCCGCGTGGAGGAGTTTTGCCAGGGCTCGAATTTTTAAGAACTACGTGAGAAGAATTCTTCGGCCATGTCTAGGTCTAAGTGTGTAGGTAGAACCTTCATATGCCTGATAGCTAAGCGAGCGACTGACATACTACACTATTGTCCCTTGAATACACGTCTTCCCAGCACGATATAACTGCCAACCCCCTCCTCCTCAGTTATCGAACGTTGTCACGGCGCTGTTGTTCCTCCTTTGCCTCGAGGTTTGTCGACAGTCTCCTCTAGCAAAGATGAACACCGTTGGAGATTTGGCCACCTAAGAATATGATGAGCATATTCCGTAGATTAACATAGCCAGAGTACGATGTAATCAAAGATTTGCACTGGAATCTACCTACCACTAGCCTCGTAAAGACGACCGTCACCACGAAGTAGACATCTGCATGTAGACTCAAATCAGTAAACTAGCTCCTCCATTCTCCCCATCGCGTCTAAATCTAGCACTCGGACAATATCATACCACCCTAATTCGAGGGCCAGGTATACTGCACAGAGTTCGGGTTTCCAGGACAAAGGGCCGCATCAACCCAGACAAACGCCCAGCCTCCGCAAACGGAGACAGACTGGCCGTTGTTCAGCTGGACCTCGGTGCCGGTGCTATCCTGGAGCCAGGCGTTGTGCCCGAATTCGTTGTGGACGTGGGTTGCGGAGGTCACGGCTGCGTCGAGCGCGATGAGCAGTGGCTTGCTGAAGAACATCTTGGATGCGTAAGAGAGGAGGAGAGTTGGCTTTGCTGATTGACGACGTGATTGCCTTCTGAAGCGACGCTGTGGGTGCTGGGAGAATCAGCTCAGAGATAGATGGGCCGCAAGGTATTTATACCTTTTCCTCCCCACTGGTAAGCTCGAACTCTTTTTTTTTTTTTTTTTTTTTTTTTTTGCCTCGTGGCATCCCTGTAACTATTCAATAGCCTATTAATGCAGCGATTTGCGCCGACTTGGCTCCAGCCTTGACCGTTTTCTTCCTGCTCCATGCCACAATGTCTCACAACACTAACCGTGGATGCGACGCTGACTGCCTTAGATAGAGTAAGAGCGGTGCAAAAGCGTCTCCCGGAAGAGCGCCTCTTGACAAGAAGACCTTGTCAGTTATAGAATGAGGGTATGAGAGTCGCTGAGAGGGGAGCCAGGAAGAGGGCTCAGAATCTTGCACCTCGAATACTTAAAGAGAGGTGTCCCATCCGGCAAACTAGGGTTCGCCATTGAATGGCCACGACGATCCATTGCTGAAATAGACCACGACAACAGCTCAACTCTGAGCATCTTGGAGATAGCTCACGTTGACACTGAAGAAGCCGAGCAGCCGATCATTATGGAGCGCAGCGCAGCGCGGCGTAGAGCGGAATATCAGAATGTTTGCCAATACTCTCCGTCGTACTCAGCCCTAGGCCGGTGCATCATACCCTGGCCGAGTTAAGCTAGAGAATGCTTCTGTTTGTCAGCACTGGGCGATCACTACATAACTATACTACGGCATCCCGCTATTAGTATAGCATCGTCTCCACTGGACCTGAAGAAATACCCCCTAAAAGTAAGCCCTAAAACAGCCAAGTTACACCCCGGGAATTCAGCTACAACGCCTGGGGATATAGCCCTGCGCAACTTGATTTGTCAGCCACGACTATTGATCAGACACGTTGTATAATAGGGATGACCTCCTATGTAGGAAAGTGCATATTTCGCACCTTATCCCATGTGGGAAATGTGAGAAGGTGCATGTTTCTACGCGCGTTGCTCTACGGCTTGTGGGAAATCAACCTTACGGCTTACGTCTAGCCATGCGCGCACTGATTCAAAATGATCCATCTATGGACAGCAGGGATTAGGGGATGTAACAGAAACCAAGCAGTTTCTCCACCAAGGGAAAGGCCCTGACGAGAGGCACAATGTTTACAAGCTTACAATGTAAGTTCCAGCACAACAAAGCACGGCCAGGATCATAGTCATACTAACTAAACTATTGAGTAACTAGATACATTGCGGCGCTCGCCCCAACCACGTGTCAGCCGCGTGACCCCGAAAGTGATACACTTGTACCAGCTACAATAATCTCAAGGAGTTCACTCCACGGTCTGTTCGAGCTGTTAGGAGGTGCTCATGTCGTATCTACACCAGCCCTATATAGAAGCTCGCCCGGCCCAAACGGGGTAGAGTGTAACCGTGATTATTTATGATATTAAGAGTCTCGGAGAAACACCAGCTCTGCCAAAGACGAGGCACAGAACAATGACATTCTGATGGTGTGTGAATACACAACGCCAGCTCCCCTCGACGTGTTCTCTAGCCTCGGCGGGTATTACTGTATCTCATGGCGTAGAAATACTGGATAATCATTCCTTGCACAGCAGATGTTCACGCGGCAATTAATCGCCTTTACCGCTCTGGGCCCTCGCTGCCAGGGTATTATGGGAATGACGGTCGTGCGGCATATGTAAAGTGTCACAGAGAGGAATGGACACTGATACTCAGAAGGTCCCGCTCGAGATGGTTCGCTACTCGGCCGTGCTTGTGCGGATGCTCAAGTAGGAGATAGACTCCATGACGGGACAACCTCTAGACGAGTCCCTTTAGGTGGGACCACTGACCCACTAGGCGGAGACTGGGTTCCAGGATTAGTCTCATATTGATCCTCATATTGATCCTCATGTTGATCCTCATGTTGATTCTCTGGTCGGGAGTCAATGTATATGATCAGAACGAGCCTTCGGCCAACTACCTGGGTACCTACTCCCCTAGTCATTGTCCTTCCAGCTCTATGGTTACTTAGATGCTGCCATTCTCCAGATGGTATCACGGTCGAAATCAAGTGCCCTCCAGGACCGCACACCATAAAGAGAGCAAGATCAAGGTTAGATACTCATTAAGAATGTGTAATAGAGAGTGACTGACCGCTTGGATACCCCCATCGCGCGGATTTGTCCGGGCCATTCATAGTTGTATAAGAGCGTCGACGGGTCGAGAAGTAGAGGGTGACTTTAGCTAGAGCACTCACTGCGAATACACGTTGGAGCATCAAGTTCAATTGTGAGCTAGGCGCCGAGCAAACAGATCATTCGCCTACCGAAAGCACAGCTAGCGATGATGTCACACCCGCATAAGCCAGGCTCGTCTGTATCAAATACAATAACCCGATTCTCAATGGGGGGCGTCTGGCGCGATGAGGATTGCTTATGTGACCCAAGCCAACTTTGGAGAATAAGCTAAATTGATAGAAAAAGGCACGACTAGGATAACGGATATCGAGCTATTCCCACATCAAGATCAGTGAGGAGGGGGATGGTCGGCACCCCCAAAAGACGTCTGCGAGAATTGAGCCTCGAGGGTTGACTTGGTATGGGGTTTTCCACACACCATGTACGCCATTGAAAGGGTGATTCAACCCAAGAACGATGACAGAGGCTAAGAAGTACTCGACATCATAAATAGAGTTAATCCATGAGGGAAACTGGATGCCAAAGTTCTCGGCACCAGCCGAGAAGAGGATGCCAAGTAACCGTGCCAAGTGAATGTTATCCCACACAGTCACGCATGAGTCAATATGAACATCATTTACGAAGGAGAGTCTAGATGCCTCAAGGTTACATCCAATTAAAACAAGCGATAAAGCCATGCCTCTTCGAGATCTTCAATGCTCCTCGCTCTCCGCCAGAAGGAATGGCATCCCCGTCAGTACTTTGGTCTAGCCCATGGTACCATCGTGCTATTTTAGCAGCTTACCTAGCGAGGGAGCCGTACCTTTCTCATCTGGGTGTTGCTCCGCTCGCCCCGCCAGTGGTGTGATGCCTGCTTGGAGGGTGAAACTAGTCGGTAGCTAGCTTGGAAGACTTGTAGGGGTTTAGAGAGGAGTTTCCGTGACTCGAGAAGCGCGGGACAAGAAAAATGCCCGGGACTCCATAGTCTACATGGCCCATTCTCGGTCTTGGGCCGAAGACTGGGACTTAATATATTCAACCGTATCCCCGTCGTCCCAATTGCGCAAAGCGAAGCCCCCGAACAAAAAGCCGTCATAATAATCATGGCATTCCAATACGCGCGCGACCTGCTAGCCAGCTGGGCCTCGTACATCGTCCCCCAAAAGTCCCCGCGAGAGACGCAATCCGACTCGCAACGCTTCAAGATCCACATCGTAGACGACACCGACTTCCCAGACTTATTCGCGGCCCTCTGGCACTCCTTCGAAACCCCCTACCAAGGCATCCTGCGCCTCTTTTTCCCTATATTAAACAACGACCGCGAAACAAGTCTAGCAAACTGCACGAGCGCGCAATTAGAAGAATACCGCCGCGAACAGCCGAACGTCACCTGGATAACGATTGTCGATACCCAGCAAAATAATCGCGTCGCGGCGGCCGCAAAGTGGTATTTTTTCGACCAGAGTCCGTTTCCCGAAGGCGAAGAGGTGCAGCATGTCGCGGAGTGGTATCCGGAGGGTGTTGGACGGGAGTTTGCGAGTATTGCGGCGGCGCAGTTTGAGCGGCCGAGGGAAGTTATGGGCCGGAGGGGGCATGCTTGTACGTCTATACCTCCACTCCCTTCCCCTTCCCCTTCGTAATCTTCCCACATTGCCATTCTAACAGGGTATCCATATCCAGTCCTCCACATCGCCTTCACACACCCCTCCTACCGGCGCCGCGGCCTCGGCAAAATGTTCATGGAATGGGGTCTCCGCGTCGCCGACGAACGGGGGCTGGAATGCTGGCTCGACGCGACGGCGCACGGTCGACCCTTGTACGAATCCTTTGGGTTCAGACCCATCGTCGAAAACAGCGTGAAGCCTGCCCCGGAGCGCGGGATGGATGAGAAGGAGTGGGAGGAGTGGAGACATTTTGAGAGGACGCTGCTTCCGATTGACGTTACGGTTATGTGGAGGCCTCCGCACGGACGGTTTGTGGAGGGAGAGACTGTTGAGCCCACGATGCGGGTTGAGGAGGAAAATAAGTGATATACGGTGAATTGTAGATCGATTCTGGAAGGCTAGGGGCGCTGGTTATATTTACATATGATCTAGTCTGCAGCTGATCAACGCGGTAGGAGTTCAGATAGCTATATAGAAATGCCGTGCTTTTGCCAACTCTTTCAAGCCGGATGCAATGATTCCGAACAGACGTCTTCCACCCTTGGCTGCTCAGGGCGCCGTCTCAATAATCGGCCCCGAATAAACATGCCTCGCGCGCACAAAGTAATAAACCACACTCAGCGAAATAACACCAACAGTCCCGACGATACTAAAATTCATAGTCTGCACCGTAACAGGCGTAACGCTCGGCCAAAAGCTGAAAAAGACCGCAATAAGCGCATAGATGATCGCAAACACGTTAACGACGACACCAAATATGCCAGGGACACGGAATGGACCCCACACCAGTCGCGACCCAATCGTGTTGACCGTCTCGTCGGCGTCGGCTGTTAGTCCGATGCTGCCATCCAGACGGCGCCAGAGGAGGAGGGCGGCAACGAGGATGTAGGAGATGTAGAGGCCGGAGATAGACATTGCGCAGAGCTGGTTGAAGGCCACGGCGGAGCCGATGGGGATTAGGGCGAGGAGGGCGGCGATCATCGTCGTCAGGACGACTGCGTACGTTGGGATTGCCGTGCTGGGGGAAACGTATGTCCAGATTTTCCAGCCTGGGACCGCGCGGTCGCGCGCAAAGGCCCAGAGCTGGCGGGATGTTGCGGCCATCATGCCTGTTGTCGATGTGATGCAGACGGTGATTACAATGGAGGTCATTGCCGCTGCACCGCCAACTGAGCCGGTCCCCGATCGGAAGACCTCCATGAAGGGATAGCCTGTTGGAGACTCGAGGGCTGTCTGGAGGTCACCAAGACAGAAGAGTAGAGCAAGGTTCATGCCGAAGCCCAGCATTCCATTGATCAAGACGCTGAGGAGGATCGAGCGGGGAACAACCACGACCGCGTTTTCGATTTCTTCCGACATCTAATATAGTCAGTGCAATGTTCTTGCTAGTTTTGCGTGGAAACTCACATGGACAGCGGCGTCACCACCCGCAAACGCAAAAACACACCCAATAAGGCCGACGAAGAAAGAAAGGCCTTGGGTATCCCACCCACCCTCATTGATAAACTGCGTAAAGACATCCTTTGCCGAGCCCGCGTCTGCCAGCGAAACGAGGGGAATCAAAACAGCAAAGAAGCCGAGAATGTGGACAACGAGGATGAGGCCTTCGAATTTGGGAAGCACGCTGCGGCCGACGATATTAATCCCCACGGCAAAGGCCACCACGGCCCAGTAGTAGAAGGTTGGATGCCAGTTCGCTGGAGTGTACTCTGGGTGAGTGAGAACAGCGAGACCTTGGATCATGGTACCCGTTAGAAAGGCAGCTGTAGCGAATGTCGCCTGCCATCCGATCAATGTGAGCCATCCTAATTATGGAGACATTAGAAGCAGCAAGTGAAGGACGGAAGAGGTCAAATACCGGTGATGTAACTCAGGAACTTGACACTAGAGGGAGGAGCCAGCATGGAAACCCAATGGTACTGTCCACCAGAAGTCGGAGCCCTGTTCTGTGTTAGCAAGCACTCAGCAACCACAGAATATTGACTTACATGGATGCCAACTCGGATAGCACAGCAAAAACGCAGGCAGTGCCAAGCCAGACAAAGAGGAAGCCATAGACAGCTCCGGCTGGACCACCACTACAAAATGTCAGCGTGCCTCGGTATGGAGGAGTTTAGGTGTCGAACTTGGTCAGCGGCTGAAGGAACAAGCTGCAGCCGTTAGCGATGATGCGTATGCACTCGTGGTTGAAATGGAGAGCAGCGCTTACCATGCGAAACCTTCCCAGGTAACCAGAATCGTGCAGCTGAATCCCAACAGCGAAATCATGCCAAAGTTCCGCTGAAAATCGACACATCATGTGTCAGTTGAGCTGTTTCATCGCATCGGCTGCTTGTTGACATACCCGGAGCACTTGCTTTTTCCCCAGCCGTGCCAGAGCGAGGTCATCGGAGTAGCCTTTGCCCCTGCTTGAGCTCTCAAGCTCATGGGGTTCGGCGTGGATACTCTTGATCTCGTGTCCTGCCATTGCGCGTTGCGACTCACTGATGAGAACTAGGAGAAGGTGAACGAGCGAAAACTGGCCGCCAAAAAAGAAGCGGGACAGCGGTCGCAGAATTTTGGTCGCCGACAGGGATTATAAAGGAGGGAGTCTGGAGGGCGAGACAAGTTGGAAGCGATGCGGAGATTGCTGTCAAGGGCGTGCCAGGGATGATCGAGCCATTGGTCGCTGCTTGTGATGAAACGGGATGGATTGATAGTGGTGGCTGCGATCCGGCTTGCTCGCCGAAATGGACCTTCCATTCCCGTACGAGATGCTCGTTCCGTGCCGCATCTCCTGGACGATAACGGCGCCTGCTATGATTGTAGCGTCGCATCGCGGCCGTTGAACCCCTGTGCCGAGGATCCTTCCCATTGGTGGAGTCTTGCTGATCCCGGTTCGTCTGCCGTGGGTACTTTGGCACGCTTGAATGGACGATCCTGTTCCACCAGGAGAATCATCGAATGGATCGCTCGGTAGCCGGGTGCAGCCTTGAAGTTGATCTCTGATGGGTCTTTCTACAGCTGTTTATATCGTCACCGATTCTAAGTGGATCGCGTCAACGTGACTGTTTCCTCATGATACTCCTATACATTTCTGCCTTCACGTGAAAGACCGATTAAAGTTTCAGACATCCCCGACCTCAGGTAGCATTTGGTCGACGTGGTCTAATAAGCCATCCAGTCATAGCCCAGGATACTTGATTAAACCGTCCCATGGCGCAACCTCCCCTGTTATGCAGACCTGCTGCGCCGCAGAGAACAAAGACATTGGCCGGGCGGATCCCTGTCCTTGGCTGCCCGAAGGATTGCGCCCGTGCCGAATGAAGGATGGTGCTTGATTCGTCTTGTCCTTTTGTTTTCGAATCATGCTACGTTGCGAGACCTGTCATATTCGGTCTCGGGCAATTGTCCTTCTATCTGTGGTCGTGTCATCAGGGCGAGAGACTCGCCCCTTTCACGATCCCGGACAGCACGACATTCTCATATTTTGTCTTTGCGTACCATGGCTTCGGTACTGCTCCACTGGGCATAATCTTCATTCCAGCCTGGAGCTGAACTTGTACGACATTCACGACAATGGCTCGGTATCCCGCCGACAGCGAGGCTCCGGCTGTTATTGTCCTGACCCGATTCTTGATGGTCACCTTAATCCTCGGCACACTCATTCGGCTCGCGACCAAGTGGTGGAAGTTCAGCACCTTTTTTCGGGACGATTACTATATCCTCATGGCTATGGTATGTAGGCAGAGTCGTCTTCACAACTGGGTGTTGATTGACGGCTTCTAGTTAGCATCCATCGCGCAATCCGTCGCCGTCTCTGTCGCTGTGGAAAAGGGATATGGAATGCATATCGAACAATTGAGTGATGGTCAGGTTGCCGGTATCCTCAAGGCATGTCTTACCTCTGCAATCCGCTCAACAAGTGACTGTATCTAATATCACATCCGTAAACCAAACAGGCGCAATACACCTCCACTTTCTTCTATATTCTCGGCATCGCTTTCTCGCAACTCTCCTTCCTCTTCTTTGTAAAACAACTCGCCCGCCAAAGCCACTATATCTATACAGCACTGCAGGTCGCAATCGCCGTCGTTGCAATAACTGGTATCTTCGGGTCGGCCTTTCAATGTCACCCGCAGCAGTGGGATTACATTCATGATCGCTGTTTTAATCGCGTATGTATTGCACGCACCCGTGACCGAGCCTGGTAGCAAGAACGGAAGGGCGCTTGAACTAACAATCGTGTAGAAAGCGTGGTTCACGTATCTCGGCATGTCGATGATCCTCGTCGAGTTGGCCATCATCGCGCAGACCGTCATCGTCATGGTCCGGGTGCAAACGACGTGGAAGAAGAAGGCGAATCTCACCTGTGTCTTTCTGTTTAGGGTCCTGTGAGTCAAAGCTTCCCCTTCAAACACGCTATAGCTTTCCCAAAACGCTGGGGGCTGACCGGCCCGCTTTTACTTCATAGTGTCCCCTTTGCCCTGATCTCCCACATAATCCTCATCCACGCCACAATCAACACTCCGGACCCAACTTCATCAACCTGGTCCCTCACAATAGCAACGCAGCTCGCCCTCTGCCTAAGCGTGATAACGGCAAGCACACCGCAATACGTCCCTGTCCTCCGCCAGCTGCAAACAACGGGGATGAGACTCGACGGGATGACGCGGTACACGATGTCGAGTAGTAATAACGGACGGTATCCATATGGGAATTCGTATGGGAATTCAAGGTCGAGATCGAGGTCACGGTCAAAGTTCCTTACTTCTTCTGCGCAGCGGACGAGGGATGAGTCGATTCTGGAGCTGGATAATATGAATGTTCCCTTTGGGGTGACGGAGACGACGGTTACTGCGAGCGGTGCGAATGGACATATGGGGGAGAGAATGAAGTCTGTAGATGAGGACCGGGGTGATGATGAGAGTCAGTCGAGCCAGACGAACATCATCCGCGAGACGAGGACGTGGGTTGTTACGGAGGAGCATGTTGGGGGGCCGCGTTAGCATTTGTAGATCCCGTTTACTTTATTGTGCATAGAATATGTGTAATGCTTTATAAGTCCACGGGAATAGATAGTCATTCAAGTCTCATGTGGTTCTTGCTAGTGTTGCTTTGCGCAGTGGCTGGTTCTGAATGCTTGGTCACATATTTTGCATAAGCTAAAAGGCGGTGCTTCTCCAAAGACGTGATAGACATGAGGCGTATTTTTCGTTTTTTCTCCTTTCAATTGCGATCGCGATAAGGACACTTGCAGCCACGCGTTCGTTGCCTGCTGGCGCTCTCTGCGAACAACCGGCCGGAATCGTTTGAACAAAGCCTTGATGTTCCAGAACACTTGCTGTTGCCAGGATATCTATAATAAGCCCCCGCTTCTTGCATGCATAACTCGGGAATCCGGAGCGCGCGCGGTTATATACATGTTTCTGAAATAGGACCTTTCACTAAGATGCATGTATATTACGGCATGAGTTCCGGCCATGGCATACCACGTTCCCGTATTAGATCCAACTAGACTTTTACGGAGCCAAGTCTTTTCCCTTAGCTTGGGACAGTTGCTTTGTCTATTCCCTTTGATTATCTTCCTGGAGTGCAGAATTCGAGCTCGTAATAGAGATGCAAAGCCAGTCGAGTCTGAAGACCTGCTGAGGAATTTAGCTACATACTTTGCCTAAAGACAAGATTATAGGCACCCTCTGGAGGACAGAACTATATGCTGAGAAAGGTTCCCTACCTAAATTAGTTCACGAATCAAGACTATATCGTGTTAAGTGCGCCTCTGTCTCAAGAGATGCAATACCCGAGACAGCACAGCGATGCCACTGGAGTTTATACAGTTGACGCCCACGACTGATGAGTGCAGTATACGTATCCCCGCCAGGATTCCATTCGCCACACCAGCGCCCGATTAAATTCACGAGTATCCGTAGCTTGTGTTCACATTCCCAAACCGAGGGAATCTAACACCCCCGCAAAGTTCGATATCCACAGTGGCCGGGAGTCATCGGCCCCGGCCACACAAAACTCATTCTCGTCCGGCGCATTCGCCTCCCACTCATCCTTCCCAACCGCATTCCACAGGGGCGTATTGGTGGGTAAAGGAAACTGGAGCTGGCTGGCCGGCAGCAATGGCCAGTATCCCGGACCATCAGAGCTGGGGGTACTTAGGCTCGCACAAAACTTGTACAGGGCTACATTGAATCGTTTGACTTCCTCGATTCCCACCCAGACGAATGAGGCTAGGTCGCCTTCATTGTATTTGGCGAGGATGTTCGGGTAGTAGAACATGCCTAGTCTTTGGCAGCTGCCGATAAGTGATTGGAGTAACTGCAGATCAGCAGTGGAAATCGAGACTTTAAGGTCGAGGGTGATGGCACCGTGACCATCGGTTCTCATGAGAACAGAGAACATGATGTGTAATAGGATAGCCTGGTATGTTGGGATTGGCCACATGCACTGACTGCACGCACCCTCTACATCAGAGGCATCCCACTTCTCCTATTGGGCATCCATCAGCAAAACACTGCACTGCAGGTACCGTGTACTTCCAGAATAGAATTGGGAATGCCGGCATACATACCCTCTGATCTCGAATAGCAAGGTCGAGTTTCTCATGGAGCTCAGCTGCTGCACACCGCGCAGACTGTTCGCCCGACACCCACAGGCCGATGGCAACCATTGCTTCTAGAAGCAAGGGTTTTTCGCGGTGTATGTTGAATGTCGCTTTGTGGATGAAGGGCCAGCGCGGGTGGAATGTCTCGAAATACGTATCGATGCACTGCTGCCTCCGCTCCCAGCAATATGACTGCCCCGGTGTTCGTTCGTGGTCTGGAGACGACAAAGCGCGGGGATTCAGAGATCCGAGATATTGCGCTTGTTGGTCTTGTTGTCTAGTAGGACTAGCATGCTGGTCTTGGAGAGAACATGGGATATTGCGACGAAGACACTCATCACATGGCACGCCTCCTTGACAACGAGTCTTCCCTGCCTGGCAACTGGCGCAGGCTCGCCGTGCACGATTTAGAGGTTCGATTATGTTATGCTGCCTTTGCGCATGGCGTCGAAGCGTATCACTAATTCCAGGTTTTCTACGGTCAGAGTGGACTGGATGATATACGAGGGAGGGAGGGAAGAGGATGGGGATGAGTCCAAGGACGGGAATGAACTCGGAACAGGAATACCCACCTTCGCCCGAACTCACGACCACAAATAGAACAGACAAACGTCTTCTGCTGCTGCACGTGTTTCGACTCCTCATGGCGGTGGAGATGTTCCTTGCGCCGGTAACGGGCGTTGCAGCCGGGAAACTCGCACTTGAACGCGTCGTATCCGATTCCAAAGGGGTCGCCCGAGGGACTCTGAGGGAAATTGATTTCGCGGCCGAAGCCTTCCATTATTATTCGTAGAATCAGATTAGTGATGGTCTTGAAGTCGCCTGAAGATGTCCTGGTGGCGAGTTGGTTGCTGGGTGACCCCGTCGGCCCTCCGCCGGCATCCCACCCGGTCTCCCGCCCGGCCTCCCACCGCTTCTAAGCTGCTCCGCATTTAGATCAGAACGTCATGGTTTGTTCAGTGGGAGGCCGGGGGGCAACAACCAGCGGGAGCCGGTAGTCTTTGGCATGAACTCGTGAATTACTAAGACCAGATACCGGTTATATATTCGGCAAATCCCCTGCTATGTGACCAACACACTCCATTACCATCTAACACCCCTATCTCCCTATACTTTCCAAGGCAGCCATGACCCCTTCCATCCTGATCGTCGGTGCCACCGGCAACACTGGCCGAGCCGTCGTCCAAACACTGCCGAAACTCCTTCAAGCACCAGGCAACCCTCTATCCGGACACCGCATTCTCGCCCTCACCCGCTCCCGGACGAGTCCAGCCGCAACCGAGCTCGCCAAGCTCCCCGGTGTCGAAGTGATTGAGCAGAACTGGGTGGAAATCACCGCCGACTGGCTGCGCAGCCACCACGTCACCAGGGCATTCATCGCATCGCACAATGCACCCAACCAATTCGCCGAAGAGTCGACCTTCCACCTGAACGCGCTCACCGGCGGCGTGGAATACGTCGTGCGCATCTCGACGACGGCGGCGAATGTCCGCCCGGATTGTCCGGCCTACTACCCGCGCCAGCACTGGGCCATCGAGGCCCTCTTGGCCTCGCCCGAGTATGCCAAGCTGCAATGGACGTCGCTGCAGCCAAACGTATTTTCCCAGTTTGTACTGGTCCCCGCTGCGGAGCTTATCAAGCAGTACCGCAAGACCGGCGAGCAAAGTACACTCCGCCTAATCGTCGCTGAGGACGCACCCGTGGGGATTATCGACTCCAACGAGGTTGGCGTCGTTGCGGCGCATCTCCTCGCGCAGGCGGACACCTCTGTGCACAACGGGGCCAAGTACGTCCTCAATGGGCCAGAGGATACCAACGGAAAGAAGATTGTCGAGATGGTGGAGGAGTACATTGGTGTGCCGGTCAGGGATGTGAGCTACAAGGATGTTTCGTTTATTGACATGATGTATGAGCATCAGTATGCGGCGACCGGGCAGTCGAGGAATGTTATCTATTCGATTAAGCGGGCTCCGGAGACGTCGTGGGAGGGGCTTACGACGGCTGCTACGACTAGTAAGGAGGTTCTGCAGATTGCTGCGCCGAAGCGGACACCTGCGGAGGTTTTGAAGACTCTCCTGCAAGGGTAAACTGGTTATTACGAGGCTGAAACAGCAGCTTTCATTTACAAATGTTAGCTATAGTGCATGAAATAAATCATCAAACCAAACGCTTCCAACCAACAGTGTAAAGACCATGCAGTGTAAAGCTGCCGCCTTAGAGGACCACAGCTGAGTTATTTGCGTTCCAGATTAAAACTATACCTAACTAGCATTTTATTCGAACTACATAGAATAACTTATTCCAACGTAGCTCCGCTTTGGCCAGGATGCGCAGAATCCCATTCTGAGACCACGCACTCTGAATCAAGACAAGCCAACAAGGAGTACACTACCGCGATTTCAAAAACGTAGTAACAATCTCAAATACTATATTCACTCGCCAGTTAGTGCGGAGGCTTTGAGGGACTTTAAGCCCAACATCGACGGAGACGACCAGCCCAAGAGAGGGCAGCAGAGTGGACCAAGTCCGATGTTGTCATTCATATTGGAACAGTACAGTCCAATTGCCTTTTAACCTGTTTTCAAATGAAAATTCTTGGTATATGGTATCATTTCTTCTGCGGGGTGGTTAACCCGGCACGATGGATGAGAGATACGGGTGCAGGTCCATCGTAGTGCACAGAAGGTACAGAGGTAGCTGTGTTGTATTTCTTGTCAGCTCTCCCTACAGAAGCGCTCCCTCTACAGAAACGTGATACAAATGCAGCACCCCGAAAAGAAGGCTGGAAACGAAAACAAGGTAAACTTGAAGTGTTAGGATTTCAGAGCTATCGCCAGCCTTGCGCGCAGACAAAATCATGAGCGGGCAATGCAGTTGGTACGAAAAATGAGTGCTGGAGCGCATTTAGAATACGTAGAGTTAGATTAAAGCCGGACTGGATAGCAAACCAAACCACGAGAAGCCTACTTGGCCTCCGAATCCACGAGTTGAATAACAACCTTGCCAACCTGTTGTCCACTCTCAAGCCTCCGATACGCCTCACGATATTCCGCAAAATGATAGACCCGATCGATGACAGGCCGTACCTTGTGCCTCCCCATTGCTACAAGCATTGCCTCAAAGTCCAATCGTGACCCAACAGTCGATCCAGTGACCGTGAGGCTTCTCGCAAGGATATCTATAGGCGGAAGCCCGCCACCAAACCCGCTCGCAAACCCAATCACCACAACCACGCCAGTAACCTTGGCCGAGGCCGCAGACTTGACGATCGTCTTGTCCCCCGCGATATCCAGCACCTTGTCAACGCCCTTTCCATTGGTCAAGGCAAGGATCTCGCGATCCCAGTCGGGGGAAGTAGAATAATTGACCACGGCCTCGGCCCCCAGCTCCTTGAGCTTCGCGGCCTTTTCATCCGACGAGGTGATGGCGAGAACACGCGCGCCAAAGAGTTTCGCAAACTGCAACGCAAAAAGCGAGACGCCACCGGTACCCTGGACCAACACCGTCTGACCCGGTTGCAGGGGCTCGATTTTATTCAGAGCCGTCCAGGCCGTCACCGCCGCACAAGGGAGCGACGCAGCCTCGATGTATGAGATATACTCCGGGAGAAGCACGAGTGCGTCCTCACGGAACACCACATGCTCAGCCAGCATCCCGTCGATCTGGAAGCCGACGCTGCTAGACAGGTAATCTGGGATAAATGGGCCGCCGATCCAGTCTGCGCTGCAACTGACTGCGACGCGGTCGCCCTTGCGGACTCGTGTCACCTCGCTACCAACTGCAACGACCTCACCAGCGCCATCGGACACGGGGATGACGTCCTTTTTGTGCTTGGCGCGATACTCGCCTCTCAAGAGGGCCGTGTCGCGGTAGTTTAGCGAGACGGCGTGGACTTTGATCAGGACTTCACGGGGGCCGGGACTCGGTAGAGGCTCGTCGTGGACTTCGGCGGTGGCTTTGTCATTGGCCGCAGGAACAAGTCGGACAGCCTTCATTTGCGTCATGGTTTGGGTATTAATTTGAGTGGATAGAGGAAGATTTTGGCGTTTGGAGCTGGAGTTTGCTTGTACTGGTAGCAGAATTTTATAACAAGCAGAACACCGACCTTTATAGATAGATAGATAGATGTTAGCAACGCCCTGGCAACTATGGTAGCAATTGGATAACATATCCATGGATATGCTAAGCTTTCCATTATTGGCAGCTTACAAATTGGCCTACCGGCTGCCCACCCGGAGCTCCCACATCCAGGATCGCACATTGATAAGCTTGTTAATCACCACCGTTGGTTGATACAAGGAATGACATCATAAAAGAGAAGAAATCAGGTATACTGCAACAGTCCAAGATGGCCAGATATTTATTTTAGGAGAACTTAAAGTAGCTTATTGGCCTGGCCTGCCCACGAGTTGTTAGAAAGTCTCGGGATATCCACTAAACTACTTGGTCTAGGATTCTTAGATATGAAAGAGCAGCACTTTTCCATGGTCTCCTCTGTGATGTAGTCAAGCAGGTCCAGCCTTTGAATTATGATGGAAATATTTTTTTTTCTCACACCCTATAGCTTTATATATGTGATGGACTTTAGATTGATCTTAGATGCTGTGTCTATCTGACCGTTAAAGGCCTCGCTGAATTCCTTAAGAGAGACTCGGCGCTCTGTCAATATCAAGGATAGTAGGTAGTTTCTTTCTCTGTGGCTGTTTGTAGGAGGCGGAAGCCTTCGAATTCATTTCTGTCAACCACGATATATCTACCTAGCTCTATATATTGTATACGCATCGTAGCCTATAGAGAGGATAAAGGAACAGGTTCAAGTCGAATAGAGTAGAAACTGAATCGAAAAGACAGATACAGTTCCACATAGCTTGTAGGAACACTGTTGGAAACGCCCTGCCAAGAGCCTAGTTTCACATTCATAGGTACTGATGGGGAAAGACATGGACCTGTCTTGGCGGTTTGGGGAACCGAAAGCTTGAGTTGCCCGACTCATGGAAAGACACTCCTCATGTTGATGTAGATCAATGATACCTGATCAAGATTGTATAATCAACACGAGAAGATTTATCCGACCAATCCGCTCCTGCTTCTACCCTCACCTCTTTCTTGCCTTGCGGAGTTCTTTCAGCCGACTCGACAGAATACATTCTCGTAGGCTACTCTTATAAGGAAATCAGGGGTAGATGTCTAATCCTTCTCGATGAGCTGCATAGTAGTACATATTATTGGTCATGGCTAGGGCGCTTTGAAGGGTACTGTGAGGCCTCACTTGATAGGAGATTGGTGCTCGGCACGCTTGCCGGTGGTGTACAGTAAAGCTAAAGTAAAGAATCCTTGGCATTTTGGGGAAGCCAGCTCGACACTAGAACCATCAAATTGATACATGCATACCCAGGTGCGGAGGTGCGTGCAAACTCCGGTTGAAGATTTAGTGATCCGTAGGGTGCGCCTTCTAGCGACATGCATCCGGCGTCTTTAGACTTTCCACGGAATAACAACCCGTCTCTCTGCCAGTATAAAGAAACCTGGCCAGTCTTTTCCTATACTGTATCGTGCAAATCGCTTTATTGAACCAACCTCTATCTTCCTCGGATATGTCTACCCCGTCCCCAGTTCACGCCCCGGAGCATATCCTCCAGCTCCTGGCCAAACTCCACCGCATCTCCCTCGAACAAGAGGCCGCCATCTCCAACAAGGGCAAAGTCTTCTCATCCGAAATCCTCGGCGACCTGAAGGACAAAGTCGGCGGCCAAAACTCCAAGTCTGCCTTTGACCGGTTGATGCTGGACAAGTTCATCGCGCTCGACGAGGATAAGTGCCAGTTTCTGTACCAGCTTATCAATGCGATGGGCGCCACCAATGTCGTTGAGGCTGGAACAAGCTTTGGGGTTAGCACGATCTACCTCGCCCTCGCTGTTGCCCAGACAAAGGCTGCCACGGGCAAGCCGGGTGTTGTGGTTGCGACGGAGAAGGAGGCGGAGAAGGCTGCGGTTGCGCGCAAGTACTGGGCCGAGTGTGGTGAAGTCGTGACAAAGCAGATTGAGCTTCGCGAGGGAGATCTGCTTGAAACTCTCAAGACAGGCTTGCCGCAGATTGACCTGCTCCTTCTTGATAGTAAGTTCCCTCCTCTGACTTATATCTTGTGTGCCTGCGCGTGCTAAAAGAGAATGTGTAATGTAGTTTGGTCTGCTCTCTCTCTCCCTACTCTCAAGACCGTCCAGCCCTACCTCCGACACGGCGCGGTGGTGCTCACTGATAACACCATCTCGGGTGCCAAGGGCTATGCAGATTTACTTGCGTATCTGCGAGACCCCGAGAATGGATTCCGCAACATGACTCTGCCATTTACTAACGGGTTCGAAATGAGCGTGTACTTGCCAGGGGCGAAATAAGTTTCTTGTTTTTCTGTACTTTGATGAATTACCAATGCTTTTATTTTTGCTTTACCTGCCATAACTCGCATAGTATATCTACATCACATAAGACAGCATTTCAACAATGTAAAGATCTCTTCCATCTCTTTGGAGTCTCCAAATGGAATTTGACGACTTGCACCTCTTTAAAAGAGAATCGATATGTTGTCTGCCTCGGCACGCTCAATCAGCTGCTCCGCCGGCACCGGTTCATAACTCATGGGGGTATAATCTAACGTAGTATAATATCGCCTTGTAAATGCAACTCTAGCCTAAAGCCACTCTCTTGTCATATGTTAATTACCTTGCTTCTGGCCCTTTTTTCCGTAAATACAGGACTGCCGTTGGTTCCCCAACAAGCCCCAAAATGCCAAGCGCGGTGTATGATATCATCGCCTCCACTATCGAGTCACGGCCTGCTTGCACCAAGTTTGTGCATCTGCGTGGTATCTTCTCTTTAGACAGCGGGCGGCTCAGTGAACTTCTTACATTGAACCTGCCCATATCAGAAACGAATTTCGAACCGGGTTCACAATTTTCGGTGGCGATGACTCGCCTGTCGGCTGAAACTCAAGGGAAGAACTTCAGGTTTTCATACACGTCTGCCCTTTTTTTTTCTTCGTTGTGTTATCGGACTATGCAGGTAATCATCTCTACTTTAACTTAACCTTAGGTAGGGTTCCATCCCTTTGTGTACTCCATTCCCTTTTTCCTGGACTACTCCGACCTCTTCCCAACGCGCGGCAGCGCAATCCAACCCATAAGCATAACACCATACAGACACAAACAGACCGGATGCAAGACCATCGTCCACCGACTCTGCGCCAGAGGTCCCGTAAGGAAGGGAAACACGGCACCGCCCGAGCTCCCCAACGCACTGATAAAGCTCAGACTGACCAGCTGGATCTTCCTCGGAAGCAGCCTCGCAAAGACTGCCGTCGAGCACGGAAACATCGGCCCCAGAAGAAGGCTCAGGATCCCGACGGCCACGGCTTCCCATATAATGTTCGGCACCAGCCAGGTGAGGAGCTGGAAGGCGATGCCACCGGCGACCATGAGGGCTACGGCGAGTTTGTTGTCGATGCGGTTTGCTGGGTATACGAGGAGGAAGCGGCCGAGAGTTATGCCGGCCCAGAAGCCGGCGCTGACGTAGCCGACTTGAGAAGGGTTGCCGTCGCGGTACGTTATTAGGAAAGAGACGACCCAGCCGGAGATGGAGACTTCGGCTGGGTCCTAGGAGAAGATGAAGGGGGCGCCGAGGAGGGTTGTGCGTATTTTGGGGGAGGTTTTGAGGAGGGATAGCCGGCTGCTGCTGGACGGGTTGTCGGTGTCGGTGCTTGTTGGTGTCGTCGTCGAAGAGTCGAGGGGCTGCTGTTGCTGGGAGACTACTGGCATGTTCTCCTCGTAATCAACGAATGCGAAGGCCGAGAAGACTAGGTTCGCAGCGGAGAGGGCCATAAGGTATAATGTAGGAAAAACTCCAGCGAACCCCGCTCGAAACCATCGCCGTCGCAATCAACGGCGAAACAACACCACCAATGCCATAAGCACCGGAGAAGCACCCCAGTGCTGTAGTCGCGTTCGCCAGATTTGCACAAAAGAAATTATTCATGGCGATGCTGAGTGCCATTCCAAGCCCCAGAAGAAGAAACGCAGCCACGACAACCGAAAACGGCGGGTGAGCTGCAATGACTATGTATCCTCCCGCAATCAGCCCCATGGACAATGCATAGCTCTTCGAGTGGCCCAGTTCTGTCTGGATGGTGTAGTTCAACGGAGCCGCGAGGAGGAAGCCGACGGCGTTGGCGATGAAGATGAGTGAAACGATGGCGTATCCGATCTCATTGTCGACCTCGGTGTAAGGGAGCAGGGCGCCGGGGGCGCTGTCGTTCATGCCGTTGCCAAAATTCATGAGGCAGGCAGTAAGGAGGCGCCATTTTGTCTTCGAGGCGAGGTGAACTTGGTTTGTTGCGTGTTCTGCTACGGACTTTGGTGCTTCAGGGTTGGCATTGTCTGGTGGCGCTGTCAGGCTGTCCAGTCTGTAGAGCGCACCGCGTCCAGCATTTTTGCTAAGGGAGCCCTGAGGCTGCCCCTTGAGGGGAACAGCTGGATTCGTGGCCGGACCGCACGTGCATTGCCCCATGCTGTAGCGAGAATGTAGGAGGGAGAAGTTCAAGATGACGGGTATGAGCACTGTAGGGGTAGTGGCGAAGGGGTAACAAAGCACCCAACTTTACCAGGATTAAATATGCAGATGGGACTCATTTTGCTTCTCCGTGATAATTACAAATTAATCGACCACGTAATGGAGCATTTTTAACACATCTTTGTGGGGCTGCCCTAGTAAGGAACTCATTGTAGGTGTAAGCTCTTTAAAAGGGCGGTCGAAACTGCCTCAGTGGGATATGCATCTGGCTACTAGGTATCGTTGATGTATAGTAAAAGATCATTTTATGGGCTTGAAAGCCCTGTTGCCACGCCATCCGCTTCTATTGCAAGGAGTTCGCTGGCTTCCGGTATATTGCCACACGCGAGCGCTTAGAATGTTAAAGACCTGTATTTAGATTCGGGATTGCCTGTCGCGGCTTGACATAATGCGGTGGGTCTTAGATTATCTCCTACCTGCTGCTTGTATACGGTCTGTCTACTCCGTAGATACACAAAGCAAAAAGTCAGGTAGACACAGTGTCTCGGTTCAATTGAACGACGGGGCCCTCGTCCGCAGAAAGACATTCGAAGGTATGCTCTGATCATTGAACTCCTCATCAACTTCATACTCGATCTCCGCAACCTCATGGAAGCCCAGGCGTTTATACACGGACCGCCCCATCCGCGAGGCTTCAGTGATAGCCTCGATATCACCCAGACGCTGTGCCTCCTCAAGGCCCACTGGACCAGCGGCGCATGACGTATCAAGTTGCCCGCGGGCCAAGTACTTTGGTGGAGATTACAGACACTGAACGCGTAATTCTTACGGAAGGAAACAAACCAGCTATTACTAGGTACGGTGCAGACATTCCCAAGCTGACGAAAGAACTAATTCCAGAACAGATAGGGCAAGTGTATGGGGTACGCTGATCCCTGACTATCAAGAAATGAAGGCATGTCATACACCGTATATTTAATTGAAGCCAAACATCTCATTATCATACTGCTTGGCTCTTCGTTGACCCATGGTGATACCCTCCTCGTTGAAATCAGATTTCTCAAACCCCATCGCTCGACGACCCTCCAAAGACAAAATATTTTCCGCATGCGCGCCGTGGTCATCGTGTGCGGCCTCCAGCTCCCCATGATTGTATTTTGCAAAGTCTTTGGGCGGAAGAACATCCAGAAAAGCCTTTCTCTGCCCGACTAGGCTTTCAACCTTGTATAGGCACAATGGCACACATGCGTTGTAACTAACAGATGAGTCTCTCGTTCCTGGATGCAATTTATCGACTTTATGAATGAGATCACAATGCCAGAACACATAGTCCCCGGGGGTGACCGGCGGAATGCCAATCATCGTACGCTTCAGATCCAGATGTGGATGTAGGGATTCGGTTGGAAAGAATTACAGGCTTCCAGGCGGAGCTCCTGGAAACAATGGAGTTGTGCAGTCGAACTGTTCCTCCAGGATGAAGTAGGGGCGAAGGAGCAAGTATGACGTGGACAGTTTCAAGTTCGGGACCAGGCGTAGGCTGCCTTCACCGGTTCCAGTGTGCGATAGACTAAGCCAGCCCTGAAGGGAGCGAAAGACCGAACAGGATTCTCCAGTCGCATAGAGATCAGTCTTTGCATTCGATCGGCAATCAGCGTTCCACGCGTCATACTCCTCCCAGCGGCCCCGGAAGATCTTCTGATAGCAGGCGCGATACATTGGATTTTCCCAGCGCTCGATAGCGCTATCCTGGTGAGTGCGGAGCGTATACTCCTCATCTAATGCCGTTAGCTTGGATAATCTTGCACGAGGTGCACTAAACTCACTCTTCGAAGGGTGCCGGATTCTGAAGCGAACCGTGTATGCTACCTGGCTACTAAGGTCAAATATGGCCTCCTCATCACTCAAATGCCAGAGCTGGCCAACCGCGTGCATCGCCTTGAGGACACTTTCATGGCTCCGAATCTCCACCTGAGGCTTTGTCCAAAACAGGCTAAAGTTTTGCGGATCATGTTTGGGGAAGCCAGCTACCTCTGGGTGTCTCCGGGTATAATCTTTTAGTTCTTTTTCCCAGGCTGTTGCTTGTTTTTCGGAAACAACGCCACGAATAATAAGACACCTGTCTCGCGGGCATGGGAAGCAAAGTCTTCAGGTAGCGTCCCATTGTTCGCAGCAATATCAGCAAAAGGGATCTCGGGGATAATGGCAGGCCCATGCTTCGCGATGCGGTTAGCCGAGACCGAGAGAAGCTGTACAAAACGGCCATACGACTCGATGACTCTCTGTTTGTCAGCGGGGTTTATGATACTTTTTTGAGCTCCGAGAACCGCTGCTCGAGGAGTGGACACCTGCAGTTGTGAGATAATCCTCAACATTCTCAGAAGGTCAAGAAAAAGGTACTAACGGCAAGTCACACTGCACAAAATCTTGCTCCACCCTAAAGATTTCAGGATATTGGCGATGCTCCGAGTAGTAGCTGTAGTGTCGTCAAAGAAGGCATGGGAGTTCCGTCTTTTCCTCCTGCTGCATACCACTGCTGAAGACTTGGTCTCAGAAGAATTGGTTTTAAGGATGTACAGCAGCCTGTTCCATGGTTGATTTCTTGACGCCCGCAGGCGGAGTTGGCCGCGGGCCAACCTCGGATTATAGATCTTATTCTATAGCCCCGCAGGAGAATAACAGGATATAAATACGTTGTCATAGTTCCCCCGCGGCCATCGAAGTCTGAGACCCATGCCATTTGGCCAGAACACCAGCCATCTACCCACACATCTGTGCAACCAAATGTCGGTCGCAGACCAAGGAGCTCCTTCAGCCGCTCCAGGTGATCCTCGCCCCTACAGATCCAAGAAACAGCAGCCGTGACTAGACAATGAGGGGCCCTCATCGCCATGTGGACGGACTTTTCACTAATGAAAACTGCTTACATAGTTGCGACGCATGTCGACGGCGGCGAATCGGCTGCATCTAATCCCCAGGGCAGCTTACATGCACACTGTGTCGGCACAGAGGCACTACTTGCACATACACCTCACAGCCGCGGGCCAAAAAGCGTCAGAGTAAAAATTACCTCAGTGGCCATGGATCGTTAAACTCCGGGAGACAATCTCCTCCCTCGCGTGCTGGAAATCAGACGCTACAGCTTGTTGCATTACCGAGGCACCCATTCCAATCACTAGTCCCAAGCAATGGCACGGGCGATGATGAACCCACAAGCACAGCATTCAAAACAACCCTAATGCCTAGGCAAACCGGTCTCTATTCAGGCGCAAGTAGCGACCAGGATCTTTACCTGCTACGGCATTTGCCGTTCTATCGAGGCCATCGCTTTGGCAGTGGAAATTGGCGTGTCTGGCAGCTCGGTGAGAGTCCGTTTCACTCTGTGTACTTTACGGTAGGTAGTTATCCGTAATTATCATCGTTAGCTTCGCTGACGAACACAGTGGAGCTAACGTAGCCTTACTGGACAGATCTATCCCGATGCTCTTCTAGACGCACATATTGGCGCCTACGATACTGCCCACGTGGAGAACACCGTTACGCTCCATCGCAGCGATCTTCTCGACCTGTACTACCGATTTGTTCATCCGACGTTACCAATCCTTGAGCCGCGCTCGGCGTTCGAAGAAGCACTGCAGAACGGCATGATCCCCGCATCATTGCTTGCCGCAGTGTGCGCCGCCGCGGCATCCTTCTGGAGTCACTCTGACACACTGCAAGGTGTGGTCCCCATTGACGGACATTCGTTGGCCGAGTTTGTTTTCTCTTCAACAAGCCTCGTTCTTGCCAGTATCGACGATGTAACGTTTGACTTCCGCCGCAATCTGCTGCTACGATATCAGCGCGTGCTAAATGCTTTAAGCGGCAAATTTGAATTTTCTGCCTTGCCGAGTTCACGACTGAATTTGTGTTGCGGAGTTTATTCGAACCGCCAGCTTAAGCAGGAGATAGAGAAACGTCTAGAATATGAAAAATTGTTCAGTTACGTAGACAGTGTCTCAGTATTGGCGTATTGGTGCGTGGTCTTCGCATCTCAATGGGGTCTTTTGATTTTCTCTATATGGGAACTGATTCTTATTTATTTCTCCAGGTCAACGCCACCAGCCACGGTTTCGACTTGATAAGTCAGAAGAAGACCACAAAGTAACCACTACTTTTACTGTCTGCCAAACGCCTGGAAGAAGGCTGATACCCCTGAACACGAGCAGATCAAAGGGTTCAAGGCTACAATCCTCCCGTGGCTTGCGGCCTTGATATATTGCCACCCTTGACTTTATATTCTTTCTCGACCTGTTTATGCCTGAAGTTTATTGTAGTTCTATCCATCATTGGAATCCACCTTAGCCTGTGCGCTCAATTATTGCAACTCCCGCCAAGTGGTTATATGTAGATCCACCGTGAAAAAAAAAAAAAAAGAACTGTCTGGTTTAGGTTGATAAAATTTCGTTAAATACCAATATTTTGAGGTCATGTCTGAAGCTACCCAGCTGCCTCTGGGAGCATCATATGTTGACGAACGGAGGCGCCTGAGGCACCCTCAGCGAGCGAGGCGAGGTCACGTGCTTGATCCCCCGCACACAGATCCGCTTCCGCCACTCCAGACGGAGTAGATCGAGAGGATCATGTATCTTCATCCCTTGATATCATATAGCCAGCAACACAAGTTCCGGCCTCCTGTTGCAGTAGGCGGCCGAAGCTCCAACGGCACCATGAACCGCCTAGGCTTACGTCGAAAAGTGAAGTGACGGGTATTAATTTAACACGGCAAATTCCTGAGAACGACTTATCTCAAACTCCACACTCGCGTCTGTGCACCCGCTTTCAACATGCCTCTACGGAAACGGAGACGACCAGACCTAGTCGAGCAGACAAGGGTAGAATCAATTGAGGAAGTACAGAGTGCTCATCCTAACACGAGCCATTCAGCGGGCGAAAGGGCGTTTTGCTGCCATTTCTGTACCAAGGCTTTTCATCGAAAGGAGCATTTACAGCGGCATGAAAGACTTCGTGAGTCTCACTGTCTGCTTGGATGCAACGGAACTGATTTATTTCCAGATACCAAGGAGAGGCCTTTCCGGTGCATAGTTTGCCCCGTCACTTTTGCTCGAAGGTATCAACTGCTTTCCTCTGCTGATAACCACAGACAATTGGGTCCCGCTAACAGCAAGCGACAGAGACCTTCTGGCTCGCCATATTCGCCTGACTCATGAACATGATGTGGTGCCTCACTGCGATGGCGAGGCAGACTACGCTGGTCGTGACAGGAGCTCATCCATATCCAGGACCATTCCTGAGCGTCGAGACATATCAAGAACACCAAATCAAGGAGCTTTACATGATGTGACAACTGGCCTTTCCCCGGACCCGGCATCATCTTGCCATGAGGTCTTGCCATTTTCAGTGCCCTCTGTTTCACTCGATTTTGGAGCATCCCAGCCTGCCATGCTCTCACCTATACCACCAGTTACACCGGACATGGTATCGGCTCAACAGACCCACAGTATTGGTGACTTCGATTTATTCATAGAAGGTATAACCCCAACATACAGTGGTCTATCGTCCTTGATTAATGATCAACATCTTTTGCCGCTGCCTCCATCTCCGCTCTTCCCTACTCTCGGATTACAGCCACGATTGCAGAACTCGAATAGTAGCTCCTCTGTATCAAATCGGCTATATGCTCTAGAGCCTCAATTAGTCGATAGCTTCGCATCTACATTGCCCTTATCGGAGCCTTTTCATATCACGAAAGATAGTACAGAGCCGCAGAAGATTTCGCAACGAGACTGGGACCACCTCTTGATTGAGGTTCAAAACCTTGCGCCGACCACCCCCAAAGGGTTGTTTCTTCTTTCGCGCCATACCATGACCCGGTACATTGCGACCTACTTTGCAGGATTTCATCGCCATCTGCCATTTATACACCTCCCTACATTTTCGAGTGCGAAGTGCCCAGTCGAGTTGATTTTATCGATGGCCACCATTGGTGCCGTGTCGGCATTTGATAACAACAACGCTACTATGCTGTTTCGAACAGCCTTTGCAATTTGCCAAGAGCGACTTCGTCAACGCAAGGAGCAGCGGCACAATATGATCTTCCGCGCCAAAACAGCACGGCCAAGGCCTCTGCGACCGACGGGGATTGTGGGGAATGTGCTCCCTTCTAGCGAAACATTTCAATCAGAGCCAGATCTAGAAGGAGAACAGATGTATCCGTTTGACCCTCTTCCGCTTGCACAGGCATTGCTTCTTCTTATGGCGGTGGCAACCTGGGGGAATTCAGAAGCTATATTTAACGAAGCAGTGGGGATACAGAACGTTTTGGTCATCTACCTGAGAGCCGAGAAACTTTTGGAGGCACAAGCATCTACAATCCCAAAATGGGACATCTGGATACAAGAGGAAGGCTTTAAACGGACCGTGGCTATCATCTTTTGTTTCCTCAATTTCCATACAATCGTTTACGACATCCCGCCTCCGATTCTCAACTCAGAGATCAAAATTCATCTACCTTCATGCGAAAAGGATTGGGAAGCAGCAACCGATGAAGAATGGCAACAAGCTCGAAGCAAACATGAGGCCGAGCCTCACTTCCAGTCAATCTTCGCCTCGCTATTCTCAGCACAAAGAGCAGAGTCTCAACAGCACTGTTCTTCGTTGGGCAGTTATACGCTGATTCTTGCTCTGATTCAGCACATCTACTTTTTGAGAACCGTAGCAAAGGGCAAACTGCAAGAAGATCAGACGCTATCCCCTACAGACATGACTGAAGTTGAACGAGCATTAAGGAATTGGCAGCTTGGTTGGACTCATGATCCCGAAGCTTTCCTAGGCCCAGGCAGTCCACTCGGTCCCATATCCTTCAACTCAACCGCCCTACTGCGAATGGCCTACATCCGACTCAACGTGGACCTCGGTCCGTGCCGCGCTCTGACCACCCACGATCCTCAAGACATTGCGATGTCAATGTATCATAGCCCACCTCTAGCGAGGAACCGCAGACTCACCCGCGCAGTGCTCTACTCCGCTCATGCACTAAGTATCCCAGTCAAGATTGGAGTCAATATCGTCGCACATAATCAGGCATTCTCCTGGTCGCTTCAGCATTCGCTATGTGCTCTGGAGTGTGCCTTTGTCATCAGCAAGTGGTTGATGGCCATACAACCCCACGTCTCCGACGGGACTGTTGATGACGAGGAAGAGGCGAGATTATACACCTATATTGTCGACATGGCGACGGAGGCAGAAGCCGGGGGTGAAATGGACTCATCTTCCAATGCCTTGTGCAGTCGAGTCGTCAGGATTTGGGCGACGATATTGAGTGGAAAGGCTCATTGGAATGTCGTGCGAATGATCGGCAAAATCTTGGGAGCCTACGCTCGGATCCTGGAGGTGCAGTGTGTGTAGAGGTAGAACTCAGCGATCATCTTATCTGAGATTCATGCTAGACATTCGCGGTTCAGAATGCTCGGACATACCAAAATCGCTCGTAATAGGAAGACAACCTTGGCCTTTGCTTCCTCGTTCAGCTGTTGACTACAGCCAGGGTGCAAGCTAGTAAGTTGGGCTTAGCATCCACGGTTGGTTGCAAGGCCTCATAATGTGAAGTCCTCAGATGCGGTCATGGTTAGCGGCAATAGGCTGGCTGGATATTACCGTAAATTGCTTCTTCAATTCTACATACGACCAAAGGTGTGTAGACTGGCATGATATCATCGGTTGGGCGGGGTGTTTTGCCGTACTCGTCCAAGTTGATGTCTGGAAGACCAGGCTGCCCGGGAAGTGAACTCAATCCAATGCCGACTCTAGCTCCAGTCTTCGCCTAGGATCTCGCTATATCAAGCCCCGAACATCCAGCTTATATCGCATTCGTATCGAATTTCGATTCTGGTCCTTTGCTTGGGCCGTATCCGCTCATCGACCACTCCCCAATATCCACATATTTAATCCATCGATGATTAGGGTAGGCTAATTTTGGCACCATCCCACTCATCCCCACTGTTTGCTAGAGCAGCAAGCCGTTGAGAGGCTTATTGCACAACGGGCACAGTTTCAGCTGTCGGATATACGTGACGTGTGCCATGCCTAAATCAGGATCGACCCGGCATTCCAGTCCGGAATACAGCACCTCATATTGGCAGGATAGCCCAGTTGTCTACCTGCTGTTCATATTCCTTGAACTCTTGAGCGATTCTTTCGAGGTCATTGAAAAAAAACTGACGGGAAGTCCTGTTCTCCACACCCTGTGGTCGTATGTAATGACTGCTATTTAGAAGAACACCGGATTCTACAGGGTAGGACGTGCCCGAATTATTCTAGAGCAATATCATATCTACTCTAGCACAGAGGAACCTCGCTGAATCCCCCCACGGGGTTTTCAACGCTCTCGATTCGTATGCCATTTCTTCACTGCTTCTCCTGCTCCTGCGCCGGAGCCGGCGCCCCACGCACAAGACCCTCCTGGGACGGCGAGGGCCCAACCCCATACACATCAACAGGCGTAGAAGCAAATTTCCGCGCGGGGACACCAGTCGCAAACAGGATATCCAGTTCAGCATACGTGCGGCCCTTGGGCTCCGGCAAACGGAAGTACGCCCAGACAAACACAATCAGCGCAGTACCACCCCAGAAGAAGCCTGTCTTCCCCGAGGCGTTCCACGCGGTCGGGTTCATAAAGTACGGCTCGAGGACCTGCGAGACGACGTTGACGACCTGGTACGCTGTGCGCGCGAGGCAGACGGTGAGCGGGCGGAGACGAACCGAGGAGATCTCCGAGACGAGCGAGTAGGTTACTGGGCCGACGGTCATGGAGTAAACGAAGAGCCAGAGAAAGCAGAATGAGGCCTGGGCCCACATGCCGCTTGTTGTGTTTGTCGATGCGTTGATGATGCCGATGAGCATGAGGAATGTGCATAGCATGGCCAACCCCCCGACGTATAGTGTCCGGCGGCCGAAGTATGTGATGAGCCACCAGGATAGGATGACGCCGACGAGGGCAACGCCCGTGCACCCGACGCCGAGCTGGAAAGCCTTGCCCGGGTCCATGCCGGCCTGTTCGAAGAAGTAGGTTGGTGAATAGGCGAAGCTGCTGCCGGAGAGGATCTGGCCGAAGAAGGCGACGCAGCAAATTTCCGTGCGGCGGAGGTCAACGCCCTTGAAGCAGTCAAGGTAGGTCGTCCCTGCTTCGATCTCCGCTTCGAGCTTGATGGTGTGCACCATCATCGCCAGCTGGCCGTTGACCTGCTCTTCCGTCTTGTTTCCGCCTAGTCGGCGGATGCTGCGCTTGGCATCCTCCAAGCGATCTTTCCGGACCAGGTACCAAGGGCTCTCGGGCGCCAGCCAGCACACCACCATCAGTGGCAGGGGCCATATCCACTGGAGACCAAAGGGGATGCGGTAGCCCCAATCGTCGGGTCGGTCCTGTAGCCCATACAGCACGCCCATGGCGATAAGCTGGCCGATCGCCCAGCACATGTTCACGTAAGTTGTAAGGTATCCGCGCAGATTGGTCGGGCATACCTCGGAAGCATACGCGGGACCGATTGTTGCAAAGACTCCCCATGACAGACCGCAGAGGATCTCACCCACGAGCAGCACAGCAGCCGAAGGTGCGAAGAAGACAATGAAGATAAATGCCGTCAAGAAACACAAGGCCACGAACATGACCTTTCGGTAGCCGTAACGCGATGCCGCGTATCCATTGATGATGCCGCCTGGTAAATGGATTGTGTCAGCGCTGCCCTGCTTCTCATGCGTTTGGGTCCTTACCAAAAATGCAACCAACCGTGCTGGCCATATTCAGCCCCGTCTGCCACGGAGCAGACACCTGCCACCCAATATCACCACCGTAATCCTGGCCAAACTTCTTCTGAAAGGTCGGGTAGCCAAAGAAGTTGCCCATCAGAATGGTGTCGTAGCCCTCCATGATGATGGACATGGAAATCAAGACCGACCAGCCGACGGCCTTCCGATTGTCTCGGAGCGCCTGCCACAACGTTTGCTCGCGCTCCTCGTCGGTCGCCTGCTTCGCCTCGACGATTGCCCCGGCGCCCAGCGTGTCCTCCACATGGTGGGCAGCCGTCTTCTCCAGCGCAATCTCCGTCTGCGCAGCGTTGGTAGCCATTCTGAGGGGAACTTCGATGAGAAATGCGTTGGTTCGGGAGTCTTGCCCACGGCTGGAGTGCGGAGATTATATGGGCTACTCAGCTGCGTGGAGCCACCCCGTTCTGACCGTCCCATCTGGGGAATCATGGCACTGACCACTTTAATTCAGGCTAATTTGACTGGTCATGTGTGGACGTGGGTGGACAGAGGAAGGCCAACAGGACGGTGAAAATATCCCCGAAACGTGAAGCCTTACCTGAGTCAGGAAGAGTCAATTGGCTCCTGGGGAAGCGAGATTCCGAGCCCCGCATGTCCGACATTGGCCCCCCAAGGATGGATTGGTCTCCTGGGGTAGCGAAGTAGTAGACCCGCTTCGTTCCCTGGCAAACCGAGGCAACCGGCACGCCGACTCGAGCTTTCGCCACCTCATAAATCCTGGTGAAAGGTCAGGTTTCGCAGGCATTAAAAGTATCTAAAAAGCCATCTCATTAGCTCCCATCAGGCTCACCCCCCAAATGATGATCTTAGTACTTAACAACAAGGGATACTTTCCTATCTCCGGAGAAACTAGAATCCTCGGGGGAATTATTACCGACCGAGGCAAGTCTTCGATCAACTTGGCATGAGCAGTCAAGGAGAGCGGCGGATGCTTGTGCCGGAAGCTTGACGAAGCTTGGAGCGCCAAGTCAACCCTCCGTGTCGCATTCAGAAGTTCCCCGTGCCAAAAGTGGTACCGTAGTAATCAATCATATTAGCCTAATGGCAGCGATTGCGTCGTTTTGGAGAGATAAATTGTCTCACTGTCTGGAAATATCGGTTCATTCCTTCCAATCAAGCGCCGTTCGCGTCCCATCAGCGCCCGATAAGAAGATGTCATCTGTCACCATACTACATAGTGGCCCTAGGTCTCGAGCAACTTAAATGCTAGCTCATCACTTGTGCCGTTCACATCAATCGCTGCCCAGTTGTCGCCCAGGTTCATGCCACCCAAGGCACTGGGCGAGACATGCATGGAGGCTGGCTTTGACAGGGCGGGGTAGTATCCTGGTGACGTATTCGGAGGCGGGGACGCCAAAGGAAGAGGTTTTCCTCAGGCATGGGGTTTGGTTCTATCTGTATCCTGGTCGCGTCTAGAATGAGCCGGTGGTGGGGAGTGAAAGGAGCAACTGAAGGGCGCAACCTCTTATAGATCCACCATGACCGTTGCCTTGCATAGCCGGCGCAGTGCCAACGACGCTGGTTTCAAATCGTCCTCATCGAGCAGCATTATTTATCCACCACTGCAACCGAACAAAATGCAGGTGGTAAAGAGAATAGTCTGTACCTGAAACCGGAGAGTATGGTTACCAGCAGAATGTGATGAAATGGCGGAATTCGGAACTCCGAAACTCCCCAGAATGCATGGCTCTGGTAGAATGTGCGAGAGTCGCGGACACTCTTTTGTCAGGTTATCCTCCGGCGATCCTCTCGTGTCTAGGCTGGAGAGGTATATAGGGACGACGCGATCGGAAGGGATATATCCTTGGCCCAAAAGATCTGGATCCGGGATCGAGCGGATACGTGATAACACTTTCATACCCTGAGCACGAAGGAAGAAAAGTCAGCATCAGTTGGGAGAGGTCCGGCTGCCGGAGGCGTAGGAGAAGGGCCTGGGATATCTCACCATTAAAAATCTTGACAATGTCAGCCGCCGACTGTGGCTCTGGCAGAAGCTTCGCCGGGATCCAGCACGGAAGAAAAGACAATGCAGACACGATGTTCAAACAACTCCTTGCCGGACAGTGTAGAATGGGGAGCCACCAGGGTCCGAGACGGGGGTGCATCGCACCTTCCTTGTTCGACGAGTCCTTCTCGACCTTCCTTGAAGTCACGACTGGCTACTCGCTGGAATTGTTCGGTGCATCAACCATCATCAATTCAAACCTTCACTCATTTGAATTATCGTTTATAACCCAACTTACAGCTGCAATGGGGGACCCCGTTCCTCCAGCAGATAGTAGCCCTTACCCCCCCTCGACACCCGTGTCCGAAACCCTCGCGATCATCGGCTGCGGTATCTCGTCAATCTTAGCTCCCCATGGCTCTGCCAATTCAAACATGCCCCTCTGACAATGACTTCCACAGGCAACATGGGCCAGTCCCTTCTAAGCGGCCTCCTCGCCGCAACGAGTCCCCCACCAGACGAAGACAATGAGAAGCTCACGCACTTCATCGTAACCACGCGGAGACGAGAAACGGCTGAGAAGTTGCGACAGCTACACAACGAAGATAGGCATCGTCTCACCACCTACACAAGCGAAAACAATCTGCCTGCCATCCGAGAGTCTGGCACAGTGATCGATCCTCGCCTGTCGGCCCTGCGGCCTAGATGGTATTCTCAACACCGAGGGAATACGCGTTGAGTTGTCCAAGAAGCTGGTGATCAGTGTGCTGCAGACTAGGACGCCGCAGGAGATAGTTGATGCGCTAAATGATCGAGTGCAGGTAAACGGGCATGCGACGAACCTGGTACCTACGGTGGTGCGCGCGCTGCCGAATCTCGCGGCGGGGTGGAGATTGTCCATGACTATCATTGAGAACCCTGAGCCGCTTCCTGAGGAGAGTTTGGCGATGGTCACTTGGATTTTTGAACAAATCGGGGCGGTCAAGTTCCTATTTGGGGACGCCTTCTACGCGGGCGCCATGTTGGCCGGTGCCGGGCCGGCGGTTATGAGTATTGCTCTTAGTGGGATGTTTGACGGCTGTGTTGAAGCCGGGTTGACCCAGGCGGAGACAATCGCGATTGGGCATCGGATGTTGCTCGGGTTGGCGGCCCCCATGAGCCGTCAACACCACCTGCTGCAGATGAGAGAGGCTGCTGCTACTTGTCCAAAAGGGCCTATAATCAAAACTCTGAACCAGATCGAGAAACACGGTGTGAGAGGGTTGCTCGCGGACGCTATGGTGGAGGGGATATCGTGTTTTGCAAGGGAACCTCCGTCAGGAGTGACATGTCAAGGACCACGATAAAGTACAGTAGATCCATTCTTTCTGTTAATTAGCTGGCTGCAACGGCAACCGAGGTAGTCCAAGCAGTATCAGTCAGGCAGATGCCACTAGTATAGTCAACTCTCTGGCCTGGAGTATCCAGTTCGAGCATCATCATTATTCTAGTTCGTACTCCTCCGCTGTCACTTCCGAACCCACGAGGCGTAGAAGATGGCACACGCCCTATTGCTCTGTCTGACGAGGCCCGCTCGTAATCTCGCGTATCGTCTTGGGCGAGTTCCTCATCTTTTGTCGCCGGTGGAGTAAGATTGCTCCAACCACGAGAAGCACAGTCCCGACGGCAACCCCAGCACCTATTCCGGCCTTTGCGCCCGACGACAGACCCCCATCATCTTGCATATAGTCTTCATCATCGCCGCCTTTGCCTTCCCCTATCATTGGAGGATAATACACCGGCGTCTCTGTAGGTCCGCTGTCGGAGGAGGAGATGCTGGTCGGATTTGGTGTAGGGGTCTCAGTCACGGTGTGATCAACAGTGGCGGGAGTGGAAGTTGTGGAAGTCGCCTCGGTGACCAAAATACTGTACACGCCAGTTCCGTCACTGTAAACATCTCCAGTAACGACGTGGGTCGTGTACACCTGGATGTTCATCGTCGCTGTCGCGTTCGCGCTGACAAGGGGCATCGCGCCGGAATCTACCACGAGTCCTTGGGCTTTTGCACCCACAACCATGGGACCAGGGCTCAATAGGGATCCCGGCAGTTGAACCTCGACCTGGATTGTGACTGGGCAGTCATACACATTGCCATAGTTCCAGGCCACTGTTATGGGGTCACCTGCGGAGAAATTCTGACCTGGAGTGGGCGAAACGATCTCAAAATCGTCCTCGAACGCTGCTCTCGTGTCAGCATTCTGGCGGATCCTGAAGAGGTGTGAACGACATACCTGCCCGGACCGACGCAAGGGTCCAAAAGATAACGACCAGAAAAGCGAGCATGATGGCATACCCTCGCGATCATGAATTGAGAGGATGGTTCCTGGGGAAGAAGCGGGGGTGTAAACTCGTCGTTCGCCTGGGAAAGTCGCGACAAACGGAAGCCAACGCTGATTGGAATGAGTGCTTATTTTTAAATGACAAGGATTCTCTCGCGACGCAGCGACGGTACACCTTCAGTTGGTCTTTCGGTGTAATCTGATTGGGCTGAGCAAGCCTTTCTTTGTCCTTGACTCCTTCTCCCTGGAACTAACGGCGCGTTGTGGTCAGCCTGGACCTAGTTTTAAGACTTCTCAGAGCCGATCGAGCTGCAAAGAGTGGGAGCGAAACCTCCTCTGTTGGGTCCAAGTGCTCGGTGAGGTTAGCCTGCGTTTTGCAAAGACAAAGCCGCGAAGCACGATAGGTTCCTAAGATCAACTCACAGATGCACTGCAGGAAGGTCAGGTATTATTAGAATTGGCAGCAAAACTTAGTCCCAGCATTGCAGGGGCCGTACAAAACCCCTGAGCTGATTTTCTGCTGACATTGCTCTTGAGTGATCCCCTGATTTAGACTGTGCGACGAGTTAACGTCGCACAAAGCCGGCTTCTTGGGGATCCTCACTGTGTTTACCCGCGCTTAAGATTGGGCCGTACTTTGGTCGTAGATCTTTTTCCAGGGCTCGTCGGTACAATCGCTCCGTAGGGCAGGCGATGCCGTATCGCTAATCGTACGTGTCAACCGCGCCTGGCCATAACGATCCAACCAATCTCGATGGGCTAAGTTGGAGACCGAAGCCGTCTGCGATCTTTCAGTCGAGCCCAGCGTGACTAGCAAGCGGCCGAGTAGGACGCGCAGGTGACTCAGGAGACCGATTAGTTCATGGGTGAGCTTTTCCGAATGGAAAATATCTCTTGTCGGTCGTAACGAAGAAGATTCCTTGACGAAGTTCAACTTGGTGATGATGTCATACGAGAAAAGAACACTGATTTGATGGGTTGTCGAGCGGAAGATAAGCGCGGGGTCGTTGGTGGTGAGGGGTGGCAGATTAGCGGCGCCGAAAGATATATAAATGACGACAGATAAGATATCTCAACGATCTCCGAGGGGTACCGTGGATCAACTTTCTATATTATGGCGGCACCTGGACCGGTGCTTTGCGCAAGGACTTCAAAATATGTCTCAGCCATGCATGGCAAGGCAACTGGCCAACGCAACTATCGTGTGATGGATGTATGGACTGCAGGTAGAGTCGTATATGTAGGTGGCTTAGCGGGCGAACCCCTCATTTGGAGATAAATAGCGTAACATCGCCTGCTCCAACTTCGTAAAGTGAGCACTGCCAACGGAATGAACCACAACATGGTATGGCGGACACGCCCATCATTGTTTTACACAGGAATCAGGCTGTGCAGCTCGTCGACTACGCAGCATGGCCTTCTACTACCGGCTCCGGCAGCCAAAGGCTCACCACTGGCGGTCCTGCCAACCAAGAGCCTGATCTACTCGGTGCTGTTTACATCAGTGATCTCGTCGCCGCTTCTGAAGCCCGCCTTGGGACTGCTGAAGTACGTGATTGACTCCAAGTCCTCGGTCATTCACCCGTCGAAGAACCCGGTCATGCGCTATTTTTTGCGAAAGACGATATATAATCACTTTTGCGCCGGCGAAAACGAGATTGAGGTCCGTCGTTCGGTCGAGAAAATGAAGGCTCTTGGTTTCAAAGGTGTGATCCTAGGATATGCTCGGGAATCTGTGGCGAACATGGACGATGCCAAACACTTGCCTGCCTCGTCGAACGCCAAGCAAGAAGTTTGGGACCGTGCCGTCGATGAGTGGAAAGACGGCAACCTTCGTACTCTTAAGATGATTGGCCAAGGCGACTACATGAACGTCAAGTGAGTTCACCCTGTCGAAAAGCTGCGGGATCTAACGAGACAGATTCACGGGGGCTGGCCCAACTGCAGTCGAAGCTCTCATACGAGGGGATCAAATGCCACCTCCCCGAATTCAGGAAGCCATCGAGGAGATCTGTGCGGCCACTGCAGCACAGGGGTCACGCCTGTGGATCGATGCAGAGCAGCAAGTTTTCCAATCAGCCATCGACAACTGGACCATTGATCTGATGAGGCAGTTCAATCGACGGGGGCACGTGGTTGTCTTCAACACGATCCAAGCGTACCTGAAATCGTCAGCAGAGAACGTCAGTCGCCATCTCAAACTTGCACAAGCCGAAGGATGGACATTGGGAATCAAGTTGGTCCGAGGCGCCTACATTGCCCATGATTATCGATCGAGAATCCACGACAACAAGGCCGCCACGGATAGTAACTATAACCACATTGTACAGTCTCTGCTCACGCGCCAGTTTCCAACAGGCGCCTCAGCTTCCCCGCACATGTTCCCAGATGTTTGCTTGTTCGTGGCGACGCATAACGCGGAAAGCGTCCGAAAAGCCTATTCGCTGGCGAGGTACCGGATGCACAACAAACTCCCGACAATTCCTGTTGAACTAGGTCAACTGCAGGGTATGGCGGATGAGGTGAGCTGCGAGCTATTGGCACAGAAGTTTGCAAGTGATGTCACCGCGGGGCAGAGCCGGGGGCAATCTGCAGAGCCAGGAGTCTTCAAGTGTTTGGCCTGGGGATCTCTAGAAGAGTGCCTCCATTTCCTACTGCGCAGGGCAATCGAGAATCAGTCCGCCATGGAGAGAACTCGGCACACGGCTGTTGCGCTGAGAAAGGAAGCATGGCGACGGATTGCCTGGTAGACCAATTGATGTACCCTATCCCCGCCTTTTGAATTTGCGCCAGCGTGCACGGACATACAGATTGAGCTCTCCCGGGCGAGAAGAGAAGTGTCATGCGATGCCCCACAAATTACATCATGCCAGCAGTGAAACAGGAACCTCGTGACAACCTAGCGTGAGAGTGCGGAGAACCCTGTACCTGCTACTCAGTAGAGTCAGCTATTTGCTATGGTTTTGAATTGTCGATCCTTTGAGTAATAGTGGCGTCAGTACGAGGCTGGAAGCGCACGGAAAGTTTGCTTGGTCTTGTGTCTGCCATTTTTCAAGGTCACGCCAGGATCTCACAATATTGGCCACTCCTGCTCTTGAGAATTTGTTTCGTCTCGGCGAAGTCAAGATCCTCTTCCTCAAGGATCGCTTCCCGCTCACACGCTTCAAGAATTTTCAGCACGTATTCCTGACAGTCCCATTCAAGTGTCTCGTTATCCACCCTCGCTCCATCGACGATTTGCTTCAACGTAGCAATGTCCGGTATTCCGATTTCCCCGACCCAGAGCGACTCGATAAGGCTGTTGGAATCGGTAGGTTGGCAGGAGAGGTAACTTTGGTGAAGGAAGGATGTTCTCCGTCGACTTCAAAGATGAGGTCCTCTTGATCGGTGTGAAGGTGAAGCGCCCAGTGTTGGAAGTTGCCAGAGCGTGGCTGAAAAATGGCCACAAATAAGGAGGGGTTGCCCACGCTTCGTTAACCGTGGACGACTAAGGATGCCAAGCGACATAGAAATTGTAGCGATAGTGAGCGAAGAGCAGGTAGACTGAGATGAATGATTGTGAATCAATGGTTTTGATTAAAGCTGCCTTGGTTGCAAAAAAGGTTTGGATGGAAAGAAGAGTTTCGGTGTTTGGTGTTTTGGTGATCCATCATCCCCTGTTGCCTGAGTTGCCTGAGTTGCCTGAGGCCGCGATTCTCCCTCATCGCAGACTCTCACTCTTCCTTCTCCCCCTTCCTCAAGCCTTTTGAGACGCTTTCTGGGAACCGACAGCGACACGTACAATAATGCGATTGAGATCCTTTCGGCAAGCCCTGTCCCCGGCAAGTTATGTTATGCCGTAAGTTTTCTTATTTCCCCGTGTCCCCTGCCACGGTCGGTCCCGACTCTCCAGCGCTCCGCAATCGGCTTTGCGAGCCAAACATGGGGAGCTCGGGGTCAGTCCGGCCATCAATTTCACTGATCTATCTGACTAATTGTGGAACGAATGCCACTTTCAAGTTTTCTAGTCTTTTCTATGACCCACGATAGGCGCAACCGTTGCTGCTCGCAGGCTGGCTCGCTCAATCATGAATGACGATCCCGCCGGTTCCGGTCGGCTAAACGCCTCGGGATGCAACGTCATCGGCTCCCCAACACCAAAACCAAATGACGATGGACAAGGGTGGTTCCGCGTGGCTCTTCCAGACTTCCTGCTCCCAATCACCGTGCTCGCCCTTGACTGTGGCTTGGAAAACTCCCGCTGGTTGAAGAAAAGTTGGGAAGGTCAGCCAGGTGAGGTCGCATCGGGCAGGGTGCACTTGCCCAGTTTCCACAAGCTTTGCGGGGGAAAGACGTCTGGGCCTCCGTCAGCGCCGAGAGATCTTCATCTTCCTTGCTGATATTGGATACGAGATGGAGGTGGAATAATGGAAACCTCGTCGTCACTTTGTCAGTGCGCACAGTGATTTATATTCGGCTGCCTGCCAGCCGCCCGGCGAGACCTCCTGTGGTACTTCTCACAGCACGGGATCGCAAAATGCGCTTCAAGGTGAGTACAAAGTCTGCATCAACGTCTGGATGCATACTGAACTCGTTCTGAACTAGTCTATTTCTTCCTGGCTACCTCTACTGGTCCAGTTCCCCAGCGGAGGGACGAGCCTTCCGAGTCAATACGATGCGCGCGTGGAAAATGGAGTACGACACCACGGAAGTGCACATGCCGGCCCCTCCAATAACACCTACGAAACAATGTTCCCGGGAGTGACGTGGGATGAGGACCGATGGATTCTTACTACCAAGACTCTCGATCAAGGCCATTATCAATCCCGCGGCTCTGTCGCCAACGGATACATCGGCATCAGTGTGTCCAGCGTCGGCCCGTTCTTTGAGCTTGATCTGCCCGTCGCTGGCGATGTCATCAACGGTTGGCCGTTGTATTCCCGACGACAGTCGTTCGCTACCATCGCTGGATTCTACGACCTTCAAGCGACTACCAACGGGTCAAACTTCCCATGGATAAACCAGTATGGAGGAGAAAGTGTCATCAGTGGTGTACCTCACTGGAGTGGTCTCATATTGGATCTCGGAGGCGAGGATTATCTTGATTCTACAGTGGATAACAGAACACTCAGCGACTTCAGCTCTAGCTACGATTTCAAGTCGGGCGTCTTGTCGTGGTCGTATACGTGGACACCCAAGGGCAACAAGGGCTCCTATGCAATCAAGTACCGGCTTTTCGCGAATAAACTGCATGTTAATCACGCGGTGGTGGATTTGCAAATAACCCCTTCGCAAAATACCCAAGGGTCAGTCGTCAACGTTTTGGACGGGTATTCCGCCGTTCGTACGGATTTCATCGAATCTGGAGAGGAGGATGGTGCCATCTTCTCAGCAGTTCGCCCATGGGGAATCTCTGACGTTTCTGCGTACTTCTACGCGAATGTGACTGGATCCAAGCATGTCGACCTTTCGTCTCGAAGACTCGTGACCGATAGAGAGTTTGTGAGCAGCAATGAGTCGTCCATTGCCCAAGCAGTCAATGTCAACTTTGTTGCCAACGAAACAGTCCGGATCACAAAATTCGTGGGTGCTGCTTCTACTGATGCTTTCGCAGACCCACAGGAAACGGCCAAGCGCGCGGTGTCTCAGGCCCTGCAAGATGGATATGCTCGATCTCTGCGGTCGCACGTCGAAGAGTGGGCGAGTATCCTACCCGAAGACTCGGTTGATCGGTATATCAATCCTGCGACGGGTCGGCTACCTGACGACGATAATATCATCAACTCCGCAATCATCGCTGTGACGAATACCTACTACTTGTTGCAAAACACCGTGGGGAAGAACGCTATCCGTCTTGCATCAGAGGCCCCTCTCAACCAACACAGCTTCGCGGTAGGTGGCTTGGTTTCCGATTCATACGCGGGTATGATCTTCTGGGACGCAGATGTCTGGATGCAGCCTGGGCTTGTCGCATCTCATCCTGAAGCTGCTCAGGTTGTCACAAACTACCGCACCAAAATGTTCCCTCAGGCCCGCGAGAATATCAAGACGACATACACCGGGTCTAAGAATCAAACATATATAGATCCTGATGCAGCGATATATCCCTGGACTAGTGGTCGCTTCGGCAACTGTACTGGCACCGGCGCCTGCTGGGACTACCAGTACCACCTGAACGGCGACATTGGCCTATCCTTGATCTACCAGTGGGTAGCAAGCGGAGATACCGAGACTTTTCGGGAGAAGCACTTTCCTATCTACGATGCCGTCGCAACGTTGTATGGCAGCATTGTGGAGCGCAATGGAAGTTCGTGGACATTGACGAATATGACGGATCCTGTAAGCTTGCCTCGCATCCTTTTGATGTCTCTACTAACAGAATAGGACGAATACGCCAATCATATCGACGCCGGTGGCTTTACGATGCCGATGATTTCCGAGACGCTGGAGTACGCCAACACTTTCCGCGAACAATTCGGCGTCGAACCGAATGACACATGGAGCGAGATCTCGGACAATGTTCTCGTGCTCCAAGAGCAAGGTGTGACAATAGAGTATACCACGATGAACGGAAGCGCGGCAGTGAAGCAGGCTGACGTTGTGCTTGTCACTTATCCCTTGGTCTACGACAACTATACCGCAGAAAATGCTCTCACCGATCTCGATTATTACGCGAACCGACAGTCTGCGGATGGCCCGGCGATGACCTGGGCCATCTTCTCCATCGTCGCGGGAGCTGTCTCTCCCTCTGGCTGCTCTGCATTTACCTATCAGCAGTATTCGTACGCTCCGTACGCGAGGGCACCCTTCTTCCAACTCTCGGAGCAGATGCTAGACAACGCGAGCATCAACGGCGGGACTCATCCGGCTTATCCGTTCCTAACCGGCCATGGCGGCGCCAACCAAGTCGTTCTGTTCGGCTACCTGGGCCTCCGATTCCTTCCTGACGACGCCATCCACATCGAACCCAACCTTCCGCCACAGATCCCTTATGTGAAGTATCGTACGTTCTACTGGCGCGGCTGGCCGATCTCGGCTCAATCGAACTATACGCACACCGTGATTCAGCGTGCTGCAAATGCCCCGCCCTTGGATACGGCTGATCAACGTTTCGCGAACGCTTCCATCCCTGTTTATGTCGGTCTGGCCGGGAATGCAACCCTGCACCGCCTGCCCACTCGTGGCCCCCTTACAGTCCCCAACCGACAGATCGGAACAATCAACACGATTGAAGGAAACTTGGCGCAATGCAGCCCAGTCTCGTCGCCTGATGAGTTTGAGCGAGGCCAATTCCCGATCTCGGTTGTGGATGGCGCCACCTCCACACGCTGGCAGCCGACATCATCCAACAGCAGCTCCGTGACAATCAACCTGGGAGTAACGATGGATCGAGCGCAAACCATCGCATCGGGCTTCCATTTCGAATGGGCTCAGGCGCCGCCCACCAACGCGACGGTGATTTTCCACGACGAGCCGTTGCTGGGCCATGTTTCGGTGGCTTCCCCGGGGCCGAACGCACGGATTGTGGCGGCCCTCACAAACATCGAGCAGTCCCGGCCCTACGACGAGGAGTCGACCGATTTGAATGAAATCAGGATCCCAGTTGGAAACACGACGACAATTCAGCTCGATGAACAGGTCCCGGTTGCGCGGTACGCGACTCTTGTGATCTCAGGAAACCAGGCGCTCAGGGATGGGGATGAAGATGTGGGCGCGACCGTGGCGGAATGGGTGATCCTCGGACCAAACTCGGGACGCGCCCAACGGCGAATCAAGCGAGTCGCAATTCCATAGCGAGACAAACTGTTTGTCTATAATACTGTACAACGTGACCTAAGTGTCGGTCAAAGCTCCAATATTGAATACATTGAACCTTCCCCCCGGACTCCCGGAGTAACTCTTGATAAAGTGTTGTGGCGCTCTGTAGGCCGGTAGCGTCGGAACGTAAATCATCCTCCGCTCCACCACTGGGCCTGAACCACGGTTAAGAATTCTTCAGCGGTGCCGAGCGATGTGTAAGTCGAAGAGTCGAGTTCTGCAGTTTGACTAATTTCAGGACCAAGAGGCCCAGTTTGTATCACAACCAACCCCGCAATGTTGTTATGGAGACGATTGTCAAGCAACAACATCATTGGCGCAACTCCATCTCCGGTCGATCAGTCTCGGAAAGATGAAGAATGTTCCGTCAGCTGTGAGAAGCGACGATGATGATGGATTCCTTCATCTCGGTTGCCTGACGACTTTGGAGTCGACATGCTCGAGCTCAGCCGGGGGCTTGGATGTGTGTAGCTATATTTAGTCGGAATGATTGGAGTCCTCAACAATGGGACGCCTCAAGCCCAATTGATCGTCGTCTGTCAGTTTGGAGGAATGCAGGCTTAGCACAGTCACCCCGTCACACCAATAGTCACACCAATTCTTTGTCTGTCTGCAGACTCGTCACAGCGCGGGTGCCAAGATGAGGCCAGTGGAGCCCCAACAAGTGCCAGAAATCGGGGATGACTGGATTACCAAGCACTCTGGCCTCGCCCTCTGCTCTTATACAACATACGCACACGCTTTGCCAGCCTCTGCCTCCGCGCCAACCACTCATCAGCCCACAATTACGCACGGCCAAGAGCGATCGACTGCCTGGGCGTCCGCCCGTTATACCGCACGGAGACAAGCCCCCGAGCCCTTGCTGCTTCCCGTCGGGTTCTGACGTATGGGAACCTCCCCGTTTGCTCCTTCCAGACCATGTTGCTGAAATAAGCGACACCGCCTGGCCCTGGGGGCTGGCTCCCTCCTGCCTGTTCAGGTTCGGCGTCCAGTGTTCCTGCAGGCTTGTCCCAAAACCCAGACGATGCTGCTGCTGATCGACAGGCCTGCGTATAAATAACTCCGGAGCTCCCCGTTGCTGCTGCAGCCGGCAGGAATGCAAGCTCCATCCTCCAGCAGATTTAAACATTCTTAATCCCTCATCCCCCCTATTCTTATTTCCTTTCTTTGTCTTTCGCCATGCGTGCCCTCGGCCTGTTTGGCCTCATTGGCGCTGCCAATGCAGTATGCCCTTATATGACTGGCGAGCTGGATCGTCGCGACACGGGCCACCAGGATGCAACCGAGGCTACGGAGGAGTTTCTTTCGCAGTACTACCTCAATGACGAGGATGCCTACATGACCTCTGACGTTGGCGGACCCATCGAGGATCAGAACAGTCTCAAGGCCGGCGAGCGAGGTTCGACTTTGCTGGAGGACTTTATCTTCCGTCAGAAGATTCAGAGGTTTGACCATGAGCGAGTGCGTCCACTCTCCAAGAGGTCCAATATTTCTCGCTGACAACGATAGGTCCCCGAGCGGGCTGTCCATGCTCGCGGTGCAGGTGCCCACGGTGTATTCACCTCGTACGGCGACTTCTCCAACATCACCGCCGCGTCCTTCCTCCACGGTGAAGGCAAAGAAACCCCCGTCTTCGTCCGCTTCTCCACCGTCGCCGGTAGCCGCGGTAGCTCCGACCTCGCCCGGGACGTCCACGGCTTCGCGACCCGATTCTACACCGACGAGGGCAACTTCGACATCGTCGGCAACAACATTCCCGTCTTCTTCATCCAGGACGCCATCCGCTTCCCCGACCTGATCCACGCCGTCAAACCCCGTGGCGATAGTGAGATTCCGCAAGCTGCGACAGCGCACGATGCCGCCTGGGACTTTTTCAGCCAGCAGCCGAGCACCCTGCATACCCTGCTCTGGGCCATGTCGGGTCACGGTATCCCACGCTCGTTTCGCCACGTGGATGGATTCGGTGTGCACACTTTCCGCTTTGTTACTGATGACGGGGAGTCGAAGCTTGTCAAGTTTCACTGGAAGACCCTGCAGGGTAAGGCTAGTTTGGTCTGGGAAGAGGCGCAGCAGATTTCCGGCAAGAACCCCGACTACATGCGCCAGGACCTTTTTGAGTCGATCGAGGCTGGGCGTTATCCTGAGTGGGAGGTACGTCGAATTTCACCGAATTGGACGGATTGTACTGACGAAACAGCTTGCGGTGCAAATCATGGATGAGGAAGACCAGCTGCGCTTCGGATTCGACCTCTTCGACCCTACCAAGATTGTCCCTGAAGAGCTCGTCCCCTTGACCCCGTTGGGCAAGATGACACTTAACCGCAACCCTCGCAACTACTTTGCCGAGACTGAGCAGATCATGGTATGTCACACTTTAAAATTGTATCCATGCCATGCTAACAATGCAGTTCCAACCGGGCCACATCGTCCGTGGTGTTGACTTCACCGAGGATCCGCTCCTCCAAGGTCGTCTTTTCTCGTACCTCGACACACAACTCAACCGCAACGGTGGCCCCAACTTTGAACAGCTCCCAATCAACCAGCCTCGCGTTTCCATCCACAACAACAACCGCGACGGTGCCGGTCAGATGTTCATCCCGCTGAACCCGAACGCGTACTCACCCAATACCCTGAACAGCGGATCTCCCAAACAGGCCAACCAAACTGATGGCCGCGGCTTCTTCACAGCTCCTGATCGATCGGCTAATGGCAACTTTGTCCGTGCGCTTAGCTCGACCTTTGACGATGTCTGGTCGCAGCCTCGTTTGTTCTTCAACTCTCTGATCCCCGCTGAGCAGCAGTTTATTGTCAACGCCATGCGGTTCGAGAACGCCAACGTCAAGAGCGACGTCGTCAAGAACAACGTGATCATCCAGCTGAACCGCATCTCACATGACCTTGCTAGCCGTGTCGCTCGCGCCATCGGTGTCGAGGTGCCTGAGCCCGACACCACTTACTACCACGACAACACGACCGCCGATGTCGGTACCTTTGGTCTGCAGCTCAAGAGCCTCGCCGGGTTGAAGGTCGGCGTTCTCGCCTCGGTCAATGCCGAGCAGTCCTTCAGCGCTGCCACTGCTCTCGCTGCCGAGCTCGATGGCCAAGGAGTTGACGTTGTCGTCGTTGCTGAGCGTCTCGCCGACGGGGTGGACCAGACCTACTCCGCCTCCGACGCCATTCAATTCGACGCCGTCGTCGTTGCTCCCGGTACCGAGGACCTCTTCACCAACACGGTGACCGCCACCTCGACCCTGTACCCCGCCGGCCGCCCCTCGGAAATCCTCACCGACGCCTTCCGCTTCGGAAAGCCTGTCGCCGCAGTTGGATCTGGATCGGCCGCTTTCGAGAGCGCTGGCATTGACACTGAGGGCAAGGGTGTTTATGTGTCTGAGAGTGTTGACGGGGCTTTCGTTGACAGTGTCCAGGAGGGTCTGACGACGTTCCGCTTTGTCGAGCGCTTCCCTGTTGATCAATAGAGTTCTCATGAGAGAAGAGCACGGATGAGAGATACATTGCTATCGACAATTAATATATTCCTATCCTACGTTATCCATTCTGAGCTATCTAAGAGTTGGTAGACTGCAGAACTCACTTTCGGATGATTTTGTACATTACTACAAGAAGTTTTAGTAATTCAGTCTTGGTGTTTATCTGGCCAGAATTTGGGGAACAAATGAAGCTGAGCGACCATCCTGTGAAATATATATATCCGAAGTCTGCCCAGCACCGGGCTGTGGTATACCATCCGGAATATTTACTCGAATCGAAACGAAGTCAAGATAACGATCGAGGCGTCGTGAGTAGAAAAGGATCTGGGAAAGAGCAAATGGCCACCTGAGCCCGTCATCCCCTTTCATCACAAAATCTCCCCACTCTTGGCTAGACCAACTCTTGCCCTTTATCGAGATGCTCTGTAAGATTGATACTCGTAATGATGCCTGCTTATTCTCGCACTGTTGTGTCTCTGAGCCTCCAACTCAAGTGAGAGCCACACTGCAGGCTTGGCGCACTCGTCGCCTGGAGATGAACGCCTCATCTGCAGCCCTCTTCAGATCTATCTCTTGCATATTATCATCTTCTCCATCTTGCAATCTCAAATGTCCCCTCCTACTCTACCCACGGAATTACTCTCCGACATCCTCTCCCTCGTCACCCCCTCCTGGCGCTGGGGCCGGCTTGGATGGGACAACGACCGCGAGCGCGCCACATGCAAGGAACATGTGCGGTGGTTTTTGCGTTTGAGGCTTGTTAGTCGTGAGTTTATGTTCTCCTCTTTGTCGTCTCCCTTCGCAGGCGAAAAGATTGACTTGTACCAGGCACGTTTGATGATCTCGTCATCGACCACGTCCTCGCTGCGCTCCGAGCGGGGAAGCTGGATCGGGAGCTCCCGTTGAGGCGCGGCGCCGCGAGACCATCCACGGTCGCATTTGTGGAGCGATTACTGCGACATTTGGTTCTTCGGACTGCGACCGCAACTGTGAGTCGAGATGGAGATGATGTATGCTCGGTTGTTCGAACGATTGCCGATGGGGCAGCATTGAGTGCGGATTTTCTCACTACGAGCGAGTTGTCGCCCCCTCTACAACAAGAGGCGACAAGATTACGAGATGTCTACACAGAAGCACTGGTTTCAACTCTCACGACCATTATCGGCCCCAACCTCGTTCTCGACACCCTACAACCCGGCCAGGACCACGGCATCGACATGTTCGGACCCCTCAACGACGAAAAACAACAATGGCGCATCGCCGCGTTAATGGCCGCCGCATACCTCGGTCGGATTTCTGACCTCGAACGGATTCTTTCTCTGGGCACCGACTTAAACTCCGATCCAAGCGATCGCTGGCTCTACCCGCCCGTCATGGCTGCCGCAGTCGCCGGGCGTGTGGATGTGCTTCGGTTCCTAGCGTCCCAAGGAGCCGATCTTCACACGCTTACGGTCGGAAATGGGGACAATGCGGTGCACTTTGCAGCTCTTGCTGGACATACCGGGGCTGTCGAGTGGTTGATCAACAATGGGGTGGATTGCGATGTCGTGAACAATGATGGGGTCACGCCATTGTACCGGGCTGCGTGTGCCGGACAGGCAGGTGTCGTGAAAGCCTTGTTTACTGCTCAACCGGAGGGCCTTCGAACCGAGATCAAGGACCCGACGGATCGCGCGCCGATACACTATGCGGTCGAACGAGGATACGAAGACGTCGTGCACGAGTTCCTCTCGCGCGAGAACATGGATTGTAAAAAAATCGGAAATCCGGAGCTGGGGCCTGTTGTCACCCCGTTGGTCCTCGCTGCTGCCACGGGACGAGACACAATCTTCCATGCGATATTGGCTCGTTCTGGTCGGACTTGGAATAAGTTGGAGATTCCCCCGCGCACCATGTGTCGCGTCGTCATCAGAGGCGGGAGCCTGGCCATCGCCAAGACGGTCATGGAGATGGAGATGAACTCGGGCGACGAGAAGAACTGGATGCTTGCTGGCGGAACTTTATATCGCGCCGCGCAGTTTGGGAGGAGCGAGGATGTTCTTCGGTACCTCCTCTCCTTTGAAGATGCGGAGATCAACACCGCACCCCAGGAAGAACAGCCGGGACAGCACGCACCGCCGCTTGTCCTGAAGGCTGCAATTAGCTCAAACAAAATCGGGCACGTCCGCGCGATTCTAGACCATCCACGCTTCGACGCGGTGCGCGCTCTAAGCCCACAGGCAGTCCGGCGTACCTCGCATTTCCTCCAGGCGCTGCCGGATGACAATGACCTCGATCCAGCCATCATGGCAGCACTCCTGGCGCATCCGGTCTTTGATGCGAATGCGCAAGACATGTCCGGGAGGACTCCTCTCCACTACGCCGCCTCAAGCGGCCAGATAGAACTGGTGAAGCTCCTCCTCGCGCACCCCAGAATCGAGATCGAGCCGGTGGAGAACCAAGGCAAAACACCCCTGTGTGAAGCCGCGGAAAAAGGCCATGCGGCTGTCGTGAGGACCTTGCTCGATATAGCAGGACCAGCCGTTTGGGATACGACACCAATCGACAAGTCGCCGCTGGCGTCTGCTGCATCCGCGGGAAAGGTTAAGATTGTACGGCTGTTGCTCGAGCCACAATATCGGGTCCCGCTGGACGTTGTCCGACTTGAGTTGAGCAAGGCTGAGAGACGCGTCGCCTCAACCCAGACTCAGTTGGCGGATTTGCGGAAAAGTGGAGGCATTTTTTGAGAGCAGGATGAGGAGTCTAGGAATATGATGGTGGAAAGTGTTGAGGAAATGCTTTGCGGCCTGAATGAGATGATAAGGATTATGTCGATTAAGTTGGAAGAGGAGAAGGAGAAGCAAGAGTGAGAGCAGGAGCCGATTCGGCCTATTCTGGCGACGGCTTGTGTTCGAGGTGAGAGCTGTCTGGAGCAAGAGACTTGGATACTGACATGGTCATGACCAGGTCCTGGCTGTATTGTGGTGTTTATGCCAGGGTTCCTGTTGCTCGGCTGCTGGGAATGAAGTCGTTGAGGTTCCTTTCTACCCAAGAACCGCGGACTCTACAGTCTCGTCAGATCACGAATGAGCTCGAGTCAAAGCCGAGACACCAATCACATTGGCTTTCTCAAAAGGATTGGTGCGTTCGTTGATGGTGTTGGGAGTGATATTTGTGGCATCGGGTTCCGAAGAGCCCTCATTCTCGTCAAGTTCTCTATCACAGTAATTCTTACTTGAGGGCATATCCAATTCCAAGCAAGGCGTTCCTGATTCACAAGCATGACAGCCGAGTCTCCATGCAATCGGGCGCGGTTCTTGTCCAATCCAGCCTGCGGAGTACGTCGGTGGTTGATTATGTGAGCCCTCGATAAGATCCAGTAAGCATAGGGCTGTAGCTTGTTTATGCTGCTTTACCCATTTCAGGCCACACCTTGCGTCGTTTATCTTGGTTCGCCACAGAATACAGTGTGGCGGGGTGTTCGGTAAGCCACGATTCTTGATCCATCTCGGAATTGCGATGCCGTCAAGAGCTGCCTGGCCGATACGCATCACAAACCCTGACTTGATCCGAGTCAACTGTGAGGTTGTATAGAGTAGAGATGGATAAATAAGACTCAAGGGCCACAGCGTTACCATGTAATCACAATCAAAGCCCAAGTACACAATGACCGACATCAAAGAATCGCCCTTCAAGCCCTCGCAGACATGGCTCGACCGCATCTGCCTGCTCAAACGCCGCGAGGATCCCCTCTCACACTCGCCTCTCGAGAAACACACCATCGTCGCCATCATCACTTTATCCGCCTTCACAGCCCCGTTTGCATCCTCCATCCTCTTCCCATCCTTCACCACCCTCGTCGACCACTTCCACACCTCCGAAACCCGCGTCGCCCTCACGACAACCGTCTTCCTCATCGGCCTCGCCATCGCCCCTCTCTGGTGGAGCTCCCTAAGCCAGGAATACGGCCGCCGCCCGATCCTCCTTGTTAGCTTTGTCCTCTCTGCGATCGCCGCTGTCGTCTGCGCAGTCGCCGACTCCGTCTCCCTCGTCATTGGGTTCCGCTTCGTGGAAGCCCTTTGCTGCTCGTCGGCGCAGAGCGTAGGCGCCGGCGTGATTAGCGACGTCTTCATCCCGACGGAGCGCGGCTCTGCCCTCGGCTGGTTCTACCTAGGCACCCTCATCGGGCCCCTGGTTGCCCCCATCATCGGCGGCGCGCTCCAGGTGTGGCTCGGCTGGCGGTGCACGCTGTACTTTATGGCGCTATTCACAGGCGCAACAGCACTCATCACCGCAGTATCCCTCCCGGAAACACGCGTATCCCAAGCTCAAACACCGGATGCAATCGACACAGAGCGCCAGACCACATGGCCCCAGCGCCTGCGCCGCGACATGCTCGCCCCGCTCCCCAAACTCCAATACCTGCTCGTCCCCTCGATCGCCCTGTGCATCGCCTACGTGAGCATCTGCTTCGCATCGCTCTACTGCTTCAACACAACCCTCCCCTACGCCTACATGGCGCCCCCCTACAACTTCTCCGCAATCGAAGTCGGCCTGTGCTACATCAGCAACTGCCTCGGCTACGCAATCGGCAGCTTCGCCGGTGGCAAGCTCAGCGACGCCGCGCTGCGCCGCTACGCAGCCACACACCACGGCGCCACGCACGCCATCGCCCGCCTGCACACCGTTTGGTACGGGGTCGGATTCGTCCCGCTCGGGCTCCTGCTGTACGGATGGCTGGTGGAGCGGCACGTGTTCTGGGTGGCGCCGCTGGTCGGCGCGTTCCTCTTCGGGCTGGGCCTCATGCTTGTCACGGCGACGGTGATGCCGTTCCTGGTGGATGTGGTGCCGGCCGGCGGGGGCGCGTCGGTGGTTGCGGATTTGAACCTCGTGAGGAATCTGCTGGCGGCGGTCGGGACGGTGGTTTCGCCGATTGCCGCGGGGGGGATCGGGTATGGCTGGTGGATGACGGTTCTCGCGGGGCTTTGTGCGCTGAGTACGGGGTGTGTTGGGGTTGTGGTTTGGAGGGAGGGGAGGAGGGAGGCGAGGGAGAAAAGTCAGAGTGGGCAGGGCACGCCAGCTTGAGTGGGCGTTTATTGGGAGGAGGGAGAAGAGATGATCGGGGAATCTCCGTTGGCCAGGGTGCAAACAATAGGGAAGGGCGGCGGCGTATGGTGAGCGAATGAGCGTACCGATTTTTTCCTTGGCTAGACTTCCTTTGTTTGAGAATCTGCTTGTTTGAATTTCAGTCTTTCCATGTCCTATTTGCGTCCTCAGCCAGTTGACGTGGTAGCTGCGAACCAAGAAGCAAAAGAGCGAGAACCAAATTACTGAAAGTGGAATGACCTAGATGATATCTCCCCTTGGGTTTAGTGTAAAGAAGCTGCCCTGTAAGGCCATCAGCAAGGGCAAGAAAGAAAAAAAAGTGCATGGTATCAATTTGTACCGCACCAGGCTAGCTAATGAAAGGATGATGATTAAATTTTATAACGATAGCCCATACCCCTCCAGGCTGCCCTGCCTCCCATGGATTTCCCCGGATCAAACCCTTTCGCCCAACTGCAGAGGCTCTGTGCCAACTCCTAGTCCACAGCTACCTCGGCTGTAGAATCGTACCCCCCTGCGCCATCTTTACAACCTTATGAACACTCCCATTTCATCGATGTCCATTTGCATAGGCTCCACTCAACTACACCTCGAAGCCTGTTTGGTGGTCAAGCTAAGCCGTAGTCAACTCCGCATCCTCAGCCCCATCGCTCCTGTGAACGTCAGTCAGCATGCAATCCCACCCAAACAAGGGAAGGTTATGATGTAAGACTACTCACTTCCTCTGCCCTCGCGTCCAGAACCGATCCAAGTCCCCAACAGGAAGCGTAATCGGCAACCCCACGGCTTCGAACAGCTGTGCGATGAGGAGGTAGAAACCCAGGAGACTCGCGACGAAAAGACATGCGCCGGCGCCCTGCACACAGAAGAGCACATTAGCCCCTTCTTACTTTTTATGTTTTCCCCTTCCATCTCTGGCGCACGCATCCGAATCTAGCTAGGAGAAGGAGAGAGGGCACGACGTACCTTGACACACCGATCCCCCACCACCGCATCCCCCTCGCCAAGGCGCCAGTATCCCGCGGAGAGAAAGAGGAAAACGAGGAGGAGGGTGAGGAAGATGAATGTGTAGACGAGGTTTGTGCGTGTGGCGCAGATGAGGAAGATGAGCATGAGGATGGCCATTGTTATGAAGAGGAATGCTACAAAACAAGATGGGTTAGGATTGCAATTGCATTTCGAGGCGAAGCGGGGCCAGAGAGGGCGTGAGGGGGTTGTGTTGGGTGAGAAAGGAGGGGGGAGGAACAAAGTACCATATGTATTCATGAAACTGGCGCTCGCAAGACCGGCTGCTGTATCGGAGGACGAGGAGTAGGGGGCTGTAATATGTTATGTGAGAGGATGCTTCCATGGTCAAAGTATCAGGAAGACGAACCGGCGGCGTTGAACGAGGGAATCATCGTAGCGGCGAAGGCGAACCAGAATCCACCTGTTCAGATACCAGCGTCAGCCATGAACGCGTTGTCGCAATTACTCTTTCACAGGCAACATACCGATGGTGCCAAAAACAACACAGGGGAAGGTATTTCCAAGGATGAACTCGAGGATACTCGTGATGAGCAGGAGGAGACCGCCGAGGAAGACGATGGGACCACTTCGTCGCCCAATAAGTTAGTACCGAGCAATTAGTGAGCGATTGTATCATCCAGGTCTTACATGAACGCAACTCCATTCCCACTCGCGCCTCGCCAGGCCATGAGGCAGCAGGAAAGGGGTGTCGTGGTGATCACAAAGCCGCCGAGGGCCCTAAACACGCACAAAAACGTTAGACCCGTGCTTCCAATAGGACAAAAACAGAACGAGGTTGGTATAAACGTACAATGGCGTCGGATTTCCCACAGACTTGGCCAGCGCGGGCTGTTGGCGCGTCATGGGGGTCAGATACAGCCTCTCGAACTGCTCGGCCGTCAGGGTGACCGATGTAGGGACGTGGGAGAGATGGTAGGTATTGCCTCTGCCATCGGCAGCGCCTTTGGTCTCGCCGTTCTGACTAATGTCGGACATGGTGCCTTGAGCTCTGGAGGGTTTGGATGGTATCAAGATTGAACAGAAGAAGATGGAGTGTAACAAAACCAAGGAGCAAGATAGATAGGGGGACACACGTCTTAGTTAAATGAGACAGGGGACGGACTTTCTTATAAAAAACAAAACGAGCAAGCTTCCCCAGACCAGCCTGTATGATTGGCGCGGCAGAAAGGAAGCTTGCAGACAACCCCTAACAGCAAACACCCCCTAGCCCTTGCCCGATGCGGAGAAGCGGGCATGGCGTATTCCTCCCCAGGTTTCCTCCAGTTCTACAGTCTACAGTCTCCAGATCTAAAGCCCAGAAAAAAGGCGGGGAAAGCTCCCTGGCTCTGGCTCTGGCTCCGGGGTCCCCCGGTCCCATGGTAGCGTAGCTCGATCTCGACGACGAGAACAAACGGTGGATCCGTTGACTAGACGCTCTGGTACTAGGATGCAGCTAAGCCTACCCCCCGAACCTCCGTCTGATCGGCAAGATCCATACCATATATGCCCCATGCATGAAGATCGGTCTCCTTTTCTGACTTGTCGAGCTAGCTGGCCTTTGGGTCGGGCCATGCGGACCCGATGTGATGCGGAGCCGCACGGGATGAGATCTACCCCACACCGTACACTCTTGATTTGTGCTAGTGTTGACGGGGTGGAGGATCGACGTGCTCGAGAGCCCTGCTGTGTGTTCGCTCGTATCATATCGTAATGACCTGGAAAGGAGGTTGCAGAGATTGAGGTTCGAACCATGCGGACCCGATCTCGTCAGCCTCACGCGCCAGGAACCCTGTGGGCAAAGGGATGAGACATGGTCGTTCGAAAAGACCATGACGAGCATTCTGGGGAAATTAGATAATATAACTCGCGTGCAATTCCAACCTCAAGTTTGATATCGCTTTCTCTACGAGACTACTCACCCCAAGATTGTACCGGCGTCATTTCATTCGCATCAAGGATGAACGATCCTTACCTCTCAGCCTGGACCACGCAGTATACAAACTCCCCGGTTACAGCAACAATGTCGAGTACGTTTGAGAAGACGCGTCCGCGTCGCAAGGCGCGGCGCTCGTGCATGAATTGCCAGCGTGGACATAGGACATGCGGTATGCACACTTCCAGCTTTAAACCTCTCTCCTTTACCTTTTTGGTATCGTTATCTAATAAAGTAGATAGATAACCAACGCCCCTGCGAGCAATGTACGAAGCGCGGAAAGCAGCAGACGTGCATCGATGGGAATCACAAGCAGTTCAAATATTTGCGCGACTCGGAATACCAGCCGACAAGACGGAGGAGGAGTCGCGAGGATACTGGCGAGGCCTCCGAAGGCAGTTCGCCCGAGTGTATTGACCCAGGTCTGCTTCATGCGCAGCCGAGTCTTGCGGCGGAGGGTAATGTGGTGGCGAGACTGCTCAGGGAGCAATCGACTTGCTCGTCTCCATGTTTGCAAACCGTGCGCAACAATCAGCAAGCTATCCAATCTGGTCAACAGCAACAAGCCAGATTAGACGAACCTCGGAGTCCGGAGGAGGACGTCTTCGAGGATATTCTCGCCGAATTACTGGCCTACGACACGACTAAACCTCCATCCTTTCTCAGCATGCCGGCCTTCGATGACCACGAGAGCAAGTCGAATGGATTCAGTATCAGTACGGGCTGGTCGAGTACCTTTTTTCCGCCCACGGAGTGCGAGGTTCGATTACGTTGAGGATCGTTGAGGATATTTTCTGAAACCATGGTGTGAACTAGTTGCTGTTTACCGTCATTTTTCCTGTTAGATTTAGCTTTGCGTGTCTATACCCTTTGAGTAGCGTGTCCACAGGTTTTCCTCCGAGTGCCAAATGCAACTGTTCTCCTAGAAACAACTACGAGTACTCCTTCTACAATCCGCGTAATCCCTCCATTCCGCTCGCTCCGCCTGTAACAAATCGCATCCGTCCAGCACCATGGCAGTGTCCCCTCAAGCGCAACAAAACTCTATCCAAAGCTGCAAACCTGTAGAAACTGCGTAACAACTTCCGATCGACCGAGATGAGAGCACGCTCGTCAGCCTAGGTCCATCCTGTCGCGCGTCCCCAACGAACCCAGCAAAGGAAGAAAAAGAAAAAAAAAAGATGAAGCCAAACAAATCCTTCGTAAAGCGATCTCGGAGCTCCCCCGGTCTCAAAGCTACGACTCCACATCGGCATCTCGATCGGCGTCCGCATCGCCGGTACAGGGCCAAGATGCATGCGGAGCCGCATGGGTCGCTCGTATGGGCCCATTCACACGTCTGGCAAGTTTGGGGGCCGCACGGGAGGCGCGTGCGGGGCATCGCATCGCATCCGCACACCCATCCACATTCCCCGTTGTTTTTCGTGGCTCGTTTGGAGAGACCGAATGGAGACTCGAGTCTCCATCTGGTCTCGGTGAACGGCCGGGGCAAGGTGTCGCCTCCTCATCGATGGTCCGCTCGAGAGTCTCGACAGAATGGAGATTCGAGCGGGGCCCCGTAGTTGGGTTTCCTTGCTCCTTTACCCCGGATGCGATGGCTGGATTCTCCCCTCATTGCGAGCAGTCGAGCAGGTATAAATATGGGGATGGACCTCCAAGGTTCTCATCGCCATCACCAACGCAATCTCCAATCCAGCCAAGGCAAGCAATCAATCAAACAAACCAACTCCACATCCAATCTATCTTTTTCCAACCAACCAACCAACCAAAATGTCCATTCCCGATAAGCAGTGGGCCCAAGTCGCCGAACAGGTCGGCGGCCCCCTCGTCTACAAACAAATCCCCGTCCCCAAGCCGGGCCCCGACCAAATCCTCGTCAAGATCAAATACTCGGGCGTCTGCCACACCGACCTGCACGCAATGATGGGCCACTGGCCGCTCCCCGTGAAGATGCCGCTCGTGGGCGGGCACGAGGGCGCCGGAATCGTCGTCGCCAAGGGCGAGCTGGTCCACGACTTCGAGATCGGCGACCGCGCGGGCCTCAAGTGGCTGAATGGATCCTGTGGCGACTGCGAGTTCTGCCGGCAGGCGGACGATCCGCTCTGTGCGCATGCTGCCCTCAGCGGGTATACTGTCGACGGCACATTCCAGCAGTATGCGCTGGGCAAGGCCAGCCATGCGAGTAAGATCCCGGACAATGTCCCGCTCGATGCAGCGGCTCCCGTGCTCTGCGCTGGTATCACCGTGTACAAGGGCCTGAAGGAAGCCGGCGTGCGTCCTGGGCAAACTGTGGCGATCGTGGGCGCTGGCGGTGGTCTGGGGTCGCTTGCGCAGCAGTATGCAAAGGCCATGGGGATCCGGGTTGTGGCGGTTGACGGGGGCGACGAGAAGAGGGCCATGTGCGAGGCGCTCGGCACGGAGACGTATGTCGACTTCACCAAGTCCAAGGACCTCGTTGCAGATGTCAGGGCCGCGACGCCTGACGGGCTCGGCGCGCATGCTGTGATCCTCCTCGCGGTCTCCGAGAAGCCCTTCCAGCAGGCGACTGAATATGTGCGCTCGCGCGGAACAATCATTGCGATTGGGTTGCCTCCTGATGCAAACCTCAAGGCGCCCGTTTTCAACACCGTTGTTCGCATGATCAACATCAAGGGAAGCTACGTCGGTAACCGCCAGGACGGCGTTGAGGCTCTTGATTTCTTTGCTCGTGGCCTGATCAAGGCGCCCTTCAAGACGGCGCCGCTGTCGGATCTTCCGAAGATTTATGAGCTTATGGGTGAGTTTCTTCTTTTCTTCCTTGGTTTGTTGGATCGAGTACTAACGATGGGTAGAGCAAGGAAAGATCGCTGGTCGCTACGTCCTCGAGATGCCCGAATAGACGATTGATTCGGAGTACCTGGCTGGTATATGAGATGAAGTATGATGTTTGGTTTGGTTCAGGATTGGCCCGCAAACTGTATATACAAGGGTCGAATCAGATAGCACAATTGATGATGATTTCCAAGAAACTACTTTTTTCTAAACATCCTCGGTGACTCTTTGTAGAAGTGCCTCTTGCGCAGTTCGAAGCAACCCATCTCCGGGGTTGGGAACAGTCCGATTCCGCTGCTTTCATGAGACTTGGCACAAGACGAGACATTGTCTCTACGGGGGACTTGCTCTGTCTTCTGTTACTATACAAGTACCTGAGGAGATGCGATCCTACATTCAAGCGATAGTTGGTGGGGACTTCAGGTTCGGTGTATCAGTCACCGAGGGAGGGACCTCAGCAATTTGTGCATTCTCCAGGCTACAAGCAGGGAAAACGACATTTGCATATCTGGACGGTTGGAAAGATGATTCTATACTTTACAACTAGGATTATGCCAAAATCATAGGTTCATTACAACTACTACGAATGGATCGTAAAAGGATATGGCGCACCAGGTGAACCGATTCCGATGCAACAAGCGACAAGCTGGAGTACGACGAGGGCCATACTGTAATACAAAGTTTAGGAAAAAAAAGGAGGAAAGAAAAAGAGAGAGAGACAGAGAGAGTTGACTCCTGCTGTCGCTTACCACAGGCCCAAAAGGCGTGACAACCAAGCCAGTCCACAGTATAGCCCCTCCAGACAAAAGACAAAAACGCAACGATGGTAGCTTCGAGGGAGGTCCGCATCCCCGCACCCCATACATACTCCATAGTCCACTCCATAGTTCGCATCCGCATCCGCATCCGCATGAACCACCCCACACCTAGACGATCAATGTTTTATCTTCATCGGAACCGCACCGACCCCAAACCCTGTGCAGTTTGACTTGCAATCGGGCCAAAGGACCCCCGAAAAGCGGGGACGCGGAGAACAGAACGCGGGGCGCAAGCGCACGGGGAAGAGGATGCGGAGCCGCACGACATTCCACACCTCAACACCTCACCTGGACATTCGTCCACGCAACTAGGCAGGAATGACTTCTTTTGGCCGCATGCCAACGGGAAACATCGGACCGGGGTTCCTCGAGTCGCGAACCTCGGAGGTGTCCTTTGCCCGCATTGGATTCCGCGGAGATTGGCGACTTGAGGAGTATACTATAAGGGGAGGGTGATCCCTCGCCAGGATGGGAGTGTTTCTGGAAAGACAATTGTCGACTATACTCTGATCTTCTTACTTATCTCATTCCTTGTGGTATCGCAGCCATGGCTCTCTTCCAGACTATCAAGACACCCACGGTGACCTATGAACAGCCTCTTGGATTGTATGTCCCGTCCTCTCCACCTCCCCAACCCTGCATTCACCCTGCCCCAAACCAATCTAACACACTATCCCAGGTTCATCAACAACGAATTCGTCCCCGGAGTCGACAACCAAACCTTCGAAACGATAAACCCGCACAATGAAAAACCCATCGTCGCCGTCCACGAAGGCAACGCACGGGACATCGACATCGCCGTCCGCGCCGCCCGCGCCGCCCTCGAAGGCCCCTGGGCAAGCATCACGCCGAGCGCGCGCGGAAAACTCCTCACGGACCTCGCGGATGCCCTGGAACGCGACATTGAAATCGTCGCGGCCATCGAGGCCCTCGATAACGGGAAAGGCGTGACAATGGCCAAGGGCGATGTCAGCGCCTCGGCCGGGTGCATCCGGTATTACGGCGGGTGGGCGGATAAGATCTACGGGCAGACGATCGATACGGATCCGGATAGTCTGACGTACACGAGGCATGAGCCTGTTGGTGTGTGTGGGCAGATTATCCCCTGGAATTTCCCGCTGTTGATGTTTGCGTGGAAGATCGGGCCTGCACTGGCCACGGGGAATACGATTGTGATGAAGACCGCGGAGCAGACGCCGCTGTCGGCGCTGTATATGGCGAAGTTGATTAAAGAGGTTGGGTTCCCGGCGGGCGTGGTGAATATCGTGAATGGATTTGGGCGCACGGCCGGGGCGGCGCTCGCGAGCCATATGGATGTGGACAAGGTGGCGTTTACGGGGTCGACGCTTGTGGGCAGGCAGATCTTGCGAGCGGCGGCGAACAGCAACCTGAAGAAGGTGACCTTGGAACTTGGCGGGAAGAGCCCGAATATCATCCTCCCCGACGCAGACCTCGAAGAGGCGGTTGGGTGGGTGAATCTGGGCATCTTCTTCAACCACGGGCAATGCTGCTGCGCGGGATCACGGATCCTGGTCCACGAGGCCATCTACGACAAATTCATCGCTCTCTTCAAGGAGCGCGCAGAGCAGAACAAGGTTGGAGACCCATTTGACCCGGAAACCTTCCAGGGCCCGCAGGTCAGCCAGCTGCAGTATGACCGGATCATGAGCTATATCTCGGGGGCCAAGGAGGCAGGGGCCAAGGTCATCACTGGCGGCGATCGGCATGGTGGTGAAGGGTATTATATCCAGCCGACGATTTTCGCGGATGTCCATGAGGACATGACGATTGTCAAGGAGGAGGTGTTTGGGCCGGTTTGTACGGTGCAAAAGGTTAGCAGTGAGGAGGAGGCGATTCAGTTGGCGAATAAGACGAATTATGGTGAGTCCAGGCAATCTTCTTTCCTTTGAGCTTCTTTTCTAGGGTATTCGAATGAGCGATCGCTGACGCTGACTTCATCTAGGCCTCGCTGCCGCTGTGCACACAACCAACATCAACACGGCCATTCGCGTCTCCAATGCGATCAAGGCTGGGTAAGTTGCGCAGTTCCCAAACCCCCAGCTTCTCCAGCTCGGTTTACTAACAATGTGAGTAGAACTGTCTGGGTCAACAACTACAACACCCTGCACTACCAGATGCCCTTTGGCGGCTTCAAGGAATCAGGCATTGGGCGTGAATTGGGCGCGTACGCTCTGGAGAACTACACCGAGGTCAAAACTGTGCGCGTGCAGTTGTCGAAGGCGAAGGAGTAGATTGGCTTTCTCTCTTGTTCGGCTTGGTCTCTTGAATGTTCTGTATGCTTTAGTTATTCGCTGCTTTCCGATCTATTAGTTTCTACGCAGTATGCAGACAGTATAAGTCATCATCTATTCATTGGATTAAAGATTATAAGTTCAAGGAAAACCGGTTCTTATAGAGAGTCTATACCCCAAAGTAAAACTCTGGATCAGCAAATCACACTTGACCAAATAAGCAATCCAACCATGTATTCATATATTATTCCGTCACGATAGTTCACGCTACGCCCGCAGTGCATCCGGCCCCCACTCCTCGTATCCCACGCCCAGTGGTCATTGGCCCCCAACCCCGCTCGCCCTCGACCTCGCTCACCGTGGCCGGAGTCGGAGTAAGCAGGAACCCAGCTGGACCGTCCAATCAGCCTTCCAGGGCGCTCGAGACATGGAAGTCATGTGAGCCCAACCCCCGCAGAGCCCAATGGACGACTTTCCCCAGGATTTCGCCCACCGCGACAAATCCCGCTCCCGCCGTCCACAACCTGAACTCCCGCCCGGCTGTTACATCCAGGGCTGTCATAGCCTATTAATCGATATTTGCTCATAAAACAGGAACATATATTGATGAGATGGGAGACTCGCGTCGTCGCCAGAACCATAGCTGCGATCCGTGTCGCAAGGGGAAGAGGGGTTGTGATGCGCCTGTAAGTGTCTTCTGGGTTGGGGTTGCGGCTCCGAGACAGGAGTAATCATGCCATACATCCCTGTCGGATCGAATCCACCTCGACATGTTTGAGATGCTAATGTCGTCTAGGAAATTCGCGACGAGATCGGCTACACGTGCTCGAATTGCAAGCGATGGAAGAAGAAATGCACCTTCAATTTCGTCTCGTCGCGGCGCGCAGATACCCGTGGTGTCGCTGGGAATGCACGCTCAAAAGCAAAGGCCGCGTCTACATCCACATCCACTTCAGCTGCTCCAACGGCTATCCCTGCCTCGGTCGCTACCTCTGTAGCGGCCCCTCCGACCCCGGATAGTGGGGATATTCCGACCATGACGATGCCGAGTATAAGTTCGTGGAATACCCTCCTCGATGAGGGATTGCGGTCATCGGAGCTGGACCCAGCGAGTCTGGGTGAGATGTTTGCGTTCACGTCGCCGTCGAACTACGCTGCATCGGCGTTGCATGGGCAGGCGCCGCATACTGTGGGTGGAGGGAACGATGCGATTGCGTGGGACATGGGGATTCCAACAGAAGGCTGGACCACGACAATGCCGCACTCAGAAAAGTCGCTTAGTCCATTTGCACCACAGCTCTTTGTGCCCCAGGACAACGTGAGCATGAATCCGTATGATGTTGAAATCATCCAGGAACTAGACGACGGCTCCTCCGACGACACCTCCACCGACCACATCGCCAAGAAGCGGAAATTCCAGTGGGATCTATGCGTTGCGTCGGACAAGGCGGCAAACCGAGTCGGTCGCTCGACAATGACACGAAACCTGATCCGAATATACCACGACAGCATGGAGAACGCGCTTTCGTGCTGGCTAACCGAACATAATTGTCCGTACGCCGACCCAATGAGCGCATTGGTGCCGTTCCACCAGAGAAAAGAGTGGGGACCCAGCTGGTCGAATCGAATGTGTATCCGGGTGTGCCGGTTAGATCGCGCGGCCTCGTCGATACGAGGGAGGGCATTGAGTGCAGAGGAGGATAAGACTGCGGCGCGGGCGCTGCACCTGGCCATCGTAGCCTTTGCATCACAGTGGACGCAGCACGCACAAAGGGGGATGGGATTATCGGTTCCCGCTGATATCGCGTACGATGAACGGTCCATCCGGAAGAACATCTGGAATGAGGCAAAGCATGCGCTGCAGCATTCAACGGGGATTCCCTCGTTCAGAGTGATATTTGCGAATATCATCTTCTCTCTCACGCAGAGTCCGCTGGACGAGACTCAACCCGCCAAGCTTGGGCAGCTTTTGGAAAATGACGGTGCGCCGGTATTCCTGGAGAACGCAAACCGGCAACTGTATACGTTCCGCCACAAGTTTGCGAGGCTCCAGCGCGAGGCTGCTCCAGCCGTGTCAGATCTTAGACGTGGATCAATCTCATCGACGCTGACCGAAGTCCTCAAAGTACCAACACCAGAGAGCCAACAGCTCGACCCAATCCTCGCAAGCCAAGACCACCGCAGCACGCTCAGCCTCCTCTTCTGGCTCGGAATCATGTTCGACACCCTCAGCGCGGCCATGTACCAACGCCCGCTCGTCGTCTCGGACGAGGACAGCCAGATCGCCTCCGCCTCGCCCTCCCCTTCCACTGACCACCGTGTCAATCTCAACTACTGGGAAGTCCCAGACCACAACGCTCCGGCCAAGAACGACGTCTGGGGCGACTTCTTCCTGAACCCCCCGAAGCGCCAGGAACCGATCCCGCTCTCCACAACACATCCACACCTCCAAACGCAACAACCGCGCTGGCCCTGCTCCTACGAAGAAGCAGCCTCCGTCCTCTCTGAAGCAACCCCCGTCAAAGTCCTCCTCTACCGCCGCGTCACCCAACTCCAAACCCTCATCTACCGCGGCACGTCACCCGCCCGCCTCGAACAAGTGATCCAGAAGACACTCCTTGTCTACCACCACTGGACGTGCACCTATCAGACTTTCATGCTCGACTGCGTTGCGAACCACGAGTCTCTCCCGCATCGCATCCAATCCTGGTACGTGATTCTGGACGGACACTGGCATCTCGCTGCGATGCTGCTTGCCGATGTTCTGGAGAGTATAGATCGAAGTCACCTCGGGCTCGAATCCGAGCGCGAGGCCCGCATTGCGAACGATCTCATCGCTACACTCCGAATCGACAACGCCCTCGCCGTCGGAGCCCTCGCGCGCTCATCGCTCCACGGACAGAATAGCACAATGCATCGATATTTCCACGATAGTCTCAACGAAGTTGCGTTTCTTGTTGAGCCGTGGACAGTCGTGCTCATTCATTCATTCGCGAAAGCAGCGTATATCTCGCTAGAATGCCTGGGGACTTCTGCCGGGGGGAGTGATGACGGGACACAGGGCGCGCTGGCAGAGTGCTTTCGGCAGAATTGCGAGTTTTGTATTTGTGCGTTGAAGTATCTTGGACGGAAATCGGATATGGCGTCTTGTGTTGCCGGCGGGTTGGAGAGGGAGTTGGCTGCGAAGGTGGGTAGGCTGGGTTAGAGTGTCGGTCTCGGTTTTCGTTATATCGTAGGTTTGGGTTCTTGTATGTATTATTTAATGAAGCGATTATGTCTTTTCTTACGAACAGAATTTATTGTCGGTCTTTATGTCGCAAAATTCCGTGGCTTCAGCCTTTGCGCCGTGGCTGTTTTGTTGTCTACGGATGAGCATGAGCAACCATACTAGTAGTCATCGTCTGGCATTCTGCGGGCATGAAGACATGGTTGTGGATAAGAAGTGTCGGCCGGAGCCCCTGGCTCCGGACCCCGCGCAAGCATTCCTCTCACCATTCCATCGAACACTCCTCTCAGGACTCACGAGATACAGCGATTGGAGTAGTAATATTAGATAGCCCCTATTTCCTTATTTAGTTTAGTCGATTCCTGTGCTTAAATAGTGCTGTTTCCCTAGTTATTCAGAATAACAGACCTCTCAACCTTCTTCAGATCCTCGACCTAGATCAACAGCCCGGACGACAGTTATAAGCCTGGGTTACTAGGAATATTCTTCTTTATTATTACCTATAACCCACCTCCGGACCCTTATTACCTAAATAGGCTTATTATGAAGCTATTCCGACCTCGCTAATTACACGTGAAACTTTCCCTGAACTAGTGTAGCTCTAGTCTATTAATATAGAGAATACTTTACTTTATAGCCAAGCCGTCAAGGTCTCAGTCGTCTTGAATAGCAAGGACGACTAGTAGTTGTAGTATAAAGCTATATAGACATCTATAATTCTTATAGGAATATGGGAATACATTAATCCTAATATCATACTAAAACCTAAGGTGCCTTAACAGCCTGCTATCCCTAAGGCACCTGCTTTAAATAAATCAACGCAATAATATAATCATTGAGCAATAATATTTAATGTAGAGAATAGTTAATATATCCTCTTCTAGAAAGGGCGAGCTATTATATATAACTAGATTATATTATTAATTAGTCATCTACTTAAGGATTCACATAGCTTATATTCTTCAACTAACCTATATAACTTATTAAAGAAGCTTAAGGACGACTTTACTCTATTACTAGAAGAATAGAAGATTAGCGCGTTAATTTAATATAACACCACGAAGGATAGCAAGGTTAATACTAGACCTATAGATAATTAGATTACCAAGTTCGAAGTAGCTACAGGTTTAATAATAAAGCTTTATAGGGACTACTAGGATATCTAGTAAGCAGAGAAAGACTTCCTAGATAGAATAAAGTATTAGTTTCCTGGCTTTACAGATCATTATCTTAAAGATATAATAAATATGGGATACAGGGCTAACCTCTTCAAGCTTATAATAGGATTTTAATAATATCTAACTACCTAGAATACTCTAGAAGCACATAATACTATGTATAGGACCTTTAAGGGTTAATCTAATAGTTAACAACCTTCTAGAGGTTAACTAAATAGTTAAAACTCCTACTAGAAACCTTTAAAATATATATATAACAAGAACTATTTCTATAAGGACTATTAGCACGTTAATAAGGATGCTAAAGGTCGTCTAATAGACTACTAACTAGATCCTAAAGTTATTAATCGTGTAATAAAGGAAATCAAGGTAAATAGCTTTAAAGGTTAAATCTTAAAGCACTACCTTAGTAACTACTAGTTATCTAATAACTCCACAAGCATTAACCATGATAAGGTCATGTTTAGTATTCTTACTAATATAGTAATGTTAACCTCTATAGTTAATATATAGAAGGAAGACTCCTAGATAGTTAATATAGGGGGCTAAATAAGTATGTGTAATAATCTTAACTAGTTTAATAACTATACGCCTCACGAGGAATATGTTAAGTTAGGGAATACTAGTATAGATGTCCAAGGCATTAGAATAGTCATGATTCAACCCACTAGCCTAAAGGGGAAGGAGATGTTAATTAATAATATCTACTATATCCCTAGTTTCTATACTAATATCGTCTCTGCTAGTGTAATATAGAAGGTGGGCGTGTTCCTAGACCTTAAGCATGACGTTATATATTAACGTGAAGGCAAGATATTCTATAACCTTTAATATATTAACCACCTCTAGTATATTAAAACTAACTACTCACGCGACCTTGCTATCTTCCTAGTCCAGTCATCCTTAAAACTAGTTGTTTTGAAAGGGGATATGAAGCGGTGGCATGACCACTATAGATATATAAGCTTTAAAGCCTTGGAGAAGCTCCCTGTAGTGGTTTAAGGTATTAAAATAATAGATATTTCAACGCGAGAGTTATTTAGAGAGGCTAGCTACCATACATGTTATATAGCTAAAGTAGATTACTAGATATCTTAACAAGATGCGCGCAGGGCTATAGAGCCTTTTAGAAGAGTC